TTATAGTATAAAAGTAGAAGATACCTACTACTATAAGAGGGGTCTAGTCATTTCTAGGCTTTTATAACTTCTATAGAGGTTTATATAGGAGTATAATTATATTACTAAACCCCTTATTATGCTAATAAGGAAGGATGTCCTCTTTATATAGAATGATATTTATAAGAAGGCATTCTACTATTTAAAGGCTACTCTTATAGAAGCTCTGCTTCTCATCTATTATAACCTATCTTTGCCTATGAAGTTAGAGATAGATGCCTCTAATAGAGTAGTTACTAGTATGCTCTCTTAGTAGCAGGAGGGAGAGTAGTATCCTATTACCTACTACTCTAAGACTATAAATCTAGCAGAGCGCAACTATAGCATTTATAACTAAGAGATATTAGCTATTATATATACTTTAGAAGAATAGCAAGCTAAGCTACAAGGCCTATAAAGAGCTAAGCTATTTAAGATTTTTATAGACCACCAGGTATTATAATATTTTATGTAGAAGCAGTGACTGAACCCTTAATAGACTTAGTAGAATAAGTTCCTAACACACTAGCTAATATACTTTCTAGACTAGAACACCTAGAAGGGTTAGATAATTACTAAGTTTAGTTAATGCTTTAATTAGATTACCTAGACCCCTAAATCTTAGTAGCTATTACTCCTAGCCTGATATTAATAGTAGATTAGGTATCTAAAGTAAATAGATAATATAACAGTCTCTAGCTTAGTAGGGAACTCACATAGGCAGGAAGTAACTAGTAGGAACTTAAAGATAGACTCCTACTCTTCTAAGGACACCTAGTAGTGCCTAATAAAGGTGATCTATATACTAGACTACTAGATAAGATCTATTAACCACTATCATTAGTACACCTAGGTAAGGCTAAGATGAGGTAACTTATCTGAGCTTACTACTATTAGACTTCCTAGAGATGGGATGTGGACTACTATATAGATAATTACCTTATCTACTATTAAATAAAGATGTGTAAGGACCCTCTACTAGGTCTACTATAACCTCTTCTAATCCCTAACTAACCTTAGTAATATATTACTATAGATTTCTATTCATTCCTATACTCTAAGACAGATTTTAATACTGTGTTTATTATAGTGGACTAACTAGGGAAGAGAGCCTTTACTATTCCCTATTATAAGATAACTACTACTTATAATATAGTGCATCTCTTTATTACCTATATTTACCTATAGACTGGCTTACCAGAAATAATCATCTCAGATAGGGGAGGTTAGTTTATCTTAGACTTCTAGGATAAACTATATAAGGTCTTATAGATCTACCTTAAGCTATTATTAGGATATTATCTATAGACTAATAGCTAAATAGAAGTTATGAACTAGTGGATTGCGCAGTAACTATAACTATTTATTAACTATTACTAGGATAACTAGGACTAGTAGTTATCTATCCTAAATTTTACTGCTGCAGCACTCCCTAGTAAATCTATAGGGATATTACCCTTCTTTATTAAAAGAGGCTTTAAACTATATATATCCTTTAACTAGTCAGCAGCTACCACCTTATTAGACCTTAATATTAATTGCAAGCAAGCATAGTAGATAGCTAAATATATAGAGGAGATTTAATTATATACTTATAAAGGAATAGAAGCTACTTAATACTAATAGAAGTAATAGGCTAATAAGCACTGCCATATTATTAATTTTAATATTAATAATTACATCTTTATTACTATATTAGACTGGAAGGTTAATCATCCTAGTTAGAAGCTTACTAACTAGCTTACCAGACTATTCTAAATTACTAAATATAAGGGTAATACCTTCTAATTAGATTTACCTAATTCTATAAAAGTCCACCCTATCTTTGCACCTAAGAAGCTTTATAAAGCCCTATCTATACTACCCTTACCAGTTACCTAGCTAGCTTCAGGACCCAGCTCCCCTACTTAAGGTTAACAGCAGAGATAAGTAGGAGGTTAATAAAATACTTACATCCCAGCTCTACTATTACAAGCTCTAGTACCAGGTAAGATGGCTTAGTCATAATATTAATCTTTCCTAGTATCTAGCCTAAAACTTTAGAAACTCCCTAACATTACTCTAAGACTTCCACGCCTAATATCTAGCCATGCCAGGCCCACTAATGTGCCTACCAGAATGGCTGCAAGTAGCTAAAGATAATATATTCCTTAATGATCACCCAGATAATAATAGACCCTGAATAAGGACATCTAGAACCTAAAGGGGGGGTAATGTGATAATCCATTACTATATTCCCTACTAACATCCTTACATAAGAGCTTTCTGCCTCTCTTAACCACTTACTACTTTAGGGTTGTTTGGCTAGTTTGCACTACTCCACCCTCTATTTATAATATCTCCCTACCATGTACATACTTTCCTTCTCTCTCTTCTCTATGCTTAGTTTTCTATCGAAATACTACCATACCATTGGAATATGAGCAGTGCCATCATAGCTCTCTCATAATTCTAAAGGAGGGGTTGACTAGTACAGATACTATAAGGTAAGTATTCTCTTTCTCTATGGTTTTTACTAAGAATTTAAGAACTAATAGCTTCTTTTACTATCTTTAGGAAGTCCTTATTCCTAAGCTAATTCTCTTTGCTCAAGAATGTGTAATTAAATAACCAAACACAATCATCTTTGAAGATGGCGCTCCAGCTCACCATCACCAATTCCAGCAGACTATGTATGATATTAAGAGGGTCCAGAAGATCATGGATTGGCCAGGGAACTCCCTAGATCTTAATGCTATTAAGCTAGCCTGGCCATGGCTTAAACAGCATACAACTTCTCAAGGGGCCCCCCGCGATAAGAAGACAGGGAAGGAGGTATGGATAAAGGCATGGAATGATCTTCCACAGGTGCATATTCAGCAGTGGATTAAGCGTCTTATACGCCATATTCAGGAGGTTATTGATCTAGATGGTGGTAATGAATATCAGGAAGGCTGAACAGGGAAGGATAATCATGATTAGAAGGGCCATTAAGCAAAGGGTACTATCTCTTATAGACAAGATATCGGAGATCTAGCCTGGGAAGATATTCTTTAGCCATTCAAATAGCTTCAATATTCGATTCTTAAGAGTTAAAATTGATCGAGTAAGCTGCCATACAAATTACTATGTAAACTTGCTTAGTATTATTACCCTGCCAAGTTTACTAGCGGCAAAATAGTTTTGCACCACACCTCCGTATAGTAGAGATACTTATTAGTATCTCTATAAAAACTTAATAATTACACCTGCTCTCGCACCAGAACTAGAATAATGAGAGTAAGAATGTATCTTAAAATCTGGCATGCTTATGTACATAATCATGGTCATTATCTCTAAATAAATATTAAAGAAGTATATTAAGATCCCTGTAAGTCACTAGAAACTTCTCTTAATGTTTGGTCTCAAGTCCATACTTCTACACTGACTGACCCAATCCACAAATCCATATCCAACCCACCCAATTTGCACTTTGGGTTGGATGGGGGTCAAGCCTGATCTAACCCATATAGATATGGGTGGATGGCATCCAACCTATATGGATATAGGTAACCTATTAGATATACATAACCAGCAGAATAATAGATATTCATAAATTTAATAGAGTAAACCTAGCCATTATAGAATCACTCTGTCACCCACTGATCACCCATGCTCACCCATGCTCACCCATGGTGTTAGATAGCATCACTCAGCTCACCTTTACTCACCCACACTCACCCTATGATTTAGCATCTCTCACCCATAAAGTAGCAGGCCTTCAAGGGCGCATATAGCTTTCAACCACATTGATAATAGTGGCTTAAGTACGGCTGAGCGGACGGGAAGCCCTGTTTTCCACACCCTATGGTCGTATGTGCTAGGTTGATGCCTTTCAGAATTTATATACAACATAATACATGAAAATAGTGAGCTAGCTCTGCTATGGGCTTGTAGAAGGCAGAGGCAGTAGTTAAGTTGCACTTAAACTAGAAGGTAGTGTAGAGTTAAAAGACCTATGTGGTTAGAGACCTTTCCTATTAGCTGTATTAAGTAAGAAAAAGAATGTCTAAATTCTACAACTAAAAGCTGTTGCAATTTTATCAAAATATAGACTAAATTTAGACAGGTGTGTGCACCTGGTGGGTGTCCTGCTTATCAAGCCAGACAGTGAGTTTATTATGGGGAAGCCATCTGTCAGGAAGAACATAAAAGTTATTAGGAATCTTAATCCGCAAAAAAAGCGTCATTAAAATTAAGAGAGTATGAACTTGGCCAATTTGACCCTCATCAGCATGATTACTGTCTTGGCTCTTATCAGTCAATAATTTGATATGGTGTCTAGTCTCAGCCACTGAGAAGTAAGATAGATAATGCTTCCTTGAAGCATACTGTATCATTTTCCTAAATGGGCAAGCAATACTGGGTACTGTGATATTAGGCCACTATCGAAGTAATACTGGCGCCTCAGCGGACAATGAAGACTACCTTGACTCGGTGTGAGAGACACTGTGCATACCGTGCGTGGTTCTCTATGGAACCATGGGATTAACTTACGTCGCTGTAGCCTTGTTGGCATTTTCTACACATTTCTTGGATCTGTTAGAAGTTCGCTAATAATCCTGGATTTATCAGACTTGTTAGTGTTTGTCCACCTGAGACATCAGCGCCGACTGTCTGCATAATTCATGCCGGGGATTATGCATACTCAACCGGCGTCGACCCCGAGGACTCCGACTTAAGACGTGCCACGGAGACCTCAACTACTCTACTTGCTTACAAATGACTTGTGACATGGTCGATTCTATCTTTGCTTGAAGAGTACTTCCTTGAATTGACAGGCTGAGAATTGAGTCATTCAGCGGATATATATATAGTGAGGCTCATTTGCCCCTCATGCCCTAAGCTGGGAGGCTCCCCGCATCACCCTCAGCCAAGAGCGCAGAGACAGTCATAATCACCTCATGATCATGAGACAAATCGAGTGTGGATAGGATAACAGACAGTAATTTACGAGTCTAAGACTAAAGACCGAACTCAGTCCATCGCCGTAGAACCTTCTCCTTGACTTCCTCTGGGTACCCATTTTCAAAATCACAAACCACCCACATTTGCTCTTGGTTATACTCGTGAGGCAGTAGACAGTTAGCAACTACCTTTCCCCCTGTCAACTTGGTTCCCGGTCCATGCGACATGTACGGCACCAATGGATAGGCAGCGACGTCTTCGAAATGGTACTCATCCATTCCCGGCCGGCAGCGGCTAGCATATGACCAAATGACGTCTTTGAAGTTAAATGGATCGATGTCATCTCCAACAATTAGGAGACGATGGATCTGCATGCCGCATTTACGCCGGAAGACCAGGTCTCCGATCTTGCGGCAGAAGTCTGCTGCGTTCGTTCTCAGTGCCCATAGCTTCTTTCTATCTACCTGCACCGCAGCCCAGATGACCTGCGTTTCATAGGGAGTGAAAACATTAAGGACTGGAAGTCCATTCTCTTGGAGCAGCTGCCTGATCTCTGCAGCTGCCAGTGTGCCGATCAGTGTGTGAGTCTCGTCGGGGCCCGTGGCGCGTCCCGGGACCGAGATGGGGAGGATAGCCCCCCACTGCGATAGGTGATAGCCGTAACGTTGTATATTGGCTGAATGGACTCTTCATCCAAGAAGCTATAACCGTGCATCTCTCCAAATGGACCCTCCTTGGCCCGTTGAGAGATGGACACGGTACCTTCAATCACAATCTCACTCCGCGCCGGGACGCAGAGATCATTTGTCTCGCATTTCACCAGTTCAAGCGGCTCACCACATAGAGCGCCGACATATTCGGATTCCGTGACTCCTTCTGGAAGAGGCATGCTGGATGCCATCACGGCAATCGGAGGAGCGCCAAGGGCAATTGCGTAGGGCATATCCTTGCCGGATTCCTTCCACTGTTCGTAGATGCGGGCGATGTGCTGTGGCTTCATGATCAGGCCAACCATGTGGGTTTTGTCAAGGACCATGGCACGCGCAATTGACCAGTTGACCCATGGCTTGGTCGGATGCTGCACGATATTAATGCCCATGGTTTGGATGTAATCGCCGCCATCGGCTTTGTTGAGGAGTGGTGCGGGAAGCTTCGTCAAGTCAATGTCGACCCCAAAGAGCTTGTGCTCCTTGCAGGGGCCAGTCTCGACATGGACCGGAGGGATAGGCTCTTTCCCCTTTGCGGAGAGCATCTTGTCGATGAAATCGCCTAAGCTGGCTGTTGGGGGGAGACCGACATGTCTCACAAGTCGACGATATGGGTATTGAGGGTCGCTGGAAAGACCGCCTGAAGCACCAAAAATGCGGAATAAGCCGTCATGGGCGCCCCTAACATTGTTGAATAGGGGGGCTTTGGATCGGAGCTCGTATGCACGTCTTGTTATGGCGGCTACTTCTAGGTGAGGGTCGACTTCGGCGTTGATCTCAGCTAAGTCGTTGTCGGACCGGAGAGCATCGACAAAAGCGCGGAAATCAAGGTACGGCTGGGATGTGCTGGAGCTCATGTTGGCTGAATTTGGACAAATTAATGAGAAGGGAGGTCAGAGTACAATTCAAAATGTAAATAGCTGTGGGATATCGGCCCTTTGAAGAGTCCTATCTGTACACTCGTACATTTATATCGCTAAATTGAAACAACAAGACAAATATATACTCAGTCGCCTATTAGCTTCGATGACATGAATATTAGGTAATGAGTATCTGCTGAGTAACGATGTGCAAATTACGAGCTATGTGGCTTGCGATTGTCGTAAGTCGCACCTCGTAAGGAAAGCGTCGTTGGTCTGATTGTATCTCTGTGTCTCGTTTACGCCATTCGATTCTTTCTTGACTTAGTTTCAGGAGAGGATGACCAAGACAAGTTCGCTTGCTAAGCATGCAGGTGGAGTACATACAAGATTGCCGATCTATTCTTGGAATTATCAATCTAGATCCAGATCTCATTGGCGTAGATTGGATAGTGATAAAGACTTGATTATGGGAATTAGAAAACACATTCGATTGATTTTACTTTGCTAAGGTCTAGACTACCCCTTGGCCCTGTCTTTTCTTCGCATCCCACTGAAACCCCGTCCATCGTTCACCCTGCTCACTGTGGATCTCAATTCCCAAATCTAGCAAATCAATTATCCTAGTCACACTCTGCTCCACCATCTCTTGTATGCTTTTTGGCCGAGTATAGAATGCCATCACAGGAGGAAATAAAACAGCACCAGCATGTGTCAACCGCAGCATATTTTCTAAATGGATGGAACTCAAGGGAGTCTCTCTCGCCACGAGCACAAGTCTTCTTCGTTCCTTGAGGGTTACGCTAGCTGCGCGAGTGATGAGATCATCATCGTAACCCATTCGGATACCGGCCAGAGTCTTCATGCTGCATGGGACGACAATCATGCCGTCTGTTCGGAAGGAGCCTGAGGATATAGCGGCGGAGACGTCACGCGGTGCGTAGGTTGTATGTGCAAGCGATTGCAGGTAACTAGGTGTGTTGTGAGGTGGATCAAGTTCATATTTCAAGGTGGCAGCTCCCCATTTGGACATTATTAGATGGGATTCGACATCTAGCCGACGGAGGTTCTCGAGGAGGCTGACTGCCAGCGGTGCCCCGGTTGCCCCTGTAACCGCAATGATTATGCGTTTGCGCACGGTGGAGATTGACATGGTAAATAGTACCAGAGTACTCTTCAGAGAAATATTCCAAAAGAAGCGTGAATAGGCGAGTAAGAAAACAGTATACGATTCCTGGGTAGCATATGATATTTTATATGCAAGATGAAATAGATCAAGTGATAGGCCTTGATGAGTTGTGCCCCGCTGGCGACCTCTAGGCTGAGCACGGTGAATATGCTAGAGACTAACTGAACCGGTTCGAGCTTATCCTGATACAAAAGTGTCCTACTAATTGGCGGCTGAGTCGGACAGAAGCTAAGGTGCCACTCTTTCGTAAGCTCCCTGAGACACGGCATTTAGTTATCTTTATTTAAGACTGAGTCATCTCTTACAAATGTACTCCAATCCAAAATCCTTCGCGGCAGATCATATTTTGACCTCTTCTAATAGCACAATATATATGATTGGGTCATAAACATTCGCGTTATGTATGCTTCCCGTCTTACTTTAGACATGTCTGGACCTAGACTCGAATCAATGTAAGCTTCCCCATAATGCCCTCGGAGCTGAGGAATCTGCTAGTTCTCTACCGCAAATGAGTTTCTTATACTGGGCCCTCTTGTGCCCTGCATTCTAGTCTGAAGCGCCCCTATAAGAGGGCTACACGTAATAGCAGAACCTACGTCCTGCGCTTTAGCTTTAGGATGTACGCTATCCTCCTTCAGCGAGCATCGAGACGGGAAGCGCTTAATGTGGCATAGAAACAGTGCACAAATATAATGCTATTGCCTGCAACAGATAGTACATAATGCGTACTCCAATTAATTGCTTGAATATTGTGAATGCATATACAATTTCAGTCATTGGTGGGAAGGGAATCCAGCGGCGCATTATGTGGATTGAAATAGATTAATAGCAGGTTATAATATGATATAAGATTAAGTATCATGCCACACATGACTCTTCGGAGGGCCCATTGTATTCTAATAGAACATAAATACCTCGGTTTTTAGATGAGCAAAACTATTCTCTTTCATCAGGAGCGTACCGATGAATTCAAACCTCCTTACCCGGGCCCATCTTGTTGCCAGGTACCTCAAAGTCAACCCAAGTTCACAACTTGCAAGACCCATGGAAAGCAGGGCAATCCATAATTTCCCCTTCGCTCGTTCGAAGGCCGCGGAACCCCCTGCTGAGTTTGCTGCTCTTCGATCTGCTTGCCCCATCAGCCGTGTCAAGCTTTGGGATGGAAGCGAGCCGTGGCTCGTCGTCAAGCACGAGGATGTATGCAATGTCCTGACTGACACCAGGCTTTCAAAGGTGTCTTGTCCCTGGACGTAGCTCTTCAATGCTAAAGCTCATATCATACTAGGAGCGTCAGCGCCCTGGATATCCGGAAATGACACCAGGAGGTAAGGCTGCTGCGAAGAATCGTCCGACTTTTGTGGATATGGATCCCCCGGATCACATGCGGCAAAGGTAGTGTATCGCCCATTGGCAAGTTGCTATGCATACCCTATTGAAGTATGCTGAAATCTGCAATAGAAGTATGGTGGCAAAATTTTTCAATCGCGAACACATCAACAGCTTGAAGCCATTCATCACAGCAACAGTGGACTCGTTTCTCGATAAGCTGGTTGAGAAGGGGTGTGATTCGCCTGTTAATTTCATTGAGCACTTTACTCTACCAATCCCAACGTTGGTATGTCGTGGCCCTTTTCCTTGCTCTCTATCCCTGCCTGTTTGTCAAGCATTCGGCTAAATTTAATTTAGGTTATTAACCATATTCTTGGTATTCCAGTTGAAGACGTTGCCTACTTGACCGAAACGAACGCCGTTCGCAGCAATGGTAGTTCCACTGCAGCTGCAGCCCAGGATGCTAATCGGTTAGTCTTCGAGTCCCATATTATTCGGAATGCAAATTAAGAGATAACCCAACGCCTAGGGATCTCTTAGACTACTTGACAAGGCTGGTAGACAAGCGAGCCACTGATCCAACAGACGATCTCATCAGTACACTCATCATGGAACAGGTAGGACGAAGCCAGATATCGTTGAGTATTATCTATGTACTCGGCTAAGTGCGGCAGATGAATCCCGGCCATCTTGAGAAACTCGACGTCATCCAAATTGCTTTCCTACTACTCGTAGCGGGAAATGCAACCATAGTCAATATGATCAACTTGGTAAGACAAATTCAAACTGAAATTCATGAAGCTTGCGATTGATTAAACATGCCAATCTGGTAGGGCGTCGTGACGCTCCTCGAGAACCCAGCCCAGCTGGATGATCTCAAGAAGGATCCGTCACTTGCACCAGCATTTGTGGAGGAGCTTTGTCGGTATCACACTGCCTCGGCACTTGCTACTCGGCGAGTCGCGAAGGTCGACATTACCTTAAGAGACCAAGTAAGCCGCTTCTAATTGGCCAGCGTCCGGGACTGGCAAGGTATCTAACATGACGTATTGTTTTCAGATAATCAAAGCAGGCGAGGGTATTATTGCCTCGAACCAGTCTGCTAATCGTGACGAGGAAGTCTTTCCCGACCCGGATACCTTCAACCTGCACCGGAAGATTGACTCGGTGAAGAACCTCGCGTTTGGGTTCGGAGACCATCGCTGTGTAGCTGAGACGCTGGCTCGGGCCGAATTAGAAGCAGTCTTTGGTGAGTAGGAAAGAGATGAAAGAAGGCAGTAGGATATGCTAATGTGCCATATAGCCTCTCTCTTCCAGAAGCTCCCGAATCTGAAGCTCGCGATTTCGCACCATGAGATCAAATATTCAGCTCCGCACAGAGATGTTGGAATCGTCGAGTTGCCGGTTGTTTGGTGATTGATTTAGTACTATTTTACTCTTCAGGTCGAATACAGGAAGATTGCCAATGCAGTAGTAAATGGTGAAGCCATTTTTTCCAGTATGACAGTCTCACTTCATGTTCCTCATGAAATTATTCATTATAATAGCTGTATAATCCCTAGGTTTCCATTGCACAATGTCATACCAATGCAGTGCAACCTTTCTAGGGTCGACGCAGAATAGTGATAGACTGGCAAAATGTTGAGGCCGTAGCTGCTGCAGGCCGAAAATAAAAACGCCATCAATAGTACTTAAGGCGGAGTTCAGGTAGGGCTGAAGCGTAAGACATTAGAGAAAGCAAGAAAAAGTGCAAAATAAGACTTAACAGTATTTGATTTGACTTAATCAAGGGGTTGGTCTTATACGGATATCAACTTGAAGAAAGGTACTAACAGATCGACAAGACTTTTTATTTCTAAGACCAGTCACGGATACTCCTCTCCCAAGGTATGTCTAAAGCTGGTCAACTTGGATAGCGACAATCTTCGCACCCTCTGTAATTGTCCCGTTGACAGGAGCTGCCAGTGCTCCCGATGTAGCGACATAGAGGATTTTGTCGTTTTCTCCAAACAACGCACTTGTAGCACCGGCGACGGTGAGCTGGGTTTTCGCCCCAATGATTTTCTCCACAAGCCCGTCGCGATTCAGCTTTGTGACAATGTTCTCGAAATTTCCCGTCACGTAGATATCCCCGGTCGCAGTATCATACGTAAAGTCGTCACCCCAGACGCCAGTTGCCAAAGTAGTATAAGGACCGATCGCGCGTCCGTTGACGGGGTCGATCTTCACTCGACTGAGGGTCTCCTTCAAGCTGTTGGTGTAGTACAAAAATGTTTCCCCGTCGATCATTACAGTGTGGATACCATTCAAGCCCAAGTTGGTCCCAGCTGGTGGCTTCATGGTCTCGTCCTGGTGAATAACTTCGTAGTCACCAGTTTCGGGGTTCAGTCTATATACCGTGCCCTTCCAGCTATCTCCAATGAGAAGGGTGCCGGTGTGCTTGTTCAACACGGTTAATCCATTCAAGAATCCCGCCTCGGGGATATCCGAGATCTTCTTGGCAGAGACACGGTCGGAACGAGCGCCAGAGAACCATACGTCCCAGACGGAGTAGCTTCCTGCGGAAGGCTCCTTTGTTTCGAGGCTGAAGTTCCCAACGACAACTGCGAAGTGATTCTTCTTGAACTCTGCGATTCCTAGGGCGCCAGTCACACCGGGGAAGGATTGAATGAGCTTGGCTGATGGCGTTCCAGCGCCAGGGCCGCACCGAGATTTGGGGGGGTAATTTGGTAGATGGCAGGGATGTCGAGTCTGGTCGCGAGGATGCTGTTGAAAGGACCCGTCTCGAGGTTTTCAAGCCACGCGCCATGAGGAAATTGGTAGAGGGTTGAAATAGAATTCTTCAGCTCGCCCACGCTGAGGGCGACGAAGGAAAAGGCCAGCAAGGAGCCAAGTATTTTCGAGACCATTGTGCTTCTTCGGATGTGTCTGATGATAGGAAGAAAGAAAAAGAGGACCTGGCTATTGAAGGATGGACCCTATTGGATTCCTAAGGAAGCAGCATCTCTTATATAGAAGCTCGCGTACAGAGACGTCAGTCATGCTTCGCAGACAGATCCATAAACATGAGATCCGCTGTTTAACTGAGCTTCTATCTCCAAGCTTACCAAACCAGCTACTAATCATCCGTCAGCATCGGGTACAAGAGGCTGACGACCAAATAGGCACTGTATTGCAGAAAAATATAATCCTTCAGATCTCTGTCTGGGGTCGATCTGAGACAATTGATCATGATCTTGCGCGTAATCTGAGACTGGCGACTTGGCTGCCGTGTTGTAGCCGACCTTCCATTCGACGGCGGCGCAGAGGAGGGTCAGAAGGAACCAAAATAGCTTATTAAATGTTTACTAATGCTGCATAATTCTGGCCCATCGGTTTGGTGGACTTCGTGATAATGGTTTGTTCGAGCCAACCGCTCGCAATCTGTAGTGAACCCCGGAGCCCACCTCTCCTTGGAGGATAAAAACGACTATGTACCTACACCGGAGAGACATTAAGAGGTACCGATTATTACCATGGCTCCTGGCCCCTGGTCCGTTTCCAGGAAATTTACCATGGACTTGGATCCGTCATCTGTGTGCTCAAGGTTGGTCCCAAAATTTGGGAACGGAGAGTCCAAGAGAGACCACGACTTCCACTGACCGTGGCGTCGGGACTGGTCAACCGCTTACTATTCAGCTTTGCTTGACGTGAGATACTGGCATATTCGTGAACCACGGCTGCTCCTCCTGGTTTATTACTATTGTCTGGACCTTCAACACTTTTCCCTGCTATTTATTGAATCCCTGAACTCTCCACTTGACTGTGCCCGGCGGCCACCAGGACTTCCCATCCTTCATCATCAAGCAAGGATATAGTTAAAATTGAGCCAAGTGTGTTGAGACAAATGTGTGGAGCTTCCCTATTCCGAGCTGAGTACTTTGAATTCCTCCAGGCCTTGGTAAGTTTGTCTCGCGCACATCATATTTGCCCAGCACGACATCGTCTAATCTACCACCCGACAGCATGCATTATGCCGTCGAATCACGAATCGCATTGCCTACGGTCAATTTCCGAATGGCGATCTACGGACCAACGATTTTCAACAGACGCAATAGGTATCTAGACCACTCTGGCAGGACCCTTCACGGTCGCGTCCTACTCCATCCCTGTCGCCCCCACGGTATTAACCGCTGTCAATGACCGGGGGCTCTTAGCAAAGTCACTTTGGCTGAAGGGCCTCCAGTATGAGGATTTATACAAGCTCATTGTCGGCAATCACGTCGAACTTCTATCGCTTGTGGAAATAGCCTTTTGGCCTTTGCACAGCCAAGACCCTAGTCGGCTATTTTTGGTACCTGCAATTGAGACATGCTTCTTCTTTCTGGTTCTTTCTTCTTCGTCGAACCTATCGTCGCAGCCTTTCTTATCCTCTCTTATCTTTTTTATCACAATCTCATGGCGACTCAGGCCATGCGGAGAGATCATGGGCCGTTGATAGCTCGACTCCGCGAGATCCACTGTAGCATGGAATGTTACCTGGTTCTGCTCTCTGGATAAAGTGGCGACATTTGTCACAAGCCATGTAAAGTTTGGCCCCAATTTTGAGCCACTCAGTCTACAGAGCAAATCCTAATTAGGTTAATGGTCTGCGTTGGTTGTGGCATGCATTTAGTCCTTTCTACAGAAGGTCATGTCTTACCAACGATCACAGTCCTAGAGTTACCGCTACCTGCAGAAGAACTATTGCGAGATCCTCCTAATATCGCTTCCGTTGTTAACAAAGAGCGACCTGGAATTCAAATACAATCAATCACTGCTCTCTTTTCCGTAATCGCTCCCGAGTCAGAATCCGTCTTATCTGAGCCGCCCACTGAGTTTCCTTCCTCAGAGATGTCTAAAAGCCCGTTGCGTCCTGGACCCTCGAAAGAAGAGCGCGGCTTCATGTTTGTTGATTTTCAGGCTGACGTGTCTCAAGCTATTGGAGTCGGGAGGCAGAAAAAGGCCTTCCTTTCCAAACTTGCTCATCAGAGAAGGAAGCAAGAGTCCATAAATAGGCTGAAATACTCTCGACCCTTTCGGAACAACATCTCGCAGGAGGGGAATCCACCCCAGCAGACAGCCCCTTCGGAGGCTAACTCAATGCAGGCCCCAGCGAAGCATGAAATATGGTCATTAACAAGATACGTTGGCCAAGGTTATGTGGATCCATTTGACACTTATTCAGTGCCCATGACGGATGCCATGAACATGTATTTCTATCATTGTACGTGATTCAGTAATGGTAGCCGGTGGTAAGAGCAAATCCTAAATGCCTTCACAGACCGAGTTCGGGTCGTCTCCTTTGCGTATCCTCTCGATGCTGCTCGGATGAGTATTTTCTGGTCGCGGAACGCAGTCGTTTCGCCCGCTTTGCTGCAGACTTTCCTCTTCCTGGCTGCCACGCATAAAGCGGCTCTGGAGTCCAATCAAGGGGTCTCGTCCCAGGTTATTCAAAAGACTTTCAGAGATTCCATCCGTTTCCGGGTTAATGCCATCAGAATCTTAAACGACCTTCTCCAGGATCCCACAACAGCGGCAGCAGAATCTACCATAATGCTTGTGGGCGCAATTATGGCATTCGAGGTATGTGTGTTTTTCTCGTTGATAAGACTGTCCTAGACTTTGCTAATGATTCTTTGGTCTAGGCACTCAATGCAGAGTTCAAGTCACTGCAGGCTCATATGAAAGGCCTAAAAACACTTATAAGATTGAAAGGCGGGTTGCATGCATTGGATCATATGACGCTGTCAAAAATATACCAGTACAATGCCCTTCTCATTTCTGTGTCAATACATCCCACCTGACTCTTGACAGCAGCGACGTGGCGAGTGCGGCTCTGCAGAATTCAAGGCCAAGCTTCCCGATGGTGCCTAGATTTCGTAGCGGGATCCTGCAGGAAGCAAGAATGTTCCACAGAGGGGTTAGCGACTTTAGATCTGGGATCCCTGCTGCTCTAACCTCTCTCGGCACTCGCTTTGCCAGGACTTCCTGGTATTCCGAGCTAGATTCATCCATGAAATACACTATCGACGTATGCCAACGGCTCCTTTTGCACCTTGAGATGGCAACTATAATGCCCAATGTTGTCATGCCCACAGACAATGACCTCTACCTCCTTTTCCAACATCATCTCCTTTCCCTCCACTACCCCATTCGAAAAAATGATTTGAATGAGCCAATTCGTCGAACGCTCTTCATATACTTATTCCTGTGGGTCTCGTACTTCCAGAGCTTCCCAATTATGCAGCACCTGGTTGATGCGCTCAGAGAAAGCCTAGTCCTTAGGCTTCCATATCTGGAGGTTACCGCTCCCGACTTACTATTCTGGATTCTCTTCATTGGAGGCATGGCGTCGCAGGGATACAGCTCCCATCCGTGGTTTGTGGTTCATATTAGGGCCATGGCGGTTCGTCTTGAGCTGGAGCAATGGGACAAGGCCCGACCTGTACTCATGGAGTTTTTCTACACTGGTCAACCTGGACAGAAGGAGGCGGAGGACTTGTGGAATGAGCTGCTGGCCCCTTCATACCCTTATATAGCTCCCAAAACTGCGTTGGCGGCTCTCGAAATCCATCGGACGAATTGAAGTTCAAATCTTATTCATTGACCCATGCGAGTATCTACATCGTTGCTTGTGGCTACTTGGGCGAAATTTATTGGCTTTCCCTACTTACTAGGTAGGTGATGGTATGGAATATCGTGTATGTGTTTTTTTCGCTCTTCAGATATGGTGGCTACTGGGCTCTTCAAGGGCACCATATCTATAACCCTCTGCTTACCGGTTCTTAAACCTAGCTTGGATCTGTAGCGATAGCGTCAAGTACGAGCATAATTAAAAGATTCTGAGGAAGGGCATGCAAGAAAATGACACAAAAATTGAAAGAGTCGCTGAGGGTTATCTAGTTAGTTTCTATAGATTAGCATAGGTAATGCCTAGGTCTGTATCAAACAGTCCATTAAGTCATCCACTTCTAGTGGGTCGAATTTGAAAGTGTTGCACTAGCTAATTCTTCAAGGTAGCCCTGGACGTCGTCAAAAGGGAACTCATCCTCAGGCAAAGCCGCCGCTGAATGCGCACCCTGAAGTCGTTGGAGAACAGCAAATATCATGCGCCATTGCTGACGCAGATTTTTGACCTCGACTCTAAGGACGACGTTCTCCTTGACAAGCCGCGTGACGTCGCTGACCGTCTGGGTGTGCTGTTTTAACAAGGCTTGGTACTCGTTGCGGAGATCTTCGGCGTTTTTCTGCAGAAGCTTCTTCTGCTGCTCTTTGCGTTCGCGGAACCTGCGTTGAGCTTCTCTGTTTTGGACTCGGCGTTTGGCCTTGCACAGATAACATTAGCATTCGAATAGACTTGCAAGGGATAGGTTGCATACAACCTTAGGTCCACTCGCTTCAGTATCTATCGAAGAAATTGTAGGAGAACTTGTAGGACTGGCTGTAGATCTGCTAGGCGGCATACCTGTCCCCTGGTGCCCTTGAAAGGTTATATAATTACCCTTCGCCGCTCAGTCAGCATTAAGAGAACGACGAAGACGTATATGGGTGGGTTTAGAACGCTACCAGTCCGCAGATCAGGCCTAGTGGCAAAGAAGGGTGGTTCATTTCGGGTATGGACGGTGAGGGTCCTGGGGTTGCAGTGGGACCGCCGAAAGTCAAATGAGATTGATACTCCATTCTTGCATCCACCGCTGCTTCTCAACGACAAAAATCAAGGAAATGAGGACTGATGATAGAATGTTGATGCCTATCCACCCGCGAGGATATACCCAGCGGTTATATACTACGTGGATTGTTATACGGATCAACGGTTAAGATATACCGTTTACTGTGAAGCTTTTCGCCAAGATCACTTGCTATAGCGGGATTTCTGCCCCAGGAGCCGAGGACTGTGCCACCTGCCAATCAGAGATAATTGTGGCGGCCCTGTATTTGGTATAGCGTACTACACAACTCTTCTCTGCTAAGGGTCGCAGAACTCCGAGGGTCCTCGAAATGCTTACTAGGGTCTCGTTGAATACTTATTTACTTAGGAAGGTCCAACAGACTCTTATCAAGCCACCTCGTCTCTTGCCTTGTGTTTCAGCTGGTTGTGGTCTTTTCGAGCTGCTGGTGGTTGTGTCTCAGTGGGATTCTTATAATCCCACTAGCTCGCTGACACGTATCTTCTTACGTTACTCCTTCATATGACAGTGGCCCCTCAGATAAGGGGAATGAGCCGAGTACATCCTCATTTTTCAGCAATCTTCTGTCTTCTCATATTCTTGGTCGTGGCTAAAGGTTGCAGTTAGCTGCCACTTAGGTCCTAGCTCCCCTGGTAATCCTGGGTCATCACATCAGGCGCTCTTTTCACAGAGATTACCCTTCGAGCGGTCCATCCACAATGCAGCATCGGGGCGTTACTCACGAGAAGCAACGTTTAAGTGATATCAGCTAGATCCTGTGGCTAACTTGAATAGGAAATTGGTAACAGCCGATCCTGATGCTGGAGAATCATCAGCCTCTCCAGTTCGCTTCTTCCTGCATCCCCAGTCTTTGCATGTGTCGTCGCTTATATAATAGCTAGTTTGATCGGAGTTGGACCGTGGTCTTTTGGTCTGCTGGCTTGAGGAGGGCCTTGTTGGGCTAGAAATCAAAAAAATGTACGACTTCACGTTAATGTCAGGAACCTGCACAGCTGTAGAAAGGATTGAGGAAAATGCAACACTACATACCACATTGAAGGATGAAACCAACAGAGTGGCACAGGGAGCCTGAAAATAGGACCTCTTCAGCTAACGAGTACATATGTGTTCTTAGATACTAAGAAGGACATGGTGTAGGTACCATGATATAGGGGAAAAAATTGAATCGTTTTCAAACGCGAATGTCAAGGCAGGTACTTGAAAAAATCTAGTAAACAGCATATGGAATCTAAATCACAACTTCAAGCTTAAATCGCCTCGTCTTTTTCATCCCGTCGTCTTCAAATGTGTATAGCCCTCGTCCAGATGACGTTCTGCAGAATCTTTATACTTGGCCGCGTACAAATTGGGATCTAAATTCCTGGTTGAGGTTCCCCAGGGTATGATTGGCTTCATCCACGCAGATATACAGTAGGAGATCTTCCATAGTTCTGTTTCCCTCCGGTATTTTCCAACAATACACGGCGATCTCAGGAGCTAACAACTTCTCCCATTGAGGTAGCTTACCCGCCTCGAGATTCTCGATTGCACGGCTGTAGGTAAGAGCCGCCTCTTCTTCAAGGTAGCCAACGAATCGATGACAGGTCTGTGGCGATATGGGATATGAGAGGAAGAAGCCGTTGAAGAAGACACCTTGTGCCCCGAGGACAAGTAATTGCATAAGCCAGTCTTGGCCAGCTTCAAGAAAGTAAGCAGATGCATCCGCTCGTTGTACGCTTCCCCCAGAAGAGTTTCAATCCTGAGATTACAATCAGCTCTACCTTACAAGTATAAAATCAGAAACTCACCAGTCATTATCCTCTTCAAAGGCCCCAAGCTTCTCATACGCCTTAACATACCGCCCACCGTGCCTGGGACACCGGCAACACTCTCAAGGAAGATGGATCGGGCAAGCCACTTCTTCTCGGTCATCTGAATCTTGGCGTGACGTTTGTGGCCTGGAACAAGGCGTCTATATCGAGACACCAGATCCATCCCCGGCGCAACACCCTAACGCAACCAAAAGCCACGCGGTCAGCCCAGCTTTTGGCGTCGCGATGGCCAACAGCGGCAGCATGCATCTGTTCTTCTGTGTACCTGGTTGCGTCGCGTTATTAGGAAAGCATGATATGGGCAAAAGAATATGGCCGAGGTCGTAGCTAGACTTACACCGGAAGAACCCATGCTGTCTCCACAGTTTAATATGGGGTGCTGTCCGCAAGGGAAGAAAAAGTTCGGCTTGTCACGAAGCGCTGAGCAATTAACCGGCTGATGTCTATTGGAAGACCACGTGGGATACGAAGGATAGCCGTTCTCCATGCATATAGAAGGAGATAGGGCTTTGAATTGCACCGACCGCCCGTGCGGGTGTTGCTATCACCGAATTCATATCGAGAAAGACGAGTCGGTTTTCAAATCGTAGCGATTCGATAGGTACCTGATGATCATAGTTTCAAATGGCGTATAAATTTCGGTCAGACCTAAAGCCAGACACACCTAACGAGAAAAAGATCATACGATGCGGAGCCACAATTCTTTTAGTAAAGACGATAATATCCTCAACTCGTCAACCCTGGCGAATGAACCGTTCAGCAAGCTTTAATTCCAAAGCCGAGAACTCGGCCGATTATCATAATAGGAAGATATGAGACAAGCGATCTGAGCTCATCCTTGGCTGAAATTAAGCCAATCGAGAACAAGGCTCGACTCCTTGCTTACTCGCTGATGTTACTTTAGAACGCCTCTGCTGACGAAAGCTCTTAGTCAAGCGGGTCATTATCCGAGACGGCTGATGGTACGTATCCCTGGAACCCATTCGAGACCGTCATCCCCTGGCGGTAAATGACTGCAACGTTCTAGATTCACGCCTTTAATCTATCCCCGTATGAGACGTTCTGAAAAGGAACCGCGAGAGAGGAGCTCGCTTTGCTTCGTAGATGGTCGTCGTCACCATGACAGTGTCTCCATTTGTTCCCTCACCGAGGGGTCCGGTATGTCCTGCAGATGCACGCCAACAGAATGCCCTCGGGCGCCATGGAAAGAAGAAATACTATTTGCGCGAATTATCAGAACTCTGACTTCAAATATGCTACAGTAAAGCTATTCAGATCTAACAAACACCCAGCGATCACTTCCTTGTCCTGTAAATGGAACACCAAGCTCCAAAAGTTTGACAAAAGCATCAGCGAATTCCCGAAAGAAGACATCGCTGTCTCTCGCATATCTTTCGACGTGTGGCTTGAATTCCGCGTCTTCAATGAGAGCCATATCAGTCGGTAGCATCATGAGGGTCTTCGTAGTTTTGTCGGTATATTGGAGAGGCCCATCCCATTCTCGCTTCAGCCACTCCTCTTCAACCAACAATCGGAAAAACTCGTTCGTAAACACTGTCGGGCTAAAGTCCCAGGGCCCTTCATATCCCGTCCGGTCTGTGTGCGCACGTCCAAGAGCATGAGCACCGCTGAGCGCCACAATCTCGCGATCGTCGAAGCCCATGCGGTAGAATATAGCTCGAAGGTGCGTTGGACCCTTGGACGCGATTGGCAAACGGCCGTCTGGTGGGCAAGCTGTGCTGTCGGCGTCTTGTCGTCCTGGCCTCCATGGTATCGTTGGCCCCCCTAGTTCTTGCACTGCTGTGACACCGGCCAACGTCCAGAGGTCGGAATAGGTGATCCACGGGAACATCTCTGTCGCTAGTTGTCAGTACACGTTTCTTAATAGTATATTGAACTGACACTTACTCCTGACCGGCTCCAGAAATTCTCGCGCATGAACCAGGCCCAAATTTGCGCTGTGGTCGGATTCCGGCGCGAATCTCATCGTTGCCCGTTACTCCCTCCGGTTCTGGTCGTTTTATCATAGGTACCACTGGTATGCCACGAAAGACGTAGTAGAACCTGCCGAGAGCATTTCAAATTGTTACACCCAAGTAGCTTTGGATTATCGTATCGTCATGACAAAGTAATACGGAGTTACTCACAGGTCCATAACTCCCATCATCATACTCATCCATCTCAATCAACAGCCGGGCGATCTCATTGTAGACATTTTGGTAATCTTCCTTGGACGGAACAAAGGTAGTTTGAATACTGCCGAACTTTTCTTCACTCATGAAGAGAAACGCACTTGTGCCGCCCAAGGCAACACCAGCACCAAGAAGAGCCCATTTTGAGTGTGGACTCGAGGCAGAGGATGGCGCGCTAGTGAAGCCGCGCTTGAAAATATAGGCTTTCGTTTGAGTAAAGACGAAAGCAGTGTGATTATGCAGACATAGTCTGAAGTAAAGCCCACTAAGCGAGAAACCCAGTGGCTGCGAAATAGTTCTTCGATAGGGCAACATATCCTCGATCTCAGGAAATCAGGGACAGAGAGGGAGTAAGGGTGCAGAACAGACAATAAGATGGAGAGAAACAATCTATATACTCTACTTAATGTCGGGATAACAGTTCTTGCCTTATAGATGTCCACCTTTTCTCGTCAGGCAAGGAGAAATAGACAAAGGAGTAGTAAAGAGTGTGACAGTCCCGTCATCCTCCATAACAAGTCTTGGGATAGGCAGTCTAGACCCTGCAATCATGGGTAGCTCGGAGAGACAGCGAGTCGAAAGAGTCAAGCCTAAGGTACTGGTCAGAGTAGAAAACTAAATTCTCGAACGTAGTTTATGTCAGCCTCATCCTTGCTTACGGTAAGCTAATTAAATGCAATACGGCAGTGGCTTAATTTTACTAAGCTTTCAACACCGTAATATTTAGTCATTGATGCATAATATTCCTTCGTAGCAGGTGGCTGCCAGCCCCGTGATGGTACATCGCTCAATGGGATGGTCAACCTATGTTCTGTGCATCGTATCTCCAGCAATCAGGATTCTTGTTAACAGTCTTGAGGTTGGTCGACAGCTCAGCTCAGACCTGAAGAAAATGATATAAAGCAACGATATTTCCTGCATTTGAGACTATCAAATTTTCGGAGCGTACGATTCAGACATTTTTCGACCAGTCACTACAACAAAATGGCCCTACAAATTCCACGTATCTTTTCTCAGGCGGTCCCCCGTACTCGCAGGAGCCCCATCATACCCACCTGGGCCAGCGCTAGGCGATCGTTCTCTGCTGAATTCTCCCCTCAAACCTACGCCCCAGACGCGCAGTATAGCTCAAATCACGTTTCGAAACTCCTTAAAACCTCTATCCTCTCTGAGTTCTCCGAGCAGGAAGCCAAATCCCGAATTGAGTTGGCTGCCTGTTATCGGCTCTTTGGGCTGAAGGGTTGGAACGAGAACATTTACGGCCATTTAACCGCCAAAGTCCACGAAGACGACGGCTCGGAGTCTTTCCTCATCAATCCTTTCGGCCTTCTTTACAGCGAAATCACCGCAAGTAGTCTGATTAAAGTCGGTGCGGACGGATCAGTCAAGCATCCTGGAGTTACAGGCGGCTTGTTCGGTATCAATGACGCGGGTTTTGTTATCCACAGTGCAATCCATAGGGCCCGACCCGATCTGCAGAGTGTCATGCACTGCCATTACCCCTCCGCTGCTGGTGTCTCATCTCTTAAGCAGGGCTTCCTCGAGCTCTCCCAGACCAGTCACCAAGTCGGCCCGATTGCGTATCACGACTATCAGGGTGTGGTTGTCGATCGCAATGAACAAAAGAGCTTAGCAGAGGACATGGGCGATAAGAACATCATGTTCTTGCGCAACCACGGCGTTATTACCGCTGGCGCTTCTATTGGAGCTGCCTGGTACCTTATGTACCAGCTCCTTGCGGCCACTGACATTCAATCTCATGCCTCTGCTTGTGCTTTGGGAGACGCGGAGAATCTAAACATGCCCAGTGACCGGACCGTGACCAAGACCTACGAGGTGATGCATAAGAAGGGCTTCTCTGGTGCTGCCTATGGACTCAAGGAGTTGTCTGCCTATATGCGCCTGCTGGACAAGCTCGATGGCTCCTACCGCACTTGATCTCGGTGTTATGTAGTTGATCAGGGCGACGCGAAGGGTAGTAGCGCGGTGATAGTGGAAATATCATGTTTTTTTTTTTTCTCATCTTTGGACTGTGTGCGTAGCACTCTATCCTCCTCCCATGCATGTAATACTAAGACCCTTCTAGTGGATTAAGGAGGACCCACGACCTCACTTCGGTACCAGTATCGCATGTTAGGTCAAATTCGGGCCATTTCTAAGCTGAAAAATAACATATGGGCTACAGTACGCAAGATTAAATGTAATCTTCGGAGTTCTTCCCTCATCTAGCCCAAGCATCTAGCAGACATTGCTGTTAGCTTTTGGAAAAAACTGTCTTGCAGGCGTATACTATGGTAGTAGTACTAGAGTCATGGAAGGACCCGCTGACAATGCCTTCTCGGAAATGACCCTAAACCACGCAGCATCCTGGGAGAAGACAGACTAGTGCATAGCATTCTCCATTATGAGGCTGGGCATGCCCCTAAGGAAAGATGGTAGGATATCCTGAGCGCCGAACTGACACCCTCCTCGCTAGTACGACTCATTTATAATAAAAATTGGGCCGAGATTTCTTCAGCAAGCCTACTCCTTTTAAGAAAAATCCTCTACCGCTCAATAAGCTCTGTAAGGGAACCATAAATACCTACCAGAGTGTCGTCGTTTACTATACATGAGTATATAAAAAGTCCAGCTTTTAAGAAAAAGGAAGACGTATTTCGAGCCCTTGGCCATTGTCCTTGCGTAAGTGATTCCTCTGCTAACCAGCAACTTATATAGTGGCTCATGTATTTCTAGCTCTGCATTGGTCATAGTTAACTTGAGTGCTCACCTTCAACAATGCTCTTCCTATCTGTCTGAAATGTCGGTCTTTTAGTCCTTGGGGCCTTGGTCGCGATCAACCCTATACTCAGCGGTGCTCGCGATGTTTCGGTACCCTTGGACCCGCTTGGCCCGCTCAAAGTCGCCCTTGACTATGCCCTTGCAACAACTTGGCCAGAGGAGCGACGTCTTACCAACGTCCAGCGCAATTTGCAATTTAGCAGCCACATCGTGTTCGTAAGTCGCGTCGGGGATTCTGATGAGGAGAACCCTCCAGTCTCAGACGGACAACTCTGGCAAATCGCGCGAGATGCGGTCGATTTGAAATGGTACAAGACCAAGAGCAGTATGCCATCAGCAAAACAAAAGAACCCAAGGCCATGGGGATTCTGGCCTGGGGCAATGAATTCATCATTGCCTCCTCTATAAGGGGAGCGGGCCATTTCTCCTATGACTTTCTCAAAGGCGAGACAGCAGTCAGCGAAAGTCTTCAGAAATGCCAGATACTCTAGCGAGATATCAGCTTACCTGACAAAGAAGACGAGAATACACAAGAACAACAGTAGTTGCGCAGAGCCTATGGCAGCCCACCTATACTATAAAAATAACGGAGCCAACATGAAAGGTTAAAAAGCAAAGGTTGGCACGTGGGTCAAACGCAGAAAGGGTAATTAGGAACCAACAGATCCATGTGGAACTGACAGTGAGGTAACTAACTAATATCCTCATGGTATGTCTTTCCCCAAAGACCAACTAACAAATGTGCAGGACCTTTGGGGCTGCAATCTTTTCACACAAGATCAGGGGCTCAGGGCCATTAGTACAAGCACACCCACCAGCGCCATACACGCTGGCAAACCTTGCAGGAGGCCCGACCAGGATCGAGCAGATTCAGTTATGCGGGGGTCAACCCAGAGTGTTTGTTGGTTAGGAAAGGACTGGCCATCAGAGATAATTTAGTATTAAATAGTAGTCCGAAGAGATATCGGTGGCAGAATCATCAGATCATAACTGGAGCTATGATTGCGTTGTACCTACCTACTCGACTCCTTCTCCTTCAATTATTTGAACCTGGATTCCTGTCTGGGCACCTATGTCTCTGAGCGCCTGTATCATCACAGGGTCAAACCCCCAATCCCGCACTGGTATCTCCTTCGTCAACAGACGAAATCCTTGGAGGCAAGGTGTGGATCTCTTCCAATCTTGTAGCCATGAGCAAATAGCTCCCAATAGGTATTCAGTCTCGCAGTCCCATTCCCATTCTCGCTGGAGACATAGGTCATCAGTGACAGTCAGCCATTAGATGTTTTTTGGAAGAGCTTCCTCTAGGCAAACCACATTTAGCGCTGATTGGGAAAATCCACGCAGAAATAGAAGTGGAACTTCCAATCTTTTTAGCATATAGAGTCTACTAAAAGTTTTAAAAGACCCACTAAATGTGAGCTTTGGGAGTTCAGGGTCTGCTTATAAGACATCTAACCTTGCTGTAATAGTCAAGTCTATCAGAGTCTCTTGAACATGAGATAGATCCGCGGCGATTTTATCTAAATTAATAATATCTGTGATAAAATGATCTTTAAGATCTGGGCGGTAGTACCAATCCTATTAAAGCTTCCAGAGCCCTTGGGTTACTAATAATACTTGACTAAGATGCCCTTCGCGCAACATTGTCAAGTTAAGTGATGTAAGTCTTAATAGATTTAGCAGATATTTCCCAGGCCAAATGAAAGTAGCAGGGTTATTGATAAGAGCCTTTATCCATTCAACTAAAGGCAAGTAAAAGAGGGGGAGGACATCAGCCATGTTCCTAACATCTATGTATTTGCGAATGTTGAGACCAAGGTCAGGATACACAGCTGACACATCTTGGAGATGTATAAAGGAAGGAAGATGGCAATCTTAGGATTCCTTGCAGAGGGCTGAACAGAGCATTATACCCATGAAGTAGCTCTCTCAGGCAAAATTCTCACCTAGGTGGAAGCATCTCAGACTGGGGAGCTATGATAATAAAAGTGTGATATATGCATCCATTATGCCAGCGCGCAATTCTTGGATCCATTGTTCAGCATATGGAATGCAGATCCTTTTAATGCATTTCACTAGCTCATCTAAGACTACTTCAGTAACTAGGAGTTTAGGACTTTTCTGTTTATAGTTATGCTAGCTAAGGTCAAAACTATCCCCATTAAGGATCAAAACATGGATAAAACTAGTGAGCTCTAGCCTGTGCACAATACTTCGCAAAAACTGAGTAACTGGTGGGTTCTGAGAGTTTGTCCATGTCCATTGAACATAGGCGTAGAGGAAGGGCTCAGCAATTATGTGGGACCTTTTATTAACAAGGCATAGTGCATGGAGTTCAGCAGATGATAGTAACTGGAACACTAAGTGCAATATTTCCGCTGGGCAGCTATTTAGGCCGGATGCTGCTTGATGTTTCTAGTGACATTAGTAATAACCTTGTAAGTACCCGCATTGACCACATACAGGTTTCATTGCCAATGACTGCATTAGAATACATTCACTGCTCTTTCGTGTATGCGTGCGCAGAGAAGATTGAGGGACTGGGTACACGAGAACTGATGGATAAAGAAAGGAAAAGTGAGAAAGGTGTCAGGAAGTCTAAGTGGTAGTTGCTGTAACCCTGACCTTGATCCTCCGTCGCTATTGATTAGTCTAGGAAAATCCGGCTAAAAGCACTACTTGCCCCACCAAGTTGTGAGACATAGGGCTAGGAGGTGCGGGGTGATGTTGCTGGGCCGGCCGAATCCCGATTTCAGGGTTCTTGGCAAAAGCCTGGAGGAAAAGGGTAATACCTTATCAACATAAGATCCAATTCTTAAACCAGAAGCTGCATCTGAGGGGAGGTGGCGTGGGAGCGACGAGGGTGGTAATCCAAAGTTGTAGTTCAATATGAGTACAAGTACCTGTCTGTACGTAAATTACTACGTAGTGGTACTTACTGGTTTTTATGGTAGTGAACGCTATCTGCTTCCGCTAAATCTGACTGCTTACCCGACCAACACGCATAAACTAGTATCTTTTGACTTTTGTGTCATCGAAAATATCGAATTACCGAGGCCCACCCTACCTACATACCACACGAATAAAGGGTGATTAGAGAGCATGCGTGTATGCATGGAAAGATGCTCTCTTCTGACAAGAGCAGAACATACGCAAGAGGCCATATATCACAAGAAACTATTCTTCGAAATACCTCCCTTTTAATCATCCTAGGCCTTGATTAATCATGAAATGGGCATAAAATTTCCTGTGCTGAAGACAAGTTAGTTCCCTTATCACCTATATCCATGCTAAACTAGGAACAGAACTAATAGAGTTATAATTTAACCGAAAGCAATATATATTACCATGTATTTGGCCTGTCCGGTGAATATTTACAGGCTGGACTGAGCAGAAATTAGCTCTGAATTAGGAAACTTGCAGAAATATCCAGTAGTGTTTATTACGGAAACGGGGCTATTGCCAAGCTAAGAGAAGCTATGGCTTAGCGAAGCTTAGTCTCGATCCTCATCAGCGTCTGATTGCTCAAGTCTCACAGCAATACGGAGTAAGTATCTTTCTGGACAGCCCTACTGGTGCTATTGCCAGCCCATGGCTCATGCACTGAAAAATTCTCTGCATGTCCTCTGAGACAGTGCCAAGAGTTAGGCCACTACTCCCAAGCTAACAGCTCTTACAGTCGGAGCAACGGATAGGACTGGACCTGCCATCAAGCTAAGATACTCCTTTTCAAACTATAGTAGTACTACGTTTTTCGATCTTCCGTGACCCACCCTCTGGCTCTTTCTCGGAGATTGTGTTTGAGGACGGCTGTGGATCTTGTCTGATACTGTTCACTATCTCCGACGGACCCGAGCATACATTTTGATTGCCACATGGTCGACAGTGGACCCCTCATGCGTTTTGTTCAACGGTCGACCGCTAGGATGATATCTAGTCCGTGTTGCCCATCAATTTACTGGTAGGTGTCTCCACAGTAGTCGGAGCATCGGGAATCCGAAGAAGCAATATGTCTATGTCGGAGGATTTGGAGCATACACAGGGATCTTAGTTCACCAACACCTCCGTATCTCTCACCAAACACTCTCATTACCTAACTGCTATGGTCTTGCTCAGTACCCTGGTCTTCATAGACAGTAAATCTCTTTACGGATGAGAGCAAGATATGTAGTGGTGCTACTAATCTTGCCGCATCTCTGGCATGTAACAAGGACTACGCTGCGAGATATGGACATTGGAGCATTCCTCTTTGTTGCCTCTCCAAGTTCCTATTATCCATTGCAGTCCTTACAGGATTCTTCAATGACCATTATAACCTCATGCGTAGGATCATTTGGCTACAACCATCAAGACCATCTTTCTTCCTCTTGTGTCTCTTATTTCTGAGTTCAACGGTAATAGGCTGCATGCCAAGGAACTTTAGCTCAATATCTCTCCGCTTCGCATTTCTCTACAGCCTGTACGGTCCTCGATAATATAGACCTTAGTAAGCCATTAATCCCTCCATTACTTCTGTCACTTACAGTTGGTGGATCAGCGGCTAAGTGTTAAGGAAGACTGGTCACTGGTTTTATGATAGACGTAAGAGCTTAGGCTGCTCGGGGAAGCCGAAGCACACTAAGCGTTAACATGGTAATGTGAAAGGCTAATGGGCCACGAACTGTGTATGGAAAGCCCAGAGAAGAGAAGGAGCGGAACAAGCAAAACACTAATAGAAGTAATCAGTAGGCAGGGGATGACTGAGGAGGTGTAGAACGGGAGTGTGTAGATAAGAGTATATGGCAAGCAGGTCTAACCCCTTACATTTACATCTAATCATTTGCACCATCCATATGTCCCTAGGTGCATACTGAACCGTGGGCTTGTCAAGACTGAAGGAGGCTAAGTATAGCCTGGCGTGCATTGGAATGTCGCAGGGTCTCAGCTGCTTGCAACGGGGTTTTGCCACGGAATTGCGTGCCAGCTGATTGTGCTGTAGGATCTGCGCCTGCCTCCAGCAGAAGCTTAACAAGATGTGGCTTGTAAGAGTAGACAGCAGAGTGCAGGGGGTGCCCCATTCTGCAGAGGTTGTGTTAGGATCAAGACCCTTAGCTAGAAGAAATCTAATCATGAGCTCTCCTTGGCGCACGCGTGGACCTAGGGCGGTAAAGAGGAGATCTGATTCTAGCTTGGCCCCATGTGCGAGAAGCAGCTCAGGCAGGGATATATCTGCTTCATGCGTGCTCACAATAGCGCGGATGAGGGGGGTTATTCCCCTTGAGTTGGTAAGGTTGGGGTCAGCACCTTGTAAGAGTAATTCACGAGCACATGCGGGATTATGTAGAAGGCTATGACCAGAAGTTAGGCCTGGCACTAGTATACTTTGGCTAACAAGGCTGACACATACGATAGGACAGGCTCGCCGTTAGAACACCTCGAGTTGGGATCAAGGCCATGATTGAGGAAGTGGCGAACAATTCTCGGGTGCTGCGGCACCTCATCCCCTCCAGGAAGAGAATCCACTGTCCAAGGTGAGACACTAGCGCCAGCGTTAAAGAGCGCAGCCACAACTTCAGGGTGGGCCATATGGGTGGCGAGAGAGAGTCCGTCATTAAGGTCATCAGTGGTTAGTCGTCCGCTGGCGAGGGCTTCCTGGGTCTTTAACAGTTCACCGGCGAAGCACGCGTCAAGAAAAGCATCAAGGAAGGCATCGTCAGGTTCCATGGTGCACGTGAGATGGAGATTTGTGTACGGTATGTTGGTAGGTTGATTCGGTAACTATTTTCGACAAACGATAAGGTACTAGCTTACATGCGTCGGGTAAGCAGTCGGAGTTGGCGGAAGCAGAGAGCATTCATGAGCACGAAAACCGGCCAATTTATATAAACGTGCCACTAGTACAGGTATGTAAATTGAATTATGACCTTGTATTCTCTCCTTCATTGGCCCCACCCACACCTCGCGCTTCTGCGCTCCTGAGATACAGCTTCTGGGTCAAGCATTAGATATTAATCTAAGTAATATATGTTCAACACACTAGCTACTACTAGCTTGGGGCGAACCGTATCTTCTATCATTCCCATAGGGCAAGAAATCTCTTCTACTACTAGCCTGGGGCTTTAAAGGTCTCTTCAATTTCGCGATAGTTACTACCAATCCGACCCATTTGGACCGCCTGTGGGATGGGCCAGGCCTAGGTTTGGTAAACAGCTGTCGCGGGCGTTTTCACGATTTTCTCGGACGACTATATACACTTTCGTCCTAAGGCTTGTTCGAACTAAGAGAGGATGGCTCTAGTAGGGAGGGTGTACACAAGTATTACGAGCCTTGCGAGCTCTGCTTGTCTCCTGTTTTTGAATGTGTCCTCGGCCCTTTGTCGGCTGCCTATGTACACTTGTTCGAGCTTCGCATTTTGCCGGAGCTCAGGAGTGTGCGGAGCCTCGGTCGCCTCTAATTCCCCCTCCTCTAAACACAAAAGACTTATTGACCTGGGATCTTGCCAGTTTAACTAATATATAATTAATACACTCATTCCAGTAAGTTGAGTTTTGTAACTTCACTCAACAGATTGACGGAAGCCACTCTCCTTTCCTTAGGACGCAATCGCGCCTCTGACACTCTTTTTCTCTCTCTCATCCTTCTCTTCTGTATACTTACTTAACCGCACTTTGCTAATGGGGTGATGATTACTTTATCATGGGCGACCTTAGCCAGTATACCACGAATGGAATGCGTGCCGATCACTAACTGTCTTCTATTATCTGCAAAAGCTTGTCCGAACAAAGCATCTAACGCCTTTTCAGGTTCCTACACCTACCCTGACGGGGTCTGTAATTGAAGTTACTGCAGTGGGGGATCCGGCAGAAAATGGGATCTTGGTATTCCTGTCTCCGGACATGGAGACCAGCCTGAAGTCTGCCATGGGTAGCAGCTGCGCGACAAGAGTCGATACGGGGTGCTACCAAGCCGTTATGAACGTCCTTGAAAGCGCCAACAAGGTTCTTCAATCCCGCAGCCTGGAGGAACGCGCTCTAGAGCCTTGTAACCCGCTTCTGCTATATGGCGGCGGTGTCTTGATTGCTGGCTTGTTATTTCCGCATGTCTACGAGAGCGACCATGTGGTTCCAGTGCCCATCAAGATCCCCCGGCGCAAATCGAGGACTCTTTCGAACTCAAAACCACTACCGCCATTGTCGTTGTAACTGATGACTCCACGCTGCAGATGAGTGTTGTCACGGCACCTCCGGAGTAACATAAAGCGACTGGGTAAGCAAACAACCAACCGCACGTCTGCTTCTGTGCTGTAGTCAATGGGCTCACGCCCCTTCGAAGATCCCCAGCAACAATTATGACCTTTGCAGGTGCCGGCAGCGGCGCAAGCGTGGGAGATGTGGGCATCGGGCTGGACTCAGCGGTGGCAGCGCAAGTTCAGATGCTACTGTCCAGATCAAGCACCAGCAACTGTGAAGTGGGCGACAACTTTTTCACTCCCTCTCTCCAGGCTTGCCAGCTGGACCTGACCCGCGTCATATGCGGTGCCAAGAACGTCCTCGCTGACGGCATCAGCTGGGACAGATATGCCGACTGGCTCCTCATGAACCCAGCAAGGTTTCCATGGACCAACGCTGAGGTTGCGGCAGTTGTAAACACCGTGGTGTAGTGGGCGCTCACTTAGGCCGATAGGCTGAACCCGACTATTACCGGACCCCAGCTCCATGGCTTGGCTGTTGGTGCCTTTGTCTTATCTTGGGTCTACTTCACTAACGGGGCTATCATACCAAAGAATATGACCCCCGCTGCATTGCTACGGGTGGCCCCAGCACCACTGTGTGCCAGGAGCAGACGGCCACCTAATGCGGCGTGGAGTGCGGTGCTATGTCCTGGGCACCTCAATTTGACTGCACACCGGCCTGCTTGACTGTCAGCTGCTACACACAATTAGCACTCACCACAACCATCATGAGCACGAATGTTACCTGTGAGAGTCTAGGGGATACAGCTGGGGCTAAAATGGCTGTGATGGGCGCCACCCTATTATATGAGTTATATGACTTATTATTTTTTCCTGGTGCTTACATGTCTAAGCTATTTACTGTGTAACTAATTATTAATATATACTGCAGGCATGCTGATATAATTAGAAAGGCAGCATGGGTTTCACTCTAAAGAATATATATATCATGCTATTTCCCATCTCTTCATTAATATCAAAAATAGGCTGGGAGAAAAGATCATAGATATTGATAATGCCTATGGGCCTCTCAAGGCCAGTGCTCTAAAGGAAAGTGGTGTAATTAGGAATGTAGATAACTACTCCTGGATAGCTATAGTAACCTTTCTATCTTCACCCTTTTCTAATCCAGCTTATTGGGAGGGTTTACTAATATTTAGCAGGAGAATTAGTGGAGTGCATCTGTCAAAAGCCCTTTTCAGGCCCGTGGGATAAGAGAGACACTATACATTTTTGCAGGTTATTCATTCTTATATATTTCGTTTGATCTCATGTATCCCCTACTTGATGTTGGATGATTTCTGTCAAACTGACCTGAGACACAGCTTTGAAATAGCTTCCAGCTTCCTAGACTATTATGAGTAGGTAGTCCTCAGCAACAATTTTGCTGCACTTATTTGTTATCTCACCCGCCAATGTTTGGCTTTCACTGAACATGATGAATAGCTTGCTAGACTTGAGCTTTATTGATTAGTTCCCAAGGGTATGGTTCTACTCTGCTTACCAACCTTATTGAGTGACAAGCATGCATTAGTGGACCCACTAATCCACCTTTCCCCGCTGCACCCAGACAACATGCTAAACCTAAACCCTAATGTCTAATGCCAAAGTTGCCTGTTTTGTAGAGCGCTGATCTAGTAACAAGCTTGTAAGATATGATGGCTTTATACCAAACAAAATGCCGGCCTAATGACTAGGATGATATGCAACGACCCTAGCAACCAGGCTGTCAGAAAGTGTAGTACAGTCGTAGCGGGCAAATCTTACCTGTGCATGCAGCACGACAACGTCGCCAGCCTCGAAACGTTTGAATTTGATCCAAGAGAGATACCGAGTAAATTTATTGATAGAAGCGTTTGACAGTACAAGGAGCAGCCTGAATATTTCAATGAGCTGGCAGTTGACGGTGCTGACCTCATCACCAGGGAGCCTGCATCCATGAGTACTATGGTCCGTGGCTGCCTAGTAGAGTGAATGACACATGTTACTATCATGCGAAAGAACCAAGTCTATGATACCACAACTGAGGGTACTGCTGTTAGTATGGTAGTCAACTAGTTCTTTAATTAGCTCCCTGTTCTGGTTACTATCTGTCCTTGGATGAGTCTTTGTGGAAGATAGCTGCATGATAAAGAAAGTATAATACGGCGATATTCCTTATATCAATAAATAGCTTAAAGATTAATAAGCTTATTATACATAGGTTTATGCACCTAATCTTATTCTGCTCGGCATAAGACAAAATGAGAGATGGCGGCATTCTGAAGGATGGAGGCTGCACGCCGGACAACCACATCAGCTAGGCTGGGCGAAGAGTAAAGACTTCAGGCAAGGCTTAAACAGGCCAAGATATAATAAAGCAAAAAAAGCATCAAAAACATACAACAGCTGGGATTCGCTGGTGGTCACCCACCCAACTACTAACCAGCCGGCGTGTGGCTTAAGTACGGCTGAGCGGACGGGAAGCCCTGTTTTCCACACCCTGTGGTCGTATGTGCTAGGTTGATGCTTTTCAGAATTTATATACAACGTAGTACATGAAAATAGTGAGCTAGCTCTGCTATGGGCTTGTGAAAGGCATGAGGCAGTGGTCAAGTTGCACTTAAACTGGAAAGTGATGTAGACTTGAAAGACCCGTGTGGTTGGAGACCTTTCCCGTTGGCCGTATTAAGTAAGAAAAAGAATGCCTAAATTCTACAACTGAAAGCTGTTGCAATTTATCAAAATATGGACTAAATTTAGACAGGTGTGTGCACCTGGTGGGTGTCCTGCTTATCGAGCCAGAAATCGAGTTTATTATGGGGAAGCCATCTGTCAGGAAAAAATTATAGTTATTAGGAATTTTAATCCGCAAAGAAAGCGTCATTAAAATTTTCTATTCGCTAGATCTGGATTGATCTATTAGATTCTGACACAATTGTTGGTGATCGTACGATCCGTCAACGGCTAAGTGGCGCCGGAAAACATACGACAATGGCTCGGCATTCCGCTCCGCTGTAGATGAAGATCAATCATATATGCGGACTACAATTCAATCCAGGACTCGGGCCTCACTAGTATTAAACTCTCTTCAATACATGGCGTAGCATTCGAAACAAACATAGTCTTCTGACCAGGCCAGATTTTAAGAAAAGTCCATATATCAGCCTTGCACACCACTACATTCCCTATTCATCTGTACACTAAGTATCCTTACAATAAGTAACGAACATCTTCACCATGCCATCTGGTTCCTGTCTCTGTCAGTCCGTCCAGTACGAATATAGCGGCGAACCTATTACCAAGATAAGCCAAAGCAGACCTTGCAGCCGCACACAAGTACATATTAACATGACACAGGCCGTCTGCCACTGTCTCACCTGCCGGAAATTCAGCAGCGGAAGTTCTGTTAATCTTCTAGTCCCCCAGGATCACTTCCACCTTGTGAAAGGGACCGCAAAGGAACACCATGAGACTCATGAGAGCGGCATGCATTTGACTCTCCACTTCTGTGGGACCTGTGGCTGTTTGCTGTACAAGACCGCAGATCGGAAGGAATTTGAGGGTGATGTGATTGTGCTAGCTGGGACGCTGGATGATCCTCACGCTCTGGATGATGCTAAACCCGAGGCGGAATTATTTGTCAAGGATCGAGCTTCGTGGTGGCCGGCGCTGGGTGATGCAAAGCAGTTGCAGGGATTTGACTGATTGTATCCATGTATGATTGTCCTGAGTCTTTTGAAAGGTTGATTGTAAAGGTTGGACGGGTAATTGATAATAATCTGAATGCTTCTCTGGCTTGAATAGTAGAGGACATACTTGCAGCCATGCTTAGCCTGTGTAGAATCTGTATCCCTATACACCTCAATGAGGACATATCTTTGATCTAAGACAATTCCTCAGAAATAGGACAGATGAAGACAGCTACTCATATGTACCACGATGCTTGTCTAACCTAGGGCCATCAGTTCAAGTGATATACATCGACCAAGACGTCAGCTCACATGGAGAAAGAGAAGCATAGAAGCAATTGACGCCCCATAAGGGCAGTTGACGTAGAACACCCCTCTCCAACTCACAACAGCCCTTCATAGGTTCAAGTGCGGCTGAGGCGACGGAAGCCCTGCCCTGTAGTCTATGTGCTAGACATAGAAGAGAACCGTCTATAAAACTCAGTCGTCGCACTACTAGTGAAAAACATCCAGCCGGTTACCAAGCTATTGCGGACTAAACGATCTTGAGGAAGTTAGAGATGCTGATATAGAGGCAATACAAAGTAGAACAATGATGCGGGCTGGACATAGAATGAGGTACACTGTACAGAAGTTCGCTGGGGCGATAAGTAGTCCCCATTAACGCATATAGTGTTCAGACTCGAGTCCACCGTTGTCATATATATCAATGAGTGCAAGTGGTGACACCGCTCTCCGGAGTACTGTAGACCAGAAGTACAGAGTACATCGGAGGTGCTTTCTGCTTCCTTTATCAACGAGCTCAGCTAGCCACCTGGCTTGGGGGTAGGGAAACGCATGGTGCCAGCTACCATCAGCGTCGGCAAGTTTTGCCTGTATTGGAATAGTGACTTCAAAATAGATTAACTAGACTAACAATGGAACTATGGAGTCCGTTACGGAGTAGTATGGTTACATTTCAGCGCAGCCATGCACTTTGTGTGCGCGGTGTGGGTGCGCTAAAATGCATAGTGTCTTTCCAGTCAACCGTTTCTAGCATAGTAGGGGTAAAGTTGACATACAGATGCAGCTGAAGTGGCAATGCCTGATGGTGAGAACCCAAGGCCTACACCCATGGGCATGGAGCCAGGCACACTATCCTGAACGAAGCGTTCTGTGATATGTCCGTGCCTTGGATATCTGATTAAGTAGGTTCAATACGTACATTCTAGTCTGGTATCCATAATATAGTACGAATGCATCTACTGGGTTCATCATCGAAGCGATTGCTCCCCTAGAAATACATCTAGGATAGTAGCTTAGTATTTTCTTCCGCTAGATGTTGTGGCTAGGCTAATAGATAACTATTTTTTTGGGAGTTATCTACGCTCTGCGCGAAAACCGCGCCGAATGACTTGTCTCTCCATGAATGAAGGTCACTTCTAATCTAGCTACGCTCAACCTCTTTGCAACTCTCGGCCTGTTCAAGAACGGGATATCCACCATATTGTTTACGTCTTCCTCCATCTCCTTCCCAGCACCTCTGTTCCTATTTTGCTTATTAACTATGGCACAGACTTGGCTGATCCTAGCGATGCACAAAATTGCAGAGAAACAGATTGCATTATTGTTACTTGTTTCTGGTCTTGGTTCTGCCGATCAGTGGATCTCCATGGACAAGCCTCTTCAGCCCTTTGCTGGAAAGAATCCAGGATCAGCGCCGAGTGGGCCACCTCGCCGATCCGATCCGTTCCCAGCACAGCAACAGCTGGTCCGCAGGCGACTTCACCATCTCCACAGTCCCAGTCCCAAGCGATGACTCCCCGCCGCAAACCCTCTTCCCCGTAGACGGCGACTTCGCCTCCGTCAGCCACCGGCGGCGCATCCAGGACGCAACAGGCCTGCCCCTCTTCGACATTGCGCGGAAGCGACTCGGCGTGATGTGATTTGCCCTTCTACCAGGCAGTAAAGAGAAAGATGATCCTTGGCTGGCAGCCACTATCGTTCCGCAGTAGCATATGCTTAAGGATAAGTTTGACGTGCACCTCTGTAATACAGCTGGTGGGGACGGTAGGCGGGAAGAGATTGTTCTCAGTGTGAGGGGTCAGGATATTTGCAAGTCGAGAACGCATGTGTACTATGGAGATAGCGTTGGTGATGACCTCCAAATTGAAGGATATGGTCGCGATATATGCACCGGGGAAGAGGCCGGAGTGTGGGAGATTGAGGTTGCGGGGGAATGGATCTCTCGCTGGTATGCTGGCTTCTGCCCTTACCTGGCGATGCTGTCGTTGGATATTTCTGACTTGGCATAGGCTGCAATTATTGGGGTGCTTCTGGCTGCTATGCTATACCAGAGCAGTATGTCGCTGTCTTAATGCTTAGTGGGTTGTACTAATGTTCATTAGGTGTTAAAGGAAAGGCCCCAGAGTCCTTTGGTGAAGGAGATTCTGCGGTTGGTACAAGTGAGAAGGCTTCTTTGATGTGATCAGTAGATGTGGTGATGTTGAGCTTCTTCACAGCTAATCACTATGAAAAGTAATATCTATACGTACAAAAGCTACGAACAGCATCCAGTCGGAACACCTAATATGTTGACTCATGTAGACAACGTAAAAAGACAGAAAGGCAATACAAAAAAGACCGTTCCTGCATTTGTCAAGTTGAGACAGGATCTTCCACTACTACCAGCCCCTTTGCTATCATCCTATCAATATCGAATTGACGGTCCCGTCCTCCCCAGCGGTATAGAGGGGGTTGAATAACGACCAGGACAGCTTTACCATCCAGCCTAGGGTCATTTTTCTCCACAAACTGGAAGTGGTGCAGCTTCAGCGTCTCCGGATGCCAATGGAAGTGGCCCACTTTGTCGAGACCGCGGATCTCCCACAGTGACCTGTCGGCCCAGCATGTGGTTGCCAGTTCAGCTATACGGCAATAGATGTCAATAATGACCTGGCTCCGTCGATCGGCTTCTTTCGGGCTGGAGAGTTTACGCAACATGTGCCGCATCGGACCGTCAAGAATATTGGAAACAAGTCGTTCAACCGCGGAACTTCTTGCTTGTTTGCTCCTCTCTCCCAGGATTAGTGCTCCCGGGCCCACAACTGAAGTCTTGCCGTCCCGTTTTACCTCATCGTTCAACGGAACGATTGAGTTTGCAAGGCGAACCGTGTCACTTCGCCATACTTCGGCCTGGGCCTCATCAACTAGGTACATTACGGTCAGTCAGTTTGCTCTGCAGAAGGTGAGAGACCGTACCTGTTCGGAACATGTGATACATGTTCTGTAGTTTTGTCGGAAGCGAGGTGTCTGGTTTGCCCGCGGTGCTGGTCATTTCTTCCTGCTCATAAAAGTCAAAGTAGAGAAAGGGCTTCATGAAGACATCTTCAAAGAGATGCTTGGTCCAGAGTGTGTGAGCAAAGAGCTGAAGGATGCTCTTTTGAATCTTGGCTGGAAAACGTTTCATCAAAGACTCCCAATCTTCCTGCTTACAGTATCCATCCAGCGCAGCGATGATGCTCTGCTTCTCACTTGCTGACAGCCTTGCGTCGACAGTTTTGACATCTCCGATGGCATAGTCAATTGCCCAAAAGTATAACTCCATTGCAAGGTGCTCACAAGACTTTTCGATGACTGGATCAAGGGCGCCTATCCAACGCGCCTGCGATGCTTCTTTATCCATGGCCAAAGACACTGCGAGATACTTCTCTTGGAGCCTCAGATTTTCAGTTCTTAGATCCCTTATCTGCTGGGCCAAGTCGTAAACCGGTGGCCGTTGGTCGTCTTCGGATTCGCTGCCTGGATGTGCGTCCTCTCTGGGGGATTTCCTCATCCCGCAGTGATCAATGCCACATGGGGAACTGTCTTTTCTCTTTAGTGGAGGGGATGGATGTGCCTTCTGGTTTAAGCCAGGATTATTAGCAGAGAGTCAGACAAGAGGATGCAAATAGTAAGCGCGGTAATCTGACATACATTAACAGCTGCCTCATCTGGGCTATCAGCAGCTGACAGTGTTGCAGCTACTGTCCCCGTCACCTCTGAGGCCAAAGAGCCTTCCAGTCGGACTGATGAATCTCCTGTACCGCTTTCCTGTAATTAAGCAGCAAGCGTAAGCCTCCACGCCGTGAAGAAGATTGTCTGGTCAAGTCCAACAGAATGCCGGCACAGGGATCCTTCTTACCTCAGCAGTAGCCATCTTCCGTGCAATCCGCTGGCTCTTTCTTTTCGCCATAGGAGTGAATTCTTGCTGAGACGATCAGGGAAGGACAAAAGATGAAGATTTATAACGATTGTTAACCTGCAAGAGTAGTGTATGGAATTATCGAAAGTAAAAAACTAAAGACGAGAATAGACAGGACGGCTGATCAGATGTCAAAGAAACAGGGGAAGTGAGAGCAGAGAAGAGCAGATTCTTTGTCTGAAAAGTTTCGCTCCCGGACGTGTTGAGACATCTTGACTGGGTGGCTTGGAACGGCTGAAGAAGTTCTTTGTCGCTGCGAAACCATCTTCCCGATTCTTTCTCCCAACTTACAAAGCAATGTCCACTCCACCCTTGGTTTTCTCGCTGTGCTTCGATCATGATTCACTTTCTTTGTCAATGGATGGGTTGCAGTTCAGCGAGGTCTCGGGGTATCTAACACAACCTCAAGAGCTTGTCGGAGTTTTCTTGACAGTGATTTGAAACCTTGCTGAACTGCATGCCATCAATGAAAAAATAAAAAAATAAAAAGAAAAGGAGGTTCTTGGAAGGATCAAGCCTGACTGTGAGTTTGTGTTGACTTCAATACGAAACCTCTGACATTCTGTCTCGGACATCAGGTTGCCAGGTCCGGACTCTCTTCGCCAGCTTGACGTGGTATGGATTCCTTGAAGCGATTTTTTCTGTCTGGCCGTTATAATAGCTTCAAGTGTTACCTCCTAGATGGCGTTGAAAACCAGAATTCCATATCGACATCAGAGAGATTGCCATCCAGCTTGTCACAGTCTAATTGCGTACCTATTACAATGAATCCAAAAGGCAAATTCGTTGTCGGTGTCGACTACGGCACCACCTTCACAGGTATACTATTCTCAACTCAGAAAATATGCTTGATCTGATCTAATCAAGCAAAATAGGCGTCAGCTATGCGTTTCTAGGGGAAGCTTCTCTGCCGATTATCAGGCTTGTCCGCTCCTGGCCCGCTCCATATGGACATACCACGGGCACCGAAGTCCCATCCAGGATAGCGTATCCTCAAGGCAATTGCGCGATTCAGAAACACAGTGGGGATTCCGAATTGAACACGGGGCACCCACCTTTTCCTGGACCAAGTTACTCTTGGATTCAGGCGCGGATATAACCAAGTTCAGTGACAGAGCTTTGGGGGCGGCAACCGCAATGGGAATCATGAAGTTACCTCACGGAAAGATTGCCATCCAGGTTGTCACAGAGTTTCTGCGGGAGCTCTATGTGCACATCTGCCGAGAGCTGGAGAAGGATCTTGTCAATCGTCGTCCTCCTCTTCGTCTTCGCGATGTGCATATGGAATTCTGGTTTACAACGCCAGCAGTCTGGTCGGATCAGATTCGGTTCGAATACAAGGAGGCTGCTATTCGTGCAGGCTTTGGACCAAGTGATGACAGGCCGGACGATACCATCTACACGCTTTGCGAGCCCGAAGCCGCCGCACTTGCCGCTTTCGAGACAATGCCACTATGTGGACCCGGAATGCAGATCAAGGTGCGCAGTCCGATCTTCAACGCAAAAGAACCCTGGCTAACCTCTGACAATTTAGCCAGGTGATGGGGTATTGATATGCGACTGTGGAGACGGCACCGTGGTGAGTCAAACGCTCAATGTTGGAACTACTGGGGCGCGCGGCTGACATGACCTAGGACGTGACAAGCTATCTGATCTCGGAGGTCTCTCCCCAGTTGTCGTTCGATGAACTAACTTCGGCCGTTGGTAAGCCCCCTTCCCTTAGGCCTATTGGATGGATGACGGCGCTGAAAGTGAACAGGTGGTATGTGCGGCGCCACAGCCATCGACCGCAATTTCTATCTTCTTATGTCCGAGAGGTTTGGGGCGGCGTTCAAGGACTTGCCGTTTACACAAAAGGCCCCAGGTAGTAGGTTCATGGATTTCTTTCAGGCCATTAAGGAGGAATTTTGCTGTTCAGCTGTGGACAGGGTCTATCGACTTCCCCTGTCCATGGCCCTCAACAACCCCAACCCCACGTTCTTTGACGCAGAAAATCGACTCGTTTTGCTTTCCAGGTATGCAATTCCAGAGTTGACAACCTAGCTGGAGAGGGGCTGACTGCTCATGACAGCAATGACCTCCGTGGAATATTCGATCCGGTGCTCCGCCAGATTGAAAGCGCCAATCAGGAGATTGGCCGCTTTATCATCAATGTACAGCCCCTGTTATTCGAACAAAGGGCCCCAGAGCTGATTGAAATCCAGAAAATTGTGTTAGTCGGCGGCTTTAGCCAGTCACCATACCTACGGGAACGGATCTCGGGAACCTTTGCCGTCGAAGGCAAACTGGCCATACTCGCTCCAGCAGACCCGTATGTGTCAGCAATGGTCTCCCACTGACAAGGAAGCTAACCGCATTACAGGCAAGCAATGGTCATGCGCGGCGCAGCGATTCGGGGACTCGGAGGGCCTCAGCCCACCACGAGAAAATGCCGAAGCCATTACGGCTTCGAGCGTTCTGTTTCGGTCAAGGGTACCGGGACGGTCACGGGATTTGCCTCCTGGGTCCTTGCCAAGGTGAGTTCTAGCATCTGTCCGCGAGATGCTACATGAGGCCAACTGTTTCTTACGTTGCGTAGGGGGAGAGGTATGCCCGGAATCACACGGCAACGCAAGACTTGATTGTCACCCATCGCGCAGGGGATTCACTGATGAAGATCAGTAACCTGTACGGGTGTAATGATGCGAACGCCCCACAACGAGTTGATCACCCAGGTGGGTTATTGTTCCTAAGTGAATGCGTTGGGTTTTATCATTGATGCAATCTAGGTGTTTATGTCATCGCACAGCTCATGTGTGACTTTGCAAGTGTCGACCTTGCTCAGTTCCCGCAGTCTCGAACGGGCACGCAAGTGGAGTATCTGTTGGAATATTCCATTGAGGTCACCTTTGGCGCCCGGGGGGACCTCAAGTGCAAGGCTGTCTGTCAGGGCCGAACAGTCGGAGAAACTACCGTCCACTTTGCCCGAGAGCAATGGTAGGGATCTCTGTACAACGGTGCTTGGTCTATCCATGGTTTAGCGATGTTCGTACACATCAAAGATGCTAGCGGTTGTTGTATAGCGCATTGGATAATGTTCCTGTCTGACTCCAATTCCCATTCAGGTTTTATCACTTCCCGAATGACACTCGGAACGGACTTGCCAGATAAATCTAGAATTATCCAAATATGTTGCAGATGTGATGGATAGATCAGATCCACGTTGTTGTCAACCGCAACTAAGCTTCGGCCACTACTTTAGATGTATTGGGTAACTGATAGTTGGGGTCTCTGCGGTCAAAAATGGGCGGCTGAGTGGCTGAGACGGATGCTTCCCGGTTGGAGGACACGTTCTGGCACAACGGCACTATGTCTAAACCCCCTTTAGTGGGTCGCTCCGTACAGAACCTAGGTATCTATGGAAGAGGAAGAGGATAGTTTGCTCCTGTCTCCAAGGCCCAGTGCTTCAGGGCCACCCGACAAGAACGGAATATGGGATCGATGGGAAGACATTGAAACCCCGGACTGATGACGAGGGCATGCTTGATTCCAAGAGCTATGCAAAATCATGCTTCTCTCGGCCCTACTGCTTTCTAATCAGCCCTTCAGCTCTTTCAGTTCCCGGATGTGATGGATTAACATCTTATACGGCTCGTGGACCATAACCTTGTTACCGGTGAGATTCTGGCTGTGGTAGTACTTGACAATTTCACGAATGGCATCCCGCAATGGCAGTGAGTGGAATTATCAGCTTGGCCCCATTGATAACAGGCAGATTCTCTGCTTGTGTGGATCATTTCTCATCCAACCTATACTCCCGAATCAAAACTTCGGCAGCTGTCGCCCCGGTCACATAAGCAGTAGCCTGGGTGTGACCATTCGGCAAAACAGGCACGACGCTCATATCCGCCACACGAAGATTCGCGATTCCAAACACCCGGAAATGACTGTCCACCGCCGCATCAGCGGCACCGTTCTTACCCATCTTCACGGTGCCGGTCATATGCCAGCTAGACGAGAGATTATCCTTCCAGAATTGCAGGATGTCCTCGTCCGATTCGGACGTCGGCCCCATGATCGTCGATGTGGTATCCTTGGCAAAGGCTTCGTATTTCGTTAATTCCCAGAGATGACGGAAGGTCTCGATGCAGGCCCGTCTGTCGAAGGGGTGGGAGAGGAACTTGGGATCGAAGAGGAGTGGGTCGTTTGGGTCTGATGATTGTAGTCGGACTTCGCCGGCTGATTGTTCGTTCATCAGGAAGACGAGCATGCAAATATAGCTGTAATCCTGGAAGAGGTGTGGGAAGATGAAGTGTACTGGGAAATGGGTCATGATCTCGTAGTGCGGGATGGTCTCCCGGTTGAGGAAGTCTTGTACCGGTGGTGGGAGGGAGCTGAATTCGGCGGATGAGGTTACTTGCTCTGATTTGAACCAGCCGACGCCGAGCTGGCAGGCGTATCGGGCCCATGGGCCTGTTCCGTCTTTTTCCCATTGTTCCATCGCTGCTGTCATGGCGGTTTGGTCTTGGAAGAAGGTGTTGCGGTCGTTTGTTTCGGGGTTTCGGGCTAGGACTATCGGCACGAAGAAGTGGTCGCGCAGTCCCTGGCCGATTGCCGGAAGGTCTTGAATGACCGGGATGTTGAATTTTGCCAGCTCGTTGGCTGGGCCGATGCCCGAGTGCATTAGGATCTTGGGGCTGTCGAGGGAGCCAGCTGAGAGGATAACTTCTTTGGCAGCAAGATCTATTCAGAAGTCAGGATTTGTTTGGAGGAAGTGGTCTGGACAGGAACTTACACCTGTTTCTTTTGGTCTCAACACCAATAGCCCTCTTGCCCTCTAAAATGACGCGCTGCACCGGACTGTCTGTGATAGTAAAGAGGTTGTCAGGAGCATCAGACAACAAATCCACCGCAGTCGTCCGGAGCCCCTTCTGAGCCGAGTTGATACACAGACCCATTCCTAGGGGGTTGCCTGAATTATGGTCCATGTTTCGTTCGAGCCCAGCCTGTTCAAAGGCATCCAGAACCAACGAGAGATCATCTTCCCACTCTTTAGCATACCCAATCTGCAAACCACCCTTGTCGCCATGATCTCTAGCCTGATGCCCACCGTACTTCTGGTCAATAGTCCCCGCGAATGTTTCGAGATTCTTGAACCGTGCTTGCATGCTCTTCCACGAGAAGGTTTCATCTCCAACCACAGACGCCCATTCATCATAGTCATCCTTAGCCCCGACGGTGTACACTCCAAAATTGATAGCAGAACATCCGCCTAGTCCTTTGCCTCGGGAATAGTCCAGCTGGCGGCCGTTGCAATGTTCTTGCGGGGTTGTTTTGTAGCCCCAGTTCATTTGCTCTTCCATAAAAGTTGTCCATCGCTTACCGTCGACGCGCAGGGACTTGTCGTCGTTTCGGCGGCCGGCTTCAAGGAGAAGAACGCTGGGGCGTTTGGTAGACTTGGCGAGAAATGCGGCAAGGGTGCATCCAGCCGGGCCGCCTGATCATACAATGAGCTATGTTGGCGACTCTTGCAGCGAGATGCATACTGACCTCCAACGACAATGAAATCGTACGTCTGCTCTGATGCCATATTGGACGATATCCGCATGCAAGAAAGAAAAAGCAGACGGTAGACAGTCAAGTATGTCAGCTTTCTTGCAACACCCTTTCTTATATGAAATCTTAGAGACCCACTTTTGCAGCCTTCTCACCCCGCATCAGCGTCAGCGAAAGACGAAGCTAAGACGACAGCTCAACGGGCGATTGGCCCAGGTGCATTTGTCAGACTGGTGACTACTCCAGCAGACTGCATATATCCCCTCTGCCTCTGCCGTGTCTACCTACATTAGCAGATCGTTGGGGTAAGAAGTAAAGCCCAGTGGGGAAACCGGTGAGAATAAGGGTAACAAAAACTAAGATATATCATCACAACAGGTCTGTGACGAATAGAATCCACCATTCAGACATCTGCCTCCCTATTGACGGGGATAAATAATTAAAATCTGATCAGTGACTTCCCTTTTGCATTTCTTCTGTGTTGAAGAAACCATGTCCTCCCAACCCCCGCTTGTCTGATGTGGGGGTCATTTGTGAATCTGTCTGCTCGCCGCGTTGCCTGCGACCAGTGTTTGCCCAAAAGCTGCGTTGCATAAAACTGGAAAACTGCACTGTATGTGTTCGATGTTAGTGATTGAACCGTCAGTGGATCTGGAGTCCTCCATCGCGGTGTGGTCACCCAGCAAGGACTACCCTGAGAGGAAAAGCTTGGTCAAGCGTGGCAGCAGTCGTCTGGATAATGCGGGGAGGATAGCATCGCAAACAATCTTTAAGTGTTTTATAATTGACACCAGATGAGGACGGTTCCGAAAGTGCGAGAGAACAGCCAGTTCATACCAGCCAGATCAGTACTCAGCCTATCCCTCCGGCTGTCGAGATGCCCGAGGCAGTACCGTCTTTGCCTCCATCCGTGCAGATTGAAACATGTCCGACATTTTCAATCTTTCAAGTCTGCGGTATACCTCGCGGGAGAACCCTTTCCCTTCTTTGTGGACCTCGGAAAGTGTGCCTCCGGTGCCCAATTCTACCGGCAATCTTCAAATGCCCCCAAATGGCTTGGGATGCCAGGGGAATTAGACCAGAAGCGCCGAGAACACCCCTGCTCCCCCGACAGGCGTAAAGCAGAGACTGGATTCTTTGCAGGACATCACGCGGAAACTTAAGAGAGTGAAGAAGGAGGTAGAGAAGAGCAGGTATAGTTAAGGTGTGGATTGGTGGAGGGAATAAGCTGGTTTATTCTGTTGAATAGATCGTTTATCTTGTATTAGAATCAAGTGATATACGTCCTACTCATGCTTTCCTGTTTCAGTAACGTTCCAGGTCATAAAGTCAGTTCGACTCTCTCGGGAGACGGCATGCGTCTCCTCCGCGTCCGTAACATCCAGCCGGGTGGGATCTGCGCCGGCCTCGAGCAGGACGCGTGCTATCTGGGCCTGCTTGTACTGTGCCGCAAGATGCAGCGGTGTCATACACATAACAGAATATACATTAGGACCTTTTTCCATCCACCCCGAAGCCTCGATCGATTAAACGCTGCACGATCTCGGGATGGCCGCCGATGATTGCTTCGTGCAGTGGGTTGCTATCGCGGTACTCCAGGCCTGCTGCCGTCACATCCGGATTATCCAGAAGCTGGCTCAACGCATCCCAGTCACCGAGTTTCGCATGATGCAGAATAGAGTTGATTAGCTTTCGCTGCTGCTTCGCTGGGGGTGATGGCATGAGTGTGACTAAATTGGCATTGGCAATCTCCAGGATTTATTGAACTAGGTGAAGAGTGACTAGTCCACTCAGTGTTAGTGTAGTTCCATCAGTGAAGTGATGATACAACGAATTCTCAAGAAAATTATTCCCAGATTCCCATGACAAAGTGACACACATAGTATAAGGTAGTATGTAACTGTCTTTTAAGTGAATGTGAATGAGAGAGAGGAAAAGTTCATCCTACTAACCACTAATTTGTGCCTGCCACTTAGTCATGGTCTTGGTGCTCTGCATTATGCATCTCTATCGTAAGGAAATAGGTAACTAGGTAGTTAACGATTTTGCTTACTTAACAATTGGTCAAAATTCAGTTCAATAATTGCCTAGGTTTTTAGTCACCATGCCTTATTCTTTAGGCCTCTACTCTATATTTCCATTTCCTTGCAACCTTTCTAAGCCCTAGGCCCCTAAGCCAGTGCCTTACCAGCATCTGCCCTTACCTAGGTATTGCCCCTATCTCCTAAACTACTACCTGTTCCCAAGTCCTATCTAATACTACCTTGCGAAGGATATAAGGAAGATAACATATAAGTATAAGACTATATAAAATCTATAGTATTACACCCTCTGAATTTTCCTATAGCCCCTACACAGGTGAGCGGTGAGCCTATAAGATACTTAGTAAGATGGTGAGGGCCATAGGTCTGAACCCTGCGCTGGGAGTGAGGTTAGTGAGCAGAGTGAACTCCGCCGTAGCCCAAGTATACTTTAGCATAGCATAGCCAAAGGGCCGTGAGCGTAGCAAGCGCGCGGCCAGCTTGTAAATCCTGAAGGATCTAGTCTACCGAAGTACGTAAAGCTTAGTACTACCCCCTTAATATTGATGACACTAGATGCATTCATTTTTCTTTTTATTTTTTTGTTCAAATCCATATGCAAAATGAACTCTATGCACAAGTCTATAAGCACCCCTCCCCTGATGATATACGTTCACCTACAGCACCGAGACAGCCTCACCAGGCTTAAGCCAGCAAACCTTGTCACTAATCCCCTCCTCTTCAAACGCCGCACGCAGCTCCTTTCCAAACTGCGTAAAATGATGCCACGACTCATAGTGCATCGGAACCAAGACGTCAGCCTTGATATCCCGGAACAGCCGCGCCGCCTGCTTCCCATCCATGGTAATGTTTATAAGTGGACTATTGGGATCCTCCAGATCAGAAGGCACATGCGCATTCCCCAGGTTGAACACCGCCGCGCAGATATGGTATTCATCCGCCATCTTTTTGAGGTCTTCGATGTAGACTGTGTCGCCGGAGAAGTAGATTGCCTTGGGGAGGTTATCGCGACCGGTTCCGAAGCCTTCGCCTGTGATGATGAAGCCGGTGCATTCGCCGCCGGGGAGATGCTGCGTCGGCGTGCCGATAATCTCAAACTTCTTGCCGGCTATGGTGACGTTGATCCTCTCCCAGGGTTTCAGTCCGTGGACTGCCGGACGGGGAGAGAGATTCTTTGCGCCGTCGACGGTTGTGAAGACGCGGCGGCCATCTAGGAGGCGCCGGCCTAGGTCGTCAAGGTTATCGACGTGGTCTTCATGACTGAGCAAGACGGCGTCGATGACGGGGAGTTGGTCCAGACGGAGGGCAGGGTCATCGTCGACGAGAAGGTGAATCACTTCGTTGACTGGGAATTTGGTGCCGGCGGGGAGAAAAAGGGATCGGTGAGCATGTTTACGCCATTGATCTCGAGGACGGCGGTGGCGGTGCCAATGTGAGTGATGTTCAAGGCTGGAGACATTGTGATAGTAAAGTAAGCGCCTTAGAGTTTGTAGATGCTTGGTCTATTTGTTCATTCTTCTTGGAGCATTGTCTATGCTATATATTATATATACAAAGGAAATGACACGAAGAGTACAACTCATACGATACACCCGTAGAAGGATTACTCAGTCTGACAAATGTGATTTAAACAGAAAGAAGTTACATTACTCAGATGTGGACATCAAGAAGGGTAAGATTACCCAGACGTGGTTATCAACAAGCGTCTGTATATAGAGGCGTGCCTCAAAAGTTTTGGCGCTGGTTCATGCAAGCTTACATAACATATAGCCAATCATGTCGTCCAGTTGTCAGTGCTGATAACCATGATTGGCTATATGTTATGTAAGCTTGCACGAACCAGCGCCAAAACTTTTGGTGCACGCCTCTGTATTCAGATATGGGACCTTGGGATTATGCCAAAATGGTTCACAGTCCACTAGCTGAAAACAGTCACTATCTCCGCCAAGATGTCCTTTTTCAGTCACAATCTCCGCCAAGACGTCTGTACCAAGTTAAAACAATCCTAGGAAAGCTCTTAAAATCCTTCGAGAATCATGAATAATGTTTCCCCTTTCAAGGATAGATATTAGAAATCCTCTCTGACTCGCCACCTAGAGCTTAATAATATCAGAAATAGTCATCAGGATCGGCTAAGCATTGCCGTCGGCTATCAAAAGCCCTTTGACTAGCCATAAAGTTTCTATAAATATGTGTATCCCTGTTTTAGTATCTATTTCTCAGTTGCCAATGTTCAGTCGACAGTGGTCCGGAGGATTTGACATAGTCCTTCCTTTAGCTGGCACATGATGGATCCGTCCATCGATGATGAAGAAGCCAACAGACAGGCTTCCCTGCCAGAGACAGAACTCGATCTGACGCGCAGCTACACGGCCGGCGCAGAGGGTTACCCGTCTGCCAGCATTGAACCCAAAGTCACCCTGGTTGCAAGCGTCCTGAATCCCCCCGAATTTGAAGTATACTGGGAAAGCGCCGATAGCGAGAATCCGCGTACCTGGCCACTATGGTACAAGGGCCTCACGGTGGTGGCCATGAGCCTGGGTGCAACAGTAATCAGTCTCTTCAGCACATTATACACTTCCGGTATTCCCGGGTTGATGGAGGATTTCCATGTTTCAAAGCTCACTGCGCTGCTTGGCGTCACGACATATCTTCTAGGCATGGCTGTCGGGAGTCTATTCGTTGCTCCGCTGAGTGAGATTGTGGGCCGACGGCCTGTTTATATTGCCTCGATGAGCGTGTTCCTTGTGCTTCTTCTGCCTAGTGCATTGGCGCAGAATATCACTTCAATCATTGCCAGCCGCTTCTTTGGAGGGCTCTTCGGCAGTGCCATGATGTCCAACTCGCCTGCTTCAGTCAACGATGTCATATCAGACGAACACCGTGCTCTGGCCTTTGGCATCTGGTCAATTGGCCCGGCAAATGGCCCTGTGTATGGTCCCATTATCGGAGGATTCGTGTTTCAGTACCTGGGATGGAGATGGACGAACTGGATTGTTCTGATCATTGGCGGGGTGGTCTTGGTGTTGCTCGCTTCTATCAAAGAGACCTATGCGCCGGTCATTCTGAAGAAGAGAGTGGCAAGGCGACAAAAGGAGACAAATAACGTCAAATGGTGGACGCGCTATGATGACCGGCAAGGGTTCATGTCTCTGCTCCAAACCAGTCTCAAGCGGCCATTGAAAATGATGTTCACGGAGCCAATATGGTAAGGCACTCACCCTCAATCCTCTTGAATGCCAAGCTGACAATTGATAGTATCTTCTGGGATAGTTACGTTGCCATCGTCTACGCAATCCTCTACCTCTGCTTCGTCGCCTACCCTATCGCCTTTCAACAAGAGCGCGGCTGGCCACCAGGTATCGCCGGCCTCTCATTCACCGGAATAGGCGTAGGCGTCCTGATAGCCATAGCCCTCGAACCTCTCTTCCGCAGAGTCATAAACGCCCACCGCAAGGATCCAGAAACTGGTACCGTTCCACCAGAGGCGATGGTTAGCATCGTCTGTCTGGGAGCGACGCTTCTGGCCATCGGCCAGCTCTGGTTCTCCTGGACGTGCCGTCCAAATGTCCACTGGATCGTGCCGATTCTCGCTGGTGTCCCGTTCGGCATGGGTAACGCGTGTGTCTTCATCTACGCGAGTAATTATATGGCGAGGTCGTATGGGATCTACGCTGCGTCTGCGTTGGCGGGGAATATGGTGCTAAGAAGCATCATGGGTGCGTGTCTGCCGCTTGCGGGGCCGTCGATGTATGGAACGCTGGGGCTGAACTGGGCTGGGACCCTGCTGGGGATCGTCGAGGCTGTGTGTATCTCCATTCCGACTGTTTTCTATTTTGTGGGCGATCGTATCCGCGCCGCGAGCCCTATGATCAAGGAGATTGCGAATATGCATGGATAGAGATGGCCTGATGGCTGACAGTCTGTTCATATTCTGTATATGTTGATAGAGTTTAGTATAGGACACAATCTTGGCTTACACATGCATCTTTCATTAAACTCGCACTCCTGACCTTGATATGGGCTTCTTTATGGCATTCTCAATTCTTATACCTTCCTGCAGTTGCCATATCACAGACGTATCCTGGGATGAATCAAGCGATAATCTTTGGGGCCTTGCTGGACATAGAAAAATTATATCCGATCTCCGAGTCCGACTCGGAGGAAATTCCCGGGAAATGTACCAGTCGGAGAACACGAAATGGCGAGACCGAGTCCGGGGTTTTGCCTCCTCGGGTTTGATTTCCGTTTACGGCAATGACAGTATGCGTAGTCTCTTCTGCCTATCGTATCACCACGTCTTCGCCCACGAGTCTGACGAGTATTTGTCTGCCTGGGTGGCAAGTCGAGGTCACAAGGTGTACGTGTGCGTAGGACAAGGTGAGTCATGACGGTCATTGTAGCTGCTTGGACAGGTATATATATCGCAGTCAATTCGTAGGAACCTCAGCCTGCAGTCTTTACAGACCAGATCAAGTCCATACAATCATACAGTATCCAGTCAATATGCTGCATTCATGTCATTTTAGTCAGCATCCCCTAGCCTGGGATATCTCCATGCTAGAGGAACATCCTTTCTTTGCTCACCATCATCCCCCTCCATACCATGACAGCTTCGAAAGCAGCTCCGGGGAGCCCTCAAAATGCGAGAAAAAGGCGCACAAAGAAAGAGCCAAAGAGGGTATGGAAGATGAACATCCCGAAAAGCCAGAGTTCCGCTTCAGTCATCCCTGTGGCCGTGGCGGTCGCGGATTTCTTCATCACCATCTTGGACCAGGACATCACCTACATCCCCACGAACACGAGCATGACGAGGAGAATGAATTCAGCGGATGGACTGAACATGAAGGACCGGGATTCGGACATCACCACCACCACCACCACCACCACCCACACCACAGAAGAGGTCACCCCTGGGGAATGTTCCGCGGACTAGAACGAGGGGGACCAAGACGGGGACGAGGTCTGGGGAGAGGCGGTAGAGGCTTCGGCCATCACTTTTACCATATGCATCCCCGCTTCCGCTCTTTTCACCACTCACACGACCCGACCAGTTTCACGCCCCCGGTCGACATCTTTGTCACACCTACCGAAACGATCATCCACGCGTCACTCCCGGGAGCTCAAAGATCGGATTTGAGCGTTGCATATGATGCATCGCGTTCCATGCTCCGCATGGCTGGGGTTGTGCACCGTCCCGGAGTTGATGAGGAGATGTATAGGGCTTTGCTAGTTGGGGAGAGAGGGCGTCATTTGGGAGTGTTTGAAAGGGAGTTGCCGATCTCCCACGATGTTGCCATTGAGGGGATCCATGCTCGACTGGTTGATGGGGTACTGAGGGTTGCACTTCCTAAGGTTGAAGGGGAAGTTCAACACCCCAACGATGAGATGGACGAGCTGGAAAAGGAGGGTGCAAGTAGTGAATTGAATATTGATGGAAAAGAGGAAGAAGATGAGGTGGAAGACGAAGTTGAGCGGGAGTATGTGAAGGTGGATATCCAGTGATTGCTTTCAACATAGTATAAAAAACAGTATCTATACAGGGCAGGATAGCGCGTGAATCTATTCCACCCTATATCACATATATGACAAGATTTTAGTTCATCCATCATAACACTTTAGTGGAGCCCACCAATGGTACTCTATCTTGTTCCTTAAGTTAACATGAGTAGCAACTGCCACACCAAATCTACCTTTAATACACTTTCTCAAGGACTGGCAGTTGTAGTGGTGCTGATGAGGACTAAGCAGGTCCTTTTTATTTCTTGGTGCTACGTACGGCAAGCCATTAGAACAAAACCAAAATAACGTATATAAGATTTTTAAGTATACATACTGCTGCTAATTCTGTCTATATAAGTAAGATTAGGTATTTCTCCTCTCCTTATTTATCTATCTATACTTTAACCTAATCTTTCTATCTATATAATAAAGCGATAAGTATATAATACCTTATCCTGCTATTAATCTTAAGTCTTATAAGCCTAAGGTAATTAATCTCTATTAGAATAGTACCATCAGACCATTCACCATCCACTACGGAAAATACACAGAACAACAACGGTGCCTTTGAGGTGTCTGCCTGCGGTGCGGTTAGATCACCACCGCCTGAGATCCCTGCCTCAACCATGGAGTATGTTTTCGAATGTCAACTTGATGTCAACTTTCAACACGTGCTAAGCCGCCAGTAATTCTCTATCATATGCCTCTGACAACTAACTCCTCAACAGTTGTTTAAAGGAAACAACATACGCAGAATACGTACTCAACCTGTCCCTATAACATAATGCTCTTTCTGCTGTTGATCACCATGCTTCTGAACCCATTCCGACCATGCGAGGGCTCGCCAATCTTCCAAGAGGAATATCGGGCCAGCTACGTACCAAATGTTATCAAACAGGATATGGCCACCAGGTTGTGGCGCCGGATACTCCATACGTGGCAGCGGCCGGCCCAGACAAGTTATACTTCTTCGACACCCGATTCGACCCTGAGACTGCAAAGCACGTGAAGGAACAAATTTAGAAGGCAACTGGGCCGAACCCAGAGCTCAAACTGCCTGAGCATGAGCCCGCCGGTGATTGGTTGGTGACCTACGACGTGGACAACATACTTATGAAGCGGGATGATATGTTGGCACTATCCAGCAACCACGCTCTGAGCGACCACCCTGTTCGTCTAAACCCCGCGCGTTTATCACACCCAGATTCATCGACGTACACTATGTGATACGAGTGAAATCCGGTAGGTTATGCAGATTATATTCCCGCAAATCTGGGCTTTGCTCCGGCTTTCTGTTGAGCCACCTTTTCCGACCAACCGTGAGACGGCTTGCTGTAGCTGGGTGGTAGATAGTCTTTGTTAGCAGAGTCATCTGAGTCTGGGAACTCTGGACTCAGAGGGCGGTATTTAAGAGGAGGTAACAAGTTTAGGCAGAACAAACACGCTTATAGGCCCTGCAAGAAAAGAATGTTATCATATGCCAACCCACTGGAGCTCTTATCTTATCGGACCCTAGGAGACACGCTAACCGGAGTTGTCAGCTGCGGAGAGAACAAGGACAACGGCTCCATTCTCCCACTCAACCATCCACCTTACCATCTTCAGAACTTGGCTTAAACATGAGACGACGAATAACATTTGTCCAGAGGCCAGAATCTCCCTTCCATGTTGACCAGGCCGTGTTAACGAGCGATGCGCTGTCCATTACCCACCTGGACGGGGCGCGCGAGGAGCGGGCAACATTCGGCTTTGATGAGCTTCCCTCAGAGGTATGCTGCGACTCTGCTGCTAACAGTGAGCTAGACTGATCTATGATATGTATAGATCTGGCAGGTTCTGAAATCAAGTCACGAGCTTCACATCCGGTGGGCTACGGAGCGGCCTTATGAGAATGGAGCGCCGTTTTCCAGTCGGATATCGCCTGGTTTGCATGTTTACTATACCCCTGGGACATCGGGGGAGACAGGGTGCGTATCTACAAGTCGTATTCTTTTTTTTGTACGGTGGTTAATGCAGGTACAGGAGGGGATTGTGCTCGCTATTGAAAAAGGGATTCGATGAGTCGCTAGAATGTGACAGTCTCAGGGTGAGTTCAGTTCGTCGGTCAGTGGATTAGGAATGCACTCTAATTTTCTGTGCATAGTCCTCCTTTATACAGCCCCCTATCCTCTCGGAACGATTCGCTACTACCGCCGCCTTCCAGTACTACAGTCGTCTTCCCTCCCTGCAGAATCTGGTCGCCTTCATTCAACACAAGTTCTGTGACCGGTCGGATGAGAAATGCTTTCGTCATGCGGAATCAATACTTTCTGCCGACTCGGTCGATCTCAACTACGACAGCATTTCGCATGCGCTAACCGTGTCTGCGTATTGGTCGAAATCGCCAAGCCAAGGATGGACCGAGCAGGTCAAGAAGCATACGGCAGATACACACCAGGTCGAGGTCGGGCTTCTCGGCGTCGAGAGCGCCATTGAGCCCGAGGAACTGAAAATGGGTGGTTTACTGGGTGTTGTCGGACAGGACGAAAAGTTAAGTACGTGGTATGGAGGACAGGAGAAGTAAACGATCATGCTGACACATTCCAGAACCGACCTTATTCTCATTTCCCTCGCGACACCATCCTCTCCCAGCTGATGCGACCTACACCGTCTCCTTCCCCGCTCCAACCGGGCTCCATCCCACTCTAACCATCTCAATGCCCCGCGCGTCGCTGAAGCGGCCCCCGCACCTCCGGACGCGACATGCGCCCTCCACACATACCTGACCCTACCATCGTCGATCTTCGGGGACAAATACCAGCTCTCGACAACAGACCCCCTCTTCCTCAACTCCCACAACCTGGCCGCTCTCCGAGCCGTAGCAGGAGAAACCGACCTCGAAGCCCCAGACTGGTTCGTCTCCCGCTGGGGCTCAAACTGGCTGCTCGAGCTCGCAACCCCTCTTCACCCGGATACCAGCCCACAGGAGTGGAACGCCACGATCCCCCTGCACCTGCGATACCTTCCCCCCTCCGAGTCCGGGTACCGCTCCGCCGCGGTACCATGGCCGATCGTCTTCTGGGCGTGCACGGCAGAAGACGGCACCAAGATGGGTGTCAATCCCTTTGATCGGGTGAATCTCGGATGGGAGGGCCTGTTCGGCCCCCGGACGATGTTCTATCAGTTGCATCCAGCACCGCCGGAGGGCAAGGGCCGGCTTGTCGAAGAGCTGGAAGTGCCTGTTCTGCGACTGCGAGAGGATGGTGGATTTTTCCGGAGCAGGACCATTGAGCTGGGGACGGTTGTTGTCGTTGGGCTGGGGCTGCTGTGGGTTCTGTGGAAGCTTGGTCTCGTCGCGTGGACGGCAGGCTCAGGGACAAGCACAAAGACCCAGAAGAGAAAGGACAAGCAGGGCAAGGCCGAGTAGCGTAATTCATTTCAATACCAATGGATGCCCATGCCCATGTATATATTACTTCAAAGGACCGGGACCTAATAATGCCCACTCATCGGAATATAACTAGTAATGGTAAGCCAACAAGCAAGGGGTATCAAATCTGCCTCGAAAATATCCATCACAATCAAAGTGTACTTGCAACTCAAATCCCCATCTCCGGCAACGGCCACGGCACATCCGTCATCAAAAACTGATCCAGATCGAAATTCTGCAAACTCGGCATATCAATCATCAGATCGCCCAACCAGGACATCTCCGAGCGGTCGGCCACGGACTGCTGCGGCGCCGGTGGCTGCGCTTGACGCTGCACCGAGGTAGACCCTCCCTCCGCAGTATCGACGCTAACCCGCGGCGCCGCGGCGGCTGCATTCGCATTGACGCAGAGAACATCACGGAGCGCCTGCGTGTCTTCTTCCTTGCGGCGCTGATGCAGTAGAATGAGCAGGTAGGCAGTGCTGTAGGCTTCGCGCATGACCTCCGTGTCGTAGGCGGCGGCGACCTCGCGGAGGGTGCGCATTGCTTCGCCGAGGAGGGCGAGCGAGGCGCGGCTGTCGATTGCAAGCAAGGTGCAGACGATCTGGAAGGGGACGTTGGCGATCTGGTGCCAGGGGCAGACGGAGGCGACCATTTCGCGGGCGGCGCGGAGGCCGGTGCCGGCCAGGGCGAGGACGCGGTCGAGCAGGTCGCCGGAGATGCTGGAGTTGAGGGCGCGGAGGCGCCGGTAGAGGCAGAGCATGAGGTTGCACTGCGCTAGGATTAGGGGTGGCTGGACGTGGATGACGTCGAGGACGGCGGCGAGGGTGGATTCCAGGCCGGGCGCGTCTTGCGTTTGCTTTGGGTCGAGGCTTTCCGAGACGGGGAGGAGGTTGAAGATCTCTGAGGGGCTGGTTGGGGATCGGGGCGCGGGTGGGAGGGAGGTTGCGCCGTGCAGGACGACTCGGGACCGGCCGAGTTCGAAGGAGATCCACACGTTTAGGTGGCGGGCCATGCCGAAGAGTCGGCGGCGGATTTCGGGGGCACAGGATGTTGTTGTTGTTGTCTGGCCGAGAGAGGTATCTGGTAAGGGCTCGAGATGAAGACCCGACGCCTCGATGAGGTGCATCAGCGTGCAGCTGGCCATCCAGGCGACGTGGGGGGATGCTGTCATGCGGAGGTACGCGACTCGCAGCACCCAGCCGGTGACGATGTCCACCGATGCGGGGTGTCGACGAGCAGACTATGTTCAAGGATGCGTCGAGCGGTTTCGGCCACTCGGTACTCTGCCGGGACGGCTCGTCGCCGTGAGAAGAGAAACCCAAGCGCTGCTATGCCGCAGAGTACCGCATCGTAGGGCCCGTATGGCAGGGCTGACTCGGACGAGGAAGGCAGCCATCGTCTGCTGACCTGGCGGAGTACAACATCCCGGTCAAGGAATGGGTAGCAAGGATCCACTTTTTCAAAGTAGAATGTCATCAATGATCGCATCTCGTCCTGGGAGATGATGTCGACGATGGGCACAGCCGTGGCCGACGTCGATGTCGGCATGGACGATGGTGGCGGGTGACGAGCCCCGACGTTCCAGGCGAAAAGATGCAATCTCGGTGCATTCGCTGGATCCAGCTTGAGACCTAACCTGCGCACAAACGCAGCGCCCGAATTGGCCTCGAGGGAACTGACGTCGATGCTTGTCGAGTCCCCCGGGGTCGACTGCTCCTGGCTCTTGGGCCTCGGTAACTCTTCGACGACACTAGGTCTACGCATCGATAGACCGACTGATGGCCGAAATGCCTTGACATCTTTCTTCTTGCGAGATTGGATGTCGTAATGACACTCGGAGGCTGCCCCCAACTGTACACAGGTGCTGCATGGTTGGTCACCGGAGCACTTCCGTTTGCGCGACTGGCATGATGTGCAGGCGATTCTGGAGCGCTTTCGCGGTCCTGGTTCAGTCATGGTGTTCAGAGCATTTCACGTCAGCATTTGTTGATCAACAAGGTGCGATAGGAGACTCTCCCTTGGTTGTGGGGACGTTGTACGGGGTTACTCCAGATGCGGTCCAACGGTTAGATTAGTGTTTTAGTTATGTTCATGTGGAGTGGTCTGGGAATTACGCTGCGGAGAGGCCAACTGGTTTGCTTTTTTCTCTGGTACAACCAAAGCTCATCGACAACACAGCTCCCAACTGATTCCCCATATGATCAGAATATTAATTGAGTATAAAACCTAACTAAAATAAATGCACAGAGCTATGATTTTTCAGTCGATATTACGCTAACGCTGATAAATAGTTATCTCAATCTTCATACTTTCGTCCGTCTGGATAGCCCATGAGATCCTCCAGTTTCTTCAGGTCAGGCATGCCTGCAGGACCAGGCATGTAGTGGATGTTGTCTCGGAAGGTGGTTCCATTCCACCAGATCTCGTTCTTGTGCAGTGCTTCCATGATGCGGGCAGAGTCGATATATGTGCGGATTTCCACCATCTGCCCCCGATCCCATCGAGTTACCCAGACGTTGACAATGTCAAAGTCATCCCCTGCATGTTGTCTCATGTCAGCACTGTTTCACTGAAAATGACAGCTGTGGATTCACCTGAATTCATCACCCCCCTGAAATTGACCTCCTGAACAGACCATTGCTCATTACAGCCTCCATGGATCGCTTGGGGATGGATCTCGAATTTGTCCGCATGGTCGAGGAACAGCACACTAACTCGCCGCAGCGCATTGACATAGAAATGCAGCAGGTCGTTGTAGTGACCCGCGATGGGATGGTGTCCGACCACTGTGAAACTTACGTTCTTGTGAATGAGGGTGAAGAGCTTGTTCATATCCTTTTCTAGATCTTTGAAAGAGTCCCAAATGTGCATCTGCGAGACGTATTTGCAGTCCGTCGACGGGTTCTCGAACTTGAATCCCTCTCTGTCGCGGTGGTCTGGGGGACTGTCGACAAGACCGTCGCCATTACATCGGCCACCGGGGTCGACAATGCCAGAACCATCGCACCCGGGAGCTTCTAGGGGAGTGTGGGAATGTGCGACTGGCTGTTGCTGGTGTTGGTAGGTTTGAAATGGTAGAACTCCCCAGCCAAGGGTCCCTCCTGGAAGGATTATGGCTACCAGGGCCTGAAGAAGGTAATTGAAGCAAACCATGGATAGAGGGAGGATCTGTTCGATGGAGAACCCACATTATGACACCTTTACAGAAGAACCTTGTCTTCGATATATAGTGATGGATTTCGTCTTGCCTGGACGTCCCGATGTTGAAATTCCCCGATTGATGGAAGCTGTGCGACAAAGTACTACGTTGTACACCTACAGTCATGGTTGAGGTGTCGTAGCATGCAGCTCGCACTCCCTGAAAGTCGCCGATTCGCAATTGCTCATCAGCGAGATGGTCAGGGTGATGGCTTTTGTATTCCCTACTCGAGTGATACGGTTTCACAGAAACATAAGTACCCGTTGTAGAAAGGTATCTAGTAGGTCTGATAAATTGATCGTTCTTCCCTCTCTTTCTAGTATGCATGTTATTCAGAAATTTTTTCGACACGCTGACGTCAAATGATAAGATAACAGAGCCACCAATTCGCTCCTTACCATAGCAATGGGACTAGATATAGTGTATTCCGGAGAAGGTAAGAGGAATGATGGAGGAATTGCCTTTTTAATTCAGCCAATCAATCCTGTTCTTCTCAGAAGTTAAGGTAGACTATAGTCCGTCTTTGCTGTTGAGAATTGGGACCACATCCGGTGAGTCATACCTCTAGATAGTTAAGTTACGCCATCGATGATGACAGCGGTGTGATAGAGGGATGCAGATGCCTTAGTACCGCAGCCTCTGATCCCAACTCGACTCCTTATCCACTTACGATACTGCAAGTATTTAGAGATCACAATCAGAAAGATAATCGCCTTATCAATTGCTGCAGAATTGCCCAATTCATAGCGTAATGAGTTACCTACAGACAAAAACAAGGAAGCGGAAAAGCGCCTCCGATCGCGGAACTCCAAATGCAGCTGCTGTGATTGGTCCATCAAGCCTTTTGGGCCCTGGCGGTCGGTGTAGCGGGGCACGTGCCGCCAAACCCGGGCCGAAGATCGCACTGATCCGAGCAACTCCTGTTATGACCCTCAAATTCTGCCTCTCGCCCGCTTTTCCTTTCTTCTTCTTTTTCTCTTCTCTCTCCATCCTCTGTCAGTCCAAAGACATCATCCATCTACTCCCCCGCAAACACAACCACATCATCGTTCTCTTGATCGATTCATGTCTTTTTAGACATCACACCCATCAACAGATATTTCAGTGACTGGTAACAGCACAGTCGCGCTTATGGTTTTGGCACCCACCGTCTTCACTTCTCAGGTATGTCTTGTCCTTGCCCGTGGCCACATCAATGTCATACCCGCCACCACCCTATATCTACACCAATATAAAAGCCATTGCTAACATAATGCCCTTCAGGACTACATCTCGGATCACCTCTGGAAAGCTTCCGGAAACTATTGAGACCACCCGCATCACTACTCGCTTCTACAATTCTTCAGTCTACCCCAACAAATAATGTTTGCTCGTGTCTTCAAGGCTATGCCCGCCAGGGCTTCAGCCTTCACTTCCGTGAATGCTTCCATTCAGGCTCGCTTCATGGCCACTGTTCGTCAGCAGCGTACTGCTCATGAGCGTGCCACTTTCACGATCCGAGATGGTCCGATCTTCCACGGCAAGTCCTTTGGAGCTCGCACCAACATCTCCGGTGAAGCCGTCTTCACCACCTCTCTGGTTGGATATCCCGAGTCTCTGACCGATCCTTCCTACCGTGGTCAGATCTTGGTCTTCACTCAGCCCTTGATTGGCAACTACGGCGTGCCTTCTGCTGAGCGGGACCAGCACGGTCTTCTCAAGTATTTCGAGTCCCCAACCTCCAGGCTGCTGGTGTGGTTGTGGCCGATGTGGCTGAGCAGTACAGCCACTGGACCGCCGTCGAGTCTCTCGGCGAGTGGTGTGCTCGTGAAGGCGTTCCAGCCATCTCCGGTGTCGATACCCGTGCTATCGTCACCTATCTGCGTGAGCAGGGTTCTTCCCTCGCTCGTATCACTGTTGGCGAGGAGTACGACGCCGACCAAGACGAGGCTTTCACCGATCCAGAGCAGATTCACCTCGTCCGCCAGGTCAGCACAAAGGCTCCTTTCCACGTGAGCGCAGCCGATCCTCAGTGCCACGTCGCTGTCATCGACTGTGGTGTCAAGGAGAACATTCTGCGTAGTCTGGTCAGCCGTGGCGCCAGCATCACGGTGTTCCCCTTCGACTACCCCATCCACAAGGTGGCCCACCACTTCGACGGTGTCTTCATCTCCAACGGCCCCGGTGACCCAACTCACTGCCAGGAGACCACCTACCACCTTCGTCGCTTGATGGAGACCTCCCAGGTGCCTATCTTCGGTATTTGCCTGGGCCACCAGCTGCTTGCCCTGGCCGCTGGTGCTCGTACCATCAAGCTCAAGTATGGTAACCGTGCTCACAACATCCCCGCTCTGGACCTGAGCACTGGCCGCTGCCACATCACCAGTCAGAACCACGGTTACGCTGTAGATGCGTCTACCCTGCCCTCTGACTGGAAGCCCTACTTTGTCAACCTGAACGACTCCAGCAACGAGGGTATGATCCACAAGTCTCGCCCCATCTTCAGCACACAGTTCCACCCCGAGGCCAAGGGAGGTCCTCTGGACTCCTCCTACCTCTTCGATATCTACATCGACAGTGTGAAGAAGTACAAGGCCAGCCAGGCTGCCTTCCACCCTCAGCGTGACAGCCTCCCCAGCCCTCTGTTGGTTGATCTGCTCGCCAAGGAGCGTGTCGGTGTACAGCCCACTATCGGCATGCAGAACATTGCTGCTGCCGCCACTGCGGCTGCCGCTGCCGCTGCCGCTTAATTGAATTTCTGGGTCTGTTCTTATTTTCCGGAGTCATGGTTGTTTACGGGCTGGATATATTGGAATCATTCTTGTCATTAAGTTGATCAAATGCAATTATGAAATTTGCTCATTGTCATCATGGAAATTGCTGTAGACAACAATTGTAAGCACTACATCGCAGCTGAAGCATCTGGGCTGCCTCACTGGCTGCCGGTCTTCTGAGTATAAATTAATCATATGCCCAAAGTCACGATCATCGCAGAACCTTTTTTAAGTTATCAGAGCACCGAAGTAGCTCCAATACCATTAGACTAAACCGTTGACAAGAATTCAAATCTCGGATTCGTTCATTCATAATATCCTAGCATACTATGTCCCAGCCTACTTGGCCACTATCGAAACCACATCCTCGTCCGCCACAACATGACCCAGTCCCACCCGCTGCGGGATATGTCTCGCACTCGCCCCCCAAACCAACGCATACTTGAACGTCTCCTTCAGCGTCCGATGGATGGAGTCGCAGACATCCTCGATGGTCGAGTTGCTGCGCACGATCAGCGCCTCCGAGAAATCGGGGTCTTCTCCTTTCCTGTAGACTGTCAATACCCGAGTGGAATTCTGTAGAAGGGCTTGGGGAAGTACCGTTTAGTGTATACTCTGATCAAGCGCAGTTCAGTCCAGATGCGTTCGACGACGTCCTGCACGCCTAGATCGAGTTCGCAGCTCATCACGGCTGTGTGGGGTTCGCGGGCGAGCTTGTCGAGGAAGTCGAGGCTGACGCTGTCGATTTTGTTGTAGACGTAGAGACTTTAGTGGGTTAGTATTAGTACAATAGAGTGGAAGGGGGTTGGCTGGGCACCATCTGATGTATTTTCTGTGGTCTTTCATGATGACGTCGATGAAGTCGTCGACTGTCGCTGGATTGTGGGTTAGTATGGAGGCTGGAGTCTGGAGTATACATCAAGGGCTGTTGACGTGAGCGTACCGTTCTCGTCTCGCACTAGGACCTCGCAGTTGAGGATCTTGTAGTCTCTTAGGACATTGAAGATCATCTTCTCGTCGAGGTTCTTGGGGGTTGTCTGGAAGGTGATTTTCATGCCACCGGCCTTTTTGGCTTTGAGGTAGATGTTGCTGTTGAAATTAGTATGGAATGCGAGGAAGTAGATTGCTTGCTTGTGTCCTTACGGGGCTCCTTGTTGAGACGGATCCCAACGGCGTCTAGTTCTGCTTCCAATAGGGCCCGCTGTTCGGCGCGTTTTGTAGCGTCCAGGATCATGAGGATTAGATCGCTCGTCTGGACATGGTCAGAATATCATTCCTGAAACAGTGCAGCGTATGTACACACCTTCGCTGCGGAGATGACCTGTCGTCCTCGCCCCTTACCCTCAGCAGCGCCTTCAATGATACCCGGAAGATCGAGAATCTGGATCTCTGCACCGCCATACTCCAGTACACCGGGGATGGCAGTGAGTGTCGTGAACGAGTACGCGGCAGCCTCGCTCCTGGTCTTGGTGATCTTGGACAAGAACGTCGATTTACCGACGGATGGGAAACCTACAAGAGCAACTCGGGCATCGCCGCTCTTGCTCACGTCGAACCCTGTGCCGCCACCGCCGGCGCCGCCGGTGGGCTCCAGCAGCTGTGCTCTTAGCCTGGCCAGTTTTCTGCATGCGGGTTAGTGTGTGCAAACGCACGCACAGAAGGGCAACACTCACCCTTTGAGCAGACCAAGATGGTATTCTGGATCTAGTCAGAACATGGACTCGACTATGTATGCATTGGAGTCCCACCTGTGGCCTTGTTTTCTGTTCTCCGAGTTAGCTGCGGGGTTCTCTGGAAAGAGGCATGGGTGACTTACTCTGCGTCCTGCGCATCTCCTCCTCAATCCTGCATAGTTGCTACATGAGTTGCCTGGCCTTGTGGAAAGATACGGCAAAACGTACTCTTTGATTTTCTCCGTAATGTTCACCATCTTGACGGTGGGGGAAGTCCCAGGACCCCTCTTACGCTTCGAACTTGTATGTACTGGGTAATAAAGAAAAAGACCGCTCCGAGAGGCCTTGTCGGTGTAATAGCAGGTATATTAGACAGGAAAATGAAAGAATTTCCACAATGAAATAGAATGTCTCGAATACAGCTTTAAAACAGTGGTCTGGCAAAGCATATCAAAATCGTCGCAACAAAAACGGCGCCAAGACCCGTCGCTTACATAATCTCAGCATCGCCTCGTGATTTCACTCCGGAGGCATCGCAGTTCACTTCTTTGCTCAACAATCAACTCACAACTACACCCACCACACAATTCAAACCGCAGCCATGGCGGACACGGCCGTCGTCGATCCTCCACATGCCACAGAGCCAACGTCTCTACCAACAGAATCAGCCGAGCCAAGCAACCTCACTCCCAACGACGAAAATGCTCTCACCCAACCCTCAGAAACCGCCGTCACGGCCGCCACAGACGCCGATGGCACACAAAAGAAGACAAAGAAGATAATCCGGCGAAAACGACGACCGGCCCGGCCACAGGTCGACCCTGCAACACTTAAATCCGAGCCGCCCCCGCAGACAGGCACCATCTTCAACATCTGGTACAACAAGTGGTCCGGCGGCGACCGCGAGGACAAGTATCTCTCGAAACACGCCGCGCCCTCCCGGTGCAACATCGCCAAGGACAGCGGGTACACACGCGCAGACAAGGTCCCCGGGTCCTACTTCTGCCTGTTCTTCGCGCGCGGCGTCTGCCCCAAAGGCCACGAGTGCGAGTATCTCCACCGCCTGCCGACGCTGCACGACCTCTTCAACCCCAACGTGGACTGTTTCGGCCGCGACAAGTTCAGCGACTACCGCGACGACATGGGCGGCGTGGGCTCGTTCACGCGCCAGAACCGCACGCTGTATGTGGGCCGGATCCATGTGACGGATGATATCGAGGAGGTGGTGTCGCGCCATTTCGCGGAATGGGGCCAGATCGACCGCATCCGGGTGCTGACCTCGCGCGGGGTGGCGTTCGTCACGTATACGAACGAGGCGAATGCGCAGTTTGCCAAGGAGGCCATGGCGCACCAGAGTCTGGATCATAATGAGATTCTGAATGTGCGCTGGGCGACGGTTGATCCGAACCCGTTGGCGCAGAAGCGGGAGGCGAGGCGCTTGGAGGAGCAGGCGGCTGAGGCGGTGCGGAGGGCGCTGCCCGCTGAATTTGTTGCGGAGCTGGAAGGTCGGGATCCGGAGGCAAGGAAGAAGAAGAAGATCGAGGGCAGCTTTGGGCTGGAAGGGTATGAGGCTCCGGATGATGTGTGGTATGCTCGGACCAAGGAGTTGGAGGATGCAGGCAGAGCCGGCCAGCTCGAGGCTCCAGAGCAGCACTTGATGATCGAAGCGGCACCGTCGTCTTCGTCCGCAGCCCTTCCGTCACAGTCAGAGAATAGTGGTATCTTTTCAAGCTCAACTGTGGCAGCACTAAGGGGATTGGCCGGCGGCAATGTGACGACGCAAAAAGCCCCGGCGAATTCCGGCGGTCCTCTTGTGGCTTACGGCAGTGATGATGATAGTGATTGATTTCTTGACTCAAAAAATCCATTGGTCTTGTGTACAACAGCAAAGATACCTCAAATTGTCTTCATTTGTGTTTTTGTTCTTGATTTTATGCTAGTCATATATCGTTCGGCGTTCATCTGGCGGGTATATTCGCTATCAAAACAATGAGAGGAGACAGCATACGCCTAATAAATGGAACTTCAATACAAATAAAACATAACATGGTACTTCATCACTCATTCACGATTACTTTTCACTTCCACGCCCAAGGTCATAATACAGACACGACCCCGTCCGGTAGTTGTAAATAAAGGCATTGCTGACACTGTCGGGGCCATCGTTCGCGCGACATTCATTGGAAAGGTCTAGTAGTAGTTCGTGCACCTGACTGAGGTACTTCCGCTCAGTCAACGGGGCACTTTGAATGACTGAGCGCCAGCTTTCTGGATCCGACAGGCGCGTATCCCTGATCGCTTCAAGCAGGTCATCTCGAGTGTCAATAGCCGCAATGGGCCCGTTGATTGCCTTCTCGACTACCTCCCGAGAACGAAGGAGAGCTACCTCTGGTTAGTTGTAACTCTTCACGTAATGATGAGAATTCGGACATGACATACCAGACTCGACGATGTTTCTTCTGTTCGTCTTCTTGCTCCGGTGTTGAGAGACCAAGATGCGAACGTCGCTCGATCTTTCACTAGCTCCAGCAATCGCGTCGGACTGACTTGGTAATCGCGACTGCCGCAGGTCGGGTCCGCCCTCGCGTTGATTGCGTGCACGTATCTCGTTCCGAAGCCAAGGGATAAGTTCGGAGCTCCTGATGTCGAGCTCTTCTTTGGGAGCGAGACACCTCACTTTGAAGCCTCGCTCCTTGCTATCTTGTTTTGCAATGACAATCCAGCTATGGTTGTGCTCTTTGTACTCAGACAGGAGTTCTTCCAATGACGACGCGTCGACGGCCAATTCAGCGCTGATATCACTAGCCCATAAATCCTGCACAAGCTTGACACCCATTGTGCGCAGCACTGTCGCGTCGAAGCTTGCAACGAGCACGTCACACTGCCAATGTCAGGATAAACCTTAAGGCACACAAAGAAGAGAATCTGACTTACCCTCCTGGTCTTCCAGAAAGCCCCAGCATCCGATTCAGCATGTTTGGTAGGCGCTTTCGTCGTACTTCTGAGATACTCGAGCATAGCCGAGCCGAGTCTGTCCCAGCTCAGATTAAAGCCAACTGCATGTGTTTGAGAGCAGCCCGTTCGACCCTTCGGGCTGAATTCTTGCACCAACCGGTCATAGCGACCACCAGCTGCAAAGACGTCCCGCCGCTTAGTGTCAAAAACACATTGGAAAAGGATGCTGCCTCTGAAGAACTTGTCGTTCAGACTTCCAAGAGGATTGACATAGACCTTCCGTTTGACGTCGAAGCCTTGCAAGTACGTCACGAGTATGTTTATGCGAGCGAAAATGGGCGACAGTCGCTCAGCGAACTCGGTACCTTCCATGATGGACCTAAGCCGGTTTTGAGCCTGCTTAGGAGTGTCTGATGTGCATTAGCCACTGTCTCGTAAAGTGGAAAGTGAAACGAACCTCTAAAATCAAATCTGGCCAAGTCGTCCAACGATGTAGAGGCGACTCCGATGGCTGGCGATCGGAGTTCACTTCTGATCTTCTGCATCGTCCATTTGCCAAAATTCAACTTGCTGATAACTTCCTTGACCAACGGCACCTGAGAGGGAGTGATGCGGCAGAACTCCATGATGAGCTGCAGAAGGTCGGAGTGATTGATGAGAAAACTCATCGGCGACGACCTGAGCGGCGGGAACTCTTCAATGATCTCATCGAGCACTTTGATAACTTCCGCTTCTTTCAACGCCAGGTCAAGAGTATTGTGCGATACGATATCAAAGTCAACTTCTTTGTGAGTTCTGGGCTCGCTGCCATGGGGCATCTCTCGATAGACTGTGCCGAAAGCGAATGTTTTCTCCAGTGAGGGATCCTGTCTAGAGATAGACCGTGCGTTCGGCAAGGTGAGGTCGAATGGTAGCTGAAGCTGATTACCCGACGCGTCAAGCAGTCGAACGGCCCCGCTTCTGTAGTGTTGGGACCGAGGGAACAGCATTTGCCTAGTGGTCTCAACCGCCCCATGTCTGCGGAATATAGCGGTCAGTCGCTCTTTGACTAAACTCTGAACGAGTAACTCATTGGCAGCAGGAGCAGCACGGGAGTCCACATCCCAGGCAATATCTTCATATTTTTTGGGCGATTGCGAGAAGATGGCCGAAAGTATCTTCTTGTAGTCGGGGGCATTCGGATCAGAGAGGAGATGCACGATCGCTCGTCTAAACGTCTCTTCTTCAACCTGGAGAGGAATCTTGCCGCTCTGAAGAAGTTCCGAGGCAGATGGTCGTTCCTTTGGGTTATGACTCAATAGAGATTCGATAATGCTTCCCTGCACTGCTTTTTCCGAGTACTGGAAAGTCGGTGGAAGAATATGATGTTCTTCTCGAATCGCCCGTAGAGTCTGGTCGCGCTCCATACCCGTAGGCAAAGGGTGGCACATCTCGAAGAATATTATACCCAACGAGTACATCTACCACAAATTAGCGAACCAGCTCTCGGCTACTGTTGGTACCATTATACTCACATCGACTTTCTCGTTATAGTGACCCGCGAAGCCAGACTTCATCTCCGGAGCGACATAGTAAGTAGTCCCAAGACTTCGGGTAAGGTTGCCTTCAAAATCGGCGGTAGTCGAGGAGCGCACAGCGGTGGTAAACTGCCCACTGGTCGCCAGGCCGAAATCTCCAATTCTTGGGTTGCTTGCCACATCAATAAATATGTTGTCTGGTTTCAGATCGCGGTGTATAATGCCGTGGCTGTGGATATGACTGAGCCCATCAAGAATTTGACGGAACAGTCGCCATGACCGATCGATGTCATCGTACAAGCCGTTCTTTATCAAGTCGCGAAGAGTCTGGCAAAGTCAGAAATTTGCCTTTAAGCGACTACAGCGGACACTTACATGTTTCTCGCAATACTCCATCTGTATATATAGCGTTGTAAGATGGGCTCTTCCATGGGAACCGGACCTGACTCGACTTAGCTCAGTCCCCGCGGCGCTCTCCTCGCGATACCCGTCATAAGACTCTGTTCCACCTCCTTGAGATAGGCTTGCCTCATGTTCGTCGTCACTGTCAGAAGCAAACTCGATCTTGGGATAACCGCTCGAGCTGATAAAGTCAAGCCCTCCAGTGCTATAGTCAAAGCCGTTTGCGTCCCGACTAGCAAAGGGGTCTCCCTCCGTCGATGAGATAGCTTCTTCGTCGATCTGATCATACTCTTCCTCCAGCCATGCAGTGAAATAGCGAACCACGTATGGGTGATTGAGTCGCGAGAGCAGCATAATCTCCGATAGAGTATCTTTGAGGGCCGAGGCCGACCTTTGAGAAATCTTTTTGATAGCATAAAACCGGCCATCAAGCTTATTCCGGGCTTTTACAACCTGTCCAAAGCCACCTTTTCCCAGGCGCCCCGCTTCATCAAAGTCTTGGTTGTATCGCGAGAAAGCGGGAAGCCCCCAGTCGAGTCAAAGCGTGGGCGTCGGGGCAGTGATACTGAGTTCGAAGTACTCGTGCGAGCAATCAAAGGTGTGTCGACCCGGAAGAACTCGAAGGGTTGGAGTTGGAAAGCGGTGGGGCGCTTCTTCGGGTCTGGTCTGAAAAACTCATGCAGCAGGTCCTGCAAAGGTGCTGATAAACCCAATGTTCCCATGAGTGCGTTCGCTGATGTGTACCGCTGCAAGACATCCTTACCAAACGCCATCTGCAGAAACACTATACCCATGTCCCATACATCAGTTTTCATTGTTGGAGGCGTACTGTCTTGTATGAGCTCGGGAGGCATCCAGAAGGGTGACTTTGAGATCGTCAGGGCTCTCTTGCTGTTCTCCGTATCCGGGAGCGCATCTTCAATGCTTCCTTGCAGCTTTACAATGGTAGCGCCTTGCGGGTTCCTGAAAAGCAGAATGCGTCCGCAGTGGATATCCCCATGCACAAGTCCGCTGCGATGGTAAAACTCAAGAGCTTCGAGCAATTGGATCATCCAACCACGGATAATTTCCACCGACACGCTCCCCACGATGTCCAGGAACTCGGATAGGGAGCCTTTGTTCGCATATTCAAGAAGAAGATATACTCTCCACGTGCTGTCTCGGGCATCGAAGGAGTCTAAGGGCCTATATATCTTGAAACCAATAAAATCCACAAGATTGGGGTGCCGAAGTCTTTTCAGAGCCTCTAGTTTGTCCTCACTGGCACGCATTCGCTCCCGGAAACAAATCGATGCCGTCCCACTCCCATCGAGAGAAAGTTCTTTCAGGACGATAAGAGGTGCATGCGAGCGGCTCTCGGACACCACGGGTCTGACTGTGAACGTCTGCTTTCCTGGACTGCTCTGTAGAAGCGTCTTCCCAAATACAGCACTAAAGGCTAGCGGTTGTTCATTTGTGTCGTTTATGATTAATGGTGGATCAAAAGTAATGGCGTCGGGAAAGTGGTCAACCGCATCGACAGAGCCGGACAGGCCTGTACCGGAAGACCTACTCTTTCGCCTGGAGAGTCGAGCCTTCGTGCGCTCTCTGAGTTTATCCTCCAACAGCTGCTGCAGAGCTCGCTCCTCTTCCGCTGTGGCCGCCTCCTGTTTTCGAAGCTCTTCTTGCCGTTCCAACTCTGCACGCTGATTGGCAGCAGCTTCTTGCACCATGCGTTCCTCTTCTAAACTTGGTAGGTCCTTATCCTGGGCCTGTGCCTGTGCAACATCCTCGAGAACGTCCTGTATCGACACGGCGAGTTCATAGATCATCTCAGAGCCGAGCAGCTCTTTCGGTTTGTTTCGAATAATGTCTTGAATTTTTAATCTAGCCCTGTGACGAATGTTCTCCGAATTACCCAGCGAAAGATTCGGATACGTTTTGGGATATGTCGTTGGCAGCTCAACTAGCAAATCAACACGGACCTCAGGATTTGACGAAGCACGTAGATGAAGCTTGAAGGCCACATCGGCCGATTGCTACAATACTCAATGTCAGCCGCGTCCAAAACCTAGTCGGAGAATACCAAGCGCACCTGCCAGGCGGAAGGCCTGTGCTCAATATCTTCAAAGTCATCACCATAGATCGAGCGTAACGCCTCGGCCTCATTCTGGTGGATCTCCCGGTAATTCGTCGTCGCTAGTCCGGGCTGAGCAAGCGGAGTGGTATTCGGCGTCGACTGCTTCCTCTCCGCTCGGGGAGAGCCGTTTTTATGGACATTGCTAGGATTCTTCTTCTGCTTGTGAGGCATAGCGGGGCGGTGGGCGGTGGGCGGTGTAGAAAGTCTGAACCCAGATTCAGTAGGTCTTTGCCACGTGAAACGCGAGTGACAAAGATGCAGCCGAAGCTGCAGCCCTCTATATCTCCGAAAGGAACATATCTATATCTAATCCGGGGTGACAAAGTTGAGAAGAATGCGTTGTTCTTGGGATGGAGCTTAGAGAGCGGAAGAGGATTATATAAACCAAGGCACAGACTGACCCATCAGCACTTGATAAGTTGATGGACCCTCAATTGGCTGGCCCGTCTCGCTCCGTTGTTTTTCCGCTCACCGCCCTGCGCGGTTAGCGCCGTCGCTGGAGAAGTGTAAACAAAGCACAGCGCTCCACGTCTCTCATACCCTGCTCGAACCCCTCTTGATACACCAATGGCGTCGCTGTTGCGATGCGTCTTTTATCCAGCTTGGTAATTGAAATTCAGTGTTTCCACCGCAAGACGCAATGCTGGACTGGATAAGTGGACAGAGCAACCACGTCGCGCATTCCGCAGGTGTGTCTCCATCAATGCCCGCCCAGAGCTTTAGCACCCACTCAATGGTCGATGGTGACCAATGATCGACTACCTGCATTTATCTTTCTGAAGAACGGAATTGTCATGGTTGCGCGCTGACTTTGTATTATTGTTCGTTTCCCTAGACAACTCAAAGGTTATGGATCCTCCCGAGACACCAGCTCCTGTGTTTGCTATTCGCGCGTTTAAAAGTGCCCTATTTGGCACTCCAGGAGCGGAAGACGAGGAGGTTAGCGACCAGAATTCGAAACCAGATGAAAAACCAGCGAGTCTCCAGCCGAGCAAAAGTGATCTGTTGAAGCCCCCGGTTGCTTATCGCGCGACAAATGTCACCCAGACTGACAAGACGGACCTCGATATGGCAGTAAACGCGATGGTGTCGCCGACCAAAAGCATACTAGTCACACCGGGTACTGCTGCAAATCGGCGGAAGACAGTCTCGTTTGGAGACGGTGTCGTTGACAATGAAAGAAAGCGAAACGATGCCTCCGCGCAATCGTCCAGAACGCCGACGAATCTATCCGGCAACCTAAGCAGCCAGTGGCTGTCGAGCTCTACAGACAGCAAGGGCAAGCCGCGAAGCAGACTCACGCAAGCACTACTGGACTCTCGAGACAAGTCTCCCAATGACTCTACGACGACTAACGGCCAACAAGCTGATTGTTATCCTTCCACGTACACCGCATCTAAGGAGGCACCGCAGTCGACCAAGGAAGACGACGAGACTGTCAATCTGGATGACCCACGTTCTCAGTCTGGCAAATACTGGAAAGCTGAGTTTGACAGCTACCGTGCAAGAACGACGAACGAAATCAGAAAGCTGATTCAGTATCGGTCCGCTGCCAAGAAATTCGCTCTGATGAAAGAAGCAGAAGCTTCGCGTCTGGCTAGGAAGCTGAAGGAGGAGGAAGTGAAGGTTGCCGAAATGGAACGGCACGTCACACAGCTCGCGTCCTCCATGGTGGCGGAAAACGCAAAGGCAGATAGAGAGCAATTGGTTCAAGATTTGACTAAACAGACGGCTTTGGCCCTGCAGTATAAGCATCGAGTCAACACCCTACGCAAGCTCCTAGAGCAGCATGGCGTTGTTGGTAGTGAGGTGGATGACATCGTGGAAAAACGAGAAGCGAATAACTCGTCCAACGATACCAGCCAGGAGCTGCTTAGAACCCAGCAGGCTCTGAGTCAGGCGAATGCCAGGATTGAGGCGATGAAACTCCAGCAAGCCGAGTTCGACAAACTCAAGGAACTCGCACAAAGCTCAGAGCAGAAGGCCTCGGAGCTGGCTCGAGAAAATCTGTCACTGAAGCAGTCCTTGGCGAGAGTCAAACAAGAGATGAGCAAATATGAAGGGCGACGCAAAGAGAAGGAAGCGAAGCTCAAGCAACGAGAGATCAAACTTGAAGCCCGGATCCAGGAGTATCGCAACCGTCTGAAGACGGCTTCACAGGAACATCGGGAAATGGAAGAAGACCTCAGAGAGTCGTTCAATGAAGAACGACGTCGCATGCAGGACCAGATTGACCTTCTGCAATTGAAGGTAGCGGCGTTCGAGCGTGTCCCCGACCGTAAGACCCGCAACCGCCACTCATACAGTCCGCAGAAGGACTACACTGGGGTCCAAGTGTATGATTTTGGGCGCACCGTCGCTCGGCGCAACGAGACCGAAGAGTCGCAGGAGATCGATGAACCGCCGAGTCCCAGCCCGCGCTCGAAAGACCGAGGCTCGCGTAATATACACAACCCCACCGTTGATCTCGATTTACAGAACGCTGCTCAAGCCCTGAATATGGAGGGGACCAATACTCAACCACTGCCTTTCACGGACTCACCTCTTAAAGTCCCCGGCCGTCGTTCTCGCAGAGCGACGGTCGCTGCTGCTGACCCAATTCCACCCTCTTCGCCCCCTGAGCTAGCACCTATTGACGTATCTTCCGAGATACTTGCTGAAAAGTCGAAGTACAACCACCATGGCTACCAAATGCATCTGCCAACTCTCACTACCCTCGATTCCCTTGCGCGCCACCTAGCCGAGCGCGATGACGGCCAACAATATCGTACCCATCGTCAGAAAGCGCGCCGTGCGCCGTCGAAGTACAGCTTGGATGCCATATCCGGCTTGGCGGACCTGCGTCTCACCGAACGAACGGGAAAGAGACGCAGCCTGGCAGCATTACAACAAGACTCTATACCTGTGGAACGGATGCTGGCTGCCCAAGCACGACTCAAACGAAAGGACCAGTCCCGCAAGAGCAAAGAAGGCGGCAAGGAGTTCGTGAAGGCGTACAATACATGATCATTTCGTTCATTTAATATCTTTCTCTCTTTGTTTGTCTTTGATAAAGCGTGGGTTTGGGGGGGATTAAGGACTGGCGTCGGGGGCTGATTTTGCCAAGGGTCTCAGCTTTAATATCCCTGATGTTCTTCAACACTATGATTCTGCTGTTTTCTCATTTTCCATCGTCTCTTTTTTCTCCGAGGTTACCCGAATGTCCAGTGACTGGTCAGTATACCCTTATACAACTCGTTTGTGCTATTTAGTTTTCCCAATGTTCATCTCTTTCACAGATAATGCAGGTTGCGTATATCTCGACAACAATAATATGCCCTACTCTGTAGATGCTGTCAGATATTAATAAAGTCAAGCTTGTAGCACCTAGCGCAGACGCCATTTTGCAGCGAACAGTTATGCTTGCCAAAACTGAGACATACCCCAACCCCAGATGTTCTGTTTTGTGGGGTTGGCTCCGTACTCCATAGTCTTCAGTGATGGCGAATTACCAGAAGCAGTATAGCATTCCTTAGGGAAAACGCGTGGTTAAGGCTTAGCATCACGGTGCATGATCTATAAAGCTTCCTTCCTTGCCCACTCAAAGTTATGGCTAATTATTGTTGCTATTTTTCCCACCCTTGCACGGTCCACTAACTCAAGTGCTTAAGTTTTTTTTACCATTGGACTAAACCTCCCGTATTCTGCACTTCACCACCTCCTTTTGTGCCTGAGAGTTGTCACTCATCATGTCCACGTGATTAACCTTGCTTTTTGTAAGAATGGAATTTCTGCTTTGCCTAGGAGCTTAACTAACCATTAATTCAACATGGTCGGCATCCCAACGGAGGCTAATCACCTGTTATGGTCCTTTGGGAGAGGCATCTCTGAGTGCTGGCAATAATGGCCTAAAAAGAGACAAAACCACGCTGTATTGTTCATTCTGACAGTATTTACATTCTGCTTTAGTTTGAAGCTAGGGTTTCGCCTATTCTACGCTGATTACTGGGAGTCAGAGACAACGTCCTGCTGTTACCAGGCAGGGTTGGATTGTCTAGCCTTCACAAAGAACCTGATTCTAATTTAAAGTGAACCCAATACTACCAATCATTGGGCTGAGCCAGCAAAGACCAACTTCTTTTGCTGTCATGAGGCGTTTAAATGAAACTAAATGACTTAGCGACCATTCCTCCCAGCGGAGGGCTCTCTAGATAACCATTTACCAATTTAGAGAACCAGTAAAAGGAACGGACAAACCAATATACACAGGGCCACTTCTGTGGTATAAATATGCCTATAAACCCCCTCTAATTTTTTTCCCCAATTCCCTTGTAACTGCTCAAACAAGACAATAGATCTGAGTTTTACTAAGAACCTCTAAGGACCTCCTCTTTCAAGATGATGATACTACATTCTTAGTCTTTATTCTTGCATGCACTGCCTCTGCAATAACTTTGGCTCCACGGGCAGTGTGCAATGCAAGAAATAACTGGACTTGCCCTAGTGAGGGTGTGATGGGATGTGAGAAAACAGTGGCCATTCTGTGAGTTACATGCTCTCTAACTAGTATTTATATGCTAACATATAATTTCTAAAGATGAGGTGTGTGAAAAATGTGATTGGTAACAATGTATGGTGCTATGCAATAAATTGCCCAGACCAGAATGCACACTGAGACTGCAATACTGGACTGTGCGTTCCTAATTAGAAGTGAAAATTGAGAATATTGATTCCAGGTCAATCAAGTTGAAAGGTGTCCACAGCGTCTCACGAAATATAGTAGGGGTGTGAGGGTTATTTGATGCTTTACTGTGGAGGTAACTGAGTAAGCTATCTATCATAGGAAGGCCTTCCTACCTGTTGTTCTCTTCTTTGTATGCTTGTTGGAGTATTCCTTTTGTGTTAGCATATCAGTGAAGAAATATTTATATAATCTCACAGCCCTGTTCTATTGCACTCACCTGGCTTGCTATTTTTCTCGATATTTATTCTCTAAATACACAATGATTTGTTCTCTGGAGTTCTGTCTGACTTTGGGTCATGTGCTAACTTCTTCTACTTCTACTACTACTACTATGATGTTACACCTGGGGCTTCGTTGTCAAGTCCTAGATCGGTTAGAAGAGCGTGGATGACTTGAGACTAGTCTTGCTACTAAAGCTAACTCTGTAGTAACAATGTTGAAATGTAGGTACTAAGTAACTTATGAGATTGATCACTAAGAACTAAACTAAGTACATGAATGAGTGTCCTTATATATTCTGTAGTCCTTACTCTGCATCTTGTCACTGCTATAATACTTTGTGTCACTGATATGTTAAATCATGTCACTGCTACAATGCACCTGACTTCTCTCTCATGAGCTAGTTTCGGCATCCCTAGCCCCTATAGGCTGTAACTATTGGTAACAACATAAAGAAGCAACCGAGGTGAATGAAAAGTGGACTGTGGGAGAAGAGTCGAAGAAGTGAAAAGATGCAATAATATAGAACCCAAAGATTTGATGGAGCACTGCGATAGCTAAAAGCTACAATGGGTTAAAAGGTTAGTCAATCCTAAATAATTTTATTATATTAGAATGCTTCTAGAGATATTAGAATAGGTAGTGTCCTATATACAATGGCAACTCTTCTGTAGTGTACATGGTACTTGCGAATCTCGATGTCGAACCATCACTAACAAGGATCGTAGCTATTTCATGCCCACAGTGCTCAGCAGTAACGTTGACCTCAGCAAGAATCTCTCGCTAATTATCGGAGGCTGCGTTCAGGTCATGTTCGTCATTGGCAGCTTCTTCCCTACCTTCTTCGTGGACCGTGTCGGTCGACGGCGCCCCGATGGTGTGGGATCGTTTGGCTTGGGGCTCTGCATGATGCTGGTGTCAGTTCTCATGAGCTTCAAGGGAACCGCAAACGAGCATGCCACCTCCTCAGCCTCCGTTGCATTTTTTCTTCCTCTACATGCTCATCTTCGGCGTACCTGTCAACTGCATCCCTTGGGTCTATTTGCCGGAGATCCTGCCTCTTCATGCCAGCGCGAAAAGGAACCGCCGTGGGTATTTCTTCGAACAGGATCTGGGTGAGTTCGAGTGTCTTGTCCTTATAGCGTCGGTTGCTGACCTTCTGCAAACAGAATTCCTTCGTCGTCATGATCACACCCATCATCATCATCAATCGGCTGCAGTGGAAGGCTTACTTGATATTCATGTGCACGAACTTTGCTTTCCTGCCAGTGATATATTTCTGCTATCCTGAAACGGCCAATTTGGCACTCGAAGAAATCGGTTATCTCTTCACCAACTCCGAGAAGACGGCTGTCAAAATTTGTAAAGAACTCCACAAGGAGCGCAAGAACCCATTGGCATACAAGACCGGCCCATATCAATGCCAGGGAGGCGCAATAGCTCAGTGATTGAAGATAGCCCAGAGAAGACACCTGGGTTCCAAGCTACTGGTGAACATGTTGAGAACGTTTCGGCCTATTCCAGCATTTTGATAAGCAGACATATGACTATTTGGTTAACATTTGTGGGGTTCTCCTGTACCTATCGCAGACTGCAGAGGCCATACACATGCTTTGGTTGTGCACCCAATCCGAGAAGTTGAGATGAACCATATCTGGCAGTCAGAGGTCGAATTACCCGATTTGACTATTCAACTCTACAACTTTAACAACTCCACATGGCTGTCTGCCAAGCACTATGACAAGGGAAAAGCAGGTAATATTTGGGCTGGCATAACGCGCTTCTGGCAGGAACCTGGTAAGGCATGGCCGCGGATATTGATGCAAGCTATCGAAGGTAATACCACTGTTGTTTAGGGCTCGAAGCGAGCAACACGGCGAGGAGCCATCGGCTTGATGTGAACGCAGCTGGGAGACCACTCGAACGGTGCCAGGATATTTGCGAGAATTGATATATATGATGATCCTCTATTTTAATTATCTATTCTATTCATTTACGGGATATAAGATTTACGCTTTGCCGTCACAGAAAGAGATGACGGCATACTTGCCGCTCCACGCCCACTTCCGGGCCTTGGGGTTGTCCCCGCCTTGAGTCTCACGGAGTTTCTCGTCTTCACCTGGCTTCAGACCCACAACGACGTCTGCTTTGCAGGTGCGGAAGGAGAGGATGCGGATACCGGAGCTGGGGCCCAGAGGGCCGATGGCTGTTGTAAAGGGGGTTGTTGGGTCCCAGGCGGCCTGTCAATAGTTAGCCATGAAACAAATACCGATGTGTGGACTTCAGGAGAAACTCACGTCGTTGGTCAACTTGCGGTAGTTCAAATCACCCTTGAATAGGACGAGTTCGCTCTGCTTCAAATCCTCAAACAGATCGGGTGCGAGATACGGCATCCGCCAGTAAGAGCCTCCAGCGGTCCAGAAAGCGTGCGGACGGATGACCAGTTTTCCTCCGCTGTGGAATTCGCTCCACTGATCAAACAGGAACCTCACCTCGGCCAGTTCCTTCTCGGAGAGGGGCTCGTACTCGCGTCCTGTCTCATCCGGGGCCGTATAGAAGCCCTGGGCGTCGGCCAAAGCGTTGAGAAGATCCATAAAGTCCCGCGGGGTAACGTCCGACACGAACCACGGGATCACCTTGGGATGGAGTACCACGGTTGTCGCCAGGCCCGCCGAGAGGAGGTAGCCGGCCAGGATGAGATCCACGAACAGCTCAAAGCCAGAGTTATCAAGCACAATGTCGACACGGCGCTCGCCGTTCTTCTTTTCCTTCTGTGCCTTGGCGAGAATATCAAATGCGGCGTCCAGATCGTTGACGAGGATGTTCTCCTCGGCCGCCTTGCGCGCCTTGGAACCCTGCAGCTTTTGGATATCCTCGTATGTGAGAGACGTCAAAAGAGATAGATCCGTCGCGTTACCCCACAGGCAGATCTCGCACATTTCAGAGAAGAGTAATCGATCCGCTTGCTCGATCTCCTCCGCGGCCTTGCCGTCCACTCCCTTGCCTTTCTGTGCCTGAAGCGCGAGCTCATGATAGCGCGCCGCTAGCTCGAGTACTGCCGGACGTGACGACTTGAACGTAGACATCTTCTGCCGGGAGAAAACATCGTAACCCTTCCAGTTCTTGGACTGCGCAAAGAGTGTACTGATGCGCCGGTCTGTTTTCGTCAGCGCCGTCCGCATTATCAGGTGTAGAACTGTGTAACGCACAAAGATAGCATTCCGAGAACAACCACGAAGCATTCTGCCATGAGGGCGTTCCTCTCTGCTGCAATTCCTGGTTATATTCGGCAATACCTGACTCGCCATCGTCGGGAAGCGGTCTAATTATGAACAGGCCGAATCAATTAGCCATTTATCGATACAAGGTGGAAGGAGAAATAACATACGTCAGCTTCCTGTCGTGCTGAATCTCATATTTCAACTTGGCCAGTTCCTCAATGATAGTCTTGCCCTCCTTGCGTTTCTCCTCGTCGGTGACGTCGGCTACAGTGCGGTGGAGATCGTCGATTGCGCTGGTCTATATCCTCTCTACTCAGTCATTGTAAATTGACAAGAGAACCGAAGGCGCGAAAAGACGTACGATGATGACAGGCCACCGCTCGCGAGCGGAGACGTAGCCGAAGCTGGATGGGTCGGAGGTGAGGTATTGCGCTGTGAGGATGGAGGGCGGGGTTAGATCGGTGTGCCCCTCTTTTGAGAGAGAATGGGAAACATACGGGTCTTGGGGTCGTATTCCATCTTGTTTTCCGGTTCAATTACAGATTGTTTGGGTAGGGAAGATGTTTGAAGAATTGATAGATTGAAAGAGAAAAAAAGAAATATACGGAGTAGCTAGAGTTGAATGACGATGGAGCTGGACTGTGTGGGGTAAAGTGGGCGGATAATTGCCCGGTGAACGGCTTCATAGGTGACTTGATTCAGGAGCAATTGTGAGCGATTGCTTTCCATTCAATTACATTGAAAAGCTCAAGAAAAGACATTTTCAAGCTAAAGCTATCTGGATCATTGAATTCCAATTCAAAAGCTATCACGTACCGATCTCGATCACAGATTGTCCGCTATGCAAGGGATCAAAAACATAGATCAAAAGAAATAAGATAGATACGACACGTCTGTTATCCCAAAAACATCCATATGTAGCATCTAATTCCCATAACCAAAGGTCGCTATGTTCTGACCAAACAAGGGAGATCTTCTTCCTATCCGAAACAAACGCCAACCAGTGCTGAGTTCGTAAAGGTCATATCACATCATCGACAGGATGGAGTTCTGCGCGTAAGCCTGTAGAGACGTAGTTAGCATTGTAACTTGAGCAGATACGAAAGGACAGATTTTACCATTGGTTTGATGTCAGGGTGAGGCACTGCTTCGAAGACCTTGAAGTCAAGCTTGAGTTCGGGCCCAATGTTGATGAACGCACCCTTGTTCTCGGTGGTGTCGCAGTACTTGGGCGCAGAGAAGACGGTGATGCAGCGTCCGTCGTGCTCGACCTCGTAACCATCCATGCGGACCTCGTGTGACCGAATGATAGCCTCCAGTCCGTTTTTCTCGCAGAAGCGCTTCGTTACATCGGGTCCGAACTGCAGGCCGACACCTCTCTTGCTGGGCCCACGGCCCGGCTCGGTCTGAGGGTCCGTCCAAAGCATCTCCATCATCAGTCCTTGCTGTCCGGGCTGTCTTTGGTTGTGCCTGTTCAGTTTCCGGATATCGTCCAAGGTGATCTGGTCGTCGGAGAAGAGGCCACCGTGCAGGACAAGATACTTGCTGCCAATCAATGTGGCCAGGGGCAACGCGGAGAAGGACTCGGAAAAGACCTTGAACAGGCGTTCGTTGTACTTGGCTTTGCACTCGCCCTCGAAACCATAGACCTTGTTCATGTCGTCTGTCTCGTGGTTGCCCCGGTTCAAGAAGATGCGGTTGGGGCGGAGCCACTTGTATGCGTAGAGGAGCAGGGCAATCTCGGTGGACCACGAGCCACGGTCGACGAAGTCGCCGTTGAAGAGGTATGCATGCGTCTCGGAGGGGTAGCCGTTAATGTTGAAAATGTTTAGAAGGTCGAAGAATTGGCCTAGCAAATGTTTAGCGGGGCAAGTCACCGCACACCAGACAGAAAGTAAAACTCACCGTGTGTGTCACCGCAAACCGTCAACTTAGTACCCTCCTCCACGCCGATCTCGACCATCGTCGGTTCCGCATAGACGATATCCTTGACAGCCTTGACGATCTGGAACGCATACTTGCGATGAATCTTCTTGCCGTTCTTGAACCTCTCAATCATATCATCGATGAACTCCTGAGTCATCTCTTTCTCCAACCGAGCGCCATCATAGGAGGAATCGACGGCAATCGCATCAATGTCCAAGTCCTCGAACGCAGACGGCGGTTCCCCAACCTCAATTGCCTTCTCAAACTCTAACCGCCGCACGAGCTTCTCACACTCCGCCAGCTTTAGTTTCGCATCGCGGTTGTTGGGCTCCTTCTTCACGACAGCTTTGAAGTCTTTGAGAGCTTCGCGGTAGTTCAGGATGGCAGTATTCGCAAGTGCTCGTCTCCAATATGCCTAGTAGCGTAGTCAGCCACCATTTCGCCACAAGTTCTCTTGAAAGTGCAAATTCGACGAACCTTGACATACGAGGGGTCCAGCTCCAGAGCCTTGGTGGCATCCGCGACCGCAAACCCATACGCCTCAAGCTTGATATATGCCTGTGTCCCACTGTATCAGCATCTGCAGCTCACATTCCTTCACATTCTGGTGTAGACGCCAACGCCGCCCCAAACGTACCTGCGCTCGGTTGCTGAAGAACGACGGTTCCCGATCGTACTTCTCTATCGCCTGCGTGTAGAAATCGACTGCGGTAGGCCATTCATGCTCGGCGAATGCCTTGTTCCCTCGCACTTTCAGTGCGGTGGCGGCCTCGAGATCGGATGAAGCCATCTGTGATGTGTAGTGATCGACCGAGGGAAAGGGTGCGATGGAATCGGTAGATAGGCACGAGGGCGATTTCCACGGATGGGAGAAAGAAGAGAGGAAGGATTGGAGGTAGCAAACGCGGGGTCTGCGCGGAGAGAGATAGATAAATAATAAAAGGGGACAAAGAAGGAAGAACGAAAGGAAGGAAAAAGGTGAGAGGTCAACTGTCAGCGCTCCTTGAGTAGTTCTTCTTCCTTCTTTTTCGCTCCCTTTGGCGGCGGCGTGCCAGTCTTCCGTCCGTCTTGTCCATTTCCGTCCGGTCTTGGCATTTCTCTTTCCCGTTGTTCGACAATCGACAATCCTCTCTCCTCGACCGCTGCCTTATCCAAAATACCAAGGCCAACCCTCCTTTCTTGCTCACTCGATCGTCGATCTCAGCCATCCCCAGCAGGAAAATCTGAAGAGAGAGCCAAGACCAGCCATGTCCTCATCCTTCTACGTCGCCCCAAGCCAGCAGCGCACTCTGCGCGCCTGCATGGTCTGCTCCCTCGTCCAACTACACAGCGTACGTCCAACTCCCCTCAACCCGCTACGACACTCACTAATCTTAAATTATTTTTTACGTGCAGAAATTCATGCGCGAAGGCTGCCCAAACTGCGATAACGTTCTCGGCCTCCGCGGCAACAACGACGCCATCCAGGAATGCACCTCGCAGGTCTTCGAGGGCCTGATTACCCTGCGCGATCCGACGACGAGCTGGGTTGCCCGCTGGCAGCGGTTGGAGGGATATGTGGCGGGGACATATGCTGTTAAAGTGACGGGATCGGTGAGCAGCATCAACTGGTGACATTAGTGACATCGGACGAAGCTTACAAGTGTTTAGTTGCCAGACGATGTCATTACGAATTTGGAGGATTCGGGGGTCAAGTATATCCCGTACGTTTATCTCCTTGGCTCCTGCGTGAGTGCCGATACTGACCGACTTGTAGGAGGGACGGTAGTGCGTTGGAGGAGGAGGCATAAGATATTCGATTTAATGGTCCTCGGAGGAAGTACATTTTGCTTGGATCTAGGGGTGTCTACAGGTGGACGAATTCTTCGTCAAAGCATGAGCTTGGAGTTTCGGTGTTATACATACGGCATCGGGTTAGTAAATGGGCTTGCGCTGGAGTTTGCTCCTTTTTCTTTCTTAGATCTCCAGATGATTTTCAGGCCAATGATGTTTCTACAGCGCTCCTTTTTAAATCGCCGATACCCTGTCTCTACGCTTGGAGAATATCCATTGAGAGTGATCATATTTGAGTACCACTTTTAGAACATAACTCATCATATATGTTACTCCAAAAACTCGAATCCGTGAGATATCCGCTTTGAATCAATCATAACGCCGAATAGTGCAAATCAAAAGACAAAAAAAAAGGGAATTGAATTGCCCGTTGAGCTAGAAGCTTACAGCTGCTTGATGATCTTCTCAACACTCTCCAGGAGGATATCAGCTGTAACACGTTAGTTTTTCATCCGCCAAGTCAGACTGAACAATGCTTACCGTGATGCTTCTGGAAGATCAGCATGGGTCGCAGGCGAACAGCGCTCATGCCACTGCCACCGATGTTGACACCAACGCCCTTGGCCTTGGCGAGGAACTCGTCGCGCTTGGGGGTGTCCCAGGCGATGAAGGTACCCTGGCCCTTACCGCGAAGGTTTTGCAGATGCTCAGGGTATTGCTTGGCCAGGCGCTCCAGACCAGCGAAGAGGTAGTCTCCGGTGGCGGCGGTGTTTTCAACGAGCTTCAAACGCTCGATTTCCTCGATGATGCCGCGGAAGATGAGGGCACGGGCCGGGTCACCCATCCAGGTGTTGAACTGGCGGTAGGGCTTGTTGGGGCGCAGGGCGGGGTTGCCGTAGTAGTAGCCCGCAGTCTGAGCCTTCTTAGAGAAGGTCACAATGTCGGGAGGAGTCTGGAGGTTCCAGTGATCGTGGGCCCAGAACTTGCCGGTAGCACCGACACCGGTCTGCACCTCGTCGACGATGAAGAGCACGTTGTTGCGCTTGGTGATGTCGCGCAGACCCTGGAAGAAGGCAGGGGAGGCGTGGTTGTCACCGCCCTCGGACTGGATGGGCTCGACAACAACAGCAGCGACAGGGTTGTGGAACTCTTTGATGAGGCGCTCAACCTCCTGCAGGCAGCGCTGTTCCTCCTGAGCGTTCTCCTGCGCATGCTCCTCCAGAGGGTATTTGAGGGAGGGGAAGGGGGCCTGAGGCCAGTCAAAGGCGGGGATGTCCATCTTGTGGATGGCCTTGCTGCGGGTGGTGGACAGACTGCCGAAGAGACGGCCGTGGAAGGCGGACTTGAAGGAGAGGATGGACAGCTGGGGGAACCGGGGGACTGGTTGTTCATGGTGGTCTCGATCTCTTCCGCAGTGAACTCAGCCTGGGGTCCTCCACGCTGCTGCTGACGGTAGTACATGAACGCGGCCTTGTAGGCAGTCTCGTTGGCATCGGAGCCGGCCATGGCGGTGAACACCTGGTCAAGACCCTTGGGAGCGACCTTGAGGATACCAGTGTTAAGGACGTGAGCCCAATCAGCCGAGGGGAAGTTGCCCAGAGCTGGACGGTTGATCAAAGCAGTAACCATCTCGGGAGAGGAAGCGACCTGGCGCAGGTGGGGTTGTTGTAGCCAACCGGAATGGAGGCAATCTGAGCATAGCTAGATATTACTCGCATCAGCAGATGTTCGGTTCCGAGAGAACGAGGATGGACTTACACATCGAGCAGCACGTTTCCATCGAGATCAGCAATGCTAGGAACAATGTTAGCCCAACTCGCACCACAACTGCCGACCTGATCAACATACTAGTTACCGATAGACTTGGTATAATCAGTCAGCATGTTCAAGCTGCGGACATCAAAGACTTTGTCCAGTTCAGCGGTGGCGGCCTTGTTCTTGGGTCCCGGAATTGCGGTGACCACCTTGGGAGCACTGGGCTCATCGGCGAAGTAAGGCTTCGCAGCTGCTCGGAGGTGCGGGGAGGTGGTGAGCGTGCGGGCTGCGACAGGGAAGCGAGAAGTGGCGCGGAGACGGAGAGTCGAACGAGCAAGGAATGCCATTGTGAGGTTTGATTCTACGAGGCAGGAGTAAGAACTTGAAGATGAAGAATGTCCAGGGCGAAAACTGGTCGTACTTGTACCAGGGGGACACCCAGCACCGAACCTACATAAAAGATCTGGGGAAGCGGCGATAAGAGCTTCAAGGGCCGTGGAATGAATTCAGGTGGAATTGAAGCTCCAAATTCGACCAACAAACAACGAATAGAAGACAGAAAAAAGCCACCCAGTAATTCCAATGAAAGCGAGTCCGAAACCGATCAGGAACCAGGGGTCTGCGTCCTTATATACACGGTGACTATCGCGAGACCGCAACACAGATGGAGCTGCTGTTGAAATGCCGCCCCGCTGCGTCATTGCTCGTCGGCGTTTTGGACCAATAGGAGAGCTTGCAGCCACCGTTCACGGTCGGCGACACAAAGGTAAAGGAGCGGCGGATTGGAGTTAGGAAGCAAGGATGGAGCTTCTCAGTCACTTGGTTCCATTAATAATGAGAATGGTAATGGGGTTTTTGAAAGAGGAATGGACTTCCGATGATATGTGTGGTTCCCCATGATTGAGGCCTTCCTTCTGTACCTTGACAGACAGTCGTTGCCATCTTCTACAATAATGTTCCCTCCACTCCGCAACGATAAGGATCACCCGTTTCTCGCACTAGCATGCCAAGGATATGATCTATCAGAACGATGATCTAGAACGTGGAGTAATGATGATCAAGTGACATGCACTCAATCCTTGGTCTATGAATTGACCCCAGAAGATGCTGCTCAGCTAGCTTGAAGATCTCCATTAGCGTCTTGACCTCTTTGACCTTTGGTCCTAAATACTGCCATTAGCTTATTACAGGGGTGCCGTGTGAGGCCCAGGTTAGAACTGAAGAGGCCCTCGAGCCACCAAGTGTTCAATGGCAGAATTCCACAAGTCGGCTATAAAAATTGTGTACATTGGAATAATGAATATATACATGAATTGCAAAGAAATCGCCTCGTCAAAGGGTATATAGACAATCGGACGAAAGCTCTTCGTCCATGTCGTGATGAATCGTGGAGTAAGTAGTAACACAGCACACTGAATTTTTTTTTCAGACCAAAGATCAGAGGGCGGCATTCAAATGAGGTGTTCGTCCCCAAAGGGTGACCCAGGTTTATCGCGATTGAGCGACGCCGACGACCTGTGACTCCCCGGAGAGGTGTAGACAGTGGTTTCATTCTTCAAGTCGAAACGAGTAGTCGGTGTTGCCACTCGGGTTCGGCTTGAAGAAATGTCGTCTCCTGTGGCCGACTGGTGGGAAACCCTGGGTTCAGTCCATGTTTCCATCTCGACGGTGCGCATAACCTCAAACGGTTCCACAGTGCTAAGCCCCTCAATGCCATACTGACGCGACTCAAGCCGCGAACCTTTCGAGGGACCGGCTGACGAGAACAGCTTGTTAGTCTTGCGACCCGTACCAGAGGCGTAATTGCGGGAAGTCTGTAGAAGACGAGGTAGAAAGAAACCAACAAGAGGTCGCAATGCCGGAGCAGATGCACAAATCTGGTCATTTTGTGAGCCGCGAACAATAATACCCATTTCATCGAGGGAACATACCAGGCCCATGTTGATCTCAACAGACGCGGCGAGCAGGACCGGCCAGCCCAGCCATGTGGTGTCGTATGAGGCGATCATGCTCTTCCAGACGTACACCGTGCGAACCGAGCCTGCTACATTGACCACAATACCCAGGCCGAAGATGGAAATTACGGCAATCCTTTGTCGAGTAGGCAATTTCAAATTCCAAATCAACGGCATAGGAAGGACAGTGACCAGGAAATCGGTGAAGATATTGATGACACTGGCGGAGAAGACAATGGCCCCGTCGTTCAAGCACTTGTATGGATAAGTTGGAGCCAGATCCCAATAAGCATGAATCGGACTATGAGATAGATGTAAGCCATAGCAAGAGTATGAGACTGGTGACCAACTTACTTGCATTGGAAGATGCTGAAAAGCAGGAAAAGAGCGCAGCTGAGGGAGACAAAGCCCATTCCCCCAATAAGACACCAGTTGTAGGTTCGGTAAAGGCCCTTACTTCCGGCGCCGAGAAGTCGCTTGCAGAACCATAGGAGCGAAAGTTTGGTGACAGAGGAGGCCAACGAGAACAGAATTTGAAATACAAGATTGAGTTTTGAGACAGTGGAAAGCCACGTCGGTGGGACATCCCACATATGTCGGTTCCAGCCGTATCGTACGGTTGCGAGAGAGGTGATTGCACACATCGCAATGGCAAAGCCCTGAGATCATCAATCAGCAACCCTCCAGCATCGTCATTCATCACGTATTATCACCTACTAGGGCAATCACGATCATAACATCATCAAGACCAGGACTATACGTAATCTTCAAACGAGTGTAGAGACGAAGAAGCGTAATGACAAACGCGAAACTTAAACAGACAATATTAACGATCAGGGCACCATTCCCGCGAGTGGGGGGATCGACGTAGTTGGGCGTCGGCCATGTAACCAGAACTTCGGGAGGTGGCAGTCTCATTATGGCGACTCCGTTAGAGATTCTGATGGACGTGGTAAATATACAGGATTCAGTCGTGGGAGGAAAAGAGGCCGGTGGTTTCGTCGGATTGTCTTAGTTATGCAGGCATGATTGTCATCAACGCGACGAAAGAGTCAAGGGCACAAAAGCCATGTTCGGGCCAAACTGCAAGCGAGGCAACCAGAGACTTTACAACCAGAGGCTCTGATGACAGCCCTCAGCAATCCAGGGAAACCTTGAGGAGCGAGATCGCTGGTGGCAAAGGTTCAGATGGCACCTTAGAGAGGATGGATGCAGCGGGAGACAGCAGGCCAGTTGTTATATCCTGCTCACGGAGCCGACTAAGGTACCGACTACTTAACCCAAGAGCGCAACAGCCCGAATCTGACCCTAAATCAACTATGGTCAGGACCCAAGTTTCGGGGGAACTCAACTTCCCATATTGGCTCCATATGGGTTCCATAGTTCTCAAACCAGTCCAGGCCGCCAGCTGCATGGAATTTCCAGGAGACCTCCAATAATGCCTCGTCGCCACCGTGGTTCAATATCATGTGCTTGCAAAAGGAGTAGTATCTCCGAAAGTTTCCTGGGATCAGATAGTAGCTCGTGGCTGTCATAGGCAGATCCAGGGACCCATCGTTCCCCTTCGACCCCACCGTCGAAGATCTGTACAACACAATCGCCGACTACGACGACACATTATTGCGCTGTCTCTCTCTCAGCAGAGTCAATGATAATTCTGTATACGGGCCAACCTTGACACTCCAAAGTCAAAAATATGAATTAACTGGGATCAGTGGACAAGTTTGACGATTCCCTGACACAAGGATTGGTGAAATTTCCGACCACTAAGTTCCTTGCAGCCGCGGAAGCCAATAATGGCGAGCCTTAGGTGGTCCAAGCAATCTCACTTGCACTAGCATCCTTACTAGTGGCGTCTGATAAGTTACTGTCGTATTGACTACTCGGTACTCAGCAGAAGTCGTGAGACTCGTTTCAGCTACGAAAAGGTGATACCTATGGTGGGTATCTGGAGGGTCTGAGATTCGTGGTGGAACTTGGAGTAAGCAAAAGGTAGGAGCATTGTGTGGACAATTCCAATAATTAGAAGATTGAGAGGGAAGAGGATGTGGCCCAAGTGTAAGAGTGGCTGAACCGTTAAACACCTAATCTTCCCACTTTGCCTCGGTTCCGACTTTCCCACGAGGGCCATCGCTTCTTCGGGTTAGCGCAGTCCGTAACCCCCGCCTCCACAGAAATGGTGAAATCAGTTCTATCACAGATAGCTTATGGTTCTAACAGCACTTTTCACCAAGTCTCAACGTCTGCTCAATGTGATTTTCCCGTGGTGGAATATATCTGCCATGATGAAACGTCTACAATAGGATTGACCGCTGATTCGCTGCTTAATCCGGCAGTATGTCGGCATTTGAACCTTGAGCCACCACGATGTAAGCGAATCCCACCTCTAAGATTCTGGACTCCTGCAGTCCCTTGCATCGATATGGTACCGAACACGGGTGCCTCGTACATATCTGTCCACCCAAAAAGTGATCCAAGGTCCAAGGAGATCCCTACTATGGCAGATCAACCAGTGAAGGCAATAGAAATTGATCTTGTAGACACTCTTGTCTGATGTTCGATTTTTCATGCAGAATATAACTCTAAACAGGTACTTAAAATGTGGACTGCGATTTTGTCCGCACTCCAAGCTTGAGGTTAGTAATCACTACACAAGAGCACTTTAGCACGCGACCACTCTGTCTTCTCTTTGCTGCCGTTACTAGAGAGATATAAGCCTATATTCGCTTATTGGTTGGCAATTGGAGCAATTATTCGGATCATATATTTGAAAGATTGCAGCCTTCCTCGGGACCCGACAGAGCACTTGAACATGGATGAAGCAGCCGTAAGGTTGATGCCTCAAACTTCCAGCGAGTCATGACCGCTACCAAACCACTCGTCATCGTTCCGCGGCCCATGGCACTCGGACGGAAATCACAAGCTCAAGGCATATTTATTCTGACTTAAATTTGGGTAGGTCTCGTCCTTTCATCCGAAGAAACGAGCACAACTCGAATTCTGACTCTCAATTACCTAAGTTAAGGTCAAACTTTATCACAGCTTCCGAGTATGACTGATGGGATTCTTGACCTTTGCCATACCACTCAACTCATAAATCGGTCTAAATGCTCAGCGTCGGGTATGACCTCGACTTGCTCTAAATGGTTAAAGTAGACATGCCTGATCGAGTCGAGGCGGGTTGGCTCCACACAGATTATCAATAGCGGACGATCTTTTGAAAACTGGGCGCCGATCGTCCAGGCATCCGCCCTTGGATCTTTGCAAAGACTTTGGTTATCCTAAGCCCCTTAGTTAGTTAGCATCTGATCAAGCTTTTCAGACTTCAGAGATCATGGGCCAAGACTCAGCGGAATGACGATCACCGTGGCTTCCCCTCCTTGTTACAATATCCGACGTGGCCGACGAAGCTGTTGGAAATTGGTGGGCAATGAGAGTCTCCGATCTTGACTACATCCGTTGAGACTGACTGAAAGATCGTGAGGACCACTACACATCAAGTTGCGAACCCCCCTGGCGTCTCGTCTTGGGCTTGCTACCTGTTTGTCAAGTAGTCATGACAACAGATGTAGGTTGATGCGATACAGCATAACCACCAAAATAGTGATACCTCCGTTGTCCTTCCCCCAAAGCAACTGGTGCTGTTGATAGCAAGGGTATCAGTGCATCTACAGTCAATCTAACCTAGGCCACAATCAGAATATCCGATGGACTTTCAGCCTTTCATATGCCAATGCGTGCATCAATAGAGACAACAAGCCACCCTCCTTCAGCACATACGTACTATTATAGCTATAGCTCAGTACTATCAATGACCATTTCCAATCACTTGCTTCTCAGAACTGGGGGTTCCTGCGTTGAGCAGTTCTACTCCAAATTATTCAGTACTCCTTCCCTGGGGTTACTCACCGCAGATGCTATGCCTTTTTTCTTTTTTTCCTTTCCAATCATCGCTTTCACAGACCAGTCTAACGAGCATCACTTCAACCGTCTTCCGTCCAAGACGCAGCTTAATCACAACTTGATAAATACTCCAGAACAGGACGGATATTCCTAGTCCTCCGTCATACTGAGTCTAGTATCGGCCCCGTTATGTGTGTCATGACCATGAAACAGCCACTCAAACTTTGGCAATTCCATCAGACTGGTCGAACTCTCCATGAGTATATACCGTCTCCCAAGAAGATCAAATTATTGCACGCACTCGTTTGTCGATCTCCATTTTTCTGGCTCTCAACCCGCCTAGCTAGACTAGGGCGAGGAAATACACCTTGAAAGCTGAGGCGAGTGTATTTGAAGCAGATAAACTGCGTGCTGGAATTGTAGTCGGGGGGTTCGAGTGAGAGACACATTCTCTCTCGAATCTGGAGAGCGCTATGTTCGAATGGCGGTGGTCAGAAAAGCAGTCCTTTGGGCTCAAAGGCTGTTCTTGATGTCATGTGTTTTGCGAAGGTGCTGATAGACATACTACCCTGGTCACAATGAAGGTCATCAATGGTTTCAACTGCAAGTTGAGGAAAGCTTACGTGAATCTATTTTTCCAACTAGGTTAAACATCCTGTAACAGTTAGGACATATCTACAGAATTTCAAACAGGCTTCTTATCCAGTCATCTATCAATTTCACCTCGGATTAATCCAGGTGATCTTAAAGAAGCGCCAAGGTGAACATGTTCTTCTTCCCTGATATCAACTAGGATTATGATATGACGCGTATCAATATTGTCATGGGGTACTGAAGGTTAGGGAGTAAAGGCCCGTAACTTGCGCACGGTCGGACACCCTGTACTCTGTAGATTGTGGCTTGAACCTTCTACAGCCAAGGTAGCCAGGGGTGCCGGGGTGTTCCTGTAGTGTGTTCCATGGACCAGGCACGAGACACTAGCAAATCACATTTATCCCTTCCCCTGCATGTTTCGTCTGGTGTTTCATCCAGATTGGGGGAACTGGATTGAGATGAACGCAAAGAGTCAAAGTGATTTCTTCAGGCATATTCTTTTCAGGTCGTAACTAAGTACATAGTATCAAGAGTGCGGAGGCTGCTTCCAGGTTCCATGGTCCATAGCTGCTAAAGTGTGCTAAGGTTGTGGGGTCTAAGAAGAGACGGACACCAGATGGAGAATCTTTATTCAGTCTGAAGGCAGATGTTGACTCGAGTCACTCGACAGAGTAAGTGCCTGCTACTCTGATTCATTATTGAGACTTTTACCCTAAAAATCGCGTGGTTACATCCTTGCAGTGGCTGATTCGAATCATTCGACGATGTGCTCATGCTGGGCATGAGGGGAAGACAAAGTGGGCCCGGAGAGGCCGAAATTCTGGGGATTGTGAACCAACAGCTTGCATTGGCAGTGGACATGCAGATTAATGACTTGGGTTTATACCGAGGTTGCAGTAGGCATCGCCAACAATCTATTCATGTTCAATTGGAGGCAGTTCTGCTCTATTATTTGGCCTGTCATCGAACAGATTGGCAAGGCACAATACCTCAGCTCAACCGACACAATGCGACGGAGTATCAAAAGTCCAATGTAACACTCAAGTGATGTACATGGATCGAGCATCTTCAGTAGGTATATCTGACGTGCAAAATCTGTGAGGGCCTGCTTCCTGCCTGATCCATCCAGATATTGCTGCTCTAAGAGGGTAAGCCCGGCGAGTCAGGTGATCCGCTCACCCTTTGACGCCTATGTAGCTGTATACTTCACCCCTTCCACGGGCAATTCTTCGGACAATTGTCCCTCAGCTGCCTGACAATTGTCTTGGAACGGTCAAATGTAAAATGCGATGTTAAGTCTCTGCTGAAGAAACTGGGTCTCCTTCTTGATCTTCTTCGTCGACAGCTATAATATCACATTCTCCCGTCGGCTTACTGGGAGTAACTCTGTAATGAACACAGGAGGCCGTCTATTTCTCGTTTGTCCGCCTTGCTTCGCGAGAAACCGTTTCCCATGCCTTCTCCCGGGCCACCTTTACCGCCCAGCATACTCCGTTGATGAAGAGATCTCGCCAGTATACGACTGCAAGTACTTCTACCCAGCGAGGCCTGGACAGGTACTCGCTGATTATTACCAAACCCTGGTCAAGGTTGGCTGGTGCGTTTCTTCAACAGTATGGCTCGCGCGTGATCTGCAAGGGTAGCCTTTGTTCAATTCGAAGCTCTCTCTGTCTTTAACAAACAGGCAGGCATATAGACGAGCCAGACAGCATTGTGGCACTATAAATTGCCAATAACAATGCGAGTTTCGCTTGTCATGAGCGCAAGGTTGAAGAGCACATTTCCTCAGCAGACCCCATCACATCACGGTCGCTCACTTATCTGAACATTATGAGACTCTTTTGAAGTTAAAGGTCCAGAAGGTTCTTATTCGTGTCTTGTGTATCCTCCTATGAGGGAGCCATTGTCAACATATCAGCTGTGCTTTGATGATAGAAAGATGCCACTGCCTCTCATTAAAGCATACATTCATGTTCTCCTCACGGGACTTAATTATCTTCACAAAGAATGCAGGATAGTTCATACAGGTAAGCTTATCATCGGTCTTGCTTGCCCTCGGTGATGCTGAGCCCGGGCGGCTGCCTAGATCTAAAGCTTGAAAACATCATGGTCTCGTACAAGGATCCAACCATGCTTGCTGATTTCATGGATTCTCAGCTTGAAAAACTGATGGCTTTTAAGATTGATTTGACAGGACGACCAGTGTATCAGCCTTGTGATGACTTTGGGCCACTCAAAAGCCTGAGAAGTATACCACAACTTGTCGACTTTGGCCTTAGCAACCAGACTTGAGGAAGACGACGACTGGGGCGTCTGGCCTATTCGGTCCACCCCCTCCAGAGGTGATACAAAGGTATCAATACATGCGAGAGTACTCATGGCTGCAACCCATTAGATGAGAAGACGACAGAATATGCGAGACCGCGGAGGAGTACTTCTGTGGGCCATTCTTTGACCATAATGGTATTACTGAGTTGCCTATGTGGAATGGATTCTGCTCAGACTCACGAAACATCTTAGGTCGGTTTCTCTACGAAGACCTGACCCCGACCGGAGACTAGGCGACACAGTTTCCTTCCTTGAGGGAGAGGAGAGGGAAGCGTTTCTGGATCCCGCCAAGGGAATGCTTGTCTGGCATCCAAATGCAAGAAAAACTGCAGCTGAACCGGCAGGGCATCCTTTTCTTCAACCAAGGCAAACAAGCGCCTGATTTTTGCGAGCGTTTGCTAGCGGAATGACTCGAAATCGTGGTTGATCCCAGTTCGGCGGTGCCATCAGATGACCGGTTGACAAACGAACGTAGTTGTCTTTTTGGGTGATACCTGATAGATCTGTTAACCACCTCCCGCAGTAAATCGGCATTCAATAAAATACACAAAGGCAACAGTTTCCCAGCGGCAAGTCTGGGGGTGTGTTCTTTGAAAATGTTTGTTGTGGGAGGACAAACTCAAATGAGACGATGTATACTCGCTCGTCGTAGGCTGGAGTCGATTCAAACCAGATACTCGTGTGGATTTAGCAAAAATTCACAACGAAAATTCGCTCAGTGCGCGAAAGGTAAGCAATAGCTATCCATATAACAAGTGGTACTAATGCTACACAGACTCGAGCGCCTACTAATATACACCAAAAGCTTTAGAGCTACGTAGTTAATAACTTTACCTGGTCATTGTCCAGGGCCAGATACAGCCCTGACTGTTGGATACAAACAATTCGACAGTCCTATCTCGATGTTACATTACATACTTAGGAATATCCACGAAAGGTCAAGTACGTAACTTGAGTAATCAAATGGAGGCGTCTCTAGCGGCCGCCCCTTTTGGGAGCGAAAGATATTTATGGCTCACATCCAAGCCACTTGGCAGCCAGTTGTCCAGCCTGTTTCAGAGTCGAAATTTTCGCTGGACGAGCCGTTGACTGGTCACTGGTGCATGTGAAGAAGGCCTGGACTGCGGCGTGGCTTGGCCCGAGACTGCCCGCAGACCAGCCTGGCCAATGAGCAATGGTGCCTGGGAGCAACGGCAGTTCCCGCGCTGACGTTTTTGGTTGCGTGGCGCTCTTTGAAACAGGAGAGAGTCTGGACTTGGACTTGGATTTTGCACTCAGTCATACACATTACATTACAATGACACAAGTTGGGTGCCATTGCGTGGTAGGTATGGAGGGTGGTCATACATCATACACAGTGACAGTAATAAAGCTACAAATTATTATTAGTCGGGGTTAGTAGAATCTGCGCCATAGAACGCTCCATGGCGTTAGACCAGGCTAAAGGACAATCGAATAGATCAAGATTTCCCCATGACCCAGACCCAGTCGGAGCTGAAATCTTCCAATGCGGAGGGCGATCGATATGATTAATATTAGCAGCAGACTAGTCTTTAGCAGTACTGGCTAGTCTGCTCCGTCAGACAGACTCGTAGAATCCTTCCTCACGATTATTTAGACTAGCGTATCCCATTCTTCTTCTTCCTTCCCACTTTATCCTTCTGTATTAAACCTTGTTACCTTCTTTTGAGTTTCCTTTTTTTCCATATTCGACTGCAACGTTCGTTCATCGTCTCGACTTGTCTGGTTACAAGTTTAATTCCACTTCCTCTCGCTCGATTTAATCCTTTAACCTTCGACGTTCGTTCCCCTTACATCTCCCACCTGTACTTCAGTCTAGCACCATGGAGGGACATTCGGCTCCACCTGCTGCAGACGCTGCGGGTGCAGGCACGACAACCGATGCTGCTCCTCCAGTCCAGGCGAATGTTCATGCGCAAGCTGCCCATCATAACCAACCTGTCAATCATGAGGAAAAGGAACCTATTGGACGCGTCACGCCTCGACCAACCTTTCTCACAAACCTTGCCGACTCTCGCGAAAGCCAATTCAAGTTCCACCGTCGCAAAAACGATGACTTTGACAGCTACTTTGTATGTCTTGTCTGATTTTTTCCGGCTGTTCTGATCCGGTACTGATTTGCTGGGTGGATAGCATGGTCCCCGAGACCTCGATAAGCATTCGAAATGGCCGGTCTTTCTTCGGATGCATGGCAGTGTCTTGCCCAAACTGATTCTTCCTCTGCTCTTTGTTGCGGCGTGGTCGACTTTGATCACTCTCTTCTCACATTACGTACATCCCCGTAAGTGGCTCGGCTGCAATATGTGGTGTATCGCTGGCTAATCGTACCATCAGTTGGTATCAACAATATTCTCCTTACGGTTCTCGGTTTCGTCGTCGGTTTGGCTCTTTCGTTCCGAAGCTCTACAGCTTACGAGAGGTATGCGGTCAACTCTGCAGTTTGCCCGTCGTTTTTGCTAACTGTGTCTCAGGTGGGCAGATGGACGAAAGTACTGGGCGCTCTTGGTTCAAACTTCTCGCAACCTTGCTCGCACAATTTGGGTCAACACGGCGGAAAGAAAAGGTGAATTTGAAAAGGATGACCTTCTAGGCAAACTGTAAGCCTGACTCGGCATGAAATCGTGAACCGGGCTAACCCATATAGAACGGCCATGAACCTCATCCTCGCGTTTGCCGTCGCCCTGAAGCACAAACTGCGGTTCGAGCCAGATATCGCCTACGAAGACCTGGCGGGTCTGGTCGGGCACCTGGATACCTTTGCCAAGGACGCCCACGACCGTACACTCCTTCAGCCGCCCAAGAAGAGTCCCTGGAAAGCGATTGGTGAATATCTCGGCGTTTCCTTCGCCGAGTCGAATCCCAGGAAGCTCATCAAGCGCTCAAAGAAGCCTCTGGGACATCTGCCCCTGGAGATTCTCAATTACTTGTCTGCATATGTTGACCGTTGCATTGCGAATGGCACCATGTCCATCAGTCTTCACCAGAGTCAAGCAAGTAAGTCCTCGTCCTTTCAAGTGCCGTTTGCGTCTGGACGATGTTGCTGATTACTTCCCCCAGTTGCTGCTCTGTGTTCCTTGAATGAAGTCCTCACCGGAACCGAACGTGTGCTGGATACACCACTGCCGGTGGCCTACAGTATTTCCATTGCTCAGATTGCCTGGATCTATGTCCTGGTGCTTCCATTCCAGCTCTACCCCGCCCTGCATTGGATCACTATTCCCGGCTCTATCGGTAAGCCCTCTCCCTCCTGTCGCATATGTGTGCTGAACTAACTTGCGCAGTTGCCGCATACATCATCCTCGGACTCGCCACGATCGGCAGCGAAATCGAGAACCCCTTTGGCCAGGACGTCAACGATCTCCCCTTGGACACATACTGCAGGCAGATAGCCGTCGAGCTTGACATCATCACCGCCATGCCGCCCCCAAGGTGGACGACTTCACCTCCCGCGACGAAAACCTTGTTCTCTTCCCTCTCAGCACCTCCGGATACCCCGACTGGAGGGACCGCAGCGTCGAGGACATCCGCGCCGCGCTGCGGGCAAAGGTTGTCGCCAACACCTCGTCCTCTGGGGGGTCAGACTCGTCCACCATCTTTGGGGACGGAAGCCTACGGTCACGGACCGATACGAGCATGGCCAAGCCATCCGTCTGAGATGTGGCTACAGTTTCGTCGGAAGTAGAGTAAACGGAAAAAGTTTGATTTTAAATTGAAATCTGTATACCAGGGTCCATCGGTTATCGTGTTTGTACAGCGTCGGCATTGATCGTCTTTCAATCGAGCATGCGAGTTTCGGTGTTTTGTCTGGAACAGAAAGGGCATTTGCAAATTGTGGATATATTCTCTCGTTTATGCATATTGGTCATGTTGGACTGTTTATATGATAGCATTTCATACAATAGTCATGAAATATTCGCTGGAACTTCTGTGTTCGTGACCTAAATAGCGACGACCCATTTTATGAACGTCCGTAAGGCAAACTCGTCCTGGAGCATCAGTCGTCGTGAGTGTGCTGCACGTCCGGTGCTCTGGCGTTATCACGCCTGAGCCTGCCTTTGCCTTTGATCTGGTGAGCTTGCGTATGCCCGTGGCTCATCCGGCCAACGGAGCATGTAGATAGCACCCGTCGCTCGACAATCCTGGGGCTCTGTCCTTCGTGGAGCACGTTCGTGTCGGGGACTATGTCCCCTCTAACCTCAAGCGACGCGACGCGACGGAACCTCAAACCCATAGACATCCCATCTCCCATTCACAATTCCGCGAAACTAATACACCACACTATGGGACAAACAAATCACCCCAGACCCATGTACCACCGCCCGAGGTAATTCCCCTTCGCACACACCCGCCACGCCACGCTCCCCCGGTCGCCGTCGCAGTCGCAGATTTACTCCCGCCGCCACCACCGATCCAGGAGCTCAGCGCGGCGACGACAGCCGCGGCGTCCGAGAGTGGCACGCGGATCCAGACAGTTGGCGTCTGAGCTTCGTCCTCACGGGCTATTTTCAGGATGTCGAGTGGGATGGCTGTCCCTGTGAGACCGAGGAATTGGGCGAGGGCGGCGGTGAGGTGGGTTTTTGCAGTTAGGGGTCGAGGGGGATTGGCTTGTTGAGATTGATGTTGGCGGTTGGGTGATTCTGCCAGGGACTGGGTTAGTACCTAAGGTATGTGTGGGTGGGTGGGTGGAGTGGTGGGTGTAGAGTAGAGCGTACAGTTGGAGTTTGAGGTAGGTCCAGGGTGGATTGCGGGAGGTGAAGGTTAGGACTTTGCTGGAGATTTTCGACGCGTCGGTTCCTTCGGGGGATTTTCGTTTGGATGGTGTTGGTCTGCTTTCGAGGTTTTGAGGTTTGTCTATTGTTGAGGTCATTGTGGGTTTGTGATTTATGGAGTATCCTGATTATTGAGAGTTTGTTGGTAAAAAAAGTGTTGCTGCGGGGAGCGAGCGACGCGATAAAGAAAATGTCCACGGTCTTGGTGATGTCACGGTACAGCGGACTCAGACTCTGAGAAAGCTGTGGGCATATCCAACCAGGACTTTGTACCACTCGAGAGTCAATTGTTGTTAACGATTGCCTCTTCCAGTCTCTGACGAGCTGTTTTTAGAAATTGCTCTTCTCCATCCTTCCCAATGTCCAGATCAGTAATACAAAGAGTCTTGTCGCGCGATTTCAAGCCGCGGATTACTTCTGCATTGGACTTGGGAACGTCAAATATCTATCACGCATTAGTTAGCCGGCATTATAGCGCTGTATAGGCGAAGTGCTCATGAGTAAGGAATACCTGGGCAAAAACCCGCGATACAGCTGCGTTGGCCTCTCCGTTCCTGGGCACCGCGGCAACGCAGACATCGACTTTCTCTGCTCCCACCGCTGTGATACCTTCTCTAGAGCTGGATGCGTTCGGCTTGACGTGGCATGCGATCTGTAGGCTGTATTTCTTGGGCGTTTGTTGGGCCTTATTGCGGGATTTGGTGGCTACATTCTCGACCAGGCGGAGGAGAGGAGTCGCGCGGCTGCTCATGGGTGGACTGCGGTAATTGAGCTTCGTGTTAAAAGATTTGATATTCTGGAGATAAATGTGAAGATTCTATGTCTGTTGTGCTTTGATCGGATTTCAACCGTGGTGGTGTACAAGAGATGTGAAGTAGAAAGCGATAAGCATTATATGCTACCGAGTCTTGGCTCGCTTATATATACTTCTGTTCTGCGCAAAGAGAAATGAAACAACCCAGCACAGCGCAGGACTCGAAGACGGTAATGTACAGAATTGTCTCAAAGAATTGGAGACTGATTTGTTGCTAGACCATTGTTAAGGTTGCCACTAAGCAGCAATGCCTCTGTGTCTGCTCGAACTAGACTCTACTTTGAGCATTCGTCAAACCTGTATGAAAATAGTGAGGTAAGAGGCCGTTTAGCAATTAAATTGCATTGACTACCATGAGTGATGAAGATCGTTAGCATGCTCGAAGAGAGTCAAATTTCGCAGTACTGCCAATTTACCGGATAATCCATTCGTAATGAGCATATCGCTTAGTATCTCTCAAGCCTAGGATACCTGTGGCAGGCGATGATCCCTTGACTGACAGTGCGAGCCTCTTGACCAGACGATTATGCTTTCTATTGCTTCAAGTGCTGGACTTGAGATGAGTACAGGGAATAGAATACAATGAGAAGCTCAACCCTGAGCAAGATCGTAGATTGATGAATTGCTTGAGGCAGTCTAAGCCCAGAAGAGAGACAGAGGGGAAAAAGAGGAAAAGGGACAGGCTGATGCAGGATGCAAAATGGTAGAGACTAACAAGATGTTTTGTTTACTTGCCTCTGCAATTCTCCCAAGGACACTCTGCTTTCACGATCATCACTGGCGACGCGTTCACTCTTCCAATCAGAACGCAGTCTTATCCCTTCAGAATAGCATCCTTAGCTTGAGTATACATTTCTTAATTGTTTACAGCTCCTGTTGGAAAGATCCTAGTATTTGATCACAGTTTATCCTCCTCAGTAACTGCGGTTGGCTGCTCTTTGTGAGTCTCTTGACATGTTTGAGCATGTAAACAGGACTGACCATGTGAGAGAACGTATTCACAGGATATCTATTGCTTCATCTCATTCCTCCTAGTTCCAGTGTCCTACATCGTTATTGCATTATTCACATCAGAACGCGAACAGTCCGGAGTCCCCCGTGTCCAAAGGGCAACTTAACCATGGACATATCCACTCGAGCGGGCCTCTTTCAGAGAGCTCTCTACCATAGCCGCGGTCTTTTCCCAGGACCAGGCTTTTACACCGGCCTAGAGTTCTATTCACATGAGGAACGAGCCAGCTCTCCTTCCCTCGAGGCAAGTGAATCCCTTCTCAGGCCCGCCCCAAGGATGAGCTTCGACTCAGTGATGTAGCCGACGCATCGATGTCTAACCAAGTGCCTTAAAACAGGGAGATTGGTACTCTTCGGCTGTTGCTCAATCTGATACCCATCAAATTGATCCTCTGACTCCCCTGCAACCCACCGTTGGACTCTCTCCTCATTCAAGTTTCCAAGATGCGCCCGCTGCTCGAGCGCAATTGACGAGTGTGCGCCCTTCACTATCTATCTCGCAGTCTCGTCTGCCTGTGGGACTGTTTTCTCGCCCAGACTACCAAAGAGTGCCTGTTTCTCAATTGATACATGGACCGTCGCCTCCGTCTGGTACTCAAACTGCATCGGAACACCGGCATCGGGCAAAGTTCGAGCCTTCTGTTCTGTCTGAAACTCGAGGAAGTGTTGATCAGCCTGCGGTTCCTTCGAGCGTCCATTCCTCACTACCAGTGGAGCACAAATACCTGGTCATAAACGCTAACAAGATCTTGGTAAAGCCCGAGCCAGCAGCTGCAGACGATCAAACCACCCCTCATGGCGATCAAATATACTGGAATCTGGACAACCTGCCTGACGTTCTTTACGTTCTCAGACCCAGAACCGACTACCGCAAATCGAGACACCGCGTTTATAAAACCACTAGTGCACTTACTGGAAAGCAGATCAATGACTTTGCCGTACTTCCGAGCCAAATCTCGTCCAACGTCGAAGGATGGAGACTCGAGGCCTGGATGCGTTTGGACCGTCGCATCACTCAGCAGGATATCATCGACCGTGTCAATCCCAAGTACAAGTTGACCGCAGAGGAGATTGAGTCTCGCAGAGACAACTTTCGCAACGCCTTCCATGTGGCTAATTGGAATGTACAAAAGTCCATCTGGGATATCGATCGCATGCTCAAGGCTATCGGGATTGATACCCAGAAGAATTCCACCAGGGGACTGACGCCTGGTTTGATCGATCCATCAAAGGGTGAAGCCGGCGGACGCATCCCTATACCAGGAGAAAATATCATTCCTATGAAGCAGGCAAGGATGAATCTAGAAACCGCTTCCAGGAGCTTCCATAAGATGCGCGAGGGTCGCCGTCCTGGCCAACTTCACACTTCGCAGGCAGATTTAAGAATGGAACCGGGCAGGTATGTATCTTAGTCTTCTTACTTCAATCTAGAGCGTCGCTAACATTGCGATAGCCGCGAGATCGAAGCAGAGCAGAGGATATCGCAGCACAATTTCACAATAAATACGTAAGATTCCAACTGTGCCCTAATCGAACTCTATACTAACTGAATTCTCTATTTAGCAACGCGAGAGCAACTGCATCGCCGCAAATTAAACCGGTTGACTCCACTCATGCCGACTTCGAATACCCCGATGTAGATAGCTTGACCCATTGCATCGAGCCTTCCACCCAACCCTTCCACGATGCAGAGGATACTGTTGGTCGCAAAATGTCTTTGCAGAGGTTTTTGAAGAAGAACAACATGTCGTACGAGGATTGGCTTCTCCGCGATTACGATGCTGTTGACAGAGATACCCTGAAGCGTGGACGCAATGAGGATTTGGAGTCTCAAGAACCCGCAAACATAACCGCCAGCCCGAAGCGCAGACGCGTTGACAATCCGGACATTGAGGCGTCCGTGACCATGAGCAACAACCGGAAGCGCAGACGTGGTGAGGATATGAATGTCGACGAGTCGGCAGCTGGCGACGATGCTAGCACAAAGCGCAGGAGTATAGAAAGGTCGAACACTGGCAAGTCCGCCAAAAGATCCAGTGATAATATTTGGGCTACTGTCTTGAAAGGCTGAGAGCTTACTGACGAATTGGAGGGAGTTTTCGGTACACACCAGGAGCTCGCGTTGAGGTTGGGTAAAGCGGCCTATTTCTTCAACGCTTTTCTATTTCCTTTTCATCTAATGAGTACTTGGGTCTTCGAGATGATTTCACAGAATATTGTCTGTGCTGGGAATCGCAGCTTGCTTTGATTCAGCTTTCATCGACATAGTGACGGAGGCAGCATGCACATTGTATAATTTCATTTCACAGACATAGGAATCCATTTCACATTGCCTTTTCATTCACCTCATTCCAGTACTCTCCCTATGGTTTTACCCTCATATTGGCCTCTTTGCACTTTGTACAAGCCTCTTCCTGGCTACCAAGCCTTCTTCGCCTACAGCAATCACCATCTCTGACTCGTACTTCAAACACACCTCAGCTATGCTTCTCTATATCAATCCTCAGACCGAGGTTAGGACCTATAAATAGGGAGTTCCTACCTCATGGCTTTCTACTTTCTTCCACTCCCTCAAGCCCCTCACCAGCCCACCACCGGCCTGATTAGCGTCTTTCCAGACAAACACATTGAGTACAACCAAAGACCCTATTCAGCCTCAGTATACTCGGAATACAATAAAGGCCCACCTAGTGAGCGATTTTCAGCTCAGATCCACCCTGCCACTCGCTTCCTGCCTCTGCCGCGAAAAGGGGGCTTATTCAGCAGCGAGCAGCAGTCAATATGATTGTTCGCAGCTTACAATACGTCCAGAAGACCAGACAATAGACGCCACACAGCATGTGCCATCCAGCCACGCGATCTATTTCCGGCACCCTTTTCCGGCTTCACCCAGGGGAGCCAATGAGAATTGTTCAGTTGCGTTGTTCCGGAAAAAAGAAGCTTTCCAGCCTCCTCGTGGTGTACCTGCGGCGCTGGGCGAACTGGGGTCGGGTGGGTATGCAGCTGTCAGTGAGGAGTACATGTCGAGAGGCTTCGTCTGAGAAGAGCGGCGGATAACCCAGGAACGGTAGTAATATGGGCAAGCTGCGTATCATCTTGAAGATCAAAAATTCTAGGTTTCAGAAAGACAGCTTCCGACAGATCATGTCAAAGTGTGTTTGTGAGTCTGTGGCTTTCAGGGGCTCGCTAAGGAGGCGAGGGAGACAAAGACTAGAGAAGGCATGCCGAGTGAATATTCGCTCAGCCAGTTTCATTACCATCGCACAACCAAACTTCCTCAATTCAGTCGACTATACCAACCTCCACATTATTGAGAAATCGAAAAGAATGAGAAGCTCTCAAAACTCAATATGGCGAACTTCAATTCTTCTCCGCCGTTATTTTCTCCTGATCTCTCTCCTTCGGGACTTTTCTTGCTCAAACACTTTTCCACTTCATCATCGCAAGGACCAGCTTGCTTTCGCAAATCACCAAAACGATCAGCTTTCAACAACAAGTTCCAAGACAGCATCAAGTGAGTGTTGATGAGTGCCAGTTGAGTCGTGTGCACAAGTGTTGCCCAGCACTGGCTGGGTTCGGCGCCGTTTCTTTTGCATGGCTGACATCGGTTTGCAGCCATCAACAATGGGCAAAATCGAGAGAAAGAGTCTCAAGGGCTCCAAGAGCACTGACAAGCCTAAGGGCAACAAAAGTGAGTCGACTTCCTCTGTCCTTTGGAAACCGATCCTCATACGGTAGCAGAAAAACCACCTCGGCAGGGCAGCACCGAAGCTGTCGACCCGCGGAACTTTACCAGCTTCCGCGAGGACCAGAAGGATTGGTCTTGGGACAATCTCCCAGCCATCCTCTATCAGTTCAAGCCCACAAAGGAGGATGAGAAGAAAGAGCGGGAGCCGCCCAAGACGAAACTCCTGGGCGGCAAATGGGTCAGAGATATTGAGATCCTTCCGGATCACATCTCCTCTGACGTCGAGGAGTTCAGAGTCGAGGCATGGATGCGCCTCGACAGGCGCATCCACTTACAAGACATTATTGACCGCATGCATAAGGATTTCGCAATCGAACGCAACGCCCTCCAGCAGCGAAACGTCAGGTTTCGCAAAGTCTTCCATGTGATTGCGTGGAGTTCAGGCAACAAGATCAGTTGTCAGCTTGAGCAGAACGTCCTGAAAAGGATGAGCGAGCAGGGCATTGACCCTACACTCAATTCTACCCGTGGACTGACTCCTGGTCTCATAAATCCTGAGCTTGGTGAAGCGGGTGGTCGCATCGCCCTTCCGGGCAACTATGGACCTGAGAGACGTGGATATCGTGGACCACGCGCCCCAAAGAAGAAAAGGGATGTGGCAAAGACCGAAGAGGACGCGGATACGGATGCGCTCGACCCTGCCACTCCCATCAGAGAATACCTACCTTTGACTCCACCCCGTCCATGCCAGGTCCCTCGGTCAAGCCTGGCTCTTCGTTCGGTCAGTGTGCAGCTTCCCAGGAGTCGATGACTGCCATTTTCAGTTCTCCTTCTCCTATCCCAAGCTCTCCTGTTCCGCTTTCGCCTGCCTTCAGTTCTCCTCCTCTTTCTCCTGTCCTTTCTCCAGTCTCTTCTCCTGACCCGGTTCCCGGCCCTTACTTTCGCTGTTTCCGACGAGAACAACATCGACTCTCCTCTGGACGAAACCCTTTACGATGGAGACCTGTGCCCTTGCAACTTCGACTTTTTGTTCAAGGGAGAATCGCGTCAAGGACTCGATTGGCTGCGTCCTTGCGAAGAGGAGCTTTCAGGCCTGCGCAAGGATGTGCCCAAAGACTTGAAGGCGCGCCACCGGCCTCAAATGAAGCGCCAGCACAAGGCCTTCAAGAACGCACTACCTTTTTGCAATACCGATTCCCTGTACGCCAAATTTGCCAGCAAGTTCGACCTCGACGACATGATTAACGTTGTTCCAATTTCTCGCACAACTGCGCCGCCATTGCCGAATCCACTATTTCCATCCCTCGTCTGCGAGCCCATGACGTTGCGTCCAGTTTGCCGCCCACGTCCTACCAACGAGGGCGTATTGAAATGGATATACGACGTCGCGCTCAATGAGTATTACGCCGGGCAGAAATTCCTTTTCGAAATGCCTTATGTGGAGGGCGTCATGTGAGGGCAGCTCTACCTTTCAATATCTGCACTTCTTGTGTTTACTTTCCCTTTTTAGTGGGCGTCTGGTGTGGCGTTGCCAATTCGACTTCTGTCCTGTTCCTTTGTTGCCTGGTGGCATTTCGTTTCTACAGATACCCCTTCACGCAAAGTCCTCGATTTCCTGGGAACGTTGCTGGAGCGGAGTTGGCCTTGGTGTGGTCTTCGGGTTGCCATGTCTAATGTTGTCGTTTGAGCTTTGTGTATTTCTTCGCTTTCTGTTTTTCAACAGCTGCTATGCTGTCCAATGGGCTTCTGGACCCTCTCAGTATGAAATGGTGTCGTTCGGATAAGGTTGATTGCCAAGGCGGCGTTCCGCGGATAGCGTGACTGCCACGAGTTTGTGATATGCAGGGTTGCACTTTCCTGTTTGGGCAGAGTGAGCCAGCCAGTGAAATCAATTTGTTCTTCAACCTTTAATCGTCAATTCTGTAGAGCCATCGATGCAATATTCCCGGCATCAGCTGGTTTGGCTTACGGCATGATATATTAATATCTTTTGCATACACTCCCAGCCTTGAAGCCCGAGACGATGCAGTAAATGGTCGGATGCCAGACAACTAGACAAGCTCATGAGACTAACTGACCATACAATTTTAAACCTTCAGCCATGTCTGACTCGCTATATAGAAATATGTCAATTATGTCAAGCTTAAGAGTTAGCTGCTTATAAGATCAAAGAACAGCTTCACTCGGAGAACACTCCGGTATAAGCCACACAGACTGGTAATAAGTGGCAGAGGGTCTATAGCATTAAATTCCGAGTAGGGCTTGTGAGTACTGAGCGGTTTCCTATAAAGGCGTATAGTTATTCAGCCTAACCTCTACATCTATGTGTTCGATTTGTTCAATTGGGAAATCACTATTATTTTGATCTAGAAAAAATATCCCAGACTGGAGAGGTATGTCACTCAGATTAGTGTACCAGCTCCATATGCACATTCTCAGTTTCTACTTAAGCAAGAATCCCGAGCCCCAAGCTATTCACAATGTGACTTCTGGTGTTATATTCACAATGCTTCACCACTCAGGTATAAATATGAGACTTTACTGGTTTTCCATTCTGTATAACAATTCTTAGTCTCTACTCTTCATCTTCAGTATTGTCATCTAAGCCTATTTTCATAAGTATGTGCTCTCAACCTGCTGATACTCGTGGTGTGTCCCTCCTCTTGCATTTGTATCTCAAAGAAACTAACATGCTCGTTTTAGCTATGCAGCAATTGACATGCCATCGTCAGTGTTACACGGTCCTCGTCAAGAAATGTCGCACTGACACACCTCTAGATGACACCCCTCCTGACAGATACCACACCTGCATCAACACCCACCATGCAGCCTACTCCGAGAACAATCTACCCCCTCTCCTCTTCCGCCTGGAGGCACCACCATTCGATGATCTCCCTCCGCTCCCAAACCTCGTCGAGAACAACCAAGTCATCAAAGACCACGACGGCCGCCCCCTCCGCGCCTTTCCCTTCCTACCAAGATACATCTCCATCCGCCCCTCAGCCTGGCTCCTCGAGTACTGGATGCGCACAGACCCACGCCTCACATACCGCGACATCAAGGCGCGGATGGTCGTCCCTGCAGCGCAGCGCCCGCGCGAGAACACCCTCAACATGCGCCGCGAACGCCAGTGCCGAAATCCACTGGCGCTATCATGCTGGGCGAGCCACCGTCGCGCCGTGGGGAAAGTCGAGGTCGAGCGTGTTGCGCGCTGGTCGCTGGACCAGATTAGGTATAACACGACTATGGACATCGAGTACGGGAGGGGCGCTGGCTCTGGCCCTGCCGACCAGCGGACTGCCGTGCGGCTGCGCTCCAGGACTCTGGCTGGTGGCGTGCCGGCGCACTACCCTCTGGATTTGTTTCTGGAGGGTGGCGAGGTTCATGTTCCAAGCCGGCGGATCCGCGAGGCGTTGAGTCTCTTCTGGCAGTTGTCTGAGAGGGCTTCGCGGCTCCGGCTTGGGAGTTGGAGGCTGCTTCCGGCTGAGGAGCTCCCTGAAGCGTGGCGGCGTTGGGCGCAGCGTGGGAATGTGGGCGAAGAGAGAGATGTGGAGGCTGGTTCAAGGCGATCTGACAGTGTCTAGGTGTAGAGTGGGCGACTCATCGAGAGGGATGCTACTTGTATATTAATTTGGTTGGGAAGATTGGGATCCCAAGCTTGAAGGACATTGGTATGTCGTCCACATATTTGGCAGAGAAACAACGGAAATTGGACTATAAAAATCGACCGCCTGTTTCATGCAAAAGGAAAATAGTATTCGAAAGAATATGTATCTATCGGTAACAGAGGCTTTGCAGGGGAACTTAGAAAAGAAGAATGCTGTCTAAACTGGAGAATCCCGTGGCCACTCCCCCTCATTAACATCCTTCGCCTTGGTCCTCATCAACCATCCGCCTTGCTCGTTCTGCAGAACATTTCCATTGGACTGATCCCAGAGAATGGTGCCATAGATACCTAACTCCCCAATGACCTTGCCACTGAGAACCTCGCCATCGCTCCTCAAAGCCACATTCTTGGCCTCAGCCGGTGGTCGGATCAGTTCCATCAAGATCCATCGCTTCCATTCACTTTCTGGAATGGACCGTAAGAAGTCGGGAATAGCAGACTTATAAACGTTGTTGCCGCCTCCTTCCCGCTGCGGTTTTAGGACGTGGTTGAGGGCTGTTTCGGGGTTCAGAGCCAATTCTCGACCGCGTCCGCTTGAAGAAAGGTCGTATTGAGGCGCAAATGTTTCCCGTAAGCGAGCAATAGTGGCCGGATCGGTGTCTGCCATGAAGTTCGCAAGGTGATCGGGCCCTGCAGTGTCTGCCAGCACTTGTTGTATAATCTTAGATCCTGCCAACTGGTTCAGAACGGTAGGGCATTTGATCGCTGCGGAACGCTCCAACTGTGTTCGTGCCTCCCAGTCACGCTCGGAGGTGTAATCAGTCGGGGCATAGAAACAGCGGAGATACACAGTTGTCACTTCAAACTGCGTGTCTGGTGAATGACGGGGTCGGTAGATGAGAGGCCGAGAGGCGTTCGAGGCAGGAATCGATGTGTGATCCAAGACCTCGGTACTGAGTAGTCGGAAAACGGGGATCTTATGAACGGTAGTAAGCTGTCTGGAGAGTGCTAGCTGGTCAAATATGTTCCGTTCGTTCTCCTGTACCACGAACAGAATACACGTGGGAAGAGCCGGGTTCGACTTCGAAGGCCCGTAAGCGGAATGCGCCGCAGCCAGCCCGGCTGACAAGGTTTCCACAGCGGTATTCTCGGGAGGTACATTCGACTCAAATAGTGGGTGGGAAGGATAAGAAATGGGATAGCCTGGCGGGGAGGTAAGGAGCTCTGAATGGAGCTTTCGCACCAGAGAAGATAGGCCGCCGAAGGACGATGAGATAGTGTTGAACTCCACTTGCTTCAAAGACGGGGCGTTCGCGTTTGTTGGAGCGTGAGCCATGTAATCGGATCGATATAAACCAAGCGACAAATTCTGAACATATCCCTCCTCCTTGACTGAGAGGTGAACTTTCCACAGACCGGAGATGAAGTCGTCAACGTCAATCAGACTACAGGTCAAACAGTTTTTAGTTCAGAACTCTCCACAGATGCTGTACTCCGAAGAAGCATTGCATTGAATCTAGGTCACAGAAAAGCATCAGAGTCTTACTCTTCCATAATCTTGCCAAGCCATTCCTCATTACATGTAATTGCGGCATAAAGCTTGTTGTACACGGTCTGCAACGCCTTGGCCTCTTCAAAGCATGCCCTTGGGAACAGACTCGGAAATAACGTCACTGGAGCATTCGTCGCCAATACACCATATGGGTCAGACTCCTTTGAAACGAATGAAGGATGGGGTCGGACCATCAAGCCATTTTGCGTAGCCCAATCCTTGATAGTCTTCACCAGGAAGTCCTTCTGTGCGGGGTTCAGTTCCGGAGGATAATTAGTATAGATCGAGTCACCCATTATGAAGAGCGATGTATATCTTGCAATATAAAATATCAGCACTCAAAGAAGCCTAGAAAAGCAGTCTGAGATCAATTGAGGGCATTCAGGTGCTAATAAATCAACATCTCCTGCAAGAGAAGGCCATTATTAATACTGTCGATGAGGGGCCGTCGGCGATTAATCATCGGAGCTTTGGTGGGACGAGGCCGCATACCGCCTGCTATACCGCCTTCAATACCGGCAGAAAAAGAGCTCTATCACGATAACCGATCGCCGATCGCCATTTTCGGGCAGTATCACTTTGGCGCGTCTCATTCCATCAAACGCGATCAGTTCATCAGAATTCTTCCATTACCCAAAATCAGTACATCAGCTTGCACTCTGACTTCATATGTTCAGCAGCTAGGCTTTTAGTTAATGCGAGAATTTGTGAGATCGCGACTCTCTTGTCTCTCTCAGTAGCTCGCCAATTCTTTCTAACTTTCTTGATCGTCCTTCGCTTCTCTCAGATCTCGCCTCTCCTTGACCCAATGGTGCCTTATCACTCAAGAGAAAACTCAATCTCAGCGATACACTGGGCCTGCTGATGGGCTTACTGTAAGATACTGCTGGCTTCGACTCACTGCGTTGGGATTCCATTAACAAAATTAGCTCCACCAGACGGAATGGAATCTGATGATGGAGACCCCCTCGACTGGACAGTTGATGAGGTAGTAGCCTTCCTCTGCTATAATCCTGAGACACCATGGTCCCAGTCTGCGTCGCAAGCCCCTCGGCCAAACCCTGTCCAATTCGAAGCCGCTCTTCGAGAGAATTTGATAACCGGGGAGGTGCTGTTGCATGATGTCGACAAGGAGACTCTACGGGAAGAGCTTGGCCTCAAAGCTATTGGTCATCGTAGCTCTATGCTTATGGCAATACGCTACCTTCAGCGACGTTCTCAGAAATACCAGCGTTCGAGGGTGGAGCTGGCTTCCCAAATTGATGATCGCCGGTATTCAGTTACCCCAAGTCACTTAACAGCTGTTATCCCAGGCCCTTTCGAAGATTTCTCGTCACCGATTCATCAGAACTCCGTGCTGTCAGCGGCGACTCCTCAGAGTCTGATACAGCGCCCTCGTTGGATGACCCCGTCAGCATCTACAGTATCCCAAACTAAAAGGAGCTTTCCCCCGGATGCCGCTACTTCCAGTGATCTGAGGGGCGACGAGTCTACTACAACGACCGCTACTGCTAAAGGTAATGGAAGTGCGACCACTACCAGCGAGAGACCTCCAAGCATCGCCCCACCTGCGGAACAACGTAAAGATCCATCCGACCCTGGCGATGGCGTGCGTGCTTATGAACACATCGTGGTTGATGCTGAAGGAAAGAAGCGACGCAGGCTGGATTTGAGCTCTCTACCCGAGCCGCAAAAGAACCCTCGTGCCTCAAAGTCCTCGAACTCTCCGCAAGACAAGGACTGGTACATGGGACCAGATCGGATTCTGCCATCGCAATTATTCTATCCGACTACCTCTGATGAGGAGGACCATTCGTTTGTAATGCTTGGTCCTCCGAATTTGCCTTCCGCTCAGCGCCACTTCGTGAGAAAGTGCATGAACTATTTCTTCAGACAGCAGCCCATTCAGTTGAGCTCTGATAATGAAAGTAGTCAGATGGCTCTGATCCCATATGACCACTCGAAGGTGAGCGAACGCGACAAGAAATTCTTCACTTTGTACACTGCCACAAGTGGAAATGTGTCGGTTACACAAGAGGACATTAAGAAATGGCCCCAGTTAGAACAAGCAGGGGCTGCCGGCTCGCCACTATCGCAAACACTGGAACCGTCCGACCCTTATTCATATCTCCTTCAGAAATACCCTGCTGCGGAAGACAACGAAGACGTCTGCCCATTGTACGGTGACTCGGGTTCAGAAGGAGAGTTTGATGAAGAAACTTGGCAGGAGATTGCTAATGAACGCGATGATACCGCTCAAAATAAACCGGTAAAGCTGACTCCCGCTGAGGTTGACTCGGTGATCGAAGATTGTATGGCTGAGTTTGTGAATCGGTGGCGCCAGAATGGCTTACCGAAGGAGAAGTATAAGGCCCGGAAGCTTTGGATCACAGCTCGAAGGGCCAAGTGTACTTACCGAAAAGTCAAGGCCATCAATCGGGACATCACCTTGCTGGAGAAACGGTTAGGCAAAGTGCTCGAAGCGATACGCGGAAGTGAATATGCCTCAAAATCGGAGCTACAAACTCAATGTCAAAGCATGGAGCAGACTGTTATCGATATACAGAAGCAAAAGTGGCGTATCTCGGTCTTGGAGGAAGAGAGGTGTCCACCAAAGGTTGCTTCTGCCCTCAAAACAAAGCCATTGCCAAAACCAAAGATTAGTGCCGCAGACGAGGAGTCTCTTCACTCCGAATCCGATGTCACTTCTGACTTCCAGGATGACTTCATTGACGACTCGGAGGCTCAGGAACGGGTCTCGTCTGTTGAAAACTTTGGAAACGTGGACAGCGTCGACAGGATTCAAACACCGGCGTCGACGCCCTCAACTTCCGAAAGCGATGATGACATTATCAGTCCCTCTGGAATCAGACGTAAATCAAGGGCCAAGAGGTCGCCTTTCATGGCAACTAGCTCACCCTCTCCTGACACTTCAGGGGACGCGCAACAGGCAGAGATTATTGACCTCACAATGGACTCTCCTCCCGCTTCAGCAGACGAATTCAGGATCGAAACGCCGCCACTCAATCCTGTGCGACCACCCAGGCGGACAGAATCGGACGACGTTAGCTTGAAGGTCGAACGAAGTCCTTCAATATCTCCTCCTCCCCAACTCAGCTCCAATGTAGTCGTCGAGATCCCGAAGCGAAGACCAGAAATCATCAACCGGAAACATGAAGGGTCGAAATCGACGCACAAGTCCAACACACCATATCTGCCTGACCACAATGATTTCGATGGTTTGCTGTCGTACCCTTGGGAACTTCTCGAGGAACGCCACGACCGCCGTAGATTGCTTGCAAAGTTAATTGCAACCATGCCTGACTGCGAGCGTGAAGTGATGGCTTCATTAATCCCTGAATACGAATACGATGAGTTGGAGGACATTGTCAAACAGGCTCTCGGAGTTCTTTCGAAAGGCCAGGAGGAGATACCCGAACTCGATAGTGAAAAGAGCCGGCTGTTAATGCGGGCCGCCTCACAATTCGTGTCATGGGTGAATTGCATGTACATGGAAAAAGCGATCAGCAGGAAGCGTATCCGCAAGGCACAGGAAGAAATTGCTGACTTCAGAGTCTTCCACAAAGAGCTTTGCAAGGGATTAGGACTTTGCAAAGGTCGGAAGTTCGATAGAGAACCGAGCGAAAAGAGCACTCGCACCTCAAGCGAGCATGTCGAAGAGTCGGAGGGAGAAAAGTCTGAACGTGTCAATACACCTCACAGGAAACGGAAGAAGGAAGTCAAAGAAAGTCAAGATGCCAAACGAAATCAAGCAAGTGCGCAGCAGCGTGTAGCGCGACAGGAAAAAGAGCGAAGACGGCTTGAACACAAGATGAAGCTTATGGGTGTGAGCAACACCGATCCTACTCGTCAAGCAGTGAGCTTTGGAGACCCAACAATCTACTTGGATCCGCATATTGGTCAACGTGTAAAGCCGCATCAACTCAACGGCATTCAGTTTATGTGGCGAGAGCTGATACAGGACGAGAAGCAACAAGGCTGTCTACTGGCCCACACGATGGGGTTGGGGAAGACAATGCAGGTCATCTCGCTACTCAATACTATCTCTGCTGCAGCTGCTTCCAATGATCCGAAGATTAGCGAGCAGGTCCCCGAATGCTTCCACCGATCACAAACGTTGATTCTTTGTCCTTCCTCACTGATCGATAATTGGTACGAGGAGTTCCTCATGTGGACTCCTGAAGAGTCACGCATTGGGCCTCTGAGAAAAGTTACGGCTTCGATGATAGCAGTTTCTGAGAGGTTGCGAGAAGTGTCTGATTGGGATAAAGAAGGTGGAATTCTGATCATGAGCTACGACATATTCCGCAAATGGATACACAATAAAGAGACGAAAAAGATGCAGAAGCCTCTACGGGATGATGAACATGCAAATGTGAAGAAATGGCTTCTGGAGGGTCCAAACATTATTGTCGCCGACGAAGCTCATAAAATGAAGAATTCTACTTCGGGAATATCTCGAGCGGCTGTGCAGTTCCGTTCTAAGAGTCGTATCGCCCTGACTGGTTCTCCCCTTGCTAACAACTTGACTGACTACTACACTATGGTGGACTGGATTGCTAAAGGCTATCTTGGGGAATTTCCTGAATTCAAGGCAAACTATGTTGAGCCCATCGAGGAAGGTCTTTACGTGGACAGCACACACTACGAGAGAAGAAAGTCGCTCAAGAAGCTTCAGGTTCTCAAGGAGATTCTTGAACCGAAAGTTAACCGTGCCGCCATCACCGTGCTGGAGGGCGATATGCCGCCAAAGGTCGAATTTGTCATCACTGTTCCCTTAACCGAACTGCAACGGGCAGCGTATGATTCATACGTTGACTCTGTGGTTCAGGGGAAGACTGAAGTTGGAACTGCAAAGCTTTGGACGTGGATGGCTATCCTTGGGCTGTGCAATAATCATCCAGCTTGCTTCAGGGACAAGCTGCTCAGCCGCGCTAATGAGGCGCAAAGGGCAGGGTCAAGCTTGGATGAGATGCTACCGGGTGATGAATCTATAACCCAAGCAGGCATTCCTGATTCCGAGAAGCTGGTTTCTGAGCAAGAGCGGCTATTCGCCAAAGTTCCGGACATGAACGCGCTGAATCTGTCGTATCGGGCACAGCTTCTCGACAGGATCATCAGCGAGTCAATCAAGGCCGGTGACAAGGTGTTGGTATTCTCTCACAGCATACCGACTCTCGATTATGTTGAGCACGTCCTCAAGGTCTCCAAACGTAGTTATCGCCGTTTAGACGGGAAGACCCCCATCAGCACTCGACAAGCGGCGACCAAGAGTTTCAATACCGTTTCTGAGGAGAAAGTTTACCTCATCTCAACCCGAGCGGGTGGCTTGGGCTTGAATATTCCGGGTGCGAATCGCGTCGTGATATTCGACTTCTCATTCAATCCTATCTGGGAAGAACAGGCTGTCGGACGTGCATATCGTCTAGGTCAACAGAAACCGGTATTCGTTTACCGCTTCATTGCTGGAGGAACCTTTGAGGAGATTATCTACAACAAGGCCATCTTCAAGACACAGCTTGCCGTCCGGGTTGTGGACAAGAAGAACCCGATTCGCTGGGCGTCTAAGAAGCTCAATGAGTATCTCTTCCCCGCTAAATCGGTAAAGCAGCATGACATTTCCGAATTTGTGGGGAAAGATCCTCATGTGCTGGACAAAATAATCAAAGAAGACAACGGCGAGGAACGGGCAATCCGGAAGATCGCTCTCACCGAGACCTTCCAGAGAGAAGACAACGACAAGCTCACAGAAGAGGAAAGGAAGGACGTCCAGCAAGAGCTCGATGAGGAACGGCTTAGGCGTACTGATCCCCAGGCATACCAGCGGCTGATATTTGAGCGACAGAGGAGGGAAGAGCTCTTAAGAGATGCGGCGAGACGCAGGGAGGCGGAGAGACTAGCAACCATGGTGCCCATGTCTCAGCCTCAAGGGCAAAGCTGGCCTGGCAGACCTATCCTGCCAATTCACTACGCGGCCGCGCAGCAGTCCCGGGCTCCATCAGCTCAAGTGCCTCCGCCATCTACAGCTCCCACTGGGTCGCATGACCGTGGGCACCGTGTTCATACTTATGATGATGGCCCATTCGCTCATGCACGCAACAGGCCCATTTTGCCACTCTCTCAGTCCACGTCGAACGCAGAACTGGCCGTGTCTCCAAGTGGGGCAGTTGACGGTACTCAGCCTGCGTATCGGGCTCAGACCGGGCCGCCGCAGCACGACGGCATGGTCCCTTCCGCTTCTTCAGAACCGTCTTCGCCGTATTCGCCGTCCTCGAACCCACCATTACTCATAGAAAGCCGCGGTGCAAGTGCTGAGTCGGAGCCCATGCAATCATCGGACGGGGGCAGCTCGCGACCTACACAGTCAAAGGATGGCAAGAAGGACGGAGGAAGCTCCTGCAAGACGCAGTAGTGATCCCCGGGTAGCTAGTCTTAGATTCAATTCTCTTTTCTTTTGTTGATTGCGAGCATTTGATCTCATGATATCCCCATCAGTTCATGCGAGCATAGCATGGTTTGTCTCTGCGTTTGCTAGCGCCCTTCTGGGTACGTGTATCGTTTACCTTTTTTTTTCTTCAGCGGTTAATACTTTCCTTTCCTTATTCCTTCTCTGTGTGAAGACATCTTTCTCTTTCTCTTTCTCTTGAATCTGATTTTTCAATTTTCCTCACTAGGATTCGCGAGGCGAGGCATGGCGTTTTTTCAGCGTGGTCGATTCCTTTTTCTGACTTCAGAAGAAATAGAACGAACAAGTTACGGCCGTCCTCAAATTCTTTGATGATTCTACGTAATGATGAATGTGGGTAGAACGCCTCAATCTCGAGAATCGAGTCTATAGTTTTCTTGAATTCTAGTCTTGATAATGTTTCTGTGTACTCTGATCAGCAGTAAAGGAAATTTCGAGATATAGACCGAAAGTTTAAAATAATCACCCAGAATAAGAAGAGAAACAACGACACCACTAGTCTAGATGTGGAGACCCCGAGATACTCCATACCATATAATCAAACAAAAGAAAAGTCAAAGACAGAGAGAATGGCTGAGGTATCAAGTATCGTACAGCGAAAAAAAAGGGGACAGGAGGGCAAGGCCTATGGGGTCAAGTAAGGAGTTTTTCCAGATCCGTGATCCTGGTAGCCCTATCGTCGACCTTCTTATCCTTCTCGCGGAAGGCCGCCAGCATCAACTTGCGCTTGGTGTCCTGGATCTCCAGCACGCGGTCTTCGATGGTGTTTTCCATGACGAGACGCCAGACGGTTGTCTCGCGTTTCTGGCCGAGGCGGTAGACGCGGTCGACGGCCTGGTCCTCGATTGCAGGGGCCCACCAGCTATCGGCCAGGATGGCCTGGTTGGCCGCGACGAGGTTCAAGCCGACGCTGCAGACGCTCAGGCTGGCGAGGAGGACCTTGCATTCTGGGTCCTTGGAGAACTTGTACGTGGAGGCGTCGCGGGCCGTCGACTTCATACTGCCGTCGATGCGGGCGTATCCGATGCCGTGGCGTTGCAGGTGAGGCTCGACGAGGGTAAGGAATGAGGTCCACTGGCTGAAGACGACGGTTTTGGTGTCGGGGCTTGGCCCTGCGCGGTGAGGATCTTGATCAGGGCTTCGATCTTGCTGCTTGGGTTGTTTGGGTCTGCGACGATGTCGTCGTCAGCGCTTTCGCCGAGATCCACGGCGGGGCCGACGAGGGTGGAGGTGTCGTCGATATTGGCGCGGCAGAGGGGGCACTTGTGCTGTCGCTCGATGACTTGCTCTATGCACCCTCGGTCGTAGGAATGGCCGCAAGCGGTGATAACGGGCTGCTCTAGCGTATCGAGACAAATAGGACACATTTCCTGGCTCTCGATTCTGAGTTGCAGCATGTCCTGAAGGGCTTTAATGTTCTCCGGGGTCAATGGGACGATCTTGTGCTTCTCCAGTAGACCCGCGAGGGCGTCGATGCGGTGTTTACAGAGCGCCCAATGGTTGCAAACTTGACGCATACGGAGAAGGACCTCAAGCACATGAGAATACGTGGTGCCTCCCTTCTCTCTGGACTTGAAGTCCATAAGCATCCCTTTCGCTTCGGATCTGTGGACTGTCAGCAGGCGCTCATCGACTTAATGGCAGAGAGGGGGAAACGTACTGGAACATGTCATATTTCTCTTGTTCATGAGGATGAAACTTGATGCGCAGCACACGCGAGGTGAGGGCCGGCAGGCGCAGGTTGACAAACTCCATGTCCTTCCTTCGCCTCAGGCATATAGCGCTCATCAGTGCCTGGAGAAGGAGACGGCCATTTGGATCGTCAGAGGTCAGAGGGCGAATGAGGACACTGTTGAAGACCGCCATGTCTTCCAAGCCACCGGTCAGTCTCAGGAAGCGAATCTGGGAATACAGATCCTTCAAAATGTTCACAATAGGCGTGCCGGTCAAGGTCCAACGCGAATCCGAGCGCAGATTGCAAGCAGCCAGCGCACCCTTAGCTCGGGGGTTTCGAATTGTGTGCCCCTCGTCGAGCACGACACGACGCCAATGAACGGCAAAGAGTCCCTTCTTAGGCGCTGCTTTGGCATTCGGGTTGTACTCCACAGCGAGAGCACCGTAGCTCGTGATTACCACATCATACTCGTCGAGTTTTGCAGCCTCTTTCTTCCCAGCACCGTGGTAGATGAGCACACTCGGCGTGCTCTCACTGCGCGTATGGTCTTTGATCTGGTTTCTCCAGTTGCTCATGACTCCGACAGGTGCTATGATCAAAGTCGTCTTTGATGACTCCGGGGTTTTTGGCTGAGAGTTGGCCAAAATCAATGAGATGATTTGAATTGTCTTGCCCAGACCCATATCGTCCGCCAAAATACCACCACTTGCAAGAGGGGGTGGAATAGCCGTGGAGTAGTTGGTGGCGATATTGGTGAATCTGTTTCCAGCTCTCTTCCAAAGCTGCACCACGTCCTGAGAACCAGGCCCAGGCAGTTGCGGAGACTCCTTTTCGATCATCCAGGCCAGTCCCTGCCGCTGGTACGGAAGAAGCTCGGTAGACAGCGCTGCGGGGGTATCTGCCATAGGCATATTGACCAAGTCCGCCTCATTCAACCCGAAATTCTCCGTCACCTGGCCAATATCGCGAGGATTAAAGGTGCTGCTCTGACCAATGATGTCTTCCAAACTCTCCCCAGGCTGACCGAGACCGTCACCCGCGTAAAGGTTAGCATACATGGGGTTGACGCCGGCCTCCCACTGCTGCCCATTGCCCGACGCCAGACCGCGTCCCTTTTTGGCAGCCTCCTTCTGCGCCCGCTCGCGCTGTTTGCGCTCCTGAGTCTCCCACCGATTGAATTCGGTCAGGGGAAGCCGGTCATCAATCATCATGCGCTTCAGCCGCTGCCGCTCTTCCGGATGACTGGTACCGTACAGCTTCAGCATAATCGGGCATGTAAACGAGCCAATCTCTCCCGTCAACATGCCTTCGATAAACAGCGACTTCGAGTCCTACGTTAATTGACGTTAAATCGAGTCCAGAACCATGCCACCCCTTTACAGAAGCTCCGTTTCATCCCTTACCATATACATTGCCAATCGAGCAGCTACATCTCGGGGAATATGACCAATTTGATTCCCCATGACGTTTAAAACCTGGATCGCATTCCGGTCATACGGGTTACTAGGCTCACGCTGCAGCAGCACATGTTCGCCAACAGTCGCGTAGCCATTGTAGTACCGGACGCCCACGATCTTGGTTCGCAGGCTCCCGTAGTGCATGAAGCTAACATAGGAGGAATCATCCTGGCTTCCCTGGACCAGATCCTCGGCTTCCGCGTCGTCCTCTCCATCCAGGATAATGGCCTGAGAGGACTGGCTGAGCGGCACGAACTCGGTACTCTCGCCGAATCGTTGGCCAGTGGTAGTCGTAGTAGCAGTTGGGTTGCTACTAGGACGCGTTGCTCTTTTCCTCTGCGGAGTAGTGTCTCTGTCGTCAACAGTGAGGTCCACTTGGTCGATGTTCCGCTTAGCACCGGGCCGCCCCATCCTTGCTGCAAGGGATGGATGCTTGTCCGTTAATTCCGTTAACGACGGCTTGACGCGACGCAAATTCGGGATAGATATGGAGAAGAAGATGGGCATAGTCTTAATACTGGAGCCGAAGCTTGTGGATCGAACCTTACTATATTAGGAATAGCTGACAGCTGGGCGGAAACGCGCTAAGCCACGGTCCCACGTGATCCACATATTGATCTTACTGCAACAGAAATGGGTAGAACTACGTTAATCAGATGAGAAGAATGTCACGATCTATGAAGAGTGATTAATTCATCGTATCCATATAAAGTCTATATAAATGGCTACTTTTCGAGACGTTCAGTCCTTGAACGAGTCACGCGTGTTGACACGGTCAATGTCAAAGGGATTCGCATCGTAGACATCCTGAGAGGTCACCATCTTCTGAGACCGATGCGATCTGGCAGACTTGGTTGAGATGGTTGATTGTCTGCGACTGAGCTTAGCAGGGTCGAAGGAAACCCTGTCTACCTCTGATTCCGCAGACGTGGGCTCCAAGGTTACCTGGCTCGGGGCCGCCATGACGCCCTGGTTTTCCTTCTCCTCTTCCTCTGGTTCTTTGACGGTTCGTTCCATCAACTTCCGCATGAATTCATCCGACTCCGCGGCGAACTTGCATCTTCTTCGGATGACAGGCCCGTACTTGTAGAAGAGGAATGGAAAGGGGACACAGGCAAGTGCCAGGAAGGCAGGTATGGACGACGCCCAGTGAATACCTGGACTGATTAATTTTGTCGCCTAAACAACAACACCAAAAGAAAAAGAACTTACCTAACGAGCTATACATATACTTTACGAACAAGGGAAAGGCGGCGGCGAAAATCGAGCGCAGGACGGCGCTAGCAGCGAGCACGGAGGCGGCGTAGATGGTGTATGCGTCGATCAGGTAGTTCATGAGGCTGAGGAAGACAAGGACCATGCCAAAGCCAAACGGCACACCAGCGGAAATACTGGCCAGATAATGGATCGAAGGGTAGTTTGTCCAGGCAAACCAGAAGAGGCCAACGGGGATGGCTACCGAAGCGACCAGGCACGGAGGCAAGCGCGCCTCAGGAGGGGCAAACCCCTTATGTGCCTCCTGGGCTCTGATATACCGCTTGTTATCGTAGATGCTGAAGGCCACAGCACACATCATGCCGATCATGATCCCAAGGAAAGCCAACCCTGACACACCTTGGTTCCAGCCTCGCTGGCCGGCAAACACAATAGGGAAGGCACCAAACATCATAAACAGAGTTCCGTACACGATTGCCATGTATATCGACAGCAAAAGAACAATGGGTTCTCGGAAAAGCAGAATCCATGGGCGGGACAGCGATATCTTCAAAGACTGGCCAAGCGTTTTCTTTCCTTGTTCGGCTTCAATCCTGCTCTTGTAGACTTTGCCAGTAAGCTTGGAAAGCTTGATGGCTCGCTGACGGAGGAGAACGGGCGCATACGTTTCTGGGACGATGAGGCCCGCAATGATCCAGAGTGCGCCAGAAAACATGGCCAAGAACCCCATCACCCACTTCCATCCCTCCGTCATGCCCAGGAAGCCACCGATGATGGGCCCTAGGACCGGGCCAAGGAACGGAGCCGACGCAAACAAACTCATCGCCAGACCACGTTGGCTCGCCGAGAAAAGGTCCGCGATGACACCGCCTGCGTTAGTCAAAGGGGACGACCCGAAAGCTCCGGCGAGGAATCGGAAGACAATGAGGGCTTGGATGTTCGGTGAGCCGGCGGACGCGGCGTTGAAAATGGTCAATCCGCAGTAGCTGATCAGAAAGAGATACTGCCTTCCCCAAAGCTCACTCATGGGCGCAAAAAGGAGGGGACCGATCGCGAACCCCAGCACGAATGTGGAAACGCCCAGAGTTGCCACTTCTGTGCCGATGTCAAACTGTTCCATGATCTGTTCCATGCCACCAGTGTACGCCGACGAGACCAATGACACGGCTAACGTCGCCCACGCCATAACCATGGTGTAGGTCCATTTCTTCGTCGTGGAAAATTCCAGGGGGTTCCGAGGGTCATTGAGTATCCAGGTGACTAGGTATGGGTCTTCCGCTGTGCCTGAACCGGCGAAGGGATAATCGATGATCTCTTGGGTCAGCGCACCTTGGTCAAAGACCAGACGCCAGTGCGATATCCGAGTGGGATGAACAGGCTCGATAGTATCAGCCGAAGCTGACTGGCTGTTGGCGCCCATCCGTGCTAAAGGATGGGATTGTGCAGGCCGAGTGGTTGACAAACGGACGAAGAGCCACCAAGTGTGGAGGATATTCTCTAATTTCTCAAAGCTCGAATAGTACAAGAATGCCAATCATACATACTATCGGAACAACTTAGAAAGAAGACAGTCGGTAGGGTTACAGAGGAAGAACGGTGGTCGGAGGTTAGTTTATATTGGGTGCATCCGAAAGAGTAGCAGCTTTGGTAAATACCCCAGTCAAGCTGCGGCTAGAATAGCATCAGACAACGACTGGACCCAAAGAGTAAAGCCGCTGTTTTATTATCGCCGACTACTTAATAAGAGTATCTAGTATCTCGGGAAACCGGCAACCAGTGGCGGCCTTCACACCCAATAACTGGCGGGACGGCGCGACGGGCATGAGGGGAACATGGTGATTAGCCTAGCCTCTGGGCACTTTGTTACAAGGATACAAACAGCGTCATAGCCCACGAGGCTCGGTGTCGGACCCCATTTCTGCCGATGAAATGCAAAATAATGCACCAACGGAGTGGTGGCAGTGGTTGGAGTGATTGATCATTATGGGACTGGCGTCGAGAAGCATCTTTAGGATAGTTGGAGGTCCTAGTGCTGACCAGGTCGACGGCAACCTTGGAGGAGCGTCAAGAGCGGATGGGGATAGGAGATTAGACGGCTTTTCCGAGCCAGGGTCATGGAGTTAGCAGTGGGGCTTGAAAGTCGGCAGAGACGGAATAAACCGACCTGATGCACAAACGACACTGGACACTGGACACTAGACATGAGATGCATTGAAGACGACCTGATGAGGAATAGGGTATAGAAGCAGACTGAAGCAGACTGAAGCAGACTGTTCATTATTCCACGGACACTGGAGTTATGAAGGGATCCTAATGCATAAGTCTATCAGTAATCACATAAAAGGAAAGCCAATACGAGATCATACTCCGTAGATACGAATGCATGGATCACTTAGCTCTTAGCCCCAGTTGCTCCTTCACCGTTCCACTGAGTCATTTCTCCCGTTGGTGTCCCAGTGGGGTTTCTCCGCTCATTTGATCTTTGGGTAGATTCTGGGGAGGGAATTATCCACAGTGGGCTTTTTCACTCTGATGATTGAGTTCGAGTACCATTATTGCGTGATGTGTATCGAACGAAGTAGCAGCCACAGATGGACAACGGATGGACATCGCCGATGGACAATAGAAGAAGACGAGTCATCGTCGTGACTTGTGATGGGAATGAATAAGCTGAACTCAATGCTGATGCCACTAATCCCAGGCATCCTAGTTCAGGCACCAACCACAGTGTCACTTGTGTGCATTAGTTAGTAGCATGAGTCTCCATCCAGAAGCTACGGAGCTTAGATGAGTTTAGATGAAACCTTAGAATTGAGTCGAAACAAGCTCGAAGAAAAGTGAATCTAGCATGGTGCAGGTGTCTGTCTGTTGTTGTCTTGTTCCACAGCATTGATTCAAAGTGCAGCCTCATTGTATCTGATCTGATCTGTCTCTCAGTATGACCAACTGGACTCTTACACAATATACACCCATGCTATATAACTTCATGGCAAGAAAGTCCTTCAAAAACATCTATTCTGTCTTAGGATGGTGAATAAACTAACTTAATATGTCAGTCTTATCTCATCCGATCGGTACACTGGTAGGGGGATCATTTCATCATTGTTTTCTGCTGTACAAAAGCAGAAGAAATGACGACATTAGGTTTTTTCATCATCCGAACAATAATTCAAGAGCCGAATGTCAAATGCCAACATTGCAATATGAAGAATATTGCAAGACGTGATGAGAAAGAAGGTGAACATTGTTCTGGCTGCATCATGATTCTGAGCATGCATTGTGCAGTTTTACTTTTTTTCGCTTCGATTTCCCTTGCTTTTTCTCTGCCTCAAAACTCCTCCATCGACCCCTGAATTCCATCGGCATTCTATCTAGATAGTCAGGTCGCAGTGTGATCAAGATACATGGGCTCTAGTTCTCCGAAATCTTTATCCTTGGATATATCATCAGCTGTCAAAATCTGGACAATCCTAGACTAGACATCAAGGAACTGACTGCTGATGGCCCACCCCAGCTCTTACCGCCAAATCCTTGACAACAACCGCGACCAGTTCGAGCTCCTCATCCAGCATGGAGACTACAAACCCTTCTACCTGTGGCATCTCCTTGTCTTCACTGCTCTTCCTTTATGTGGTCTGTTGATATCCCGGCGGCATGGAGCCCGATATCTTCGCCCCGTCCTCTTTGCTCTTATTCTCGGGACCGCCGTTGATGTCATGCGGCACCGGCGTGCACTGTTGGGAGGGAACGGTTATATGGCGGGCTTGGTGACAGCCTGGTGGACTATATGGAGTGCGACGATTCTAATCTTTAACGATGCCGAAAGAGATTTCGAGCGGATAGAGAGGCGCTCGTGTAACGCAGCATGTCCGGACAAAGCGCCGACACCAGGCAACCAAAACAAGCCTCGATCCAGTGACAAAGCCGCGAATGGCCACATCCTCAAGGCAAAGCAATATGCATCCCAGCGGGAGTCAGAGACCCTCGCCTGGCAGCCGTATCCCCGTGCATTCTTGTACCGTCTCAATTGGGCGTTGGGCCTGCTCTTCAATATGCGAGGACCAGAATGGAACTGGCGCATATCTACCTTGGATCCGTTGCCTGACTCGCTACAAAGGCAAAGGACTACCAGAAATGGGCAGCCCGCCCGTGAAGCAATCCGCAAGACCGGCAATATGGCCGACTCGCAGCCCGACGCACGAGCGCGTCTGAAGGCCATCCTCCTCACCTTCCTCAAGCACTATCTCTTCCTAGACCTGGTCAAAGTCCTCATGATGCACGACCCATACTTCTGGGGTCTGGTCCCGTCGGCCCCGGCCCGCCCATTCCCTTTCACCTACGTCCCACTCCCGACTATTCCCGACATCATCGTGCGTCTCTACCGAGAAATCCTGAGCGGACTCGGCGTCTACGCCGCCCTAAGCTTCGTCTGCTCCCTCAACCCCATCATTTTCCTAGGCCTCTCGCTCGCCTGCCCCAATGCCTCGCGCGCACTCACGGGCGTCCCGCTGGATGCTCCCTGGCTCTACTCCGACCTCTTCGGCCCGTTTCTCAGCCCCTACCTTGACCATGGCCTTGTAGGCTGCTGGAGCCAATGGTGGCATCAGCTCTTCCGTTTTGGCTTCACCTCCACCGGCAACTTCCTCCTCTCTCTACTCCCCAAACGCCTGGCAGCACGCCCCAGCATCCGACGCACCGTAATGACCGTCACTGCCTTCTTCCTCAGCGGCCTCATCCACGCCTGCGGAAGCTACACTCAGTTAACCGAGACGAAGCCCCACGCCCATTTCCTCTTTTTCTGCCTGCAACCTGTCGGGATCATGATCCAGAACCAGCTAGCGCGGTCTATTAACGCCAGGTACCGCTTCTCGCGGCCCATCAGACGCGCCGCTAACGCGATCTTTGCTTTCTGGTGGCTGGTTCTCTCCGGCGCCTCGATCGCCGATGATTTTGCCCGCGGCGGGCTCTGGTTGACGGAGCCGTTGCCTGTTAGTCCGCTGCGTGGGTTGGGGCTCGGGCCAAGGGCGAGGGTGGTGGTGTTGGGGGACCCGTGGTTTCGGTACTGGGATGGGGGAAGTACTGGGAAAGGGGGTTGAGAGTCTTATAATGAGGATCGGTTGTGTATATGCCGTAGGTAGAGATGCATATGCATATAGATGGGTAGATTGGCGGATCTATAGATATTTTTTGTGGCGCGATGGCGCTGACCAGTTTGGTTGGGTTGTCTATTTCTATGAACGGTGTATGTGTCTTATACAGTAAGGTAGCATTAGAATATCAAGGTAGAACATCCATTATCACCCATCCATCGTCACATCCTCCTCGTCGTCCTCCTCGTCCGTGTCAGGCTCAATGTTCAGCGTAGGGATCTCATCGTCACTCTCATCGTCGTCTGCCTCCGCCGTAGCTACTGCCGTCCCGGACATGGAAACGTCGGCACCAGCAGTAGCCGCCTTCGCCGTGCTCGTCGGCATCGGCGCAGAGGTAGCCGTGACAGAGGCCGCCGGGATAGAGATAGCCGCCGTGCCCGTGAAAGAAGCAGGAGAGGCCGTCCCAAGGGCGGGCTGGGCCGAAACAGCTTCCGTATCGAGCCGGGCTTTCTTCGGCTGCACATCATCGAGTTTCTTGTCAGTCAGACTGGCTGCTGGCGCGGTTTGGACCCCAAGCTTGGTTTCCTCGGGCAGGCTCCGCTTGTGCATGGACGGCGTAGATTCCTTCACTGCTTCTGTGGTGCGCTGGTTGCTCTGGATAGTTGGAGTCGCGGTTGGTCTGAGGAAGCCTGTAAGTTCGGGGGCAGCGTGCTGCACAGCGGCAATGGTCTGCTCCTCTTGTTCTTCGTCCTCGTCGTCGTCGGCCATGCTGCCGTACCCGCTGATACCGGGTGCGTGCATCAGAACGGGCATTCTGGGTCTGATCAGTCCCTCGACTTCCATCTCCGTGGAATAGCAGCGCGCCAGGAAGGGTATGATGCTGGAGCCCGTGCCGCGGCCTTTCATGGCCGGGACGGGATTGAGCACGCTTGCCAGCATTCCGGTCTTGTCTGAGGTGAGGATGACGGTCCGATCGATTTCGGCGCGGAGGGAGGTGGGGAGGAACTCGATGGGGACAAAAGTGAGAACGACTGGAAGGAGCTCGGATGCCGCTCGCTTCAGGTTGGGGAACATGGTTGAGGTTTGTGTTTGCCGACTCTGTTTGGAGGCAGGGTGCAAGAACGAGTCAGCGTTGACTGTGGCATGGTTCGCCTTTGCCTTGCCCTTGGGATCTGACGCCGCTGAGGGAACTGAGTCTCCGGCTGGTGGTAAGATGTCAGAGCAACAGGACCGCAAGACGTCTGCCAGGGACGAAATGTTCTTCTTCGTCGTGGACGGTCCCATAAGTGGGAGCAAAGCGTGGACGAGGTCATATACGGAAGCACGGATGTCCTTGTGGAATTTCTCCGCCCGGAATACCCAGAGGGCCTGCTCCAGGACTGTCTGTGCTACTGGGACTACGCCCGTCTCCAGAGCATCCACGACGCTCAGGAGTAGTTTCATGCATACAGCGTGGATACGAGGTAGTTCAGCCCAGAGACCGTCCCTTTCCTCTCGGCCAATCTGTAAGTTGACAGGGACATCTGCACCTGGTGCGGGAACAGTGATCGCACTCAGTCGTGATGTCAGATCCAAAATCAAGCCCAGTGGAATTGTCACTGCCGATGCCGTCGGTGCTGTCAAAAATCGGGATAGCAAGCGTAAGAGTACCGTCAATCTTTCCACTCCAGCATGAATGCCCTCCCAGCCGGGAAGTCCTAGCGCATCTGGCCCAGCATCAGCCACCACCTGGCTGTAGTCCTGCGGCTGAGCGCCTTGTCTCAAGGTGGCATCGACAGACTCCCACTGTTCGACCATCCCTCTCAAAACATAGTCTGCGGCCCTGTGAGCCGAAGAGATTGTCAATCGGCATGCGTTCTTCCATTCCTCTGCGGAGGTGTTCTTCGGAGCGCAATTGTGGAGCGCAATGAACAACCGCTCCGCTAGGTCCACCGTTGCGCCGGGAAACGTCGGGGAGGTTGCACCAATGATTTCCTGGAGGATGCTGTGAATCTGCGCGGAAAACGGACGGAATATCGTTGGGTGTCTTGCGATGAGCTCCAAGAAAGCGCTCAGGACAATCTCCAAGAACGGCGTATTGGGCTTCAACTTTCTGACGGGCTCGGAGGACGGCTTGACCGAGATGAGGTTCAACGACGAAGTGATGAATCCCGGTAGTGACGGCGTCGTTATTTCGCGAATAAGAGTGGGGTATTGGTAGGTAAGATGAAAGATCCGTGTCAAGGTGATTATGCACATTTTCTTCGTGGAGATAGGATCCGGTTTCTGCGCAAATAAGAATTAGCGATTGACCAGACCGGTCGACGACCGACTCGACTACTTACAGCCAAAATCGCAACAAGACTGCGCACAAGCGGTTCGCAGCCGCGAAGGACTTCCCACTGCCCAGCTTCCACCGTCGCCTTTACCAGAACAACCGCAGTCCATCGTCCCTCAAAGCTCCGATCCTGTAGCAAACTCGCCAATCGAGTTTTGAGCTTATGAATCTGCACGGCATTGTCAGATTCGGACTTGCCCGCCTTCTGATTCTGCGTCGCAGACAGGAGCTCCCCGCAATCGCTCAATGAGGTTGCCAGGAATGATGCGATTTGAGGCAATTGATCGACGGGCGTGGTCGTCAAGCGATGCGTCACAGCACGCAGAGTAGTGGATGCCATCATGCGCACCTTATGACCTGAGCTTCTCGCAGGCTCCTTAAACTTCACTATCGTCCTCCGAGGGTTACTCTTCTCAAAAATGGAAGTACAAATTTTTTGGCAGCAGAAAAAAAAAGCTTGGGCCACATGAAGCCTCGGTACGTGACGGTATCATACGCTTGTAAATTACGCCTGTGCGGGTCTCCCCTGGCCGATGATGTTTATCTCCATCGGCTCAGTTGGACTGTTGGGGGAACATTATTCTCGTTTCTTATCCTGTGATTCTATTGCAGAGTAGCCTCGGGGTTGGGCATGGATGATGGATGATACTCTTACTGCCCTCCCCTAGTCGTTGCAGCTCTTCTCCATCTTCAAGTGTACCTCCATTATGACGGTGAGTGCTGCCTTCCAAGTTACGATTGCCAGGCGACGTGTTCCCCTCCATCTTCGAACAAGCTTACCGTACCTGAATGTCACCTCATTGACGCTGAACGTAGGGTCAGGTCTCTGAGAAGGGCCATCGCTACATTGTAGCCTTGGACAGTGCGCGATGCCAGAACAAATGGGATGAAGTCCCTGAGCTTATTCGAAAGGTGACCAAACATGCGCCTCAAAAGACATGTATTACTGGCCTCCCTTGCTTTCCTTGCTTGCTAGACGCCCCAGGGGCTAATTGTCAATTCTCCTTATGATAGGTTTCCTGCAGGTCGCTACAGCAGAATCTCAGATTGCCCAATACAACCAGAAAAGGCCGTCGACTGCGCAATCATCCTCTAGCTCCTCGTCCTCCTTGCCCGAATTAATACCCCCGCTGCTATCTACCATTGAAAACGAAGATGGCTCTCCGGAAGAGCTCTTCCAAGCTCAAGTCTGCATCGGTTGGCTCCATTGGTCACTCAGTGAACCGGGACTGGCAGCTGCTCATCTGCCGAGGGACTTCGGAGAGGTAGCAGACAAATTGGGGGAGGATGTCTCCCCATGGACGGAGGTCTGCCTGGTCAAGGGCTGTTATATGAAAGGTGGGCCAGATGGTACTCTGTGCGCTCATCTTATTGGTCTGACATACGTATAGGAGCTGCCCAGGCAATGGTATCTGAACCCCATGATGCGCTGAAGATTCTCGACACACTTACACCGTGGCTGGGTAGCCATACCACGGCCCTCTCCTCGAAATGCTCGCAATTCTTACATTGGTCGGAGAAATTGCTAGGAAAGGCTGCATCGATTGCCAGCGAAGAGGCGCTCAAAAGGGCACCGTCTGGGGATTCTGAGCTCGTCAAGACAGCTTTGAAACTATGTAGGCTGTGGTCTGCCCATCCCTACGTCAAACAGCATTCCTCTTCAGGATCTGTAGATCCTGAGGGACCGAGTGAACCAGCCGCGAAATCAGCAACCTGGAAATCGTACTACGACCTCTTGACCGCCATTCTTCAGGATGGGTTGTTGTACGTCTCCCCGACGAGCGGTCCTCAGCGCCCCCAACTCGCCAGCGAGATCCGGCGTGTGGAGGCGATCTATGAGACCAACCTTTTGCGTGAAGTGAAGTTTCCCATGGCCAACAGTCGAAATGAGCAAATGGAGGATTGGGTCGAGCAAGTGATCCGGAATTGGCAAGAACTATGTGGACCGAATTGGACCGACGAAGACCTGGGAGAAGGCGGCCAGAACGCTGTTGGCCGCAATGTTCTTGATGTACGTGCTTTACCCGGCTAAACTGATGCAGCCTGGGGCATATTGACCAACAGTACCTTAGATTCTTTATCGCGCCGCTACAAAGACCTACCACTCTTACTTAATTCTCCGTCGCCTATTCCATGTTCATTCAGCTCTGGCAGATTTCGATCTCGCTCTCAAAGCACTCGATTCGTACATTGAGATAGTCCTCGGGGCCAAAGCAAGGGCAGAGAAAGCAGCAGAATATGGTGAATTAGAAAGCGACGAGAATTTGCTCCAGACACTTGCCGAAGGAGTAACTCTGCTTGTCTGTTTTGGCTCAGATAAGGAGGCTGAAAAAGCGAAGGATTTGGTTGCAATCTTGGAAAAGTTCGTCGCTAAGCACGTGCTAGAAATTGAAGACGACGGGGAGGAGGCAAAGTTTGTCATCCGGCAAGACTCGGCTGATGCTCAGGTGGTGTCTCCTCGTGTCATCGCCACTGCTTACAGAGCAATCGGGACGGGGCTTGCCAATTGGGCGAGTTGGACGCCCAGAAACGAAGAGCGGGATGATATCCGTGCGGAGGCCATCGAAAATCTAGAGAGAAGCATTGCTCCAGAGCTCGGTGATGAGTTCAATTATTCATCTTTGTATACTCTCGCCCTCTTGCTCGCGGAAAGCCGAGACCTGGATGGTGCCATTGGTTATGTCAAATCGGCTCTGTCCTATACGCAAGCGCACGGCCCACAGTCCGATCTGTCCAGAGAACGAGACCTGGTGCCGCTCTGGCATTTACTGGCGCTCTTGCTAAGTGCAAAACAAGACTACGACATCGCTGAGCGCTCTTGCGAAGCTGCATTCGAACAGTTTCCCAGCGCCGTCATATCGTTGGTCAACGGGGGCAGAGGGTCACAAAAGCAAGGTCAAGACACTGGAGACGCCTCAACGACTACCGACATAGGGCACGCTTTGATCGATCAGCTGCGGGGCCGAGAAAAGGAGCGCATCATCGAGACACGCATGACACAATTAGCGTTCATTGAGCTGCAGGAGGGCCCCGAGGCTGCTGTTAACCACAGCGATCAATTACTCAGGCTTTTTGCAACGCTATTCAACAAACTGGAGCTTCAGGCTGATGAACAGAAGGACCGTCAAACAGAGCATCTCGTTCCACCGAAAAGCGCCGCTGGTACAGTCAAGAGTCTACGAGGCAGCATATTTGGCAGACATAAAGCGTCACGCGCTTCCGAACGTAAAGCCGAATCTACCGGTGAAACGCAGCCTATCAGCCCCAGCTCTTCTGTTCACAACGAGCAAGTGCCCAGCACCGATCTTGCGCCCGCAATCCAAGTTACTCACGAGCAGAATGGAAATGCTGAGAATCCTCAACCGGTGGGCAGATCAGATTCGACGCGGCAAAAATTGCGGAAGCGCAGCGGTACTCTTAGAAAGGGTGAAGGTCAAAGCTCGACTCATATAAATGGCACTGAAGATCCGACCAACAGAGTCAGCACGGCTACCAACGGGACTGCGACGCCCCAGCAACCAGGTAACGGAGAAGGCCTCGCTCAAGATGTCGTCGGTCTTGCGGTATCAAGCACCGCAAACCAACCACAGAGCGCGAAGCAGCCTCTGCGACCCGCCGCTCATAACATGAATTGCAAACAAGCGCCTCCTCCGACGGGTCATCCCAAACAACCACCTGAGCAAGACATTCGATTGCCATATGGATTTGACTCTCCGACAAAAGCTGTTACCAAATTCCCCGCTGTCCAATCGCAAAAACACGCTCTTTCAGTCCTGATCAAGATTTGGCTCCTGATCGCAGGCCTCTATCGACGCGCTTCGCTATTTGAGGATGCGCAAGAGGCGTGCGAAGAGGCCGCCAAACATGTCGACCGAGTGGAAGCTCTTGTTGCGGCCCAGGAATCCTCTGCCAGGGCATTTAGAAGCCGTGGTTGGGCTGCAGCAAAAAGCTCTGATGAGCTCTGGGCCGACCTGCACACCGAACAAGGGCTCTTGGCACAAGCTCAATCCCGCCCTCATGATGCAATGGAGCTCTTCGAGGAAGCGTTGGTGCGTGATCCGGACCATCTCAAAGCGACAGTCTGCCTGGCGAATCTACTCCTCGACATCTGGGAGAGGAAGATGCCTGTGAACCGACCAGATACCGATGATCTTCATGCGGAGATGTCTACGCTATACCTACCGGCTACCGCTCAGAAGTCCAGTGCTACCTTGAACAAGATTCGAAATCCAAATTCTGACAATTTAGAGGATCGGCCAATGCCATCAAAAGGACAGTCTCCTGCAACTGACGCTGAGGATGAACCTAAACTGCTCAACCGTATCGCTGCCCGGGACCGAGCCTACACCCTCTTGTCGGCATTGACAAAGCGTGGCACCGCCTGGGATAACTCGGAAGCTTGGTATGCGCTCTCCCGCGCTCATGAGGCAAGCGGGGATATCGAAAAGTTGAAGGAGGTTTTGTGGTGGTGCGTTGAGCTTGAAGATCGACGACCAATCCGTCATTGGTCAAATATAGGCTCCGGCCTCTATGTCCTTTGATATCAGGATACCTCTTGTCTGATTTGTCTGGGAGCCATTTGTTGTGATATTTCTTGGCTACAAAAATACCTTCATGATATCCTCTTGTTGATAATTATGGACATATAGCGTCTGAGTGCCAGGCGAGAAGCAGGAACTTAACTTTGAATCCTTTTGATAAAATCGAACGAGCAATAGAACATCTTTATTTACACATCCCCAACCACAGAGCTAATGGCTAGAGGGTCAAAGAAACCAAACGAAGCTTGCGCCAGCCATGCCGGACCTCCACTTCTATCTATCTCGTCAAATTCCATCTACCGAGGAGCGGCAACTGGGGTCCAAGCGGAGTACTTGGGCTTCACACTTCATCGGAAAATGTAGTTAGTAGTTGCGCATTGAAAAGGAGGGCCTCATAGCGGATAATTCAGGTCCTAAGAGGAGGGAAACCCCATAAAGGGGAATACTAACGTCGAGTAGGTCTTGTAAGCGCCACGGCTGAGAGTCAGGTTAGGCCTGTGCTCAGGCAATTCCCAAGCGCGGAGGCCAGTCTGCAAGATCTTGTCCTGGGTGGGAGGCGCATCCACCATGTAAGAAAGCCAGGCGTGCCTGAACAACACATTGATTTAGCTGTCTTATTTTGGAACAATTGCATTGTGATTTGGGATATCTCACCAGCCAGGCTCGATCTGCGAGGGGTCATATTCCTTCTCCTTGTAATCGACCCATCTTGTCCGGACTGTCACAGTTATTAACAGCAATCCACTGACCGTCTGCTCACATCACTCACGAGGAAGCTCCTCCTCCATATTCTCGTAATACTTATTGCCGTAGCGGTCGGTAGCGATCAAGGTGCCAGCTTTGGTATCACCTATAAATCGCGCTTGCGTTAGTCACTTGTCGCGGCCGGTAATTGCGGGTAAGTCATACCGATGTACTACCAAAAAGTGAAGCCGAAGAGGCAAGAGAGTAAGCCATCATCCGAATAAAACAACACGTCCGATCAGGGACTCCCTCCATCGCATGTTCGGATACTGTACCTGCATCTGGTGTCCATATTCCTGTGCAGGGTTAAAGAGATTAGCACAGAGATTCCGAGGCTCCGAATCTGATCCGAAGACCAACCTTCAATCCGATCCTCCTCAGATTCCGCAACGTACGAAGTATGGTCGACATCTTGAGCGATATACAGCGACTGAGCTGGTTGGCAGTCTGCAAAGCTGAGGTTCAAGATAGGGAAGCGGGCAGCCCGTCACGATGGAGGTGAAAGAGTCTCCCGATGCGGTCTAGTGTGGAGGCTGTTTGCACTGTTTGCTCACTATCATCGAATGTGCCGAAGATGTGTCTCATCGCGATTCCATCTTTTGCGAACGCGTCGATCTCAATGGAGTCGTTGTATTGATCTTGCAGCCTCTTGTCGGTCGGTAGACAGGAAGATCTGGGTAAGATGTTTCAACGCGTCGGAGGCAATGCTCTGCGATGCGCCGGGCGCAGGCCGATTGCTCCTCGAAGGCTTTATGACCGCAAATTCTCCGCCTATACAACAAACGCAAGCACGGCTGCGCCCTCATCAGCCTCTCCTTTGGGTACAATTACTGTTGAATTGGATCGAGTGGCGCCTCGGTTTGAAGTACCAGCTTCCAAAATTACTATTCTAGATTCCCCTGCAAGTTTCTATACCACTCTCAAGGTAGGCAGCAATGGTGCAATCAATGAAGACCACTGCCTTTTGTTAACTAATTGGGATACAGGATAAGATACGGAATGCCAAAAAACGCATCTATCTCTCTACTTTATACATAGGCAAAGCGGAGCATGGGCTTATCGAAACCATAAACCAGGCGCTTCGCGATAACCCCGAGCTCAAAGTATCCATCCTCACCGATGCCCTTCGAGGGACTCGCGAGACTCCAAACGCCTCTTGCGCTTCTCTCCTGGCATCTCTGGTTGCTGAGCATGGACCAGATAGGGTTGATATTCGGATGTTCCACACCCCCAATCTGACGGGTCTGAGAAAGAAATGGATTCCTCGGAGGATCAACGAGGGCTGGGGCCTTCAGCACATGAAGCTGTACGGCTTTGATGATGAGATCATTCTCTCTGGGTACGAGAATCTCAGATACAAATACATAACGATGAGCTGATGATCAATTCTACAGAGCGAACCTCTCAGAAGATTATTTCACCAATCGTTTGGACAGGTACCATGTCTTTGAGAACAAAGAACTGGCCGATTACTATGCGGGCATACATGACGCTGTGTGCAGCCTCAGCTTCCAGGTTCTACCGGATCCACATAATGCTTCAGGATACCTCCTGGATTGGCCGACATCCAACGGCGCCCCTTGTCCCTTGGATGACCCCGAAGAATTCATTTCCTATTCAACAACTGTCTTGCACCCCCTCATCCAGCCTCCGTCTAAAACCGAGCCAGCTGCTGAATGGAGTTCGTCGAGTCAAACTCTCGTATACCCTGTGGCTCAGTTCACTCCGCTATTGAAGCCTGATACTTCCACTGAGTTCCCTGCGGTTACAGCTATCTTACGCCTTCTTTCTACTTCCGCTGTCTTCTCCGGTGCCCGCTGGCTCTTCACCGCGGGCTACTTCAACATACACCCCGTCCTTTCTTCTCTCCTCATTGCAAGCACATCCACCTCTCATACCGCCTCGACTACCCGAGGTACCGTGCTTACCGCCTCCCCATGGGCCAATGGATTCTACGGCTCCCCGGGTGTTTCTGGCATGCTGCCCGCCGCCTATACACATCTTTCAGCCAGATTCCTGGACCGAGTCGCAGAGGCACAGCGCACAAACTCCATCCAGCTCAAAGAATGGCGACGCGGGACCGTTGGTGAACCAGGAGGCTGGACTTATCACGCCAAGGGATTGTGGATAACTCTGCCCAAGGAAGAACACCCCAGCATGACATTTGTCGGAAGCAGCAACTACACAAAGCGCAGCTACAGCCTGGATCTGGAAGTCGGCGCGCTGGTCGTGACCAATGACCAGGAATTAAAGCGAAAATTGGGGGCAGAGACCGATTGGTTGCAAAAAGATTCGCAAGCGATCTCGCGCGAGGATCTACGGCGTACCGAAAGACGAGTCTCTTGGAAGGTGCGATTGGCGATGTGGATCGTTGACAAGGTTGGTGGTGCTCTATGATTTGCGTCCTCCTAGAGAGGATCATTCTGCGCCTGAGAAGATTTGTGATGTGCATCTTGGAATGGATGTATCCATATACCCATGTATTATGTAGCCACTTGTATATATAGGTAGAGGACAAGAAAGAACCTCCAATTGGCAGACGTGTACAGAATTATAACCCTTGGTTGTGGTGAACTTCCAACTACTGCGTCTAATATAGACGACTATTAGATGCAAAGAAAACGCATCATACTTCATTCATGAAATAACGTGTGGATATGCTAAAAATGAACCCGAAACGCCCAATGCCAAAGCTTTTAGCTGGAGAAAATGAAGATGCATCGTCGCAGTTCGTTGAAGGAAAATTATGCCCGGCCAGAGACTTTTCCTGGCACCCTGGCGGGCCCAAGACCTTGTCGGATCTCCTCCAACATCTTGATTCCAATGGCCTCGTTGCCGTTTTTGCCTCTCTTAGCCTTGGCGCCCTTACGCTTCGCCTGGGCGCTCGTCTTATCATCCCACCCGGCAAGGAAGTCGTCCATGACCTCATTGAAGTTGTGTCGCGGGGCTACCTCGCGCCCGTTGGCGTCAATGAGGCTGGGTGCCTGCGATGAAGCGGTGGAGATGCCAGTCATTCCGGTCATACCAGTCATGCCAGTCATACCACTGACCATGGACATGTTATCGTCGTACTCCTCGCCTTCCTCGTCGAGGGCATAGAGCGCCTCTATCCTGTCGAATCGGTCGTCAAGGAGTCGGTGGCCTTCGGTACGGGCCAGGGCAGACGATGTCATAGAGTACGCGGAGGGGTTGGTGAGAGCGCCCTTACGCTTCTTTTTGCGAATCGGCGTGCCCCGACGGTGAAGATGGTGGAAGCGAGAGTGCTGCGCTGCTCCGAAGGAACGATACTTGGCGGCGCTACTGGTGCGGCTTTCACTTTGGCGTCCTTCTTGAACTTGGCGAACTCACGCATCCACCCCTGGCCCTCAGGGTCCATGTCTGGGGCGGGTGCGTCGTGGCTTGGCAGCTCTCCAGGCTCCTGGTCGTCTGATCTTGGAGGAAGAGGAACACCGCCCTGGTCCGCTTTGGCCTCTGTAGTGTTCATCTGCACGGGTGCTTTTTCTGTCGCATCAGACTCCCAGCCGTCGTCTACGTCTTCTTCGTCAAACAGTGCGTCCTCCCACTCGCCTGGATCCAGCTCCTCCGCATGGTCGGTCAACTTGCCAAACACATCCTCCTCATCATCCGGATCGACATATTCTTCGTCCTCAAGCGCCTCGAGCACTTCACGAAGACGGGGATCCATGTCAGGCTTGAAACCTGCAATCGCATCGGGGACATCCTGTTGGTCCTGGTATGTCGGTTTGCGAGAGTATGAGGAAGTGGTCGAGCGCAGGTCCGAAGTATATTCAGATCCGTAGACACTGCCGGCGCCAAACTCGCTCCTCGTATCATCCAGAGTCATTTGTTGCTTCAGGGCATCTTCCAGCTTCATCCCCTTGGCCTTGCTCTTTCCCTTGCTCGTAGCCTCCACAAAGTACGACTCACCGCCACCTGTTCCCAGCTCTCGCAAGTGCTGCATGTAGTCATATTTCGTGTCATCGAAGTAGATGCCATAAGTCGCAGCTTCACCCTCATTGTGCCGAACGGAGTCTGATCCGAACTCGCTGCTCAGATCCGAAAGATTTTTGCTGCGCTTCTTGCCTTCTGAGATTGGAAGCGACGGCCCAGACACAGGATGCAGGATACGATCGTCGGCTTCAGGGTCGTGAATTAAAGGATCATTTTGAGATCGGTGAAAGAGCTGGTATGTGGTGGCATTTTTCTTATCACTGTGCTCTGGAATTAGTCTCGTAGCCGGCGAGCATCATGGAACGGATCCGTCAACGTACATCCACTGCTTGCGAGGAGGCATCTTGTTGGTCTGTTATTATCGATGCCCTAAAATCTTGACTGTCTAATCTGCTCTGTCTCTCTCTTTCCAAGTCTCTTTCGGAGATCAAAAAATCAAAATTTCGCGATAGTGGGATGTTATCGAGTCACGTGCTCCCTTATCACCAGATTCATGCCTTGGGCAGAAACATCACTGTCACCACTACAGTTTGAAGTCTGAGAGTCAAAGGCTACTTGGCAAGTGTGAAAGAGTAGTAGGTTGAGCAACAGGCATTCTAGTCCTGAATTTCCCTTTTCCCTTTTTCTTCAGCAATTGTTCTTGTTTGTCCCAACGGTCCTCGATGCTGGATGACTCAGCATCTTATCTTATCCGCGCGGGGCTTTTCTTTTCTTTCTGGAAATCTTCAACCAACATTAATAATACCACTTTTCTCTCATTCCCATTTTCCTCCGAACATTAACACTTTTCTTTCCCTTTGGATACGATCTCTCTCTATTTCTACAAGGGAAAGAATTTCATTCTAATAGTGGTGGAAGTCAGCGGATTGAGCTGCACACATCGCCACCATGGTTCTCGCAAAATCCAAAAATTCCGTCGGGTTGGGAAACACCCTCATGAAGGATCGGTTTGGCAAGGGCAAAGCATCGAGCCAGAAGAAAGTATCGCATAATTCTGCTATTACTCGTACCGCGCAGGATGGCAGTACCTATATTACCAATGCTTCTAAAGAAGCGTCGTGGGTGAAGATGCGCAGTATCACGGAGCAGGCCGCCCTCGATGAATTTCTCAGCACCGCCGAGCTGGCGGGCACCGACTTCACTGCAGAGAAGATGAGCAATATCAAGATCATTCACTCGGATCAAAAGAACCCTTACCTTCTTTCCGCGTCAGAGGAGAAGTCGGCTAGGAAGAAGCATCAACAGAATAAGGGGAAGTTGACTGTGCCGAGAAGACCGAAATGGGATTCCACGACGACCAGGGATCAGCTGGAGACGATGGAAAGGGAGAGTTTTCTGGAGTGGCGAAGAGGTCTTGCGGAGCTTCAGGAGAACAACGATCTTCTGATGACACCCTTTGAGCGGAACTTGGAGGTCTGGCGCCAGCTGTGGCGTGTCATTGAACGTTCGGATGTGGTTGTACAAATTGTTGATGCTCGGAATCCATTGATGTTTCGCTCGGAGGATCTCGAGAACTATGTGAAGGAGATCGACCCCAAGAAGCAGAACCTTTTACTTGTCAACAAGGCGGATATGCTCACTGAGAAACAACGAGAGATGTGGGCCGATTACTTTGAGCGCAACAATATCAACTTTCGATTTTTCTCGGCTCATCTGGCCAAGGAGCTGAACGAGGCCCGGCTTCTGGAAGAAGAATCAGGCAGTGAGAGTGAAGAAGAGGACACTGAGAATCTCGCCAATGCGACAAGCTCGATGAACATCAATGATCAACAAGATGCCAAGGATGCATCAGTTGAAGGACATGGTCAACCCGAGCACGATGGAGGACTCGAGCTTCCCGAATACCGCAAACCTCGGAGGACGGATATTCTCGATGTGGACGAGCTGGAAGAACTCTTCCTGTCCAACACTCCGGACACACTTCCGGATAGTGACAATGGCGAGGGACAGCGCAAGCAGAAGACAACAATCGGTCTGGTCGGTTACCCCAACGTCGGCAAGTCCAGTACCATCAATGCCCTCCTCGGAGCGAAGAAGGTGTCTGTCTCCGCTACACCTGGAAAGACGAAACACTTCCAGACACTCTACCTGTCGCCAGAGATCATGCTCTGCGATTGCCCCGGTTTGGTCTTCCCCAACTTCGCTACAACCAAGGCCGAACTGGTGGTGAATGGTGTCCTCCCCATCGATCAGCAGCGCGAATTCACTGGTCCAGCTGGTCTGGTTGCGCACCGTATTCCCAAGCACTTCCTGGAGGATGTCTACGGCGTGAAAATCAACACTCGGCCGCTGGAAGAAGGCGGCACGGGCATCCCCAATGCCCATGATCTCCTGCGAGCCTACGCCAGAGCTCGTGGTTTCGCTACCAGCGGTCAAGGTCAGCCCGACGAGTCGCGCGCGGCCCGTTACGTGTTGAAGGACTACGTCAATGGTAAACTCCTCTTCTGCCACCCTCCCCCCGTCCCAGACGGTGAAGAGCCCATCGACCCGCTCGAGTACAACCGCGAACTGTACGACACCGCCCACCTCCCGGCCCGCCGACAGGCAATGCTGGCAAGAACCGCCCAGGCCAACGCAGACGGCGAGGAATTCGACGAGGACGCAGAACACTTGTCCCTAGGCTCATCCTCCAAACAAGGCAAGGCCGTCGAGGGGTTGCGATCGCGGAATCTCGACACGGGTTTTTTCGGCCCCGGCGCGAAGGGCTCAGCCGGACGGCTCACCCTGCCCTTTAACGCCCAATACACCGAGCAAGGCCAGCAGATTCGAAAGCAGCTGACCGGCCGCAGGGAGAGACTGATGGTTGCGCTGGAACGAGGGGTGGACGTGTCGGAGGTGCGCGGCAACTCGAAGAAGCACTTCAAGGGCAACAAGAAGAGGGCCAAGGCCAAGCGCACGAAAGCGGAAGATGAAGACTACTGAAAGGTTTATGACAACTCGCTGGCGAGTGATGCATTTGCTGTGATTGTTCGGTTTCTGTCTCATGTCTCTGGTGGGTAGGCGGGGGTTACCAGGGGATGGGATGATTTTATACCTTAGATGAATTGCATCATCTAGCGAAAAGTAGTACCATGATTTGACTTTAGATACCGGAGTTAGATTCTATTCACTTGTTCACGACGATGGTGCACTCTCCGTAGAAGAATAACTAAAGAGTTGGTATTGATATAGAAAGGAGACATTCTCATTGTCCTCCATACTATTTTGTCCGATTATTTTATATCTACGCCCCGCCAGTTCATCACAGATGACTCTTGGGCTTCTGGAATCCACTAGCCAACAGCAATCGCTCCGCCTCCTCCTTCTGGTACTTCAGCTTGGCGACAATGGCGTCCTGGCGGGACTTGTTCTCGCGTCTTCCAAGCTGCTGCAAGTGGACCTCATCGGGCCCGTCGGCGATGCGCAGCGTCCGGATCATGGCCCAGAGGTTGGCCAGGGGCGTATCCTGGCAGACACCGGCGGCGCCGTAGGCCTGGACGGCGCGGTCGATGACGGTCAGGGCGGTCTGGGGGACGAGGACCTTGGCCTGGGCGATCTCCTTGAGGGCGGACTTGGCGTCGCCCTGGTCGATCTTGATGGCGGCGTTGAGGACGATGAGGCGGGCAGCGTCGATCTCGATGCGGGACTTGGCGATCCACTCGAGGATGACGCCGTGGGCGGACAGCGGCTTGCCGAAGGTCTTCTTGCGGTCGTCGTTGACGCGGGCGATGAGCCACTCGAGGGCCTTTTCGGCGGCGCCGATGGTGCGCATCGCGTGGTGGATGCGGCCGGGGCCCAGGCGGCCCTGGATGATCTCGAAGCCGCGGCCCTCGCCCAGGACCATGTTCGAGACGGGCACGCGCACGTTGTTGAAGGAGATGTGGCCGTGGCCGTGCGGGCGTCATCGTATCCGTATACGGTCAGCATCCGGTGCACGGTGATGCCGGGAAGGCCGGCGGGCACGAGGATGACGGACTGCTGGCGGTAAGGGTCGGGGTTGGTCGGGTCGGACTTGCCCATGACCAGGTAGATCGCGCAACGGGGGTCACCAGCGCCGGACGACCACCATTTCTATCGACAATTGGTCAGTATGAGTGGGCTCTAGGGAGCAGCGAGTGAAACTTCTACATACCGACCCGTTGAGAACGTACTCATTGCCCTCGCGCCGGATGTTCAGCTCAATATTTGTGGCATCACTCGAGGCAACATCAGGCTCGGTCATGAGGAAAGCAGAGCGGATCTTGCCTTCAAGCAGAGGAGCAAGCCACTGCTTCTTCTGCGCCTCATTGCCATACTTGGCCAGCACCTCCATGTTACCGGTATCGGGGGCAGAGTTATTCGTCGCCTGAAAAATCACCCGTCAGCACCTCACTCATCACTGTTTGCAAGTATCCGACGCCAGTCACCCACCTCAGAAGCAAGCTTGCTCTTGCCGAGGTACTCAGCCATCAGACCATACTCAAGGTTACTGAAGCCAGCACCCTGGGAGAAGTGGTTCTTGGGCAAGAACATGTTCCACAGGCCCAGCTTGCGGGCTTTGGCCTTGAGCTCCTCTAGCACAGCCGGGGTAGTCTGCCATCTCTTCTCGCCTTCGCCGAGCTGGGCCTGGAAAACAGCATCGGCGGGGATGCAGTCTTTCTCAACGAATTCTTCAACCTGAATGCAGCGGAAAAAAATTAGCAGAGTTGTACCTGGGCTACAACGTGAAAAGACACATACCAGGTCGAGGACCTTCTTTGCCCGATCGCTCACAAAGGGCTGAGCGATGGGGGAATTCTTGTGGAGGCGGACATGTTGGGTATGTGGTGGATCAACGAAAAAAGAAGGGAATCTAGCAATCTGCTGTGGACTAGGAAATATAAATCCGGACACAATAAGCAGGGGAAATAGAAGATTATAAGTTGAGCAAGAGTGTGAAACTGACAGGATCATACGGGGGTCGAGATGGAGCTGATTGCGGAGTACTCGCAGTTTGCGGAGAAGCAGCCGAGCACTCCTTTTGAACCTCGGCTGGCCCGCTGTTCTCACCGTCTGGGGGCTGCAGAGTCAGACAACCATGGTGCGACGAGGGAGACGGAAGCCAAAATGTAACGACGAACTGAAAGACTATTTGACAACCGATAGCTGATTAGATATTACGATACCAAGGGGTTGCTGCATGGATGGTGATCCGAGGTTCGATCGGTTTACCGAACATTTCCAAAGATGAGGCCATAACCGACACCGACCGTCAGTATCAAAGACAGCGACATGATTTCATTATTTTTCCAGGCTATCATTATGGATCATCGATACAAAAACAGAAGACCAAAAAAAGAGACACAAGTCCATTCCCAATTCCTCTAATATCCCACATAATCTCCGTATGAACCCCAGACCAGAAAACAAAGCACCCAGAAACCCAAAGACAACAGTGTCAGCCTTACCACGTCAACCAATCGTAATCACACAGGCACAGCCCATGGTTACCGAAAGATGGTAGATGCGCGAAGCAGAGGACTCGAGACCGAGGCAGTCATGCTATGTATGCTCCCTTTTTCCTCCAACAATGCGACCAGCGCACTACATGGGGAAAAGGTGAGATATGCAACAGCTTGCCCTCTGCTCCGCATACTATCGAGTGATTGACCATGTCTAGGCCGTACTGTCATCTCCAATGCTCTTGTTGTTATGTTCCGCCGTGTTCTGCTCAAAGTTCTTCTTGCCCAGCTTGGCGAAGAGCGACTGAGGCTTTCCAGCGCTGTACGCATGTCTGTTAGCATTCTATTCAAAGGATAATCGATAATATCCAGACTCAAGCGGGTGACATACTTCTTGAACCGCTTCCCCTTGAGATTACTCAGCTTCTTCGAGCAGGGACTCATGATATCATCCGACGGAGAAACATAGCTCGCTTGGTTTCTGGCACCAATTCTAGTCAGACATGTCCTTCTAATCTCCCTTTCAACTGAATAAAAATGCACGATTCATGACCATGACAGAGTTTTCTGCCCGTCGCATCCCTCCAGGACTAATCTGATCTCAAGCACCTGGGGAAAACTCACTTATCTTCGTTCTGCAGTTTACCCTGCAAGACCGACCGATGGTATTCCGTCGAGTCCAGAGTCGCCGACGCGGACTTGAGATCGTTCACTTTGTCCTGGTTTGCAGCGAGGTGGGTGTTTGTTGACCGGTCGGCCAGAGGGGCGGTGGGTGTGGAGTCCATTGTATACAAAAGTGTAGATTTTTCAGGTGCACTTCAGCGTTTCTGTTTGTGATCTCAGAGAGCTTTCAGCACGAGATTATAAACCCGTCCTGGGTATAGATTGTGAAGATGATTGCAATGGCAGGAAAATATGTAGAATGAAAGAATCACCTTGGATGAAGGAAGTGATGGATAAGCAGAGAAAGAAAAACCGCGTCGATTGTTGTCATGGCAACTGCATCTGCCACTGGGAACTCCGGCGCTGCTATGCTTGACATCATCTGCACAGAAACCAGAAGTCTTGACAAGAAGTAAATAATAATTATCGATATTGCAGGCAGGTCATCGTCTGTCATTCAAATCATAATCATAGTGGTATCTAAACATACATATAAACATAGACACAATGATATCGAGTACAAGTGTACAACCGCCATGCCCTATACATCACTCTTGAACGTACACAGATAGAACGAAAATACAACAGTCATCCACTGCTCCATCTGTTGTTTTACAGAGTACCGGGCAAAATAAAGAAAGTAGAGGAGTCACATGAGGCCAGAGTGTTCCCAGTCAACGTCGCTTGGTTGATTCCGCGCAAGGCCTGGTGACAAAGAGCCGGATAAGCGTTCAGCTGAACCCGACAACTCAGTTTCTAAGCCAGCGCCTCAGGAATGGCGGCAATTAGCATTCCGGACCGCCGAAATCTGCAACAAAGACAGTTTATAACTCTGTACCCGCCCATTGCCCGGGTGATAGCCGTTCCTCTTTCGGACATGGGTCCCCTTATGACGCTAGAGGTCATGTCGAGCATTCCCGAGCCGTGTCGCTGGCCCAATAGGTGGGCGGTTTGCTCACGCCTCCGTGGATCCAGATGCATCTGAATCCCCGTCGTCGCTGTCTTCGCCGCTCTTCAAGACGGGAGGGCTGCTCTGCGACCGGAACTGAGGAGGTTCAATGTCTGGCAATTCAAGATCGCCAGGGGATGGCGATGATTCTCGTTTCTCTATCGACTCCAATGGTACTGATGTCTCTGAGGTTGGTGTTGGCGGCGAGTATGCAATGGTGGGGCTCGGCGCACTGTCATGCGTGTCGTCTGTAATGTTCCTTCTGTGGCCACCTCGATATGAGGACGTCGGCCTGGTAGAACTCGGACTCATGGAGGGCGAGCTAAATGGTGGAGATGACGATCGTAAACTGTACGATCGAGACACCATGTTTTGCACGCTGGGGAACTCCATATAGCTGCTCACTGCACCCCGAGAAAACAAGACCAAGCCAAAGCAGAAGAGGACCATGATGCTTTGAATCACAGCGACCCGCTTCTGAAAGACAAGTTCATCTGCCAGGACACCCAGCTGCGCACTCAAGGAGTATATCTCCTGGTGATATTGGATGCGCTGGGTTTCAAACTCCAACGCAACCGTCTTCCAAACCTGATCATACTGTTCGCGGAACTGTCTCAGTTCGTTCAAAACAGTCACGTTCAGATTTTCCAGAAAGGTTGAGGTTTTCGACAGCTGGCGCTTCTCGACTTTGCTAAACGCATCACGCAGAATACGCGACTGCTCCTCAATGTACAGAAGCGACAAAGTCGAGTTCGACTCCAGCATTTGCAGCCGCTTGTTGACAGATTTGAAGAACGACTCTTGCGTAGTCGGATTAGGTGATGGTGGTTGAGTTGCAGAAAATTTGGTTGAGTCGACTGGAGGAACTTGTTCTTCCTGGGACGAGGCTGTAGATTTCTGGTCTGCTTCCGACGTGGTATCGTGCTGCACAGGCTCAGACATGGTTGCCGTGGAAGCGGGAGGAGGGATGCCGTCAGCTCCGGACTGTCCAGCAGCTCGTCGAGCATCGGGTGCGTCTTTGGTACCATTACCTGCACCGGGCACAATAGGCACTGAGTCTTCGGGTGCCGGTGGCGTGGTGTCCCTCGCAGGCGAGTCATGTTGAGCAGCTGTGTCAGCTCTTTCCTGGCCAGCAGGTATCGCCGGTGTAGCCTGCGCACTGCATGTCTCGGAATCTGCATAATTCGCCAGAAGCCTCTCCAGCCCTTGTGCTGGGTTCGGGCAAGTATCTTGGAGTTCAGCCTGCACATTTTTGCCCATGCCTTCACGAGTTTGCGCACCAACGTCAGGCGGATTTCCGGATGGCTTTGCAATCTCCGGGTCAGCGACAGCATGGCCCGGCTCCGAAGCCTCATCAATGATCTCATCGTCAACTCGACTAGCCTCGCCATCATGCTTGTATTCCTCCAGCATAGTGGTTCCATGGACGCGAATGAGACTCAGAGGGCAGTAGAACTCGTTTCCGTAGTGTGTCAGAAATTCAATCTTCAGATACCGAGCCCAGATTAACGGGTTCTCCACCGCGAACGCTTGGACTTCACGAGTATTCCTGGCTTCAAAGACCCCAATTCTCTCCACTGGTCCGGTTTTGCCGGGTATCGATCCGAGACGCTAACCCGGAAGGTGTGAAAGATGGAACTGAAGAACTCGTAGTTCGCAAGAACCACAGTGTCCACCAAGATATCGTCACACAGCTCGAGTATCAGAAACTTATTTTTAGCCCGGCACTCATTAAGCATGTAGCTGTCTTTATTTTCGATCAGTACGGAAGACGATCCCTGACACTCGGGGTTGGTCTTGAGCACTGTAGCAGCGCAGTCAAAGGAGGCGTAGTTGAAGCGCTCCTTGCACGTAGTCCCAGCGTCTTTCCTGCGCAAGCTGCCTGACCGTATAACCCCAGGAGACGGAGCACTCCCATCTCCACTAGGTCCGCTATCCACCGACCCTGCGCTCTCTCCCGCGTGCGTCCCCGAGCCAAACGACGGCGGTCGCGCGGCCTCTGGCGCGTCAGCGCCGAACCCACCAAAATCAAGCTCAATCTCCGCGTCTTCTCCCAGTGAATCCAGCGCGTTGCTGATCCCTGTGGGCCGTCGTCGGCTCTCGTTCCCTGCCACGCCACTCCGCCGGTTCCCCCCACATTCTCCGCCGACTGGCCAACCTTTGCTAGATTCTGCTTCTTCCAATCTTCAAAGGAGAGAAACTTGGCGTTGTCGAGGGCGAATCCGTATCCAGCTCCTGCTCCTGACCAGGCTGTTGTTGTTCAGCTGCAGCGCTGGCGGTGCTGGTCGGCGACGAATTGTCTGAAGTAGTAGACACCATAGCAGAAGGTCCCCCAGTGACGGTAATGCCTGACCTACTCCAGCGGGTCTCGATGCAGACAGGCCACCGAATAAACTCGGCCTCAGTATCCCGCCAGCCCCTTGCCAGGCATAGTGGCTGTGAGTGCTCCAGTGCCGCTTCCCCAGCCGCAAGCAGGGCGAGGGCGGCCAAATGAACGAGAGATGCGCCCGCACATCGGCCCCAAAGCATCATGCACACGATGCTGTAGAAGGGAAAAAAGGGTATGCTCGAGTCAGAAGCCGTTATCCGCTAAACGTTCTGCTAGCACGTTTGACCCTAAAGTCACCACTGATAAAGATATGTCGGAAGATATCATGAAATAGTCGACTAGATCATATCCGTGGTGTGTACATTGCCGTCTGTATAATGCATCATGGCGTTAGCGCTCCGGAGAATAAAGTGAAAGTAAGAAAAAGAAGGGCTTATCAGTACATGGGCTTACCGCGTGCATTCGGCCGCGCTTGCTTGGGCCAGTTGGCGCAAGGAATGGAAGAAGATCAAAGAAAGAGGCATGCAATGCAGGTTTTCGAATACTGCTTTCCTAAAAGCGACGACCAGTGTTAATTAGACATGTCCGAGTGAAAAAGAAACTGTGTCCACAGTTGCAGCCCGTGCAAAGGATTTCGTCCCTGCATCAGGTCAAGGTGGCTTTCTGCGAGTGTCCCCAATCGTCCAACAGTCTGTGACCGCCTTTTCCACCCTCGTCACCGCCTCAAGAATGTCATCTCGATGATGGAGTATAGGTAGGCTAAGGTAGCTATGTGCACAGTGGGGGATTTATTTCTTTAACCTGAATTACTAGAGCAATTAATGAGAGGAAGAAACGATTCACGAGAAATTGTTAATTCAGGACTATTCCTTGGGATTATTGTCCACTTCACAGCCTACCTAATCAGCTGTCCCACCTAGCTAGCTACATACAGTACAGTGCATTGGCTCTTTGAAGGAACCAACAATAGACAGAAAGTGGAAGAGAACAATAGTCGCAAAGCTTTTCCTTTTTCCCGCTTTTTCCTTCAGTGTCGTGCAGAAGATTTGATGAATAGCCGGCGACGAACGTAAACCATCCGTCACTCTCGCCATGCATCATCGCTCCTTGCCCCTGTGCCATTGCCAAACCGTCAAAAATTGCACCTTTCGATGTTGAAGAGTATGTGAACACATAATGTTGAAGTCAAACAGAGCAACCCTTCTTGGAATACAATCCCAATGGTTCAGTTGCTGATGAGTCACTTTTTGAACCGCTCGCCGCCACCGCTCGCATACTCCAGAGCGAGCTATAATATACAGGGAAAAAAGACAAGACATGACCACGCACTCCAACGAGGCGAACAAGAAATTCTATCTATGAGAGTGCGCTTTGTTTTTCAATGAAAATAGGAGAGGCGAGTAAGTGTTAAGAGAGAAAATCAAAAAGGAAAGACAAAGAAGGTGACGTATATAGGTTTTCTCTGCTCTTCTTCCAAAATGGTTGAGACGGAACAACGGGACGGAAAGACATTGGACACAAGGGTAAAAGACGATGCTGCGGACGATAATGATGGTGATGACGTTAGAGGTGAAGGTCGTGCCAGCCACCCACGAGATCAAGATCTTCGTCAATGCTTCCATCGTAACCGCTGGGAGTGAAAGGTTTGACGGCCTTTGGGGATTCCACGGCATCACGGCGCTTACCCTTCTCCGGGAACGGGCGGCGGCGACGGTCCTGATGCGCGAGGTTATCTTTCTTGGCCCAGGATCCGTAGTCGAATCCGGACGAGCCAAGGCCCCAGTCCTTTCGCCAACTCATGCTGTTTGAAGACTTCGGCTGGCCGAATGATCTTTCTGTAGGCTTGTAATTTCTTCTTCTGTCGCCTAGCGCGGCCCACTTGTCCAGATTCGACTTCTTGGGTGAGCTTTGCGAGAAGCGAGGAGCTGAATTCACAGCAGGAGTACCAACATCGGCGAGAGGTGACTTGGCAGTAATGTCGACGGGCTTGGTGGAAGGCGTCTGTTGCGCGGACGACCGAGCATTGAGAAGCGAGGACGACTTGGGCTCACGAAGCCCAGTCGCGGGAGTAGGAACATCCATGCCGCTGCTCTCATGGCTCCAGCTACGCGAATTCGGATCATGCCTCTCTTGGAAGACGACGTCCTCATGTTCGAATTCCTCATCCTCATCCCAAAGGTCACTCCAGCTCTTCGAAATCTGGTCGTTCTTGTTCCGCCCAAACACCATGGACAGAGAGGGTATCGGTTTGGCTGCATGGCTCGGAAGAGAACCTGTGATCGGCACAGGATCCGAAGGAGGTGGGTACCTAGGGCCAATCGGGCGGAATGCAGTAGACTTAAAAGATTCACCCAAGGCGGAGTCGAGAACGGATGCCATAGATGGAGTGCCCTGATGAACGGAGAACCAGGAAGTACCAGCAGTCTCCGAGGCAGGGAAGAGGTCTTCGGAGTAGCTCTCGTTGTCGGGGATAGCAGACAGCTGGCGGATGGCTTGTGGCGGGCTGGATTGCAAAGCTTTGGCCCAGGGGAAAGAATCGCCTTGGTGTGCAGATGCGGTTTGAACCGAGGGGGTTCGAAGAGGCTCGCGGTTGGCGCTTGCAGGAACAACCTCGCGGTCGTCGGTGCAGAAATCGTCCAATACCTCATCGTCGGTAGTGAAGGAAACTGCCCGCAACAGGGCATCACGGACACCGGCAAGCGAGCGTTTCTCAGGATCGATGGCCAAGGCAATTCTCAGGATCTCAAAAGTATCCTGGGACATGTTGGTGAAGATGTCGAAAAGAGACTGGCGATCACGAACGTAATCCGCGAAGAGGATGTCCGATTCCGTGGGAGTTGCAAAGGGATTGCGAGCGAAGAGGACATTGAGCAAACAGATGCCAATCGCCCAGATATCAGCCTTGGCAGGCGAATAGCCATTAGCACCCGGGTCGTACTGTTCGGGGGCCATGTAGCGGTCGCTTCCAACGCACGCTTCATGACACCAAGCAGCACGAGTTGCCAAGCCAAAGTCACCGAGCTTCATTGTGCCGTCCTGCGTCAAGAAGATGTTCTCCGGTTTGATGTCACGGTGGTACATGCCATTCGAGTGAAGGAACTCAACAGCACTAACCAGCTGCAGCATGAAATCGCGAACATGCTCCGTCTCCAAGGGACCGCGGTTGAGCCGAATTGCTTCATAAAGATCGCCGTTGGCGCAGTACTCCAGAACGAGGTACAAATGAGCCTCCGTCTCGAATGAGTGAATAAGATTCACGATATTCGGGTGGTGTGCAAGGCGCTTGTGACAATAGAGCTCTTCAAAACGATCGTCAATGGCAAATGGAGCTGAGGAATCATCGGATGGTGCCTTGGTCAAACGCTTGATGGCCACATCTTGACCGGTCTTGGTATCTGTAGCGAGAAAGACCATACCAAAGGATCCATGGTTCAAGGGAGCCACGGTCCTAAAACGACCATCCAAGAGCTGGCCTTTGACAAAGTTGTTCTTCAGGCAATCCATGACTGATGATTTGGATAGGACGTTCGTTTGAAAAAAGGTAGACGGTCCGTTGGAAGAGAGGATCGGTGGCGGTCCGTGAGAGCAGTCTCTTTAGACAAATGAGGAAACGTCGATCAGGAAGTATGAGACCTCTCGGAAGGCCAATGCAGAACAGAAAGCCAAAAAAAAAAAAAAGCAACCAGGCTATAGAATATGATCAAGAAAGAAAACCAGGTCTGCAATGCCAATAAGACCTTGACCACGAAGAGGACCAACGAATAAAGGGAACAGAAAGGAATCGAAAGAGATGAAAAGCGAAAAACACCGATTGTCGACTCAGACTTTCATATAAATACCGGAGACGATAACAAAAGGGAAAGATGACAGTGGGCGCGGAGCGCGGTTCAGAGTACCCAGGGAGGGATTGACGAGGCAAGGAAATAGTAAAGACCGTTATTGGTTCATCTGTATATCGTTTCACAGAATGAGTTGAATCGGATGAATAAAGAACGAGTTTCGAGTGAACGGCTATGTCCGGCAGAAGGACACGAGAAGATATGAGGTGAGAAGAAATTGAGAGACGATAGAAACGCTGCGTGATATCGTAACTTTAATGCCGAAGTATAACAAACAAGTGCCGTAACTTATAAGGCTGCCTTCGAACACCAGGCTGAAGGGAGAGAAAGATGGTGTGACTCAGAAACCGAGGATTAACAAGTCATGAGCTCCAGAGGGCGTGCAATGCAAAACTTGCAGAGGTGAAAATTGGTATATTAAAGGGCCAGAGAAGGCAATGGACAACTGTTATCAGGTGTCTTCAACAAAGTCGAAGAACCAGATATCAGCACCCGGCCCCGGTTTGGCGGTGATTGACAGATAGCGAGGCAGATCTCACGCTCAATCAAACCGATACTCTCACGCCCAGTATATTTGTCGCAATGTAGCACGGTTCTGGAGTGAATTGCAAGTCGCAGAGAGGGTTTTGTCACAAATGACTTCTTATCCGTGGTTGACTAGCGGTATGAGTCACGGTAGCTGGTGTTCTGGAGGCCAGAGGCGATACAGCGGTGAGAGGAGCTCGAAGCAGACAAGACAAGTGCACCTGCTCAGAACAGAAGAAGAACCAAAGACCTAATCTGATTTTAGGTAATTAAGAAGCACTGTCGAGTCGCAACGAGTTGAGGTCGAGAAGAAGGAGGTTGGTGAGAGTTGTGGTTGATCGGGATAAGGATGAGTTGAGTTGAGTAGACGGTCGGTCGGGAGGCAAATTAGGTAGGTATGTACGTAATGGCGGACGGACGATTTAAAAGCTTAGGTGGGTTCGAATCGAGGATGAAGAGGAAGAGTAGGAGGAAAGAGACGTCGGATGGAAGATAGAGATGAGAGAAGAGGAGAAGGAACAGGACGGACTAGGAGTATGCAGTAGGGAAGACGAGGCGATAGGGATGGGGAGAGGATGGATAAGGAGATTGCGGGTACTGTATGACTGAAACTGTAGACCAGCGATGAGCAATAATGTCAGGTTGTTGGGCCGGGTATGGTTATGTAATAATAAGGGAGGAGGGGTGGGAAGCAGGCAAATACTTCCGTTACCTTAGGCAAAGACGGCACCCCGGAACCTTTGGGGAGCAGGAAGTAAGGTAACAGGCCAGTGAGGGACAGAAAGCGGCCGAATGAGCGCGAAACGTCTTGTGACTGGACAATATAAGGGTGGAGCCATTAGTGGATTCCATCTGAACCAATCTGCTGTCATACACTCCATACCAATACGTCGCCCTCGTGGTAACTGAAAGGTAAAGTATCTTAGGTAACGAGGTAACGACAATACGCGCGAAGGGGTGATCTTCGGTCGGCCCACCCTTCCTGATTGCTGGCAGATGGGCGCAGGTCGAGTCTGTTTTCGGAAATGGGCCCACACCCCCTGAATGATTCAACCTATGGACAGGTAACTACAGCAAATCTTCCCATCCTCGTCATCATCACTATCGTCTCCATTATTATTTCGGATATCCTCATTATTAGAACTATGGAAAACAAAATCCAGATCACTAGCTCCAATATTGAGTCTTTAGTCGTTGAGAAAGGATAATGGATTTGTTGTTCCCCGTTGACCACAATGACGATGTATCAGTCCGTAGCGTTCCAGTAATTAAAATCATTATCACCCAGGTACTCGAAAGGAATTAGAATCCTCCAAGCATTCCTCAGCACTGTCAATTGATTCTACGAGTCTTCTGTAGGCTCCCTATGCATATATTCGGATCCGAGTCATTAGGCTGCGACTTTCATGATTAGTTTGATATAGTTGCGAATCTGCTACGTTTATCACCAGGTGTACATTTGCTACTTGGATCAGCGCTTATGCATTAGAGATAACAGAGTTTGCCTGTTAGACTTGCTGTAGAGCAGCTAATAGAAGCATAAGGTACCTATTATTCTGACTTTATTCTTGGTTACTGAGTTCCGCAGCCGTGGTAGGCCTGGAAATACTCCGTCCATCGTACATATTAGGTACCAAGCAATCAAAGGGGACAACGGTGCTAAACAAGTTCCTGCAGGTCCAGAGACTAAACAGGGTCTTAAGAGGGCCTGCTTCATTAGAGTAATAAAAAAAATAACTACCCTGGGAGGATGAGTAGTTGAAGTCTCAAAAACACCATAATGTATAACCAGTTGGCATTTCTATTTTCATTTGCAATTGCACCATAGCTTCCATCTTGAGCAATGACTTTTGCCATCAAGGGCTGACGAGTATGGATGAACAATGATGTGGGAGAGGAGTCGATACTGGGCGAGACCCTCGGTGGTGAACCAGTCAACCGGATGATAGAAGACAATGATGCATCATGGGCCACCCCCAGTAAATTCCCTCGCCGATGGCGGAGCAACGGTGGCGGTAGGCTACTCCATTTTCGGCTACATGCACTGCCGCTACTGCAATCTGAACCAATGGAGAGCCGCCGAATTGATACTAAATTCAAGCTGCATGACGCCACACCAAATCGGATAGGGCAGTGGCCAATGATCACCTGGCTCGAGTGTCTGAGACCTGAGAAAGCCTGGGGAGTCAAGGATAAGGTAATTATCATAACTCTCTCATAGAACCAAAGGCTTTCAAAGCATGGGAAACGTCATTTCAGGAACAGATGTCAGCATTTAGCATCATATTATTGGGATATTTTTCACCTGTCTAGATTATATCATCATTAATTAAAGCCAAACGAGCGAAGATCTATGGGTTGGCCAGTCCTTACTATGTAGGAACATGTACCTGGATCGTAATGATAAGATTTCCCTGCGAATGGCCCCGGCTCAGATGGTCCCAGCACTGCTTATGCAAAGCAATACCCCCTGTGTCGCACAACTGATACCTGATCTGCGCAATCAACGTTGAACAGCCTTTGGCGCGCGGGATTCTCAAACACAAGTCATGCAATCATGGAATTGTATCAATTTGCGGGGTTTTCAAAAAGCAATTACACCTGAGAAACCATAGTATCAGATTTCAACAGCAGCGGGCGGGGTGACACTTGACACATTCATCAAAGAGGGAAGAATGAACAATGCATGGTCAGTCAATCGTAATTTTCGACTGGCTACCGCTCTTGTCACTGTGAAGACAACAATCTCGACTCATCGTCAAGTAAAGGACCAAAGAAAAACGGCTTGACCGTGGCTGGCATGCATGCTCGATGCGCATGCCTGGCAACAGCTGGCAGAGGAATGGACGGACTGACTTTCCATCAAAGTACGCAATCTCGGCGGTGAGAGAGCGGGAAAGGGTAAATGGCCCTTGAGCTGCAGCCTACGTTAGCCCAAGCTTGACCGCTTCATTTCTGTATGCATGTGTCTCTACGGAGTAAAGTGTAGACTTTTTTTGACCTTGCAGTTGGCGTTGCGTGTTTCTGGACGATGCACCTCCTGTTGTTGCCCTGAGACGGACTCACAAGGTACAGTGTACAGCACGGCAGACTAGACAATGGCCGAGGGTGCATACGAATCATGGAGAGCATGACATATACCTCCTGATAAGCAGGTACACAGTACCTTCTGTGTTGTTGAGGAGACTTGTCTAGTCTAGTCCAACCTGGTAGCTACTCAGATTGCTTCCCCGATCACCATGTTCCAATCGTGGACATTATCTTGATCAACCGCCCTTGCTGACATCACGCGATAAGCTCCCTCCGGATCAACCATACAAAACACACCTCACCATCTTCTCGTGGTCTGTTTCCCCTGCGACTACGAATAGAAGCTCTCTTATCTGTTGGCTGACGGCACTCTTATGATTCTATGACTTTCCATCACTTTCTATGCTTCCCTACGTATCCGGCAACCTTCTCAAGTCATTTAATCAATCCCAATTGGGCAATATGAGCTTGATGCTTGCCTCTAGTTGATTGTTGAGTGTGGTGGCATCAAGTCGTTCATTGGAGATTCCTTCTAGCGAGGTGTTTTGATACTCTGCTCACTTCGGCCCCAAGGACATGCCTTTTTGCTAGGGTTTTCCGAGATGGCTGGACTCCTGCCTCGTCTATGCTTGTGGTTATGAGACTGGACTGTTCCTCAGACATTGGCCGGGGGTTTGACAAGCATGCCACTCCTCCTTCGCCATAGTCGGCATCTGGCAGTTTCAGTTGCCGTCGATTGACCCAGGCATATGTGTTTGGGAAGTGATTCAACTCATAACGTAACCGCCAGTTGAGACCAGAGGAGTAATCCGACCTACCGTCGATGGCTACCGTGCTTTTTCGGTTCAGCACATCTTCTTCCCTACTCAGCTTCTCGTATTGACCGTTAGGTTTGGCAGATTCTGCATGCGTGGCTGGAATGATGAACGCTTATTCACCACAGCAGCTGCCATTGCGTTTAGATACGTATGTTTACGAGTGCTAATCCGTTCCATTATGGCCATTAGCAGCGCGGCTGGGCGCTGACCAAGAATAACCCCAGATGGAGCCAATTCAGCGCCCATCCCTGGGCTGCGGGGGCTGTACGCTATCTGATTACATCGGTTTCCCTTTTGTAAGTTAGCCTACATAGGCTTCCTAGTCGAGTCGCTTCCGGATAATTGTAAACACTTACGGGCAAGTATGGTTGGCTGCTCTGGTGGGACAGAACATTCCCCCAATGCATGGATCTACCCTACATAGATACCTTGTGCATGTATTCCGTAGCGAATGCGCCTTGAACGGAACTGAGGATAGCATCTAGGTCGAAGTCGGAGAATACAGAAAAGACAACGTTTCCTTTCTCCAAATCAGCCATATTTCTGGTCACCGTGCAAAACAAAAATAAAAAAAAATACACTGACTATCTTCGGGTCGCGTGTCTACCTTCCCTGCCAGAATAAGGACCCATAGTGGTGGGCATGGATTGTATGATTTCCGACTAGTCATTGCCCTGTGAACCATGTCCATGGCGCAAGAGGAGGCAACACAGGAATTCCACCTCCTGACGGTTACGAAACTCGTCGCATGATCAAAAACTCCCTTCCATGTGGCGGAAGAGGATCTACAATAATGATAATACCAGCCTTCTTTTCTGCACTAACAACCCCAAAAATGTGAGCGATCCAGCACCCTGCCGTTGCAAATACTACTGGTCTGTCGATTACCCCGCACGATCTTCGAGTCGCCCCAGTCGATATTGGAATTCCTCGGTCCTATTATCATGGGATGATAGGCATTGGGCAATGTAAAAATGGGAGTAATCTCTTAATGATGTGATTTGTCCAAAGAGGTCCAGTCCAAACTTAATGTAGGTAACTTAACTGTGCTTACTTTCGTACACAGTCCCACTTGTATCTCTCTATCTCCGTATGGGGTAATACGTAAGCGGACATACATCACCTGCCATCTTCCAATGTTGATTAGGTAGGATCATTGCTGGAAGTTGTGCAGACGATCAAGTATCTAGTCACCTAGTGTTTATCTAGGGAGTACCTTAGAAACTCTCTAGTGGATCCATTCCCCATGCTCCGGGGTACTTTGCTGGATTCTGACCGTCCTCTGACCTTCGAGTCTCAGTAGATTGTGGACCGGACAGGACTCGTGGATAGAGTTGAGGCCTGCTGTAAGAGGAAATCTCTCTTTATCAGATGCTGTTTCGCCAATCCTGTCACGGTGTCACCGGGTTTCCTGAGCGCGGAGGATATGTTGTGAGTAGAGTTGGCTCAGTGGCTGGGTTTCCCCGGTTTCAAGAGTCGGGGTCCTGTCTATTGCTCTTTGCCCTGAGCATTTTCTGATATTGGAAGACAATGTCGCCATTTTGAGTCTAAACTGCCAACATAGTATCGTTTCAAGGAGATCCCATGGCAAGTAGGCCATGAGTGGATCAGGCGCAATAGAACATCAATTCAAGTGGATGGTAAGCATGATCTATCCGGAGGCATTTCTCGCAGCCCAGCGCGTTTGCTTTTTCAAAATGCAATCGCTCATCTCCTGTTAGATCCCGTAATCCAAGCTCTCTAAGTTCAGCGAAGGTTTCAAGTGCACGTTCGTAATCCTCATTCGAAGTCCAACCATCACGCTCCACAAACCCTCGCAGTGCGTTCCAGTGTCAGCTTGCTCATTCCAACCTTCGCCCTCTCGATACTGTGTTTTCAGTTCCTCGTTTTTGAAGTTAATCGGACAAGCAACCTCGTCGTTCACCTCGTCCCAATGGCTGTGGTTCGTATAATAGTTGGCTACATTGAGTCTAAGGTAGTGTATAGCTAGGGAAACATACCGCGCAACACGGATGAGGCACTGCCTGAAGGGTAAGATATCGCCATCCCATGTGTTTGTAGAAAATACTGCAGTCTCTTTCCTTGTCCGCCCGTGAGGCAACTCAAAGATCTCGTGGAGGACTGGATTTTGTCCTCTAAGTGTTGGATTCATATGCCCAGAGTACAATAGACTTTTCCACTTGAGCTCGAATCCGAGCTCTCTCGGCTTTGTCCTCAATATCCCTGTAGTGGTCGGGCAATTCCAGCATGATTGCATTGTAAGCTACTAATTTCGGACGTCGGGCTTGGGTGAAGAGAGGGCCAGCCCAGTTATCCTGCCAGTCTATAACTCCAGTAACCTTGTTCCCCTTAACAAGTAGATTCGGAGCATGTATATCCCAGTGCCGGACGGTAGACCTGTTCAGCTCTTTATTATTCGGCAAAAGACAGTCGGAACATCCATGAACTTGTTGTAAAGCTCGACATGGGCATCAGCAGAGCTTTGCGAGGAGCCCTCTGTTACCATAAACATGTCATATCATGGCTTTGGAGTCGCTGCAGTAGCATAACGGCTAATCCAAGCAATCTCTCGCCGGGCTATTGCGTTGAGATAATCTTTGGGGCACTTCCCTGTGAACAGGTTTTAGCAAAGATAACATTACTAGGCGGATATCTAGTTCTCACAAGGGCCACGATCGATGTCCAAAGGTGCCCGTTCTTTGTCCCAGAAGTCGTTATTGGACACTGGTCCTATCACAAAACGACTCTTGACTTCCTCCCTCTGTGACTGTGGTGCATCACTCGCAATTTCAGCCTTTTCGCAGCCCGGAAACGCATCGACCACCAAGTAGAGGCTTCCATAACTACACTTTCCTATCAGACTTAGATGGCCATCATCTGGAATGTCTTGACATACCGCGTAAACGATAGAGGTAGGAGCTTCTTTTCAATAGCAATGATGTCCTCCACAATCTTCGACGTATCAGCAAGCTTCAGATCATCCCAGATCTCACCAAGTTGCCTCCCAGTAGCTTCCTCCATAAGTATATATTCAGATCCCACAGGGTTATCCGCTTTTCCACTCCAAGCTAAGACTTTTGGGACAGGTATTCCAAGGACAGTCCGAGCCTGCAAGGGTCAGAGGTAAGCCTGTGCCTCCTACTCTGGGGAAGACGACTTACAAACTCCATGGTCGCAACTTCCGACGCAGTTGTCGTGCACGAACGTCCAACGTTAGGATATGGTATTCGTGCAATCACCGTCGAGTTATCATCCAACACAAGTCGGGAGACCTTATTAAATCCGCCCTCTGCGGTCTTCGACATAGATACGCAGGCCTTCGCACCGACACTCCTGGTAGCAGTAGCCTTGAGTTCAGACACATTGAACTGCTTGGATCGATTGCGAAGCTGGATGTCCTCGTTCCACAACCATATTCGCTTGAGTAATGGAAGAAATCCTCATATTGTAAATCTGAATGTTCGGATATAGCTGGAACGTGACTGAAGGGAGGACTAGATACTGAGTGAGTGAGACGACGAGTGATGAGTAGTGGTGTTTGTTTAAATGACCAGCTATGCGAAGGATTGGGGTCAAAGTGACGAAATTAGACATGTTTAGCTTGTACGATGTCTACAATTTCCCGTAAACAGGTCCTGATGTAGCCAATGGCATGTTGAGACGGCAAGCGCACAAGTAGTTGATATCTATCCTGTCCAGACTGTGTGAGTCCAGAAAGGCAACGGCTTCCTACTGCTTTCTATCTCACCTTCCTCGTAGTTCTGAAACCTCCCAAATGCCACCTATGAAGAGTCCAAATATTTGAATACAGTTATAAGCAGTATCTATTGTGAAATGTCCGTTAAGAATTGATGTACCTTGATGGCGCGAGGTTACAACAGTTCACAAGAACAGGGGCCATGGCTGATGGCCCGTCCTCAGAGGTAGAGCGGCGTAGTCCGGGACTTACTCCTGAATTGCTCCTGAAACCCACCTGGAAAGATCAATCTGGAGAGATGCTTATGCGCTGATGACATTGATAGCTATCATGCATCATAAAGAATAATATATCGCGCATTTCTCCTGGACTGAATTTGCCTCCCGATAAGGAGCCCTTCCATAGTGCTGACTACATTGTAGCAGATTGATCTACAAGGCACATCCAGGCTGCATCACGAATACTCCCCTTTCTGTACGGAGTACAATCACCAGATAGCCACACTACCTACATGAAACTTATCTGACTGATACTCCCACGTTGATCCATCCTTGATCCTCGTCTGACGAGTCTAGTACTACTCTCCTCTCTTCCTGAAAGGAATGATGGCATAATCCGGTGTAACATTCCGCCCAGTGTCAAGCAATAAATGACAATATGAGACTGTTCCTTGGTCTCCATAGCTGGCACTCTACGCAGTACTATCCAGGAGCTTCCGTGGCTGTTACACAATAAGCAGCGTATTTGCCGTCAGCAAACGGTTCTCGAGTCAGCTTCAAGAATAACCTCTCGCACAGGCACGCAGGAATATGCATATGTCACTGCCGTTACAATCCATTCCCCCACAACTGCCAGTGTCCCCTCAACAGCATTCCACCTGATTTCATCTTCGTTTGACAATGTCTCAGTTTGGCTCGGGTATGTAATCAATCTGGTATCTACGTAAGTATTGTCTCATTGGAAGGTGGGATTGTGGCATATCCTGCATGTTACCTATCGAGATTGCGGAGGTGCGACTGCGATCATTCCGTCTGACATCTTCTATGGAGTATCTTTTTCGATTGAAACGATTGAAACATGCCATCACATGTCGCTCCATTTGGAAAGTCTCGGCAGTTGTTCAGCGAGCTCCATGACTTGGTGACGAATCTTTGGTCATAATGTCTCAGAATATATGTAGTGTATCAAAAGCAGCAGCGGATGCCGTTCATTCATCCACGAGCACCCGTTGATGCAATACTGTAGATACCTTCCACAAAGCTGAAGTACTCTATCCGATATCAGTAATCCAGTGATATATGGATGAGATGTAGAATTGGCCGATGTGATTGGCTCGTCGGCATCGGCCGCACCAACCGCCGAGACGGAGAAAAAAGACTCTTCCTCTTCGGGATGGCGATGGCTGATATCTTACCCCATGGAGAGTATCTCAAAGGACGTTGTTTATCATCATCAATGAATACGGGCACCTATGGGATAGACTGTTCAATGGCGAATCATTGATCCTCAAGTAAAAAGGGATCGCCGATTTGCCAACCATGCAATATGAGCAAGCGTCCGTACGAGGAGTCATTGTTCCACGGTGGCTCACCAGAGTCTATCGATAACAGTCACAATGGCCTGTTGCCCATCAATGATCTCCTGTCACCAGAACCACCCCAATCTATAAGCGGGTCCGTCAAGAAGCCTAGGAACTTTATCGCCACTGTAGTAAGTTTTTTTGCCTTGTAATACCGTCATGTCCATCGTTGACACGAGTATAGGCATGTGAGACTTGCCGCCTCAAAAAGACCAGGTGCGATGAATCGCGCCCAAAATGTGGATTGTGCAAGTCGCTCGGCCTGGAGTGCGTCTACAATGAGCGCAAGTCGTCGAAGTAAGTCCCGAGGGGTGATAGCGCCTGGCTGGGACTTCTTGTCGCTGACATTCTTTCCAGACGAGATCAGTCGCTTAGTCTGATCATGAGCACTCTCCATCGCCTGGAGACAAAGCTCGAGCACATCTCGTCGGCTGTTCGTGATGACATGCAGCCTCTCCATCAACAGATGCTTCATGCACTTGAGGGCCTGAGAGATGCAGCTACCCCGAGACAAAGTGGCCGCGCCGCTGACAAGCATGCGTCCTTGTCAAACTCGCAGTCGCAGCATCTCACCCCCGAAATGGGGGAGCCGGATGACTTTGTGTTTGATGAGCGGCCCAACACAACCGACTCCAATGGCCATGTGTCGATCTCTTTCAGTCAACATGGCGTGATCCTCTGGCCTGGAGCTCGAGAGATCTTGCCCCGGAGACTTCTCGAAGCCCATGAACGACTGGGAAGGAACTATGTGATTGACTTGGAGATGAAGCGTTCCCATCTGCCTATGTATGCATATCCGTATCCCCCGCAGGCTGGAGAGGACTGGCTGGAAGCACTGCCCCTTGCTATGATCAAGGGTCTTTCGGACGCATTCTTTGCTACTTTCAATCTGTTCACGCCGATCATGGACAAGGCCTTCTATTTCGCTTTCACTCTTGGCGCGGCGATTGAGAGCGGGTTCGGCTACACCATTGAAACCTGCCTGGTTCTTAATGTGATGGCCTTGGGCTGTCTGGCTGTCCTGAGCCATCAGGAAGGAAACTATCCTTTGCCAGGCACTCGAAGCAGTCGATTTGAACCGCCGGAGTGGATGGGGGTCATCCACGAGGAGCCCCCAGGCTTACGGTTCTTCAATGAAGCCCGGAGACGGATTGGCTTCCTGATGTGCGCCAATGACATTCAGAGTTGTCAATTTTACCTGTTGTCTTCGTAAGAGCTTCGTTTCTCCCTGCGATGAGCGCCTGCTGACCTGATATCGAAGCGTATATTACAGCCAGATTCTTCGTCCCATGGATTCCTGGGCCATGATCCACCGCGCTGCTACGTGTTGTTTGTCAATGCTAACCAAGTAAGTCCTTTTGACTTTCCTTCAGGCTCTATGCTTTCAGCCACTAACAAACGAAGTCATGATGTCAATTTCGACGAGTGGGAAGGCGACATGAAATCGCGGGTATACTGGAACACTCTCATGAACGAAACCATCCTTGTACAGGAATTGCATCTTCCACCCAGTGGCCTTTCACGTCTCGAGGAACTCGTCCCTATCCCTAAATTTATCGGCTTCGAATCCGTCGGCTTCGTGCCAGCTCGCTTCTCTTCCTCTTCGGAAGAGATAGATGAATCCTTCTTCCAGTATCATTTCCTCGCGCAGGTCGCCCACCGTATCATTCTTACCCGCATCCGCCATTCACTGTACTTCTACTGTAAGTCTTCGTCTCTGACCTGTTCCTCCTCGCTGATTTAGACCTCTAACACCGCCCTCAGCCGATTCAGGAACCTTCCCCTCCCGGCCGTCAACGCCGAACTCCGCCACCAGCTCGAGCAATGGCGCATCAATCTCCCTCCCGCGCTGCAATTCTCCGACCCTCAACCCAGCACCCCGATGGACCCAAACCCTTCCCCAGCCCCGGTCTCCCCTCTCCCCATCGATCCCAACCGGCCCCTCTCCCCCGCCATAGCAGTCACAGAGGCAATGCTGCGCGGCCGCTACATGATCGCCAATTTCCACATCGGCCGGCCCTACCTGTACAAAGCGCTCCGGATCCCGCAACACGTAACAGACCACGATCTCGAGCAAATGCGCAGCGGCCTCCGCCACGCAATGGACTGGCCCCCGGTTGGGGGCATCTTCCGCAAAATGAAAAGCTGCATCCCGATCAAGTTCGCTTTCTGCGCCCAGTAAGTTTGCCCTCCTGCGTGTCTTGTTGTGCAACTGCGCCTCGCGGCACGTACTGACGCACCGTCAACAGGTTCTTCGGCCAAGTCCTCCTCTTCTACTGTATCTCCCACCACCCCGATCCGCGCCTTCGCAAGACCCTCCCCGTCGGCTGGGAACGATGGACCGACGAGATGCTGCGGTTCCTGGAGGACTGCGCACCGTTTAGTCCCGCCGTCGCGAAGGATCTGGAACTCTTGCAATTGTTACGATGAGTACTTTGTATGCATATCTGTGTATATGGCTTCTGTCATGATTGATGCTTTTGGGGCGGGATTTTGTCTTCTGTCTTGTCTTGTTTCGCCTTGTTTGAGATATCCTAACGCTTGTATGATAGTTCTGCCCTAGACTAATTGGGCCTTGATGGTCGTTCTTGTCTATGAGTGTGACAGACATAATTTTTGTTTCGCAAATGGTGAGCACGCAATAAGCTACGTGATACGTCCTCTTCGATCCAGTTGAGAATTATAGATACACTGTCTCAAACAGAGATGAATCCTTCCCTTAACTATACATTATGCTGAACGCTCAGTCCAAGAGTATGCAACCAAAGGGGAATCAATCGGCAAGCGCTGAGGAAGAAAATACAAGAAAAGAAAACAACAGGTCAGAGGTCTCGAATTTCAGGTAGTCTCGAGATAAATCACAAAGCCCATTCATCGACGTCGGCATCAGTGATGAATGGCTTGTCAATTTGCTTGATCGCATGGTCACCGCAGAGGATACTGTAGACGAATTAGTCGGGGTTTGTTGCATTTGGTGAGAAGAAACTTACCACGCCTCAGCAACCAGGCCGTCTAATTCCTTCACGATCTCCTCCCTTCGAGAAGATGATATATCGGCCTTATTCAGCTGCGCTTGCAGGTCACGAATGTACTTCTTCTTCCCGCCTGCGCCTCCGAGTACTTCCTTGCCCAAACAGTCGCTGTGGAATGCATGTTGGCACGGAAAGACAAAGAACTGGCGGCTAAGCAGCGGTAAAGAGCAAGTCCAGCATTTCTCCCCGGGCTCCACAATAGCATAACGCATATCCAACGCCGCAATCTGCGATCGGATCTGTCGTGCAGTCTGAGCCGAATTGTCCATCTCCTGGCGCAGTGCATCAATGTGCCGCGAGTAGTCTTCCAGAGCACTGCAAATCTCGTCTTTGAAGTCGTCAATGACGACAAAGTCGGGAAAGAACGGAATCAGATCCTCAATGCGCAACAGCTCGCATCGACGCAGAAACTCGATGGCGTCTTTGATTCCGGTGCCTGGTTGCCGGATCTTCTTCTCCGCTACAAGCAACCACAATTTTTTCCGGAGCTTGTCATTCCCTTCCGGTCTGTCCGCAACGATCGCGGCTAGTTCAATATCTTCATGCTGCAGAGCCAGCTCAACGGCCTGAAGATACTGCCCCATCGCACTATATATATGGATGCATGATTGAACGCGTTCGTGTTGAATGCACAGGCGCAGCGCAAAGTCGGCATCGTATGGAGGGGGCGAAGACGGCTGAGATTGAAGGTATGTTAGAAGGCCCGCTTCGGAAGGTGAAGGGCTCGAGGCGTGGATTGAGATTAGTGTGTTATGTACTGCAGCTGATGGCTTGGGGTGATTGACAACGATAAAGTTGAGGTATCGCACGGCCTGATTCTGACTGAGAGGGACGTTCACAGTCTTATTATAACTGAGGAGCGCAGGGATAAGTCTCTCGGGCTCCAGGTTTGTCTGCCGCATCAGGATATCCACTAACCCGGTCGCGGCATGGGTCATCAGCACGCTGCTATACTTGTAGAAGACGTCGGGATCCGTCTGTTTTTGTAGGACATTGAGTGCTTCTGACCACTTTTCACGCTGTATCCAATACGACAGGACGTAATTGTAGTCATTAGTCGCCGTCGCAAAAAAGAGCAACTCCTCTTCTCGGCCATGGCTACTGATAATGTCGTACGCAGTCTTCTTGTCCAAGTCGGCCTTGTACTTGTTCACAAACTCCTGGAACTCGGCCCGAACATTGCTCAGCTCGTCTTTGATATCCTCCGTGCTGGCTCCCTCCGCTAACTCAGCCTTGGTGGCTATGTTATCGTCAAGAGCGTTCAACTTCGACATGAAAACCTCTACCAGCCAGCTCGCAACCATAATCCTTTGCATGGTAGATGCCTTCTTGTATGTCGATAATTGGGTAAGGAGATATTTCCGCAAAGCGTCATGCTCGTTACGATTGATCAGAGTCAGACAGACCTCCTCAAACCCCTTGCTACTTTTACCCCAAACCTTGGCCGCTTCTAGGTAACGGCCCTTGCTGGCTAGAAAGTCGCCAGAAGCAGTAGCCACAGCATCCTTCTGCGCGCTACCGCGGGCATATTCAAGTGCCTGATCAAACATCTGCTTCTGCAGGAAGACTTTCCACACATCCCGGTCCTCGTCCTCGGCAACAATTTCGAAGATTTCCTGGCTGGTAAACAGCCAATATGTGTGCTGCATAGAGTCTGTCAGAAGCCCTAACGTACTCTGTCCAGGCTCGAGCACTGCTTGCTCATAGATGATTTCATCGCTCATGCGGTTGACGGCAACGATTTTCCCTTCGACAAGGGCTAGAATGTGCCACTGTGACAGTGTCATAGCGGTTATAGGATCTTGGATTAGCTTCTTGCCTCCACGAGCTGACTCCGTCGCGGGGAACATGGAACGCGGTAGCATCCTGGCACCTTCAAAGGGCCCTTCCGCTTTTCCTGAAGCATATGGCAATTGACCATGGTAGATGCCTTGCGAACTAAGCCAGGCGAACTCTTTCTCGGCGTAACTATCCGCATTATGCCCATCGACCGCAGTGGCGGAGATCACCAGCGTCGACGGCGCGGCGCCAGATGGTTTCTGAATCTCGTGCACCACTGGTGCCTCCCGTTGAAAGAGATCGGCATATATACCTTGGCTCCCTTGCCTCCCTGCCCGCCCCTGAAAATATAGTAGCTTGCCATGTGTCGCGATCAGCACTTGTCTCTGCTCTGGCGTCGTAGGCACCAGCTCCGTCCAAATTCCAGTCACAGGTGACCCTCCGAAACTTTGTAGATTGAGTGGGCGTACTTTTCCTCGCGCCGATAGAACTCCGTGGACGGCTCGATGTAGGTCTCCCAAATCTGACCATCTGTAGCGCCTAAGAGGATCTCCCTTGTCGAAGCCGTCGGTAGCGACGGGTTCCAGGCAACACTCTCGATCGAAACGCCCTTTAAACGCGACAGCGACTTGGGATGCCTAGACTGAGTATGAAGGTAGTAGTTCTCGCCAAGGGTCGTAGTAATGATCAAATGTGATGCAGAGGGGTCAAGAAACATTCGACGAATCACTCCGATTTCCGAGGATTTCTTTGGAAGGTCAATATCTAGTTCAAGACGCCTTAGCATTGCGACGAGGATAGCGGGACGGAGCGCACGAGCTTGAAAGGGAACCAGTTACCGTCAATGTCTTCGGGGTATCTAGATCTATACGGAGGATGCGATTCGTCGACAAGGCCAGAATGAGCACATTGTTAGCAACTTGTGCGGCGACGAAGTCCGCAGCTAATGGGAACTGCAGCTGAACACGCCGGACATCAAACATGGAGAGGGCATCCGGAGCTTCGGCCAAGTTGCTGGGAGCAACATAACCGCTGGATGCATTCAGCGCCATGATACGCCGTTTATTAAGACAGAAGGAAGACTTTTAAATCATAGCGAGGCTTCGAGGAGTCTGGCAGGTAAGGAGGAGCAATGGTTAGTTGTTGTTGATCATTGATCATCTGGTTATGAATGAATGCTCACCCAGACCGGGGGGAAGCTTGACGAAGGCGGAGTGCCTGATGCCCCAGGCAGAAACATATACATGCTTTGGGGCTCTGTACAAGAAAAGTCCATGAACTACATTTATTTTTACGGGAGACCTTTTTTTCGAATATCTCTTGATGAATCTCCTCTCTATCTATCCCGATTAGTGTGACATGTACTCTATGGACATACAGGAAGATAAAACGAAACAGCGAATGCGCTCTCGCTAAGACAGGCATCGTAAATCATAGCTGGGTATCAAGTGCCTTTCCCTCTAGGCTTCCAAGCAAAAATGGTAGCAAAGAGTAGATGCGATGAATGAAAAAGCGTCACATAACTATGCACTCCCGTTCCAGCTTTCTTCCAAATCGTTCTCGCGACCGATCCTTCACTTTGCCTTTAGAACGCTCGCGATCCTTGGAGCGTCTGGGACTCTTTTCTTTGCTCTCCCTACTGATTCCTGCGGACATCTCTCCAGTTTGACCGGCCAGGTCATTGTCCACAGCAAAATCGTCGACGTCGTCTTCCGCAGAGCCGTCACTGGTGAACTTTTCTTTGCTGCGGCGTGACGTGAAGCGAGAGAATGTTGCACTAATTCTGTTTTCGCTAGTTTGACTCCCGGCACGACTGGCAGGTTTACTTCTGGCTGATCTGGACTCGCGTCTGGAGTACGAAAAGGCATTTTTGTCTTCCAAGTCCTTTGGCAGGATCCGTGGCGACTTTGAAGAGACAGGATGCACTTGGAGATTATTCGTTGAATCGCCGAGATTCGAAAAGGCTGCGCTTTGTTGCCTTCCATTCATATCTGTCAGTCCAATTGCAGGGTCCTCTGGCGTTGTAATTTCGACACTTGGCCGGCCAGAAACATATCCCGATGGAAGTTCAAAATCAGTATTATCTGTCGACAATGTCTGGAGCTTCCGAACAATCCCCGCGGCATCTAGTTCACCGATATCTTCCGATGTATCGGAGGAAGGAACTTTGGTGGCCAGATTTGCTTCTGCAGCATCCTCATTGATGGGCAGTATCTGATAGAATAGGAGATATGGAGACTCGAGTTTCAGCGCTTGCTCAATGTCGACGAGGGTAACGCGTTCCTCTGCCAGGTCATCGAAGCGCATCCAGTATCTAGGAGCGTCTGAGGCCGGCTCCGATCCGTGAGAGCTGGCAGGAAGTGCGCCAGCACTAGTGCCTCTGACGATAGCAATGTAATGCCCTGAGTCAACCGAGTTACCTCGATGGCAAACCAACGCTTGCAAAGACAGCTTGAAGTTTCCATAAATGGGGCCGTCTGCGTCCATATTGTCGTCTTGAATGAAGTGTGGAAGCCCAATTTCCGTGGGTATATCGACGTATGTGCTCAGTCTGACAGCTTTCCCATTCGGAAGCATGGAATAACGTTTTAAGCACATGCCTAGTATTGGTCTCTTTGACGAAAAATGCGCCGCGACCTGGGCATCGCTCGTTGGGGTGTTATCTGTGTACCAAGCTATGGGAGTTGGAATCAGAATCCCTTCTTTTTCCTCTGGGGATCGAATGCACCTACGTATCAGACTGAAGAATTGCCACGCGGGCATCATAACTTCCTTCCTATAAGATCCTCTTCCGGAGTGACTCTTCGTGGTAGAGCGACCGTCAGCGTTTGCTCCGTCTTCTGAGTCGGGTACGAATCGTTCTTGGACGATGCTGGTCCGCCGAATGTGGGAGCCTCGAGGCGTGCTTGAGCCACTTACTTCCGACTCGGTTATTATGGGCATTAACGGCGCTGATTCGTCGGATCGCAGTGGAGTCAACTGAGTTGGAGAAGTCGCAGGAGACGGGGTGACCTCAACAGTCTCGATATGTGATGTAAAGCCTTTGGACGTGGAATCGAAAGATCTGGTTGAGCCGACAGTATTGCGTCGCTCAAGGTGGCGTTTGACCTCAATCCTATTGTTGAAATACGATTCCAAACAGTCCTCCAGTGTCACTGTCTTCCCATCGACAGGCTCAGGAATCGCGACCTCCAGCAATCTCTCATTGACAAATTTGTGGTCGCTGCTCACATCCTCCTTTCCAGTGTGATAGATATCCATCTTTAGCGTGAGTAGAGGCAGCTCTAACTTTTCTGTGATGAATGTGAAGGCTTCTGAAGTATCTTGCTGGCGAAGCTGAGCTGCATCTTCCCAGCCACATTCAGCGAGTGCATCCTGCAAATGCTTGGTCTTGTGCCCAATAATGATATCAGTATTTCCAATTTAACAAAGGCAACTGAGGTGAGAACGTACAATGTCTGTTGTTATGAGCTTTCCTGAGCGCAGCATGTTGACCCAGAGTCTTAGCAATATTGAGAGCTTGCGACGAGGTTCGTCGTTAAATGACTTGTATAGGATCGCTTCGAAGCAATCTAGACGAGCAAACATCGCGAACAGCAATGCGTCCAGGTAGCAGGTAACACCCTGTCGGTTGACTGCTCCAAGAAGCTTTGTACTCGAACTGTACGCTCTGATTATACCCTCAATCGAATCCTCCAAGATGAGGAGCAGATCAAACGCTTTCTCTATGTCTCCCTGAGCGGACTGGAGGGCATACTCAAAGTGCTCTTCCTTCAAGCCAGTATAGCCAAGTTGTGCGATGCGGCGCCCCAGTATCTTCAGCTACGGAAGTTGTGAATACCTCACACAGGGCATAGCCAGGGCAACTTCCTCCTTACCTTTTTCTGCTCTTCTTGGTCTGGCTCTGGCCTACGATCGGATGCGAAAAACCCGCTGAAAAGAGGACGGGATAGTATCGTCGAGGCCTTGAAAGATAAGCGCATTAGCATTCATAGATCGTGGTGAACGCTGCTCCCTCATACCGTACCTCATCCTTATTCTGCTTTGCGTTCCGATTATTTCGCTCGCGTCGGGTAAGGAATCGATGAATGCCACTCATATCTTAAGGCTTAGGGCGAATGTCACTAAGAGCATTCGAAGGGAGGCAATAAGCGTCTTCAAGTGATAAGGAGACAGGTGCGTTGTCCAAGGTACTGAGTAGGATGCGACATGAGGAAGACTCGGGGTATGTATAGCGACAACAACTGTGAGCTCAGGCTCCAATATTCTTGTCAAGCGCAAGAATGATTTCTTTGGTTGAGTCAGTGAGCATATCAGGTGCTTAGCTCTTCTGACTAGACTTCTGTGGCACTAGAAGCAGTAATGTTGATTGTTCATGGGTCACACAGAAGATAGAATCGAGATGATCTAGGAATGACATATGATAAATCGTAAGATGCTAAATATGCAACAAGGAACAAGCCATGAGAAGGATTCCGGAACAGAAGTAGTGGATACCTCTAGAAATGTATATCTAGCTTGCTATCGTTTTGGCGGGGTGATGAAGATGATCAGATGTGGAGCCTCTTGTTATGAGGAGTGAACTTAGCTGCCTTGCATTGATGCCAGATTGGCCAGGCACAAATCTCCCTGCCCCTGCACGTGACCATCTGAGACTCCCAGCCCGGAAGTAATTTTTGGAAATCGGATATTGATCGACTGGATCAACAACCCCGTCTTCAAACCCCAATGGCTGCTAGCGAGTCGTCCAGATTCCTGACAAGATCCCTGCCGAGGGCCTTTGCACCATCCTCTCGCCTTCAGAGCGTTTGTTGGCGGCGCAATGCCTCGGATCAGGCGTCGTCGAAGCCCCCAATTAGTGACCTTGAGCCGTCAAGCTCTCTAAGTGCCAGCGTACCGGAAGACATTGTGAAGTCATTTGATCCAGTAGCGAGGTCAAGGGCGCGCAAAACACAGTTGCCTCGGAGCCGGTAAGCATTATTGCCCTTTTTCATTGCCAGTTCAAACTGCGTTCGCTTCAAGAGATCATCATACTAAACCCAGAATGTAGTTATCAGTTCCGTTCACCTAAATACGACCGTGGCCCTCTACACCCTCACAGACCTCCTCCACCATCAGATCCCTCCTCCCGACTCTTTGTTCCTGGCCCCTTTTCTCTTCCCAGAGTAACACAGACATGGGAGTCGACCATCGCTCCAGACATTCTCACCCTCTGCTACGTGCACACCCCTCCCGGGTTCAAGCCTCCACCGAAAGGTTCTCGTCTCCGTGAGTGGGACGACAGCTCTCCTTACCACAAGAACCGACCGCTACGTGGACCTCGTGGCGGCGACGTCCTACGATTGCTCCGCAAACCCGTCACTTTCAACAACATTCCCCAGCTCGAGCGCATCACCATCCACAGCTACGTCAAGCAAGCTGCTACGGAGAACTCGTCCTGGCTCCATGTCGCCGGTATGGCCGTTCAGGCTATTTCCAACGTCCGCGTTCAGACATTTAAATCAAAGTCCAGCGTTGCCACGTGGGGTATTGCGCCTGGCAGAGACACCGTCGCAGTGAAGGCAGAACTGCACGGTGAGGATATGCTCCATTTCTTCGGAAAGTTAGTCGATGTTGTTCTACCTAGAATCAAGGACTGGGAAGGTGTCAAGGGTACCAGCGGTGATAGCAGCGGAAACATCACGTTCGGTCTTGAGCCCGAGAACGTGGCTCTTTTCCCGGAAATCGAGGTCAACTACGATATGTAAGTTCAAACGTGGTCTTTCAAGTGATTTGCACGTAGTTCTGAGGCTAACGTACGGTTTTTCTGGATAGGTACCCACCAAAGATGATCCCCGGTGCTCATATCACGATCCATACAACTGCCAGAACCGACAAGGACGCCCGTCTTCTCCTCAGCGCCATGGGTATTCCCTTTTATGGCAAGCTGGTTGATTAGACGTCAAGTTTTATCCGTCTGATTACATGTGTTTCGTCACCTGGGACAAACATGCCAGACTTGAAGAACCAGGTGGCTTCTGAGCGATATGCTAGCTCATCTTGTATTTTATGTTGACTGGCAATCATGGTGTATTATAGAAATCATGTGACATTTCTACGTTTTCCTGGCGAGCTGAAAAAGTATACTTCTGTGCATGAACTTTATTCTTCTCACGGCTGCGCCATGTGGCAGACAGAGACTGCCTCCTCGTCGAGTACATAAGTGCTTTGATTAGGCGCAACAGATGGTTCAAGCTTCTTCTCATCTAGTACGCGGGCAACATGAAAGCATGAATATTAGATGTCATATTGTGATCCTATTCAACAACTGCAATGCCCGCTTATGTATGGCACACGAAAAGCAACAAATGCAATCGATAAAGTATCAGAATCCTACCGGATATTAAAACGCCTTTTGAGGTGATAGCCTTGCGTTTAGGAAGTGGTAAGAGGAAAGCGAAGATAAGACAGGAAGGCTCTAGGGTATTCAAGTTCATAAAAGGGAAGATGCAAGAGTTCGATGTGCCTTCGAAATGAAAAGAAAATTGACGTTGGGGGAAACGCCTAATATTTGTGGTAGACAGCATGAGCAGCGCGCTATTATCCAAGGAGCGGCTATGAGCTATTGAATCATGTCTGAAGTTCGGGTGCATCTCACGCCAGGGGTGCAGACAAGAACTGGCTCTGCAGTAACTCGTCCGCGGAGGGTCTTTTCTCATAATCCACTTGGAAGGTCATGTCCAAGAAGGCCATGGCATCTTTGCTCGCGTGCTCAGGAGCCGGGGGTCTCGCACTGTTGCTACCAATGGCGAAAATAGCTTGCAACTGACTGCAGTCAGGGAAAGGATGGGCCCCAATAAACATCTCCACGACAAGGCAGCCCAAACTCCAGATGTCCGCCTTTTTCGTGTGGGCTGTCTGTCGCACGACTTCCGGTGCCATCCAGTACACGCTTCCCTGCAGAGAAGGGCGATGAAGATGACCACCTCCGCTGCCACTGGCTCGGGCACCGAGAACAGTGGAGGCTTCAACACGTTTGGAAATGCCAAAGTCGGAAATTTTGATACCGCCCTTGTTATCCACCAGAATGTTGGCACCCTTGATATCACGGTGGATGATGTCTCGACTATGGAGGTAGGAAAGACCTTCCAGAATTTGACGTACGAAATTCTTGATCAGCGGCTCTTGGAAGGTGTTGTATTGTTTGAGCATTGTGGCGATGGAACCGCCCGGGACGTACTCCAGGAAAATATTCAGGTATTGATCGTCCGCAGAGGTGCCCAAATACTGGACGATATTCGGATGGTGAAGCCCTTGCAACAGCTCAATCTCATGTTTAAGTGCTGTCACCATGCTGTTCTTCCGCTTGTCGAACTCAGTACCCTTCGTGGCCGAAGGTATTTCCACTTGTTTGACAGCCATGAGCTCTCCAGTGATCGCATGAAGAGCAAGGAAGACACTACCAAACGATCCCTCACCAATCAAAGATCCCTTCATCCAGTTCTTGGGAGCAAAATTATTGCCTGAAAGGAACTCGTTAAGGCCATCGTCCTCCTCTTCCCCATCTTCAGCCACCAAGACACTCAGCCTCTCATTGAAAGATCCGCCGTCTGTCGCTGCAACGCTCGCGTTCTCATCAAGAAGGCTTTGGCGAGAGTTACTCGGATCATCTGATCCACTATCGAAGGAAACATATGATTTGCGATTCGGCTCAATGGGAGACTCCTCTTGAAGAGGCTGAAGAGAGCTTGAGGCAATGGAATCCCTATATGATGTTTGCGGGAGATTGAATCTGGAAACCGAGAGCGGCCTTGAGGCTCGAGTAGGTTGTGCCCCAGGATTGAGCCAGGTGTCAGCGATGCTCGGAATCGGAGGCGCATCCCTCAAGCTCGATGCATAGCTTGTATTGCTGAGGACACTCAGGCGACTTGCTGCTCGGCTGAGGCGTTGAGATCTCCGAATCGACATGCGCATGGTCTTTTCAATATCCTCACGCTGATGACCGGGGAAATATGATGTAAGTTCATGAATAATCATTTCGCTAGGTGGACGAGCCCCGAAGAAAGATCGCAACTTGGCCACGGAGGGACGTTCAGCGTTCATTTGGAGAGACTGGTCATGCTCATTATGACCCTGAGGATGCCGGGCAGATACAGGCGACAAAGGTTGTTTGATGTGATGCCAGGGTTCACCTGTGAGTTGCTGTATTTTAATCTGGTTGCGCACATTTGAACTGCTCAGAGCATTCATGTGTGTCATTTGGCTTTCATCCAGCGCAAGCTGGGAAGCACGGCGGAGCTCATCAGTATCTGGTTCGCCAGCGTGAATTTTCCGCAGAATGAGACGTCCGCGCTCGGACCTACTTGATCCTTCGCAAATCTCCATGAGTTCGTGATCCGCAAGTCGCCTACAGTTCGAAGGATCTGGTTCCAAGCCGTCGAGCACGTAGAAGCAATAGTTGCGATACTGGTGCTCGGGTAGCTGCAGCTTCTTGAGGACACACAGTATAATCTCGTCAGCGGTCTTGCAATGCTTGATATCCAGTACCTTGGTCTGTCCGCCGGTATATATGACCCTGATAACAGGTGAATTTGCGGGCAAAGCACCCATTGTCAGACCATCAATGCTGGGGTTCTGCCTCAGATGTAAGCCACCTTTGTGACCATGGCCACCGTCGCTAGGTGTTCCTGGGTTTCGGCCAGAATTCGAGCCGCCGGAGGAAGGATGAGCAAAATAACCCTCTTTCCGACCACTTTCCATCGGGCTGTTCGCAGCATACCGCTGATTTCTCAATGGGGACCCTGGGCGTGACGATGATTTTCCCGTGGAGTAACCATTGTCGACTAAGCGAGACATACGGCGATTACTCGAACTTCGTTGGCGGAGGTTGGTAAGCCGAGAGGAGTCTGAAGTTGGAGCGTACGTAGGTGCCTCAAGTGCAGCAAGTTGATTCTTCATCGGGGTAAGCTGAGGTTCCAACTGTGACAGAACTTCACTTACCATGTTCGTTTGTCTAAGATTGTTGACACTCCTGTTTCTGAGCTTTTTGATGGCTACAAAAATCCGCACTCGATCGCCGACTTTCTTGATACCCATTTCCTGAAGAATTTTCTGGTCACATTCAATAAGATTGTCTCCGTTGAAATTGTTTGCTGCATACCGTCAGTGATTCCGTCATCTTAGATTCTGGTACCATGTCGCTACTCAATGCGTACCTCTGAATAAAGACTCATACTGGCCGCAGTTTATGCTGTGCAACCAGTTGATCACTTGTTTCTCATCCCACGACCTGAAAAAGTTGCAATCAGCCGTCCGCGGAGACCCTCCAAGACAGATTAGGTGGCACTGATAACCCACCGAACGGCATCATGACCATCCTTCAAGGAGAACTCGGACTCTGTCGGGCTTGTAAACAGCATCCCGTCCTGCGAAGACGCCCCCGTTGACAACTTGTGCGATGGTCCGACATGATATGTGGGTGCCGTAGCCTGGGATCCTGTCATGCCCAAAGGCGTCGACAATTGAATCTTCGTCGCCAACATAGCTCGTATATCGTGCGGACGCTGATTTATAGGGATTGAATAGTAACTGTCGGGCTTTGGCGCGATCTTACGCCATATAGATACACTGGGATTCAATGACATAACATAATAACGGCGTTTTCCCGAGAGCTATATGGCCGACTGACTGTGCGACTTTGACAGTCGTTTTGACTTCAACCGGTGAGAGGTCCAGAGTTCTCTATATTCACAACGCTGATCAGTCAATCTGTCTCTAGGATCATCTTTTGTTCCTTCCAGTAGAAACAAAGTCCACTTGGCAGGAAGAGCGAAGAGTAGCCAGCAAGAAAGAAAGTCAAGATCCAGAGGGATAACAAGGAGTGAAAGTATCACTATCCTGCTTACAGTGAAAGTAATGACTGTGTGTAGACAACTCCTCCGTGAATACCTGATCCTTTTGCTCTAACCTTGAGGCTTTGGATAAGCAAAGGCTAGGGCAATCCACGATCAGGCTTGAACTGCTTCACTATAGCAGTCTCAGAAGCTGAAAGACGCGGGGAGAGAGAACGCCGGCGGTAGGAGTAGGAGTACAAGAGCATCGAACACTCAGATGGTATCTTCTTTAGCTCCTCAGCAAGGGATAATTAAATGAACGATAAGCATGTAAAGAAGTAATAATAATATGATGCTGAGTGATCACCCCTCCTGCGACACTGACAACAACTGTATCTCTGTGGAGGCCTGATCGGTCGGGGACAATACCTCCGACACACAACCTTGGAAGTAGGTGCTCTAATTCATTTTCTCAAACACGCCGCACTGCTGAGATTTGTCAGGGGCCAGACAGTCTGAAACAATAGAGCCCCTCCGTTCCATTAAATCCATCCCCTTCCCAATACTTGTCACCATAACTGCCTTCATTGATTCAATTTCAGTGAGCTATTCTTAGCTTGTGGAATCAGTGTTGGTGGGTTCAAACCTCAACACTAATTTTGACATGGGATCGTCATATTCAAATGCCCATCGCTTCCATTTGGTAGGTTAGCATCGATCTTAAGTTCGTCGGAGCCATCTACACGGAATTCCCTGTCATGTCCCTTGGTCTAGATATTCCCTGCAAAGACTGGCATCCTGATAAACCACGGACTATGCTCCTCTATATTCGAACCTTTCCCAGACTGAGACAAGACTGAATACTGTGTTCATTCATATCTTCGGATTCCGTATCTCAACATGAAGTTTACTTTGTTGGGCCCACATGCATTTTCATATGAGCTGCCTATGGAGCAAATCAGAGTTCCAGAACCTCATGATCTCAGGTTCGACACAGTCTCGCCTGTGAGCATCAAGCGGTAATACCTAAATATCTACCTTTTTTTGCGCGCGTTCTCCAAGGACGATCGTAGGAGAAAGCTGTGGGATCTTCTTCTTTTGTTTCGGCCGCTTTCTCAAAATAAAGCTCCCATTTGGTGGCTGTCAGTCCAGCTTGGGCGAACTGTCCTGACCCGTATGTCCAGGCACATTAAGAGCTCCCCATGGGTTCCGCCGTCGCCTTAGGATCTCAATCTGCATCCCTGACTCATATTCGCTTCTGCTTTCAACCTCTCCATATCAGCTGAAAGCTAAGAACCTCAACTCTTCCACGTGCTGGTTTGAGGATCATTAAAATCACGACTCGATGGCTCGCATTCCTGAAACCTGCTCAAACTGTTGTGCAGTACACCGGTTGTTGTATTCATGTACGTAGGCTCCTACTTGGATCTATTGGTTCTCTTTCGGGGAAAAGTTGAGTAATCTCCTTTCCAAGCCAGAAGCAATGATGATTGTAGTATTATCTGATTTCGGAGCAGGAGAGTTTGGTGTGCTTCGCCCTAGTATATTCCTCACCTCCGAAGTAGCCAATGTTGCGGAACTCATGGCCAAGTAGTGGTTTACTTATCGATGGAGAAGAACGATCTACATCTTCATTTCACTGACTTATTATCCCAGGCCTCGTACACATTTTTTCTGGTGAAGAATATCAAGGTGCTGTAGGTGTCGGTGTCGTGTGTTCCGCACTGTAAATATATATTTTGTCCTGTGTCCCCAAATTGATATAGATCGATATTTCTCAATGTTCTCTGGGCCTTTTCTAACGGTGAATCCGTTGAGTACAGCCGAGTGCTGCATGGCGCAGTACTATATTCAGTCCTTGAAATAAAGAGGAAAGCAACCCATGTGGACGTCCTCATCATATCAGTAGGTGAAAGTAGCAAACTAATGGGCCGTTCTGCCATCCATCACATTCTCTGTGTAATACCACGGTATTAGATTTTCGCTATAGTGGGCCATTTTCCGCCTCTTCCGTTTACACTGGACGCCTAAATATCGAGCAAAGTCTCATCGAGAGTTAAGATGAACAAGAGGAAGGTTAGATATAGAAACGGCAGAAGCACCTGGCATCCTCGTAATGCATAATTATCTCCGCACCTGTGGGGACGGCGGAGGGCAGATATGCAAGTAGGATGGAGCATCTACCTTACCAATTGCATGTCAGGGACGAGAATTCTACAAGTTGTTGAACGAACATGAGTTGCATCCTTCTTCAGAGCGTTAATAAATATAATGCCATCAATGAGACCGAGTGTCTACATATGCGACAATTCGAGCAACATCATTATTATCACTGCGGCCGTGTGCTGCTCTGGGAAAAATTTCCCTCAGTGCGGATGGACCTTGGCTGCACGTGACTGGCTGTCCTTAGGTTCTTTACAGCCTAGTAAACCCCCTCATGCCTCGACCCCACAGTTTTTCTTCCCCGCTCGTCTGTTTCTCATCTGTGAGGACATGCTCCAATTCCAAGGCAATTCGCCATGGAGGAAGAGAGAACTGTTCAAGGCAAAGTGAAGAAGAAAAATGCCACGCCACATCGAAAGTCTTTGTCCTGCGAATATTGCAGCAGGTCCTTCGCTCGCTTGGAGCACCTCCAACGACATCTCCGCACTCGTTGAGTAACCCTGGAATTTGGCCCTGTGGGTGCGCTGAGGAATAACGGAAATGCTAATCCATTATCGTAGACACGAAGGAAAAACCGTTCTCATGTGACATATGCTCCAAATCATTTGCAAGGAGGTAGGCTGTTATCTTACCTTGCATAAGTCTCGGCTGGCGCTAATAATATGAGGAAAACTCTGTAGCGACCTACTTGTACGACATGAGCGTTTAGTTCATCCCGCCGAGGCTGCGGCCAATCGAGAACATCGAAACCACAGTAACCATGAGGTGCCTTCGACGCCGTCCTCTATGATACAGACCACCCATCATGAGTCGCGAATGCTCGAGCTTGCAGATGCAATACCAGTCCAGCCACAGCCGATTCCGCCGCCTCCGCCTGAGGTCCATGTCCAGCCAGCACCGATAATAGAGACAACGCATTTCAACCCCTCATGGGGATACGATCTGAATCTCTTGTCTCATGCTGCTAGCCATGTAGCTCTTGAAGGCCAACAGGAAGCTCTTGAGTCGATGCGAAAGCCTTCACATACCGTCGGCCCTCCTCAGCCAATCCCTCATGTCACGGACAGGCCTATCACCGAAAACTATGGGCTTGAACCGTCAATCCTTGATCTTACTGACTTAGGTGATCCGGTCCAAGACTTCACTGTCTTTTTAGAAAGCGTTGGTCTCTCATCCGACTGGGACTCGGGAGTGTTTTCCACTGTCGAGGAACCCATGTTGCCAACTACTCTCTCGATTGACTCTAAGCCATCTCTTCGTGAAACGTCCAGACTAGGGACAGAAATCATGAATGACCCGCGCTCGGCCGACGATCCTCCATCATTCTCAAATTTTGGATCTCGTTTGCCTTCGCTACAACCCGAGTCCCACGAAGTGGATGATCGGCTCGGTTTCGGCGACGACGGTCCACGTCCAGCATGGGATATCTCAAACACTGACCGCCAGGTCTTCGTTTCCAAACTTGAGGAGTTTGCTTACATTCTTCCGAAGGGCTTCGTGCCTCCATCAAGACACGCTCTGTCTCGCTTCTTTGCTGGCTATATCAACGGACTGAATGAGCATCTTCCTTTTATTCATGTCCCAACACTTTCTGTTGCCAAATGCTCTCCCGAGCTGACGCTCGCACTAGCGGCAGCAGGATCGCATTATCGCTTTGAAAACAATCGAGGAATCGACCTGTTTCACGCAGCAAAGACAATACTGCTGGAGCGCCTGCGAAGAAGGGACAGCAAGCAAGTGCCATGCCCGACATGGAATTTTTATTCTCCCAGTTCGGGATTCCACAACTCGCGTGGCTCGTCGGCCATGTCAAATCATGCTAGTAGCCCTTTCCAACAACAGCAGCAGTCTATGCCGCACCCTGTCGATCCTTCAATTTATGTATCAGATGATTCGGATGCTCACATGGAAGTGATTCGCACGTTCTTGCTTCTCACAGTTTTTGCGTCTTGGGAGAGACACCCGGAACTCCTGCGGGAAATTTTATCGTTACAAAGTACGTTGGCAAGGCTCGTTCGAGAGCATGGACTCTCCGAACCCGCGAACAGTCCTGACCCAAATAGTTGGGAGGAGTGGATACGGAGAGAGGGCAACAGGCGCACAAAGCTCATCGTCTACTGCTTTTTCAATCTACACTCCATCATGTACAACATTCCCCCTCTGATCCTGAACGCGGAGTTAAAATTGAACATGCCATGCTCTCATGACGTCTGGAAAGCGAGCAATGCGACTCAGTGGAGACGGCTCAGTCGCACCCGGCCAGGGGTGGATGTCCCCTTCCAGGAGGCATTCGCCAAACTGTTCTTAAAGTCGAGCATCTCGAACTCTTCGGCACCAATCTCGCCACTCGGAAATTATATCCTTATACACGCTATTATCCAGCAGATATTTTTCGCGCGTCAACTCTGTCTATCTGCGCCCACTATGCAGGGTACAAGTCTCAGACCCGATGACTTGACTGTTTTGGACAACTCTCTGAGCGCCTGGAAGGCATTATGGAAACGCACTCCGGAATCCAGCATTGATCCTCAGAATCCAGCAGGGCCGATTGCGTTCACCTCTACTGCCCTTCTAGGACTCGCTTACATCAGATTGCATGTTGACTTAGGCCCTTGTCGTCGTCTGATCACTCAAGACCCAGTTCAGATTGCTAGGGCCTTAAGCGAGTCCCCACCCATAGCAAGAAGCCCACGTCTCATTATGGCCTTACTGCATTCTGCCCATGCACTGTCCATCCCCGTACGTCTCGGAATCGACTTTGTGGCGAGAACCCATTCGTTCTTCTGGAGTATCCAGCATTCCCTTTGCAGTTTGGAATGCGCTTTTCTCTTGAGCCGATGGCTACTCTCCATACCAGCTACGCACTCGGAGCAGAGGTTGTCAGACCATGAAAGGAAACTACTGCTGTGGATCAAGAGCATGATGGACGAGACCGACATGGCCGTTGACCCACCAGGGGCGCCTGATATGGAATTTATGGCCAATCCTTACAAGGCCAAACAACTAAGCGTCGCTATCGTCCGGGTTTGGGCAAGAACCTTCAAAGGGAACACGAGTTGGGCGATAGTTGATCTGGTTGGGTCAAGCTTGGATGCTTATGCAGATGTCTTAGAGAATCAGTTATGACTTCAGGAATACGTTTGTCCGTCTGTTTCGCAATCGGTCCGCATGCAGCCTCCCAGACTCTGACAGATGATCTGCCCCCTGAAGAAACCCGGTCCTCGGCGAAGAAGGAATATTGCAAGCACCCTATGTGTTTCCCGAACGTGTTAGGGTACCATACCTTTTGACTGCAAACTGTCCTGCGAATCATTGATGCTTTCAGTCTCATCGACATGGATGATATGTGATGTTGCTATATACCCGCGTCTATGAATTAATCTCTCATCTATTATGTTTCTATTTTTGTGCTCGAGGCCCTTGTTTTTGGTACTTCTTCCTTTTACCAGCTGGTTTGGGGCGTGTATAAATTAGTCGGGCCGCTCATACACGATGAAGATGCCGTCACTGTTTCCCAGCCTTTTCTGGCAATAGCACCAGAGCAGCTTGTCATTGCTGTTAAAAAGGGGATTGAGAGGATCCAGAGAACGAGATAATATCCGAAACGTGGCGTCTATACTGGTGTTGTCGCTACGTCGAGCGGTCAGTTTGTCTTGTCGTTTCAGTCCTTCGTCGTCAACATACTTGTATGTCTTTTAACGGGAGGAGAAGACTATGGGGTATTCTCTTGCTTGCTTCGTTACATTTATGTCTGTGTTGCGCAACCTTGAGATGCCGGGTCGGTTCATGATGTATTTTTGCATTAGTCTAAGAGTGAAACAAAGTATTGTTACATGAGCTCAGCTAGACTTACTCCCGGTGCTTCTCTGGCTTTTACTAACACTTGCCGGGACAAATCGTAACGCGGACATGGACTTCTCTAGTTGAGTGATTCCCATTTCCTCCGGACTTATATGTCCCACGCTTTGTTTGGACACTGCATGTGAGACCGCATGCGAGTGCGATTCGGATGTCTTTCGGTTTCTCAGCCTGCCGTCCAGCAGTGAGAGCGCGGTAGCCGATATGCGTTGTCTGTGTGTATTTGGTGATCGCAGCATAGATATTTGCTTATCGATCCCGTCGTTGACGACGTAGAAATTGTAGGTCTGTGACTTAGGTATCAGCTACAGTGAGGAACCAGGATCGTAGGAGGAAAATACCTTTGGAAACATATGTTTATCAATCAAGTGCATCCGTCGCTTTTGAGGTGTAGAGCATTTCCTGTCGCAATCCTCGATGAAGCAACTGTACTGCATCGCAGGGGCTCTCGTTAGCCATGATCGTTGTTACACAGTAATTGATTTCGAAAACAATGGTCACAGGGCCGACAAACAGTTTTCTCTCCCTTGTCTCTCTTCGCAGCAACGAGAGGATCATGATTCTCCTCGATATGCAGATTCAGGAATCGATCTGTAGGGAAATTCTTCCCACACTCTGAACATCGGTTGACGTGCGTTTGCAAATAGTGCACCTCATAATCTTCATAGGAGGAGAAGGAGATGACTTCCCTATGCGGAGGGAGGGAACAATGCATCACTTCCACAGCAGGTTCACCTGTGTCTTGCAAGAGTATCTTGGAACGTTCACAAGATGGCGCTGGAGATGCTGGGGACGGTGATCTTGACCAATTCTCAGGTGATTGACCCGGTGAGGGGGATCTTGCGATGCGAGGGCGTTTAGACATGTTTTAAGGCTTTCCAGCTCTGAGTTGGCCGTTCTCCTCTTGGTTTTCTAGGTCAATGGTGTCGTCTGGTTGGTGGAGAGAGATGCAGACTGGGACGGTGGGAGAGAACTCCTGTAATGCTCATTGGTATGGCTTGCTGCGCTTGGTTGAAACGAAAAATTCTTCCATTGCGACCTGTTGATTGTTGTTTATCTAGTATATGTTTCAGAATGAGGGCCGGAAAGAACTACTATGACAACTACGCGAGGGAACTGATTGATTCTTCTAGCTGAGACGAACTTATGATGGCCACAATTGTATCTTACATACAGTGATGTAAGCTGATTACATACCAGCTGAATAATGCATGCATAAATGCACCAGCCACAGAGGCACAGACCAATCAAAGTGCTGCAAGCCACAGAAACAGTGCCTAATTGCGACTCCTCCACTCCACTCTCAATCCCTCATTATTTCTTTTTGCGGACGGACATTCAAAAAGTTCCCGTGATATGGGATTTGCATTCCCATGAGCGGTGGCCTCAACCCCTCGTCGTCGATCTTCGCTCAGCTTACTTCGTCGTCACATCTTCGTGACTGACACCTTCAGCAGACTGTTCTGCAATTCCGGCCATTCGTCTTTAGCGCCCAATCGCCCATACTACTGATGGATCGTTCACTACTCTCGTCGCCCGCAGACTCTCAGCCAGCCATAGCCATCTGACGGGCGAAGTCGAGGGTGGAGTGACACAGACGCGATCAAGACCACCCTGAGCATGGCGTCCGCTTTTCAAAATGCGTGGCAGTTAGTACTTCACATACTTTCCGATGCAACAGAATGGCACATGTCTGATTCGCATCACTATAGGACTGCGCTTGAAGCCGAAGAGAAGCTTCTGAAGAGCCTCGCCGAGAAGGAGCCTACGTTTACCGAAATCTCGCATTACCTTTCCGAGTGAGTCCATAAACTGAGGCTGGCTTGTTTTATCTCTGCGCACACGATCTAACGGTCCGTCGCAGGTTTCGCGCCGATTGTCAGAATGCCATACTCCAAGACTTTGAGACATCTCGCTCCATCGATGTTGAGACCCGACTCTGGGATGCACATGTGAAAATTAACACCCGGTTTCGCAAACTGCTCTCCCGCGTGAGTGTCACAGATGGTTTTGTATAACATTGCGGACGCCGTTTACTAATCAATTGTGGCATGTATAGTTTCGCGAGGAGAACGCAAAGAAGAAGAAGCCGGTAGAAAGACGCAAACTGGAAAAGCATTACCTTGACTTTATCAAATCCAGCCAGAGATTCTATCGAGGATACATACAGCAGTTGTCGTCGCACTTCGGAGGTATCCCGGAGCTTGAAAAAGTTGCGCGGAAGTTCAACTTTGACAGTGAGCAACGTCGTCCCCGTCATTTCTAGGGCGTTCATTGAGACAAATCTTGTTACCCACCTAGATCTATCGGCGCAGCCTCCAGTCGAGGCTTCTGACGCTCTCCGCGCAAGTGTCCTTCAATCATGCCATTCAACACTTATTCGTCTTGGCGATCTGTCTCGCTACCGCGAGACCGAACTGGTGAGCAAGGACCGCAATTGGGGTCCCGCTATTGGCTACTATGACTTGGCTATAGCTATCTACCCTGCTTCAGGCGCATCGCACAACCAGTTGGCAGTAATAGCCCTTGCTGACGGCAATCACTTGCGGGCCACTTACCACCTTTACCGGGCCTTAGCTGCCCAGGAGCCTCATCCATCTGCCAAGGGTAACTTGGAAATCGAATTCAGAAAAGTGCGCCATGCTTGGCGTAAAAGAGAGTTAATTCGTCCCGAGGATGCAGGGATTCCTGGGCGAGCGTTGGCCCCTTGGTTTGTTTATCTTCACGCCCAATGCTACAAAGGAAATGATTTTCCCGAGCATGATGAACTTGAGAGTGAAGTACTGAACCAGCTAGCGGTTGACTTGAAGGAGCGCTCACTTGAAGGTACGCTTCAAAAGTTCTGCCTCGTTAACATCGCAGCAGAGGACTTCTCGTGGACGCAGCCCGATGGTAAGCTCCCCTCACGTCGCGTTTACGAGATCGTCGCTGATGGATGCAGAAGAGTCAGTGTCCAATTCACGGCTATTTTTTCAGCGTATTAACGTCAAGACATTTTTCACGCTGCTCCAAATCCTTCTAGCAGAGCTGGAGAGGTTTGCGGTCGAAGACTCGCTCAGCAAAGACGCGAAGAGCGGGCCAGACAAGGTCACCGCTGTTGCGCGCCGCGTACTACCTGCTCTACGACATTATAGTTCTTGGCTCCTTATCGTCAGTCAGTCACTGGTGGCACATAAGGAAGAGAAGGATACTCCCCTCGCTGTTCAAATTACGGAGTTTTGGAAGATCTATGCCAATACGTTGAGCCTCCTCGCATCGACTTTCGACGTTGTTCAGCTCCCGGAAATTGACTACCTCTTGGAAGAAGATGAGGAGACTCTGGGGTTTGCGCCGCTCAACAAAGACGCCGCGTCCCGTCGCTATTTGAGTGCTACTGGCCAGCAGAAGCCCCGAATGACCGATGTTGGAGTCGAAAGAAGTCACCCCAATATTGAGATGCTGTACCGGATCCGTGAATTCGTGATTGACGGTCTTGATCTAGTCGTGAGCAACGTACGGAGTGTCCTATTGGTTCTTTTGCATCATTCGATTGCTTACTGATACTGTTTTGCGATTCCAGAGAATCCCTATAGCCCTTGTGGATGATGAGGATAAGAAGACCTTTATCTACAAAGAAGAAGGCCTTCCTTCCCAATTCTTCGCCAGCCCCTCCGGCCATCATAACACGCTCTCCACGGCGAGCGTTGAACGAGAGGATGTTCAGCAGGCGACCAAGGACGCTAATTACGTTGCGGATTCAAGGAGCACTTTTGGCGGTTCGCAGTCTGCGTCTGCTTCAATGTCCGCTAATATGCATCGCATTGTCGAAGGTGTCGAACGGCTGGTTGAGTCGGACACTTACGAAAACACTCCTGCACTTCCGGACCAGCTGGCTTTCCTTCGAAGCACCAATCAGCAATCAATACCCAGCAATTTCTTCGAGTCGAGCCTCAATGCGACCCATTGCGAGACAGATGCCCCTGCTCGCTATCCTCCGATTGCACCTCCTGGCCTGCAGCTCTCAATGCCAAACCCCACAGCCGGGTCAACAGCTCCACTGTCCCAGTCCTACACTTCTCGACCTACCCTTCCTGGTATCCCAAGTATTTGGAGCACCGGACTGTCACCTGACGTCGGTGGACCCTCGGCTCCAAGAACGCCTCCAGGCTTGGGACAACATCCAGGTCCAGCCGATCCAGCAAACACCAGAAGCCCAGACCTTCGCCATGCATCCCATGATATGACTACAAGCGAGCTCATCTTCCAGAAAAGCCTCGTTGGACAAACCTCAATGCACAACCTTCTTGGCGGGTCAAGCTCAATGTCCCCTTGGATGTCTCCCTCGAATCCTGCAGCCCATCATGGTCTTTCGGGAACAGGGTGGGATAGAAGTCATTTGGGAAGAGCGGCTTCCCCTCCTTCTCTCGGAGTACCAAGCCAGCCCATGTCAAGCGGCTCAGCGAATGCATCATGGGCCAACGATGCGTTCCTGGCTAGTACATTATCCTCTGGAGCGGGCTTTCCCAGTTCAGGACCAACCAGTCGTCGATCTGCTTCCCACTTCGGCGCTATCGGGCAGACTCCATCTTACGGCCAGGGCGGGTGATTCACAGGAGACTGCTTGGTTTGTGAATTGACAACAAGACCAGGGGCCGCGGGGCGTGGTCACAACCCCCTTAAGCATCATTAAATCCGGGAGCGGGTGGATCGTCTGGTTCTGATTCGATTCGGAGAGCATAGCGACAACCTTTGCTGGAGGCCATGTGCACTGTTTTCTCCCTCAGTCTAGCTCCGGTAAAACCCTGGGACAATTTGTCGGCTATTGAGCAGCTCCGCATCGCGACTGTTGCTGTTATCTCACGCAAGCGGACTAGGTCATGCAATCACTCTTCTATCCCACTTTCCAACAATGGTGGTGAGGGCGTCCCGTCGATGGCACCGAACGTCGGATCTGCTGTGAAACAGACTGTTGACTTCAGGTAGACCTTTGGTACTTTTTCACGCTGATGGAGACGGCTACTTCTTACAATAGTAACGAGCCATGCTATCATTTGTGCTTCGAGTGCTTTCAGCATTATGGAAATTGATTAGCCTCCTCATTACCATTTGTTAGGAGAGAGTTATATGAAATTCGAATGCCAACATCGTCAAATTTCTGTCACGTCTAGCTCAAAGCAAGGGACTTGAATCCACGGCTCATTTCTATTTCTTGAATTTTGCGTATATATAAGACCGAAAGGTTCGTTCATTACATCGTTGTTGAGAACGTCACCAGCCCGCGGCTTCCGCGTATTAACGGTACCCTAACTCGTAAACCTGCGCTGTGTTGTACGCGATCTTTGGAGGAAGTGATCTTGGAAAGAAAAAAAGAAGTCTAAGACGTTAAGTCAAGGACAAATGGGTATAGAGGGTTGAATCATCCAGAAATATTTTTATGCTGCAAGCTCGCAATAGCCCCTATGGCTTGCCGGGCGTCCATATTAGAGGTAGTTGGTATTCTATGAGCGGCTGGGGGTGTAGGTCTTCTTGGGGAAGGGGAAACTATATGGCAAAGTCATGATGTTAGTCGTCACTCATTGAAATGATTCTTGCACGTCGTCCACCAGCACAGTGAAACTGGACGCGCCTTGCAAACGGACGCGGGCCCGCGAAAATATGGCCCATTTTCGACGAGGACTTCGGTGGAACAGAAATATGAATGAGAGACTTACGAAGGTCCCAGCTCTTGAATGCTCAAACTGGCGAGCCACTGGCCCATATCCATGCTCTCCTCAAGAGATTTGTTCTGGACAACACCGGCGCAGAAGCCGCCAGCGAACGCATCACTACAAACAACACCAGTCAGCACAAAATTTCCGTTGACCATTAGTAGAATGACTGATGACGACTTACCCAGCGCCGTTAGTGTCGTTGATGCTGCTCTTGGGGATCTCGTGCACAGCGAACTCCTTGACCTCAACCTCGCCGTTTGGTTTAACGGTAGCAGTGATCGTGGGCAGAGTGCCTTGGGTGACAATAGCAACTCTGGGACGGCTGGTGTTCTTCTTGGGAAGCTGAGCGAGCTTCTTCGCAATCTCGACGACATCATCTGTATTCCATTCGTGGCTCTCGGCGTAGGCGCGAGCCTCTGTCTCGTTGCAGAAAGTGTAGTCGGTGTAGGGCAGGACGCTGTCAAGCTGGTCCTTGAAGAACTGAGGAATGAAGGGGGCGGAAAGAGAAAGCATGAAGACCTGAGTTGCAAAACGTTAATCTCAGTCCAGCGGGATGCAGAAGGAAGGCCATCTTGCTCACCTTGTTCTTGGCAGCAGCCTCCTCGGCAAGGGCCAAAATGGCAGGGACGCAGACTGTCAGGTGGTATCCACCAACATAGTAGTACTGAGCCTTCTCGACAAGAGACCAGACGTGAGGCTGCTTCAAGTGGTCAATCTTGTACTCGTTTGCCGCAGCGAGGTGAGTGCACATGCTACGGTTGTGACCAGTGATAATGACACCGCACTTGCCGGTGGGCTGGATATCGTCCACACGATACTCGGTGTGGACACCAGCCTGGTTGCAGGCCTCCTTGAGGATATCGGCGTACTTGTCCTTACCGACACAGCCAATGTACATGACGGAGTTCTCGGGGAGCATGTACTGTTAGGTTATATCCTCGATCAGCAACAGCCCAGATTGAAGAAGGTTATCTACACTCGGCATACCTGGGCACCGCGGGCGGTGTTCTGAGCGGCACCGCCAGCAATTAGCTTAGCATCGCGGCTAAGGAGCTCATCGTATAGCCCCATGTGCTTCTCCTCGGCAAGGATGGCATCGTTGTCCTTAAGACCGTACTTTTCCAGAAGAGCGGCATCACTGTGCAAGGTTCAATCAGTTGATATTCAATTGGCTCAGACTTTCAGATCTCGTCCATCAGCGACATACCCGACGGCTTGGATATCTAAGACCCTTCAAAGTCAGCAATCTCAATCCACGTCCGTTACATAGTACTTGTCCATTGTCGGAGATGTGAGGTCAAATAACACGCACCTAGGAGAGGGTTCTCCAAGCACAGAAAAGGGTATCCCTGAGCAGCAGCCATTTTTCCTGTTGCAATTGACGATATGATACGTATGAAGGGAAAATGCAGAAAGAGGAGTGACGAGAAGTAAGAAAGAGAAGGAGAGAAGGAGAAGGAGAACTAATAATAATAGCTAGGCGGGGTGTTTGAGGAGGGGCAGCCAGCGAGGGTGGAAAGGTTTAGTTTGCCCGTAGTAAGATCGGCGGCCGGCGGCCAGTTGCCCCGTCCAGGCGGTCCTTATGATTTGTTGCGTCAGGAGGCTGTATAACCTCCAAAGTCCGGTGTACCTACAGCAGAGCGGTCCCCGATAACCGACATCGACAAAACTCACTGGAAATACTCATTTATATAGCATCATACAACTTCTCAAAAATGGCCGATCCAGCTTTAGAACTGGCAGAAACCATCCAAACCGCCTCAATCAAGCGGGATCCATCCCCGAGACGCGACATCAATCCTCCAACCGCCGCCTCGGAGAAGCGACCAGTGGCACGACGCTCTTCCTCCGAAGCTGACAGCATCCCTTCTGATATTGTTGACCCCAGTCGCATGATTAGGCCCGTCTCACGCCGTCATACTCTTCCTCCGCTGCCCGATCTGCGCTTCGAACAGAGCTATCTCGCCAGCTTGCGAGGTGCCGATACATGGGGACGAGTTGCATGGATTACCATCCGGGACCAGGTACAGGATACTCGACAATGAGTTGAGAGATCTCATTGTTGCTATATGAGTTGTAACAATGAAATGCTGATGAAATGGGTTGCAAAATATTAGGTTCTTCTACCACTTATTCAGGGTACTCTTTGGACACTTGCGCTTTCTGGCTGGCGTTACTGGAACCGCACAGCTTCTCTCAGTGGCCAGACGCTCGGTAGCAGACTACGAAGGTGGTGGTACGAAGTCAATAATTGGAAGCTCCCTCCCCTGGGTACAACAAAGGACCCTCGACTTGCTGCCAAGGTCGAAGACGTAAGTGCACATCTTTCAATGTGATCAAGCGGGATACTGGCGCGCCAATATACCTGTTTCTGAGATACGATTCAAGAATCAAGTCGATCTGCAGCTGACGTTCTCGGAGTTCTTACAGTTCTACACGGCGCAATTCTCGAATGCGGGTGCAGACTAATCTCTCTAAATCAACTTTTCCATATTGCGACGGGGACTCGAACTGCATTATTGGAGTTAGGGATTTGGCGTTCTTTACTTCTTCATTATCAATGTCATCATATTGTATAGCATAGTCGATATGCAAGCAAAACGTGGAATCATACTTCGCGATTCTCGTCTAACCTTTAATGCGTTCCATCCTGCCTTCAAAATAATATACATTTAGCGTAGGTAGAAGGTTTTGAATCAGCACTAGTCATTGCGCCTGGATCAGTGGCCGAGTTCTGGGGCTCGGTGTGACATGTCCCCTGAGTCTCGTATAAAATCATCCTGCTATAAGAACCATTGCGAACTCCAGGTCAGATGGACCTTTGACCGTGAACATACCGCTCAACAAAAGCCTGACAAACTCTCGATGGAAACAAACTCCTGCTTTGCCTGAATTCGTATTAAGTTTTTTTCGAAATGGCAACACTGCGCCACAGGACACTATTCGAGTGTCAGGTGAAGACATCGCTTTTGGTAAGAAACATGAAGTAGCTGTCATTCAAGAAACCTCAACCCGTCTCATTTGGAGAGTTGATGGGGGCTATTTGACTTGGCGACAAGTCGGTTCTGGAAGGCTGTTCAGCACCCTCACGCGTCTCCCGCTGTAGACAATTAAGCTCATTCAGCGAATCGACCTTCTGCTCATCAGTAGCTGTGTTCATCGGCACAATGCTGGGAATTTTCACGACATCCACAGTCGGAGCTTGCGCCTCTGCGGTACCTGTCTGTCTGTTGGTCTCAGAGTCCGGCACTTGATTCATAGGCTGAGTTGCAGGGGCCGTTGACGGGTCTGCATGCGCACTTTGAAGTTTCTCCGCTGACGGCTCCTCGACAGGCTCGTGAGGGCTGCTTGGTACTTTTCCCTTGCCGTATCTCAACTGCACAACAAGGCTCCGATCTTGTCCGTCTATGATCGACTCGTCTCCACTCAAATCGCCTTCATCGTCGCCTTCGAAATCATTGTCTTCCTCTTCCTCGCCACCTTGCCATTCGTTTCCACTGGAGTGACCAGCATCCGACTCGTCGTCCATGTTGTAGTCCGTATAGCCATTTGCGCGAGTCGCCCGGGACCTTTGGGGTCTACCGGTTTCTTCGGCTTCCTCCCCGCGCTGGCCACTAAGGAGGCTCTCGCCATACAGGCCACCCGCTCGTGCGCGTATCTGCCTACCACTTGCTGTATATCTGGGTCCCGCAGGCTCTGCAGGTGTCGAGATTCCGGAAGCGTTCCGTGTCGATCGTCTTGTCGAGGGAAATTCGTCGGAAAAGATATCCTCGTCATCTGAATATGTGTACTTGAGCTTCTTGCCCCGAGTGCGGCCTTCGTACAGTGAAAACCCGGGCTCTGGTCGAGCGAAGGCGGCTTTGCGGGCAATGCGATAGTCCCGTCTTTTGCGTTTCTTGCGGATTGTCAATAAAAGGTTAGAGCACGGGCGGGCGATAGCAGCTTACCTCCTCTGAGCCCTCAAAACGAGGTATGGCATTCTTGATTCGCTCACTGAGCTTCTTCGAATGTATACTCTTCTCTCCATCCAGCTTGTCTGCGACAGCCTTCAACTCGGGTATAGTCCCGGCTACACTCCACCACGTAACGTTCTTAAGCGCAGGGTTGCTCTCGCGATACAACCTGAAATGTGTATCATCCAAACCCTCGACCAGCCAGTACCGACGCTTCAGGCCGTCACGGCCCACGGTTGGACTGAAAGCGGTTGGTTCAGATCGTCCTCATGGCGAGCTTGCTTATAGGATTCTTTAATCTTGGCTTGAACCGCTTCAGACGAAGAAAGGGACCAGAGAATCAGCGACTTCAACAAGGTCAACTATTCAAATTATCAGTGCATTGGACTTGTAATGAATTATTCGCATCGCATTGGCATACGCGTTCTTCGGGTGACATTGTTGCAAAGGTGCGACCCCCATGAAGGGGATTCTTTCCTTGCCAAGCCTTGGGCCATTGGGAGGCATGTGTTTGAATTGCCTCTTCAAGAGGTCGCTGGTAGTGGGCTCGGCTGTGAATCAGCGTCAAATAGTTAGCTCTCTATCTGGTCGCAAAAGCCTTGCACGAGCATAAGGAATAAATTGTGTGGTAGCTCTCTGATAGTGTAGGGACCAGATGCGCATACTCAACATCCTTCTTCCGATTTAGCACGAGACCAAGCAATGCACACAATAGCCTCTCAATATAATCGCCTGGTGGAAGCTCCACGACTCCTCTCTCGATATCCTGGGGTCCAAAGTGTGGCGTCGATCGCGGGAAGACCTCATGAAAACGCGCGCGGAACATCACAATAAACTATAAAGTTGCGACAAGTTAGCAAAGAGGCTGTAGCGGATAGTTTGAGGCGTCAGACTGTCGATCGGAGCTTCTGTAAGCTCTAGCGACTGTCTAAACTTACTGCAATGTCAGGATTATCAGCTAGAACATATTCATGAGGTGGTGAGGGCTCCCGTTTCGGCGGCGGAGACTCGGATTCCTTCTTGAAGTACTTGGTGATGCCAACAGGCTCATCGAGAGCCATAGGACCAACTTCATCTTCTGAAGGAGGCGCTGACGATAGCGACGAGAGATCAGAGTCGGAAAGAGACATGTTCGACATGGTTGGGGTGCTGTCTCGATGTGATGCATTCGAGGACGAGGTGACGGTGGACAAGTCCGCGCCGCGAAGAAGTTCCCTTACTGACGCTACTCGGTTGAAGCGCGGCTTCCACGCGCCTGGACTGTCCGGCATTATCAATGGTACCAGTTAATATCAGGCGGTACTAGTTTTTGGGCAGGAACACTCTAATCCCTTATGAATTCACTCAAAGATAGCTATAAAGGTGTAGATTCTAGGTGCACCATTCATCAAAGCATACAACTGAGCCTAGGGAACTGAGATACTGAAGCAGATTATGTGCGTCATCGCAGGGGCGCTCCCTAGGATTGAGCATAAACTGCAGCCAGGAAGGTTTACGCTCCATGAAAGACAATGAAAACGACGAAGATCGAATGAACACCATGTTAAATTTGATCAACCAGGGCGACTCGAAGCATCACAAGGTGAGCGTTCAAGGACGTACGGGAGGGAGAACGATTCAGACATGCTCCAAACATATATAATCCTCTTCCCTCCGAAAAGCATATGGATGTACACATTCTGTCTTCTTGTCAAAAGACTAGACGAAGTTTCTGAAAATACCGAAATTCTCAAAGTTTTGAGATGCATCGTGGCAAATCTCTCAACTGCTTGGGCCCGTCAATGACAGATGCCCATCGGAATGTCTATTGGCTCCGAAATTGCGGCACAATACCGATCCTTAACTGAGAGTCGTGCCTGAAGGGTACTGTCAATAATCTGATATTATCCACTAAATATGAGGGATAAATGGAGGGGTTCGGAGCAGGATTCGCCATGTCATTGAAGCTCAGCTTACTCCGGTACCCAAGAACCACATATTTTGTCGTAGGAATAAGCGCAAATGCATCTCATCACGAATCATCTCGAAACGAATTCCTATGCATTATTTAAGCGAGCAGATTAGGTCCTGGGTTGCTCGAGCAAAACTGTAGAAAGACTGCACCAAACTCCATTGTTATATCAAGGATTGGCGTCAGACTTTATTAGACAATCCAGCTAGAATCCTATGGAATGAAGGATGATGCCACGAAGGCCAAACGCCTAGGAGGCCCATTATTCCAGGAGTTGGGAAAACGGCACCAAGTGATGATTTGTATTTGAGGGCTATCTACACGTAGGTCAAGACGTCACGTTATCCGCGCGCAAATCACAGCCGCGCCAGGGCCCAAAATGGCGCTAGCGCCAACTCGGTTAGATTAGCGATCTCGCCCTAAAGCCCACACAGCCCATCCTCCGTCGAATTCTCAACACCAACCCGACAAGCCCATTTTCGATTTGAGGTACGAGCAATTGATAAACTCCCACCAACGGTCGCCGGCGGGCTTTCTTTTGAATACTAACGCAAAGGTTTCAACATATAGAAAGTCGCCATGGGTCGTGTGATCCGCAATCAGAGGAAGGGTCGTGGATCCATTTTCAGTGAGTGCGACCGCAATGAAATGAATATTCCTGCATGCGAGACTTCGCAGGAACTTTTACACTGGAGAATCCAGAAATGCTGATTGATATCTTTTTACGTCTTCAGCGGCTCACACCCGTCTCAACAAGGCTCCTGCCCAGTTCCGCACGCTCGACTTCGCTGAGCGCCATGGATATGTCAGGGGTGTTGTGAAGGAGATCATCCACGACCCCGGCCGTGGTGCTCCTCTCGCTAAGGTCCAGTTCCGTCACCCTTACAAGTTCAAGCTGGTTACCGAGACCTTCATCGCCAACGAGGGCATGTACACTGGTCAATTCATCTACGCCGGAAAGAACGCTGCCCTGGCCGTCGGCAACGTCCTCCCCCTTGCCTCCATCCCTGAGGGTACCGTCGTTACCAACGTCGAGGAGAAGTCTGGTGACCGTGGTGCTCTTGGTCGTACCTCCGGAAACTACGTTACCGTCATTGGCCACAACCCTGAGGAGGGCAAGACCAGAATCAAGCTCCCCAGTGGTGCCAAGAAGGTTGTGAAGAACACCGCTCGTGGTATGGTTGGTATCGTCGCTGGTGGTGGTCGTACCGACAAGCCTCTGCTCAGTACGTTACTCCGACTCGCAAATTCTCGCTTACTGTGGAAAGAGTGTCAAGGGCGTCAGTTGCTAACGAGTATATACAGAGGCTTCTCGTGCCAAGCACAAGTTCGCTGTCAAGCGCAACTCTTGGCCCAAGACTCGTGGTGTTGCCATGAACCCCGTCGATCACGTAAGATCTCCCCTTGACTTGTTTTATTATTTTTTTTTTTTTTCTCGAACAATACCTGACAATGTTCTCTCTACAGCCTCACGGTGGTGGTAACCACCAGCACATTGGTAAGGCCTCGACCATCTCTCGCTACGCCGCCCACGGTCAAAAAGCCGGTCTTATTGCTGCCCGGAGAACTGGTCTGCTCCGTGGTACCCAGAAGACCAAGGAATAAATGTGATCTTGTGCGGAGTTTTGTTCTTTTTGACGGGTTGAAAATGCTCTTCTGCTATGAGACATATGTACTTAGGCGACTGCGGATTACCTTCCACACGTCCTTAGCGAATTAAGGTTGTGGCCAAAAAATTTTCATGATGACCAAAAGATCAGAACAAAAAAATGGGTTGGAATCCAGTGTCTCGGGATGCGTTACATGACGCATGTCTCAGCAAGAGCGGGAGAACCCTCATGGTAATCAATGCAAATTCCCTTTTCTCGTTCATTCGGTATTGACCATGATGAGCCGTCGTGCGGCATCAAACCTGTAGAGTCTGTGCACATTTGACCTTCAGGACAGAGTATCCAGTTCAGAGTGGACTATAATTGCTGCATTGCTACCAGCATGGAAGACATGGCCTTTTTTAGGCTTCTCTCAAATGTAGTTCAACCGCCGAGGCCATTCATTCTCAGAAGTTGACCTCATCCAACGTTTGTAGCCGAGAGATTAAGCCCAGTTTCACTCGATTCCTGCTATGCTCCGGCATAGACTTGCCGATATTCTATAATAGCCAGCCCTTACGTTACTCATTTCGAAATGACCACTTGTTCCATCTCACTGATTCTGTCTGGATACAGATGAGTGAGATCGGTTACCTACCAAGTGGTTGATTCCAAAAATCCCGTCAACTGATGGAAACGAGGTTCTGCTCTCAAAGTGACCAATCAGCAGCGCGGGCTGCACAATGAGGGTTCAAGTTGTCGTATTCTATGGACAAGACCAAGTGTCGCATAAAAATTATAACTCATCACTGACGTCTCTGGTTACTCTTCATCTTATTATTGTCTGTAATACCTCAAAATGCATGTGGTCGATGATTCAAATGATGCCCCGAAGATACTTCCGCTGGCCAGAGCCGCTAGACCATCCACATCTGCTACTGCGCGTTGGCAAGCAGTTGTGAACCGCGATGCAACGGCCAATACATTCGTCTACGCCGTCCTGACGACGAAAATATACTGCCGCCCATCCTGTCCAGCTCGGCTTGCCCGCCGGGCCAATGTCAGATTCTACGACACACCCTCTCAGGCAGAATCAGCAGGGTTCCGGCCCTGTAAGCGCTGCAAACCGGAAACGCACTGGGCGGCAAATCCACAAGTCCAGTTGATACAAAAGGCTTGTGAAACCATCAATTCGGATGTCCTAAATGGCCGCAAACCGACGCTTCAGAAGCTGGCCAGCGAGGCAAACCTGACACCCAGTCATTTCCATCGCGTTTTCAAAAAGGTCATGGGCGTTACGCCAGGGCAATACTCGGCTGCTGCTCTGGATTGTCGGAATCGAAATGCGTCGGTTGACTCTGGCCTAGGCGTAGATTGGAGTCTGAACCAGCCGCTATGCGACGATGGCATCTGCTATGACCCTGATCCCTTGGGCGGTTTGGATGATTCCCGTGCTCCGACCACCAACGATGCTGTTGTTTGGAATGACTTTGATGCTATGATAGCTGCAGAGAATGAGTATATTCTTTGGCCAGAGGAAGAACAATAGCTGACAAGCTCGTTCATTTCAATCAACGCCGTAATGAACTCTGATTCTGCTTTCAGCCTCCAGTGCTAGGAAGCCCTGAGATGGTACGCGCGCGCGAGAGAGAGACGGCGGTTCTATGATTTAACATCGGATGAGTTAGCCTTTGGCTTATTATCTTGAACATGACATGCGGTCGATGATGCATTACTCAGGTGAAAATATGCTTGAGGTCTGCGAAATGCCGCTGGATATAGGGGAAAGCCTGTCTTTGAATAACTGAGAGCACAGATGAGTGTCTCCTGTGGTGCCGTATGCTGTATGCTTTTATTCCTTGTACTTTTGACATCATAGGACTTTTTTGCGCTGAGGTTGGAAGACCGTCAGAGGTTACGTGTTGGTGTACAGGGTAGACAACTTTGTGAGCTTCACCCTATTAATAGTTTGAAATTCAATAGATACATATGGACTTTCTTGGTAGAATATATATAGCATATAACATGTTATTATTAAGTACTCTTAAGGATGCACGACAGAATGTCTAACTTTGCAGTGTTTAATCAGGGGAAAGCGAACAACTGTTGTATATCCACACTCCAATGTTAGATATATTTTCATTCTTCTACAGACTTGCAGCTCTGGGTTCCCATGAATTACAGAAGATGTTGTATAGTGAAGTTCATGAAATCGCCATCAGTTCCTCGAGGCTCAAGTCTACCAATCTACCATCTTTACATATACTTCCGTCTTGGACCATACATTATTGCAGTCTCCCTTAGATACCTCATGAGGCGTTTGGAGTACTGTACGTATAGATACGGACAGTTTGATCTTGTTCCGTAAATAGTATCGTGGCAAAGCTCCATCCACTTTTGAACTTTTGAAATTGGAATCCACCAGTAAGGGACTGTCCTCCTCGACGACGTCCCACAAGCGGCCCACCAACGCGTGTACGGGTTACTCTGTAGACAGATATGACCACGACCAATATTGAAAGCCTAACAATAACAGTACAGAACCCCAGGCTAACGGAGAAGCTAAGTTTCAGATAACCAGGTTTCAGGAGCCCCAGATATCTACCTTAGGTACCTATCTGAATGGACAACATACACTCACTTTTTCTTATTAGGTGATCTACAGCTAAGTACTCATGTGGTTCGACGGTCAATCATTGTCTAATGATATGATGATAGACAATAAACCACATCTAGCAAGGTAGCACAAGTAGAAGTCCACTATTGATATCACTCTGGTATCACCGTATCAACTCCGCTTGTCATCCACTCCAGGTGAAGGTTTGAGACTGGATGAGACAATCCTGCCAAGAGGAGAGAAGGAACTGGCGGGTGGGGAGGGATGGTTACTGATTTGTTCTGGACTCCTGGAGTTTGTACCTGGACGGTGGCGCATTCAGACAGTTGCGATTGGCACTTTTGTCACAGACTCACAATGCCATCCCTCGACCACCCATGGAGAAATTAAATTCAATTAATCATTTACATTTTGCTCCTGACGAATAATGATTGTAGGGATAGAACTTTTATTTATTTAGATTGATTAAAATTGATAATAACATTCATTAACCCCGTTGGCGAGTGACCTGCTCTCCATTAATTCCCAAGCATTCCCACCCACGAGGACATCGTCCTGATTTCTACCTTCCCAACCTCCTGTTCTTCTGCCCAAAAAACCAGTCCTATTGCCTTTCGCTCAGTGTAAACGTATGCCTTAAATTCACTGAATGCCGCCATTATTCAATCCATGACTTTTGGACTATTGCAGTTGCTGTCTCTCATTTCATAGTCAATCACCAGAACGGACTACCGTCTGTGCATCTGCAACCGCCGCATTCGGTTCCTACATAGACTTAAAAAGGAAGTCTCATTCGTTTTCCCGTCGACGTGCCCTCCTCTATCATAGCGCCTCGTCTACACCTATTCTTCCTACATATTCAGCCAAAATGAACGTCAATAAAAAGCTCGACCGCTTCAAGCAATGGGCAGGCGAGAGGATGGGCGGCGAAGTCAAGACTAATGTCTCCGATGACTTTAAAGCACTGGAGACCGAAATGAACGTGAAACATGAAGGTGAGCAAGATTTGCTTCCTATGCACGGGTTTTCTCATGTTGCTTTTTGCTGAGACTATTCACGCTCCAGGGGTCGACCGTATCCATAAATCCTTGGCTGCTTATATAAAGTCCGTCTCCAAGCGCAGCGAAGGAGATGACAAGGAGAAAACGCTGCCTATAGCTCATTTGGGTAGCAGCATGGTCAGCCATGGGGAGGATTTCGATGCCAATTCCGAATATGGCCGTTGTTTGACGAGTAAGCGACCATGCTACTCCTGCTGCTTGACAAGCGATTGGTTTTCTGACGTTGTTTTCTATCGAATAGTGTTTGGGAGGGCAGAGGAGCGAATTGCTCGTGTGCAGGAAACCTATATCTCACAGGCTACTGCCACCTATCTTGAGTCCCTTGAACGATCTCTAGCCCAGATGAAAGAATATCAGGTACGGTTTCGCTCTGTATGAGTCTATCCGTTACGAACACCATTCTAACGACTCGAGCAGGCTGCCCGCAAGAAGCTTGACAGCCGACGATTGGCCTACGATACGTCACTTTCTAAGATGCAGAAAGCGAAGAAAGAGGACTTTCGCGTTGAAGAAGAATTGCGTACCCAGAAGGTCAAGTACGAAGAGGCCAACGAAGACGTTTACAGGCGGATGTACGATATCAAGGATGCGGAGGTAGAAAATGTCGCGGATTTGGCTGCCTTCCTCGAAGCGCAGCTCAATTACCACGAACGCTGCCGAGAAGTACTTCTCCAAATCAAGAATGATTGGCCTGCAGAGTGAGTCAAAACTATTCGCACACGAGCTTGTTTGAAGCTGACTCGGGTTCTAGCCAATTCCAATCGCAAACGCCAAATGGTCGTCGCACCGGGCGTGCCCGTTCCAATACCGCACATTCCCATCATGAACGCTACGAGCCGCTGCATGAGGAGCTCACCAACGGTGTTGGTCCCCGACCGATCATTAGGTCAGACCGTCATACTTCATCTGTTCCCCCAACTGTGCCCGTGAGAGAAGCGTACCCAGCGGAGACGCCTTACCACCGACCTGTTTTGAACCGCACCTCGACTTTTGAGGGCCCTTCGCAGTTGCGGCAACTGCAGCCGTCTGGTCTATCTTCCTGGCAATCACGAGCGGCCACTGAAAATCTCGTCTCCCGCAGAGATAGCTCTCAACCTCGGCCTGTCAGCATGATGCCAGATAATCCGTATACTGATGCTTACGAGGAATCCACTGCGCATGTTAATTCCCATTCCGACGTGTTATACCAGGGACGCTCGAGCCCTCCTTCATACGGGGATGCCATTTCCAGAAGGGCCAGCTCGGGGACCTTGAACGGTTCGGCATTGAACAAGAAAGGTCCTCCGCCCCCCCCGCCTTCGCGAGCAAAGAAGCCGCCTCCGCCGCCCCCGATGAAACGGCCCATGTTGTCTGTGGGAGATGTGTGAACAATGCCGTCCACTTTCGAGGACAGTTAGGAAATCTTTGGTTTTGTCGTTCGAATTTATCGACAGAGTCATTTCGCACAGGTGTTCCGTTCACTCTGCTCCCGCAAACTTTTGATACTTCCACTGCTACGCTGCTGGAAAGCGTTGCGTCGTAGTAGTCGCTCACTTAAATGAGACAGACAATTTCCAGCTTTATCTTTTAATTGTTTTGTGTGTTTGTTTCATTGCTGTACGCACTGTTCCTCAAGGCCAGCAGCGCTGGACGCCGACCTCGCACTATACAGTGATATAGCCAGACTCGAGCAATGGGGACAGGGATGGTACTTTATCAGGGTATTGCTCATGGAGAGTCTTTAATTGTATTCTGTTGGCAATCTGTACCTAGGTATCCTGTATCTTAGCCGTTTATTGTGATTGGCGGCGGATAGTGCCGCCAAGACTGAAAGAGCCCGGCAGATGAGTCAGCTTCATCACGTGATACAACACGAAATCTTCTTCCAACGTCTCGCCGCCTGCCTCTCTCTGTTACAGGCACAGGCTGAGCACCGCCAGTTTCCCCGACCAGCACGGAGAGTCGCGACATTTCCGTCCCCTTCATCTCCATTTCATCCATACAGGCCTTCAACGCGCCTTTTTTAACGCCCCCCCTCCATTTGAGGCCATTTTTTCCCCTTCCACCATCGTGTTTGAGCCTTCCCCCACCCTCTTGCTCGCCTTCGCTTTGTCGCCTACCGCCCGGTGGTCATCCCGATCCAGGCTAAACATCACAAACCTGTCGCAACTTATTAAATAGAGGTCGCTTTCAGTCGCATTCATCGACAGAAGGAGTTTTCTTTTACTACACATTAGCCAATTCGCGCTTTCGGTCGCCCCACAGGCGCGAATTGTCATTTTCTGTTTCCAGTCCCTTCCCCCTACGTGTTTCTTCACAATTCCGTCGCGGTCTTGTCGTAGTTCAAGTCGTCCATTACCGTCCTTGTCCTGCTTATGAAGTAAGACATCGATTACGCGCTTGAATATGGCTTCACTCCAGTCAGCGCCCAATATGGCGGCTGGAAACATGAGCCTGCCGCCGAATTTGACGCAGCAGCATATTCAAGAAGTCCTCCAGGTATGGTGTTTTCGCCCCTCTCATTATCGAAAGATACAAATCTTGGTTATTTTTTCATGCCTTCTTGTCTTTGATATTCAAATAGGATCGCCTCTAACTTTCTTTAGAAATTCAAGCAGATGCAGGAACAGGGTGTTCGCCACGACGACCCTGAATACCTCAAAGCTCACAACCTACTTGCTGCTGTCCAGCGACAGCAAGTATACCAAAAGCAAAGACAGTTCGCACAGCAGCAACTTCAAGCGCAACATCGTCAACAGCAGTTGAACGGCGCGACTCCGGAGTCGGCCGCTGCAAATGGTATCAATGGTTAGATCGCCCTACAAGCTCTATACTCAAGCTTTGCTTTCCTCTTTACTGACCTTTCTTTTCCCCACTTAGGTCGAAATGGCCCGATCCCCTCTTCAGGTCCCACTCCAGATGCCTCAACGCCGGCTGGCGCTCAATCACAACCTGCCAATCCTGCTGCTGCTCAGAAGGGTGCACCTGTCGCCAGTGGAAGTTTCTCTGCGGAGCAGCTTACAACTCTCAGAAATCAGATTTTGGCCTTCAAGTTGCTCTCCAAGAATCTCACAATACCACCCCGCGTCCAACAGCAGCTTTTTGCCTCCAAAAAAGCTCAGACCCCTACTCCCTCAGATGGTATCGCGAGCGCAGAGAGCGTTTTAGAAAGCGTGACTCAGGCCAAATCGGAGCAGCCCACTCCAGATGTAGCGCCACAGTCCAAGGATTTCTATGAGACCTTTCAGTCGCCCTATGAGCTTTTCCCTAAGAGCGTCAGCTTCACTGATCATGCTTCTCGCGCCAACCGCCTGCGCATTCCTGCTTTGATGCCACCCGGCATTGACCTGGAGCAGCTGCGTGAGGACCGTGAGATGATCCTCTACAACAAAATCAATGCGCGAAAGGCTGAGCTCGCTGAGCTTCCTGCAAATCTTGGTGTGTGGGACACGAGCAAGAGTGATACACCCAGCGGTGATGACTCGCTGAAGCTTAAGGCATTGATCGAGTACAAGATGCTTCATCTTCTGCCCAAGCAGAGGCTTTTCCGCAAACAGATTCAGAATGAAATGTTCCACTTTGATAATCTCGGCATGACTGCCAATCGATCTAGCCACCGTCGCATGAAGAAGCAGTCTCTTCGTGAAGCCCGAATCACTGAGAAGTTGGAGAAGCAGCAACGCGATGCCCGCGAAACTCGGGAGAAGAAGAAGCAATACGATCAACTACAAGCCATTTTGAACCATGGTGCCGAGTTGCAGAACGCTGCTAACCAGCAGCGCACTCGTATGCAGAAGCTTGGTCGCATGATGCTTCAGCACCACCAGCATATGGAGCGTGAGGAGCAGAAACGTGTCGAACGTACTGCCAAACAACGTCTTCAGGCTCTAAAGGCCAACGATGAAGAGACTTACATGAAGCTTCTGGGACAGGCCAAAGATTCGCGTATTTCTCACCTCCTCAAACAGACCGATGGCTTCCTCAAACAACTTGCTGCCTCTGTCAGGGAGCAGCAACGCAGCCAGGCTGAACGGTATGGGGAAGATGAGCAGCTCTTCGAAGAAGAGGATGAAGAGGATATCGGATCCGATGACGACGAAGAGGGCGACCGACGGAAGATTGACTACTATGCTGTCGCTCACCGTATCAAGGAAGAGGTCACCGAACAGCCTAAGATTCTTGTTGGCGGTACCCTTAAGGAGTACCAGATGAAGGGTCTGCAGTGGATGATTTCGCTCTACAACAACAACCTGAATGGTATTTTGGCAGACGAGATGGGTCTTGGAAAGACTATTCAAACCATCAGTTTGATCACATACATCATTGAGAGGAAGAAGAACAACGGCCCCTTCTTGGTTATCGTGCCTCTCAGTACTCTGACAAACTGGAATATGGAGTTCGAAAAGTGGGCGCCAAGTGTCTCCAGGGTTGTCTACAAGGGACCCCCCAATGCGCGCAAACAGCAGCAGCAGCAAATCCGCTGGGGTAACTTCCAAGTCCTGTTGACCACATACGAATACATCATCAAGGACCGCCCAGTATTGAGCAAGATCAAGTGGACGCACATGATTGTTGACGAAGGTCACCGTATGAAGAACACACAGTCTAAGCTGAGTAGCACTTTATCTCAGTACTACACCAGCCGTTATCGTCTCATTTTGACTGGTACCCCCTTGCAAAATAATCTTCCCGAGTTGTGGGCGCTGCTTAACTTCGTTTTGCCAAACATCTTCAAATCGGTCAAATCGTTCGATGAGTGGTTCAACACGCCCTTTGCAAATACTGGAGGTCAGGACCGCATGGAGCTCTCCGAAGAAGAACAACTGCTGGTGATCCGTCGTTTGCACAAGGTTCTTCGGCCCTTCCTGCTTAGACGTTTGAAGAAAGATGTCGAGAAGGATCTGCCTGATAAGCAAGAACGTGTCATCAAATGTCGCTTTTCTGCTCTGCAAGCGAGGCTGTACAAACAGCTTGTCACGCACAATAAGATGGTTGTCAGTGACGGTAAAGGAGGCAAGACTGGCATGCGTGGTTTGAGCAACATGCTGATGCAGCTGAGAAAATTGTGCAATCATCCATTCGTTTTCGAGCCGGTTGAGGATCAAATGAATCCTGGGCGTGGAACCAACGATCTCATTTGGCGAACCGCAGGCAAATTTGAACTTTTGGATAGGATTCTCCCGAAGTTCAGGGCCACGGGCCACCGCGTGTTGATGTTCTTCCAGATGACTCAGATCATGAACATCATGGAGGATTTCCTTCGCCTTCGGGGTATGAAATACCTTCGTCTTGATGGTTCAACCAAATCCGATGATCGTTCGGACCTGTTGAAGCTGTTCAATGCGCCGGGCTCGGACTATTTCTGTTTCTTGCTTTCGACGCGTGCCGGTGGTCTCGGTCTCAACCTGCAGACTGCAGACACTGTCATCATCTTCGACTCAGACTGGAATCCTCACCAAGATTTGCAAGCTCAGGATCGTGCTCACCGTATCGGACAGAAGAACGAGGTTCGCATCTTGCGTCTGATCAGCTCCAATTCAGTTGAAGAGAAAATTCTTGAACGTGCGCAGTTCAAGCTTGACATGGATGGCAAGGTCATTCAGGCTGGAAAGTTCGACAATAAGTCCACAAACGAAGAGCGAGATGCTCTCCTTCGAACGCTACTCGAAACTGCGGAGGCTGCTGACCAGCTTGGTGAGCAAGACGAAATGGACGACGACGACCTGAACGACATCATGGCTCGCTCCGACGATGAGCTGATTACTTTCCAGCGCATTGACAAGGAACGCCAGAAGAACGATCAATATGGGCCTGGCCATCGGTATCCCCGTCTCATGGGAGAAGACGAACTCCCGGATATTTACCTTGCCGACGAGAACCCCGTCCAAGAAGAAGTTGACATTGAGGTTACCGGTCGTGGAGCTCGTGAACGCAAAATTACCCGCTACGACGATGGTCTTACCGAAGAGCAGTGGCTCATGGCCGTGGATGCCGATGATGACACGATCGAGAGTGCTATCGCCCGAAAGGAAGCAAGAGTCGAGCGTCGCCGCATGAATAAGGAGAAGCGTCAGAAGAGAGCCATGGGCGTCGAGTCCTCGCCAGAGCCATCGCGTGAGAGTTCCGAGACCCCGCAACCCAAGAAGCGTGGACGTAGGGGTCCTGCGCCTAAACGCAAGGCGGAGGAGCCCGTTGAGGAAACACCGCAACCGAAGCGCAAGAGAGGCAGACAACCGAAACCTGTTGAAACCTTGAGTAGCGAGGACCGCGCCACGCTCCAGCGGATTCTCAACACCGCGTACCAGGCGCTGATGGATATGGAACAAGAGCTGCCAGCGGATTCATCCGACAGCGAGGACGGGCCGGTTACCCGCTCGATCATCGAGCCATTCATGAAGCCACCTCCTAAATCGCAATATCCCGACTATTACCTGATCATTCAGAACCCAATCGCCATGGAGATGATCAGGAAGAAGATAAACCGCGAGGAATATCAGAATCTTAGGGACTTCCGAAATGACATCCACCTCCTGTGTCAGAATGCCAGGACCTACAATGAAGATGGAAGCATCCTGTTCCAGGATGCCAACGATATTGAAGTAAGTTTGTCCTCTGCCATTTTACTTGTTTTTGCTTTCATAGGTTGCTGACTGTGAGACAGGCGAAATGTGTCGAGGTGTTGAGGAAAGAAACCGAGGACTACCCACAGTTTGCCGATTTCGACGATTCTCTGTCATCGGCAGGCAATGATGTCTCTGTTGCTCCCGCACTGTCTACAGGGACGCCTGCCACTGCCACTCCGACGCAACCAAAGTTGAAACTCACGTTCAACAATAGCAACCGGGATAGTGCAGGAATTTCGAATAGCGGCCCTGACTCGGAAGACGCATGATGCCACCTAATGAGGTTCAGTTAGGTTTATGACAGGGCATTATAGTCTGCTTTTCACGTCCGCTGAAGTCGCAAGCGGAGATATGGTTTCCATATTTTTCCGTCTGATGCTGCCTGCGATTTCTCCCCCCTGACATGTATTCCTCTAGTTCGAGTTCTTTCATCTTCATATCCCGCTTCTGGGAGGCGTTTTGTGATTTGGTGGCTCATGATGGACGTTGGTTGATGGCGCAATGCTTTTTTAAATCAAGACGAGAGACTTAGTCTTGTTTACTATCTCCTTTTCTTATTCTAACCCTTGTGTTATGCCATATTGAGATGTCTTGAGGGCGGAAATAGTCCTGCTTCAGTGTGTCTCATTTCAGTTTGTTGACTACTTCTGCTCTGTGCTAAAGAACAAGGGACTTGTCTTGGAACAACTCGAGGCATTTCTGCTGTAATCGACGATCAATGAGGGTTGGTAATAAATGGATTTTCCCGATGCTTGACGCTTCTACTATCATTTGTCGTAGGTAATCCTTCCGATCAGTTGCCTCTCGGGCATTCTGGTCGCCTGACTTGTCACTGCCTATTCAAAGAATACACCAAGCAGTAGGTATTCACTGTTGGACCTGCTCACATGAAGATCCCCTCTGATTATGAGGATCCTCGCCTAGTAACTACGCCAGTCAACAATGGCATTGTACTCAGCTTTGCGCATATTGTCGTATGCACTCGAAATTCATGCGTCGCTAGCACCCTACAGATGGGTCTTTTCCTTGAGATCGCAGGGACATATGAGGCCCCCGTATTCATGAATGGCTTGGGTCATTGCTGACCTGGTCTGCAGGGGCAGGGCTTGCTAATATGCTACAAGGTGCCTTGAGTAAACAAGCTATTCTATCTACCATGATGCCTCGCACGTCATATGCCACTTGCTTGGACTCGACGTCACTCAGTCACGTGACACACCGCACCGTCATGCACCATTCTGCGCCCTTCTCTTAACCGCCAGCTCAACCATTTCGAATCTCTTGAGCTCTGATAACAATCTCCCCCTGCTGTCTTCTCTTTACTCCTTCATCTTTATATTCAGTCCAGCTTACTAGCACCTTTACTACCTTGAACTTAGCATTAAACCCTTGAAATCCAGCAGAAATGGCTACTTTCCAGGATCGTGCTCAGCACACCATAGCCCAGCTTGACAAGGAGGTAAGTAAATAGGTTATTGTGCGTCAGCTTTGTTAGTGTGTTTGGCGATGATAGATCCTGCACGCCTTTTGACTACTTTTACTTCCTCATCCTTCATCCAGTCCTTGCCTTTTCTTTTCTTCAGGAATCTCTCTGTTTAGAGAGTCAACAATGCAACGAAATAAGGAAAAGCCACTAACCCTTGATTGTTTGTGCGGTGCTATTGTAGCTCTCCAAGTACCCTCTCCTCAACAACCTGGAGCGTCAGACCTCCGTCCCTAAGGTCTATGTCATCCTCGGCCTGGTCGGAATCTACACCTTCCTGGTCTTCTTCAACATCGCTGGCGAGTTCCTCGTCAACTTTGCCGGTTTCTTGATTCCTGGCTACTACTCTCTCAATGCTGTGTTCACCTCTGGCAAGGCAGATGATACTCAGGTTAGTTTTCCCGCTGCCTAGCCCCTGTAACTGATAGACTGGACAATTGTGGCTGACTGTCTTCTGATCGCTGCAGTGGTTGACGGTACGTGCTTGTGATCGTGAACCCCATTCGCACCTTGGAGGCGGAGACGATCTTCCCGCCTCCTGCTAAGGAACAGCCTAGGCTGTTTCACAGCACGTGATGCACCATCATCAGCAATTGGAGACTGACTTGGCCGTGTCAATTATAGTACTGGGTTGTTTACGCCTTCCTGACTGTTGTTGAGAGTGCCATCAACGCTGCCTACTGGTTCCGTAAGTTTATGCAATCTGGTGCTTCCTTCCAATGGTGGAGCTTCTGCTAATTCGTGAAACCAGCCTTCTACTACATCTTCAAGTTCGTCCTCATTCTGTGGATGTCTCTCCCCCAGACCAAGTATGCCTGCCTCGGTAGACGCGATGACTATGGAAAATATGCTAACTCGTCATCTACAGCGGCGCTCAAGTTGTCTTCCACTCTTTCCTCCAGCCTGTGCTGGGCCGCTTCTTCGCCAGCGGATCTACCTCAGCCAACCTCCGTGCTCAGGCCGATGCCGCCTCCAAGTCGCAGTAAATGCATTGCTAAGAGTCGGTATTAGCATATAGAGTCTGTCGCGGCTTGCGAAGGACAAGCCGCGAAAGAAAACGTCGATTCTTGCCTTGTCAGGCCTATGGCCTGCGCGGCACAATCCGAAAGTCGAGTTGTCGGAGTGAGCGGAGACAGTGGTGGGTTAAGGTGTCGGGGTCAAGTTAGGAGAGCGGAGCCGTGACATCCTACTTCTTGCTTTCACTTGTCATGATTGGAGGAGTAGAATGGTGGAGGTTGATTTTGTTGAAAAAGGACAGGATATGGCTATACTTATCCTTGGATGAAATTATATCTAACGCGATCATGCCTCTTTGGGTAATTGAGCAGTATCTTTAGCCATTCCTCATACCGGCCTTTGCGTTCATCCGTAAGGTCCAATGATGCCTTCATATGGCTTTCGCAAAAATGACCCTAGTGTCGCGATGACGTAGGTGATGTACATTTATATCCGAAACGACCAGCCGCAAAAGAAAAATATCATCCAACCCACTCCGCAACTCCAGGCGCGGCGCGACGATCTATTAGGAGAGTCGATCTTGAACCACGCAGGTGCCGTAGACCAGCGGATACCTGCATGGAGATCTGGCGATAAGGAGGCCAACTCGATGCAGTGTCTTAGTACAAGCCGAACCGGTTCTGCCAGCCGTCCGAGCGCGGATTCAGAACGATTCGATAGGGGAAGGGATTAGAGTCGCTGGTGGTGATCGGCGGAATGTGATCTTTATCCCGGTTGACGACGGCGAGGATCTTCAGGGCGGCCTTTTGGAGCATGTTCTCCATCGCCTTGCGGACTTTGGCGCGTTCTGGACGGGCATAATTAGCCTATACTCTCTCTTCCTGTAGCAATGACATCGGTTGTATAAGTAGATACCTGATTCCGTCCGCGGCGTGGCGATCGTCACGTCTAGATTCCACACTTCCCAGCATACCTCTTCTTCTCCCTTGCCCGCTAGCCCGCTGAACCACGCCCCGGAGCGTTTGCGCTTCTTCTCGTAGAACTCGACCGCGATGCGACCGCGTACGCCGCCGCCGCCTTCATGGGTGCTGGTAGCAGATGTGTGTTGGCGGACTAGGGCGCTGATGCGGGATTCGATCAGGGTTTCGAGCTCAACATCGTCGATGGCGGGGAGGGTGAAGTCAAGGACGTCGAATGTTGTCGGTCGAATTGATGGGAAGTAACGGTGGAAGAAGATGAGGTTGAGGACGCCTGGTTTAGACGGAGTGATGTCAGCTGAGCGCTGGGCAGGAGTGTCGTCAGGGGAATTCGCAACAACATGACTGCTGTCAATAGACGATAGCGAATATATATGATAATATGGCAAACCGATATCAATGACTCACATACCTTTTAATACATCTCTCACGGTGGTTGTGTCTGCGAAGATCTCCAGGAAATACTCTGGAGGGGTCCTGCGGGGCTCCATCCTCGCAGAGGTTGTACGGTATCGAGGAGAGAGATGTCTCAGCACTACCGATACTGCCTTGCTTCTGTGCTGCAAAAGGAGCAAGCAATAAGCATAAGAATATGAATGAATGACCCAGGTATGATGGCAAGCTGTTAACCCTGTACCGCGGAAACCAGTCCCGATTCAATGACTTGGACGTGGGGGAAAGAAGCGCAGGTGGATGACGGTATGAGAGGGGGTAAGACTAAGGTACCTAGGTGATAGGTAGTTATTTGCAGTTGAGACTTTCAGGAACACGATAAGCTCAGGTCGAATGACTTTGAGAGGAAAATACGCATGATGTGGTCCATGAGAGCAGAGCGACTGCAGACGACTAAGAAGGGATGGAGAAGGATCAAAGAGGCAGAGCGACATCTATACCCAAGGTACGGTCCAGTCCGTACAGACAACGAAGGCTATTTACGGAGCAGTAGAGAGCGATCCCCGCCGATACAATGCGGGCAACGGATTACTGAAGAATCAGGTACTATAATCCTCTTTTGGAGAGCCGTAGATGTAGAAATTATCGTACTAACTGATGGAGTAGAGTAGCAAGGTGTATGAATGCTAATGCAATTATGACCTAGATGAGGATCGTCGGCGACTCATCCATTCTTGACCTGGTCCTCGTCCCGGCGCTGTTCACGGTGTCGGCCGTTACTGTTATCGCTCACTCACTCTAGCCGAGGCCTGCTCTTCTCTTGGGTTCCCCAACCAACAGCTCCTGTGTTCTCGGTTTCTCCAACTTACGACTATTAGGACATCATTTTTGATGAATTTTTCTGCTTCCTTGCAACCTCATGATATGTAATGAATTATTTTGAATGATTTGACTTTCATTGCTCTTCATCTCTAGCTCTATCTATCATGATTGGAGCTACTAGGCGCTGGTTCCGACGCAATCGCAAAGGTCTCGCGATCGGGGCTGGCATTATTGGAGCTGGCTATCTCGCGGGACAATATGTGCTTTCTAAAATCACAGAAGCCCGGGAGCGGATGAGCAGCGATCGGATCGCCCGAGAAAAGTATGTTACCTTTGGTTTCACCTTGGTCTTTTGGCGAAATGAGATGGACAAAAAATCCATCCGCTCGCGTGCTCGGCCTTGGTGACTGACGTGATGGTGACTGACTGATCTGTCTAGTTTACGGCGACGTTTTGAACAGAATCAGACGGACTGTACCTACACGGTTCTGGCCCTCTTGCCGACCGCGGCGGAAGGTATCCTCGAAGCCCTTCCTGTGGAGGAATTGACGAAAGAATTGCAGAAGAAGCGGGCGGAGAGATTGGCTCGGCTCCAGGCTGGGGAGGGGACTGTGTCGGATCTGAGCTCGGTGTCACCCAGTGCGGCCGATGATGATCGAAGGAGCCTCTCAAGCTTCCAGAGCGATGGGTTTGTCCGCACAAGTCAATTAGGAGAACCAGCCGTCGATGGCGAAGGGCCGGCACGGGTAAAGCGGAACAAGACTCAACTCTGGAACGAGGTCAAGATCACTTGTACGTTGTCTTTTGTCCTATAAGACTGGCTAAGACGGGCTAGCTAACGTCGCAACTGCAGCTGTCACCAGATCGTTTACTCTCATCTACACCTTGTCGTTACTAACCATTTTCACCCGAATCCAACTCAACCTGCTTGGTCGCCGAAATTATCTATCCAGCGTGATCTCCCTGGCTACTCCTCCGGCAAATGCCTCCACGATCAAACTTGAGGATCATGATGACGATGACCTGACTCAGACCTTGGGGAATGATTTCGAGACAAACCGACGATATCTTGCATTCAGTTGGTGGTTGCTCCATCGTGGCTGGAAGGACCTGATGGACGAGGTACAGGCTGCGGTCACAGATGCGTTTGGCTCCTTGAACCCTCGGGAAGATATTTCCGTGGGGAGGCTGTCGGAATTGACTCTTGACATCCGCAAGAAGGTGGAAGGCAACACTCCGGAGGATAGAAGGTATGTCCGGCCAGAGTTTCGCCATAAGATAAAGGTTCCTGTGCTGACTTATAGGTATAGAAGCCGAAGATGGCTGTCCTATCTGCTCCCTCCTCGTGAAGAGGAGGAACATTTGTTGGAGGAGTCGGGAGTTGCGGGGGTGACTGAACCCTCGACCTCTCAGTCAGCTTCGACTCTGCGACACCTTCTTGATGAGACGGCCGACCTGATTGAATCGCCAACCTTTGGTCGCGTCCTGCAAGGCCTCAACGATGAATGCTTTGACTTACTGATGCAAAATTGCATCAAGGAAGCATTCCAGTCGTCACCACAAGCGTCTGAAAGCGTACCGCAATCATTCACCTCGGTTGCCACAGTTGTCCCACAGGTGAAGACAGTGGATCTCAAGACGAAGCTCGCGAATGTACTGGCTGTGATGGCGCGGCAGGCGCATGTTATTGGCAACGGCACAAATCCGCCCAACATCTATCTTACCGCCATGGATCAGAATGTCCGGAATCTGGAGGCCTTCGCAGCCGTCATCTACAGCTCGAACTTTGACTTCCAGCCACCAGGCACGGAGCAGAAAGCGGAACAAGTCACTGCCGAGAGAGATCGCCCTGATACGTCTTCCACGGCCCCGGTGATGGTGGACAAGGATGATACCCAAGATTTTAACCAAGCTGGCTCAAGCGCAGTAGCTGAGGACAACTCGGCTTTTGAGAAGGCATGGGGCAAGGCAGTGGAGGAGGGGTCGAGCGAGTGAGCTGCTTCAATTCTAGAGGACGGCTTGGCTTCTCGACAACCCATCTATCCCTCACTTAGTCTTTGATGGTTCTTTCTCAGTTTATGTATCCGGCATAGCTTCAATCCTGGAGATTTCAAGCTGTGCTGATTGTATGATTACCGACCGATATCAGTCCAGAATACCTGGCGAGGGGGTTCAGCTGCTTGTCGTTTTCTAATACCTGCGTAGATTGTGCATGCCCTCTAGATGGCCATCAATCATTCAGATTCCCCGTTGCCAATGGGACTAGCATTGTAAGTTGACAGAATGACTCCTTTGTGAGGAGTTTATCTTTTCTGCCAACCCGATACTATGCCCAATTGAATGCTATTCAAATGATCCAAGCAATAGTATCAGGATGGGTGCAATGCAACCTTATCTAGTGGATGCTCTAAGGAGCCAAACTATAGTTTCTTAGCCGTGGTTGATGGGGTTATATCCATGAAATAAGACCATTATTATTATGGTTCTACAAGAGCCAACCTCTCCTGCGGATAGGAATGCGGAGAGGATCCAAAGTACGAAGGAAAAGAAAGCTTGGCCGGGGAAATCTGCGGGGAATCGCTCGGCACTGAGGATTGGAGATTCGTCAATTGACCGACATGCTCGTGATATTACTACATACTTGGTACTAAGTAGACGAGTACGTAGTAGTCGGTCTATTTGTCTATTAATTGAATTATTACGTGAGGCCTTCGCAAATAATAGGCGCTATCTCCGCATCGGCGACCGCATCCACCCATCCGACTCTCCTGGGCTGCTTGCTATGACTCCTTGGCGTTGGGGTACAGTGACCTCGGCCTTGTCCGATCCCCAAAAGAGGTATCGCACAGGTTGTTCAGTCGCCGAAGATCCCTTTGTTTGTAGACTAGGATCGGAGAATAAGTTAGTAGATATGATCTGACAAATAGAAAGGCCTGAGTCACTGCTAATTGTCCCTGACTCGCCACGGCTGCCCAAGGTCACACCGTGCGTGCTTAGTGAGAAATAAGAACGCATTCTCTTCTGCGCTGCATCTGTTTCTTGCTCCTTTTCCCTTGTGTCGTGTTAATCCTCAGTATTAGCCTTTGCCAAGGGGGACAGAAATAATTGCGTCCTGAAATCAGCAATTATGGCTTTAAAAAGTGTGTGTCCTCGATAATCTTCCTCTTCATTTACGAGACATCGCTCCCTAGAGAGATCGACAGCTAACCCCTCCTCGCATACATAGGCGTCTCCGAAACAGATAATGGCAAAGCCGAGGGCGAGATCTATAGCGAGTCCGCGGACCTCCCTCCGCTCACCAACACCACGGAGCGCAAGCTGATGGCCAAGATTGACTGGCATATCGTGCCGTGCCTTTGTGTCATGTACTTGCTCGCCTTTCTGGACCGGTATGCAATCCTCAAACCCCTAGCTCCATGCATGAACTGAGCTCTGTAATGCGCCGTCACAGAGTCAACATCAGCAATGCCGCAATTCTCGGGCTGCAGAAAGATCTAAATATCGAAAACACCAAGTACAACACTGCCTTGACCATCTTCTTCGTACCGTACGTCCTGTTCGAAATTCCGTCCAATATATTGCTGAAGAAGCTGAAGCCCCATGTATGGTGTATGTACTTCGTCTTGTCGTGCGAGAGGGAACAGATAGCTCACATTACGGCAGTATCATTATGCATGTTCTTGTTCGGCTTTGTGACGATCTGTCAAGGGTTGGTTTCGAGCTGGGGTGGCTTGATGACCACCCGCTGGTTTCTTGGTATGTACCACCCCATCCCAAAATATAGATACAAGTGCCGGTTGAATGAGAACTAATGTACATGAGCTAGGCATGTTTGAGACGGGAATGTTCCCTGGGTGTAAGTCTGTTTCCTCAGAGAACGATTGGCCCAGTCAATAACCAATCGCGACGTGGCAGGCTTCTATCTGCTGGGAATGTGGTATAAGCGCAGCGAGGCCCAGAAACGATTCAGCTTCTTCTTCAGCTCTACCACACTAGCAGGCGCATTTGGTGGTCTTCTGGCCAGTGGTCTTGGAGAAATGGCCGGGCTTCGAGGCTACAATGGCTGGCGATGGGTCTTCATCATCGAAGGCGTCCTCACCTGTGTTGTTTCGCTTGTGTGGTTCTTCGTGCTTCCAGACTTCCCGGAAGACGTCAAGTGGCTGAATGACGAAGAGCGAGAGTTCATTCGTGCGAAACTTGCAAAGGACGTCGGCGCCGCTGGAAGAGATGTCAAGCTGACCGTGCGCGATGTGTTGGCAGTCTTTAAAGACTGTGAGTGGCGCGCCAGCCTTCGGGTTTTGTTTTTTTTTTTCGCTGACTCCTTCTTAGACAAGATCTTCATTGGCGGCTGGATGTACTTTGGCCAGATTGTCACGGCATACGGTGAGCAGGCTTGACATGGCTCTTGAAGAGTTCCCCTCTTAACAGCGTGCAGGATATGCGTATTTCGCCCCGACCATCATCAAAACTTATGGCTACTCCTGTACGTGTCTGGCATCCTCCACGAGTATTAGCTCTGCTGACTTTCTGCTACCAGCGATCAAAACCCAACTCTACTCAGTGGCCCCATGGGCAGCCGCGTTTGGCTTCTCCATGTTGATTGCCACCCTTTCTGATAAGTTCAGGCACCGCTACATCTTTGCTATGATTCCCATGTTGATTGCCATGGGCGGCTTTGGGATCCTGCTGAATGTTCACGGCGTGGCCCACCGGAATGTCCAGTATGGGGCGCTATTCATGGTGACCGGTGGTTGCTACAGCTCAATGGCCGTTGTCGTATGTTGGTACGCCATGAATCTGAGTGGACACCGCCGCCGGGGCGTGGGAACAGCATGGCAGATCGGATTCGGTAACAGTAAGTTGCAATTTCTGCAGTACTCTCAACACGTAAGATGGGCGATAGCTGACAAACATAACCAGTTGGCGGTATCATTGCTACCTATTCCTTCCTGGCGAAGGATGCACCCCTGTACCGGAATGGGTATATCATCAGTCTTTCCTTCCTCTGCTTCTCCGCAGCATGCTGTACTGCTTATCTTGCAGCAGTCTGGTACGACAACCGGAAGCGTGATCTCGCAATGGCCAACGGTGCTACCGTTGAGCTTACGGAGGAGGAGCAAGAGCAGCTGGGCGATCTTGCGCCCAATTACCGCTATACTTATTGATATATTCGATATATTCCGAAGATATTTGAAGATAGGGTTAGGGCTTCCTATCAACGCTTGGATGGAGCCACGGACGTTTTGAATATTTCGTTGGATAGACTAATATTTACGTCATAACATGAACGAACGTGAACTATACGCTATGATCAATGGCAGTTCGCCACTACTACACATCGTCTTCAATAGCAATGGTTTTAATTTGTGTAGATATACTCAGAGGTAGACCTAGCAAAAGTAATAGACATGTCTTAACAGCTGATTGAGTACTACCTAGACTAAATGTTGACGAGGTCCTGCATCCAAATCGTAAACAGCTCGGCTGACGTAATATGAGCTCGGTAAAACTAAAGAGAGCCACCTGGGTGCATCCCTTGACGAGCCAATCAGAGGAGCCCGACCACTAGCGAGCCCTTAGTGGCATACTCTGCTGAGTCAGCCACTGCGCACACAAAGAGCTGCTCCGCCGCAGCTCTCCATCCTTCTTGCAACCATCTTCTCATCCTCGCAGCAGTGTGAGTATTGACCCCCCTCACCTTTTAAGACATTCATCTTCAGGCAATTGACTGACCAGCTTCAGTCTCGAACCATCTACGAAGATGAGAGCCAAGTGGAGAAAGAAGCGCGTTCGTCGCCTTAAGCGTAAGAGAAGAAAGATGAGAGCCAGATCGTGAGTTTTCCCCATTCATCACCATCACCAATCGAAGCAATGGGAAATCAATTGGATCCGACCTGATGCTAATTACCTTCGCAGGAAATAAACATCTCGCCCACTCCATCTCGGTTCTTCATGTCGATGCTCAAGTTGAACGCCGAACATGATATTACGACGACGTTACGATGATGATTCCTTGTTATGATCGTTCCGTGGTCCAGCCGCTCCAATGGGTACCTGTCTGGTCCGATTTCCTAGGAGAAGGTTACGGTTGAATTTCCTCTATTCAAACGTGTTCGAATTCGGAGTCCGCCGTTCAACAGCCTGATTTCATCCTCCTCTGGCTCACTTCAACGATTTCGATAACCTTTTCTCTTGATCAGACAGTGTGGGATACGCATATCCGTGTCCTTATATTCTCGGAGAGGCGACTGTGTTCGGTGGAGGTTGGAGAGGTCGGTGGGAAAGTTTGAAGAAAAAGTGATTCTTCATTTTGATTCATCCCTGTACTGTGTTTATTCACCGAACCTTTTTGGGTGTCGCATGAGTGCCGGTCAATTGCTCGCTTCTTAGTTCGGGTCTTGTTCTCTAATGAGACCTTGAGCCATGGAGAGGTGTCCCTCGAGATTTTATTAAAAATGAAATGGCAAAAGTTACGATGACAACAAAACTTGCATTCGGTATCGTAGATCATAATTGACGACTTTGCAATGCGCAGAACAGTAGTCATCGCGGTAATATTAATGATGAAGAATAACGGACATATAAGCAATTCGCCCTGCTCTGGTTTGTGTGTCCAATAACGAGCAACTCCGCTTTTTTGAGTGCGGAGAACCAAATTTTGGACCCGGCAATTTTTTTCCCTTTCAAAAGAACATTTCCAGCCAACGTAGCTAAGCTACGACACCACGCCAGTCAGCAATATCTCTCTTCATTCTTTTTCTCCTTCCAAACAGAACAGTATGCCATCAGATAAAGTCGAAAAAAAGCGCAAGCGCGACTCTGATCGCCATGAACGACCCAGCAAGAAGCCCGCACTCGAGCTCCAGGACCTACCGCCTCTGTCGGCCAGTGTAGTAGATGAGCATAGCGAGCTGGCTCCTGTGATAAGTATGGATGATATTAATCTGCTGTACCATGCACAAATCGATTGACAGCTGCACAGTAACCACCCCGGCGTCAACCCCCCCGCAACCTGCGTTTTGCGCCGTACCTCAAAGCCCGCGCAGATTCTTCGTCGTCGGCAAATCGCAACAAGGGAATTGTTTCGTCGGAGCTCCTGCTGCAGTCTTCCGAGCACACCAAGCTGGACTTTGTGGGCCGTGAGGCGGAGGAGGATGCTGACTCCCAGCTTAAGCACTACGTTGCCGTGGTGGACCCGGAGAAGAAGACCTGGCAGCTTGTCGAGGTGCGCAAGTTAACGGTACGAGGAGCCGTGAGGAGGATGAAGCCTCTGACAGAGGAGGATGAGGAGAGCAGCGAGGAGGAGGAAGTGGTAAGCTCTCTCTCTGTTTTTGTGTGCAGCTGCTCGACTCGTTGGCAGATGCTGACTGCGATAGAAAACCATGCGCACACAACGCACCGAACTGACCAACACCTTCGGCACGAAACAATCACGCAAGGCGGCACAGTCGATGGCTGAGAACGCACAGCTGTCTAACGCGCCCGCCGGTGCCGCCAACGCCGCCGAGTCGGCGATCCTCTCGTCCATGCCCGCCGACGCTGCGGCCGACATCGCCTCCAAGGCGGCCGCCGTGCAGGCGCAGGTGCAAGCCAACAAGCCCATCCCGCAGGCCAACCTGGACGCGACGCACCCTGCCGACGTCTACCCGATCGACGTGCTCGTTCCCAACGGGCTGGCCACCCTCCGCCAGCTCCCCGGCGTCAAGGAGTGGGCCGACACCGTCTCCGCCGGCCTCCCCGTCGCCACGACCTCGCGCTACGTCTCCCGCCGCGTCGAGGCGGTCGTCAAGTCCGGCAACACCACCCACCTCCAGCTCCTCCGCTTCATCCTCCTCCTGCTTGAGTTCGCCCGCTCCCTACGCTCCGGCCGGGACCCCAAATCGTCCGCCGGACCAGGCAGCAAGCGCCTCCCGCCCCGCGAGGAACTGCGCCGCATCCTCTCCTCGGCCTCGGGCAACCCGGCCTCTACCAGCAAGCAGCAGCAGCAGCAGCAGCAGAATACAAGCCAATCCGACGCCGGCACCCTCCCGGACCCGGTCATCGACGCTATCCGCCGCAAGTTCGCCCCGCAGGGCTCCCACCTCACCAAGAACGACCTCACCTTCCTGCACACCACCATCTGCGCGCTCTCGCTGCACATCCCCCGCAGCCCGCCAAGGACGGTGGTGCCAGCTCCCTGGGCGGCAACTCGCCCAACGAGCTGGCCACCGACCCCGCCGATCTGCGCGACGATCTGAGAATCGAGAGCGCCACTATCCTGCAGTACTTCCGCGAACTGGGCTGCCGCGTCGACAAGCCGCGCGAGAGCGAGTTCGCGAAATGGAATATCAAGGGTGGCAAGGCTGAGGCGGCCGCCAGACGGATTGCCCGTCTCAAGATTCCTGTGGAGTTTCCCAAGGTGAGCCGCGGTGGACGGAGATGATTGTCCATCCTTGCGGTCTTTTTTTTGGTCTCAATGTGAAAAATGATAGAAACTAGAAAAAGTTGGTTTGGGATGCTTTTGTCTCCCGCGATACATACTGCGCTTGCCTCATGGTGTCATGGGCGTTGGGGTTCCATTCATTTCATTTAACTAGATGATAGCGCGAATGTTGGACTATAAATGTCACCCATTTCTTAGAGAGGCCTACAATATCTTGGAATACGCACTAAGCCATCTACGAGGGGTCATAATTGGAGACATGCCAATGGTAGAGACTGGCTCTTGGATTGATCTATCGAACCCAAAGTGCAGTAATGACAGACCGGTTCGGATTATATGTGAATGTGCCTCGTACAAAGCATCTTGGATACATACAAGTGCATGTACTCCTGAGGACAAGGTTATATTGTCAATGAGCAGGAATATCAAAAAGTAACCTACACCAACCTTCGCGACGTAGAGCTTTAAGTGTAAGGTGGGTGAATTATATATTGCAGAATACCACTACCCATAAGGCAGCGTCCTGTCTATGCAGCCACGCCAACGGGGATGGAGGCAGCGGGAGCCGCAGCGATGGGAGCGGCGGTTTGCATGCGAGGCGCCTGCTGGAACTCACGCTCGACCGCCTGCTCCAGAGACTCGTACTCGATCAGGCCGAGCTGTGTGTCCTTCCAGATGGGCTGGTTCTGTTCCTCGGCGCCTTCGACGCCAACGCCAACAAACCCACCCTGAGCTGCCCAGTCACTCGTGCGCTTGATGCCCAGATCTTTCCAGACCGCCTGGACGGCCTGCACCAGGTGGTCGCGGTGCTCCTTGACGTGTCCTGGAGTGGGGGTGATACGCAGACGCTCCTCACCGCGAGGCACGGTCGGGTAGTTGATCGCCTGGACGTAGATTCCGTGCTCTTCCAGCAGCTTATCCGAGGCCTTCTTGGCAAGCTCGGCATCACCAACCAGGAGAGGTACGATGTGAGAGGGGTTCGGAATCACGGGGATATCCAGTTCCTTCAGTGCCTTCTTCACGGCTCGAGTGTGCAACTGCTGCAGCACACGGTCGCCCTTGTGACGTGCCTGGTACTGGATGGCCGTGTTGGCTCCGGCCATTGTCGCCGGAGGCAGTGAGGTCGTGAAGATAAAACCGGGAGCGAGGGAGCGGATGGTATCCACCATAGCCGCAGACCCGGCAATGTAGCCTCCGACACACCCATACGCCTTGCCAAGAGTACCGGTGATGATGTCCACGCGGTCCATCACCGTTCCCTTGGTGGAGCGAGGGTTGGGAGTATCCTGAGAGGCATAGATCTCGTAGTCCAGATGTTCAGCGACACCAGCCCCGTGGGGACCGTACATACCCACGGCATGGACCTCGTCCAAAAAGGTAATGGCGCCGTACTTGTCGGCGAGGTCACAGATAGCCTCAATTGGGGCGATGGACCCGCACATGCTGTAAACAGATTCGAAGGCGATGATCTTGGGCACATGCAATGGCAGAGACGCTAGCTTATTCTCCAGGTCGACCAGGTCATTGTGCTTGAAGACCATCTTCTTGGCGCCAGAGTGACGGATACCCTGAATCATCGATGCATGGTTCAGGCTGTCCGACAGGATGACACAGTCGGGCATCTTGCTTCCCAGTGTTGCGAGCGTGGCATCGTTGGCAACAAAGCACGAGCTGAACACCAGCGCCGCTTCCTTGCCGTGCAATTTGGCAAGCGTGTTTTCCAGAGCCACGGCATGCTTGTTGTGTCCGGAGATATTGCGAGTACCACCGGCGCCGGCTCCGTAGGTATCCAGAGTCTCGTGCATGGCGGCCAACACTTCCGGGTTGCGGCCCATTCCGAGATAGTCATTCGAGCACCACACGGTCACCCGCTCTTCCACCGAGGCGGTGTGAGCACGGGGAAATTCCTTGGCGAGACGATTGATATTGTTGAAGTAGCGGTAGGACTTGTCCTTGTGTTTCTTCTCCAATTCACCCTGGTAGAAAGCATTGTAGTTGAATGGAGGGGAGGCGGGAGCCTCAGGACGGGGACCGGCAACCGCCGCGGGAGAAGTGGCCAGTGGGGTCTTGCCTTTGCCATTGCCAAAGGTGGGTTGGACTGTTCGGAATCAGTTAGCTATATATATTCAATCTATCCGCTGAGAAAAGTACGCACGTCTGTCGGTGTTCTTGTATAGATCAGGGCTGAGATTGGCGCCATTGCCACCAGTACTGTGCAGCGCTCTTCTGGTCTGAGTAGGACGGAAATGCTTGCTGCTCATACCCGGCACACCAGCGGCAGAGGAGGTGAACCTCTTGGCGCCGGCCATGCGGGCGCTCTGGACAGCGAGGGCCTTGCTCATCACAGGGCAACGACGAGCGATGACCTGCAGGTTCGACATGGTACCTCCGCCGGGACTCATGCTGGGACGGGTAGCCGTGGCGAGGGTACGCAGAGCGGTGGGAGAGGTGCGCTTGAGGAACGGACACATCGCCCGAGACTGCTGGAGAAGAGACTCCATGGTGACGGCAGCGAGCCAGAGACTCGTCGAGGCAGGAATTGGTTTTGGTGGTGTTGAGAGAGAAGGTAGATACCAAGGGAAAAGGTCGAATTGGGAGGTGGAAGATGGAAGAAGAGAAATACGAAAGGAATAAAAAAGAGCGGAATCTTGTGGCTTTCACAGACGCTACTTTTTCCAGACGCCGATGCAGGATATTAGATCCAGTCGTCGCCGAGTGTAAGGCCAGCCGCAGAACAGTGGCAGAAACCGAGAAAAAAGAACCTGGCACGATGACTAAAAGCCAAAGTGTGACTCGGCCGTTGCCTCATGCCTCAGTCACCGACCGGGGGGGCTGTGCGGCACCGCGGGAGGGGATACCATGCCGCTAAGCCTGTTCGGGCAATATACACCTGCAGGTGGCTGCTAATACTCGGCATGTGATTGGCTGGTAATAAAGATTGAAGACACGGGAATTACCGTAGCCGTATGATCCGATACTGGGGAAACGGTGAGTAAATATGGTAAAATAAGGTAAGGTACGGTAAACGGAACACCCGCGGCATATGCTCGGAATCCTCCGCGGTGGCCGAGGAAGTATCCTCACGCATTCCATTCCGTCTTCGGAGTGTGCAACTTGACAAGATACGACATAATGATGACCTCGACTTTCTCATGAACTCATACATTACGACCTTTCGTAGCCGTCCAAGGAACGAACACAAGCAAGGGAGAATTTTTCACTTCAGCTGAAGCCCATCCCCAGCATCCAGCGTGGCAAATCATGGCCAAGGAAGAGAACACCACAAGTTCCCAAGTCATAACCGTATTGCCAATCAGGACAAAATAATGATGGACAAAAATAAGAACAGATAAAAGGAAACCCAGCACATACAGCCGCATGCTTGTCTATCGTATTGTCAATCTCAATCAGCTTATCACTCTTTGCTTTTCATCTCACATCATCCCCTCCAGCCGTCTTTCACAAAAAAGTGTCAGGTAGATTAGAAAAACAAAAGTTGACATGTTAATACAAGGCACAAAAAAAAGGTGCCGCGAACAATAAGAACAAATCCATCAAAATCACAGTAGTCTCTCAAAAAAAAAAAAAAAAAAAAAAAACGCCGTAGCCCCATTCAGTCATGCGTGTAGGTACCGAGAAATGTCTGGATCAGATAGTTGGTGTGCACATCAACTTTCCAGTCCACCGTCACCATCAATCAGTCGCAAACGCTCCGTGGTCGTCTTGGCTCGCTTCGACGATCCCTTGCCGTTGCCGCGTCCACGTCCTCGCTTGGGAACAGGTGTCGACGTGGGTGTGCCAAGGTTATCTGCAGTTGATACAGGCGTTGCCGCACCCGAAGGCTTCGCGCTGATATCATCAAAGTTTCCTTCTCCTGTAGTAGAAAAGAAAAAGTAAGCATCATATCATCAATGAAAACAAATTGGGAGTCGCGCCATACCTTCGTGATACATGTCGTCAAGTGTAAGATCCTTCTTTCTCTTTTGCGCCGCCTTCTTGCCTCCTTTGCCAGCGCCAAACACCTCACCACGGTCTAGCGCTTCCTTCTCCTTCTGCTCAATCAGTTCGGCCTGCTCATCATCCGCCAGCCACATGGCGATATCCTTGGTCCGACTGTCGCGGTTGCGAGTGTTGAAGTCAACTCCGCCGGCCGCACCGCCAGAAATGACAACGCGCTGCACCTCTTCTTTCTGCAGGGCTCGCTTGCGGATTCGCTCTTCGATGGTGCCGCGCGTGATGAGCCGGTAGACGGTCACCTGTCGGGTCTGGCCGAGACGATGCGCTCGATCCATAGCCTGCGAGTCAATGGTTGGGTTCCAATCCGAATCGTAGAAAATGACGGTGTCGGCGGCAGTCAGGTTGATACCCAGACCACCGGCACGGGTAGACAAGAGGAACACAAAGATCTCGGGCCGTTGTTGGAAATCGGCCACGGTGTCACGACGGTCCTCGAGTTTGGTGCTTCCGTCCAAGCGGCAGTACTTGTAGTTGCGGTAGGTGAGATACTCTTCCATCAGATCAATCATACGCGTCATCTGGAAGTACAGCAGCACACGGTGACCGCCTGCCTTGAGTTCACGGAGGAGTTCGTCCAGTTTGCCCAGCTTGCCCGAATCGGTGACGAAACGCCGCATGGATGGAACTTCAATGTGCGTGTACCGCCCTTGGTGGATATCGGCTTCGGCAGCATGGGTGGAAGCGAGAATGGGGCGGGGTCCAACTTCTTCTCAAGGATCTGCTCCTCCATCTGTCTAGAAGGCGTGCTAAAGAGGGCATGGCGAACGGAGACGTTGAAAAAGGTATCCTGGGTTTCCCTGAGGGCCTGTTGACCAGAGCAGGAGATGGTGATCGGAGGTGCGGATGCCGCAGGGCTCGCGCTGGGTTCAATCACGTCTAGGCCTTCGCGTTCGAACGTAGCCTCAGAAACATTCATCAAATCCCGCATGTAGCCCTCCACGGTAACGTCGCGGACAGCCTGACGATCGTTCCGCTGGACAATATTGAAGAGGGAATGAGGAAGCACAGACTTTGTTGTTTGCTCATCCGCTTCATCATCGTAGATGACATTCAGGCGAGACAGTCTGTTGCTCTGGCCACGACGGCGCACCGCCCGCTCGAAGACCCCGAGATGGGACTGCTCGTACGCCTCATGGATGGAGGTGTCGGCGAACCGCAGGAACGAAAAGCCACCATCCTCGTCGATGCTGCGTTTGATATTCTCTGGGGTGAAGATGTTCATCAAGTGCTGCAGGTATTTGCCTCGGAAACCAGCCTGTTCATTGCCCGGCCCAGCCATGTCAACACGACCACTGGGGCTGCATAAAAGGCGCGGTAGGCTGTACTCAATCAGATTGCGCGTCGAGTAGCGAACATCCACATTCTGTCCCTCGCGGACGAACGAGGCGGTTTCTGCAAAATATCCGGCCGAGAAGGGTGACTTTGTCTCCGCCCGCTCGAACAGGTCGGGGTGGTTGCAGACTTTCCGGAACTGCATGACCAAGTTCATCAGTGTCGTGCTGTCAGCTTCATCGCCAACAGCGGCCTTCTCAATGAGATCCATGATGCTGACGCGGTTCCGCAAGTTGGCGTAGTAGGCCCGCTGTCTATACGTCAGGTCGCAGAACACATCCTTCTCAACTTTGTCTCCAAGTTCTTGCTGGACGTGTTTCTTCACACGACGAAGCATGAATGGTTTCAGAATCATGTGCAACCGCCGGAGCTGGTCCTCGTTAAGTTTGGTATTACTTTGAGCGTGAGACTCAATGTCCTTGGAGAACCACTCGCTGAATTCATCGTGAGAGTCAAACAAGGTCGGCATAATGAAATGCAAAAGGGCCCACAATTCCTGCATGTTATTCTGAATCGGGGTACCAGTGAGCAGAAGACGGTTTCGGCAGTGAAATCCGAGCAGGTTCTTCCACCGCGAACTTTGAGACGACTTGATGGCCTGAGCTTCGTCGAGAATCATGTACTGCCACTTGACCTTCTGGAAGTACTGCGAATCGAGGACGACAAGCTGATACGATGTCACAAGGACATGGAACTCTGACTCTTTGGTGTAAGTGATGTGCTTGCGATCCCAGAACTTCCGGAGAACCTTGCGATCTTTCGCCGAACCCCAGTAAGGCAGCACCTTGATATCAGGAACAAACTTGGTGATCTCCTGCTGCCAGTTATGCAGTGTCGATGCTGGCGCGATGACCAGGAACGGCCCCCAGATGTTGTGAACCTCAGCCAAGTATGCCATGACCGATATAGACTGGATGGTCTTACCCAGACCCATCTCGTCGGCCAAAATACCGTTGATACCTTGCTCGTACAAATTGACAAGCCAGTTCAGACCCTTCAGCTGGTATTCCTTGAGCTTGGCCGTGAGCATCTTGGGCTGAGAGATTTCGATATCGCCGAAACTCGTGGGGTTCTGGAAGTTCAGTTCGCCCTCGTCGAGAGCAGCCATCGGGTTCTCCTCAGCATTGAAGGCACGTGCCCGCTCCTGAGCTTCTTTGACGGCATTCTGGGCATTAGCCATGGCTGCCTGCCGCAGAGCTGTCTCATCTTCCGCGTCGAAATCCAGGTCCTCGAAATTGGTAACTTTGGTGCCCACGTCGGCGACGCTAGGCGGCAGATCAATGGTGTGGTCGGCTTTGCCAGGTTGGAGTTTTGAGCCGTCGACAGCGGTATCCCCAGAAGAATCTGCTCCGGCCCCTTTGATCTTTCGGCCAATGAAGTGAGAATACAGTTCCGTCTGGGAGATCAAGAAATTCAGCTTGCGCTTCTGACGATTGGCTTCACGCTCTGCTTCTGCCTTCTTGGCGGACTCGATCTCCTGTTTCTCGGCGAGACGACGCAGATCACGCTCCTCGCGCTCGTTGCGCTTCCAGAAGGACATCATTTCACGCATCGTGCGCTTGGCGCGGGCTTGCGTGTCTTTCATGCTCTTGTTCGTACGCTCTTGCCATTTGCGAGACTGCTTACTGGCGAGCTGAGCTGTCTTCCGCAAGTTTTCCTGACGCGTGCTGAGAGAAAGGGTCTTGATGCGATAGACCTTGGGGATGTCTTTCCGGGCAATATCCCGCCAGATCTGTTCATAGATCTGGTTGTAACCCTTCGACTCGAACGTGGACACGGGCGCAGGCGTAGGTTCTTTGGAACGTGCACCCTTGGCCTCCTTCTTGAGGGTCTCCTTTCTCGGATCTTCCTTGGGAGCGAGAGGCAAGGGCTCGTCATTCTCCATGGCAGCATAAGCAGCTTCGGCCGCATCCTTCTCGGCCTGCTTCTGCTCCTTGGATTTCTTCGGCCGTGAGGTCCCCGAGCGTCCAGACTTGCGCCTCGACGGGGAGCTGCGACCGATGTGGAATGAGCTGGTAGTGCCTCCTTCCAGATTAGGAGCAAGGGGCGTGACCTCTCCGATTTCCTCCGGCGATGTGACACCTTCGAGAGCTCGCTTGGTCGATTTGATCTTTCTCTGGGCCCTTTCAGCCTCGCGGAGGAATTTGGCCTTCTCGGCGGCATCGTTGGCCTTATTTGCCTTGCGCTCCGCTTCAAGCTTCTTCTGCATTTCCAAACGCACCGTATTCTCACGGCGCCGCTTCCGCTGCATGTCCTTCTTGCGTTCCTTTTCGTCCTGAATTTCCTTCGCTTGAACTTCAGCGATGACCGACGCTTCGTTTGCGGCCCGGAATCGATCCAGTCCCGCGTTTGCCTGCTTCTCGAAAGTTTTACCGAGCTTGACAAGGAAATCGTGACGGCGACGCTGTCTTTGCATGAGTACTCTGATATTTCAGATGTGGAAAGATGTGAATTAAGAGGCCTACCTTGCGCCTGATGCCCTCGGCTTTCTCCGCATCTAAAGCCCTTTTCTTGCTCTTCACGATGTAGCGTTCATACTCCGCCTCAAAGCCAGGCGACTCGACATCGCTCTTGTCGGCATTGTCAATCTCCGCGATGATCTTGTTGATGATTTCAGCATCTCGCTCTGTTAATGTCTTGCGGTTGGAGACCCGAGCGGCTTTTGTCGGTTCGAAAGCACCGTTAGCAGATGCGACAGGAAGCGCTTCGGCGGATTTGGGTTCTTGTTCCACATTCCGACGACGTTTTTCGGCGCTCGGCTTCTTCTCAAGTCGGGGCAAGGCTGCCGGGGAGATGGGTTCCGGTTCCTTAGCTTTAAGTTGGGAGGTAGGTGGAAGAACGTGCGTCGCTGGAGGTGGGGTGAGTCTTCTCGTTGCTGTCACTGGGGCAAGGGTTGGTGGTGCGGGTGTGATTGTGGTTGCCGGGGCCGGTAGGGCTTCTGGAAGGGAAGGCTGCTTTTTAGGGGAGCTCTCTTCAGTCGGACCCGAAAGAATGCTGGCGAATGACATGGGGTCGGCAGCGCGAGCATGTTTCTAGATAAAGGAAATAAAAACTCAGTAAATGTACTCATCTCACATTCGGTTACCATAATGATCGGAGTGAAGACATACCGTTTCTCTAGGGGGAGAAGCCGGCCGGGAATCTCGCAACATTGATGACGAGTATCCAGGAGCACCATTTCCTCCGATGGAATAGAGTGGTTCCGTCTCTTTCTTTGGAGGCGATTGTGATAGGCTTTCCAGGCGAGCCGATGGATGGGCGTGAGATGAAGTGGAGTGGTTATAGGGGGATGCGCCGTTGCTGGACATCACCGATGCTGAATATGGCCGTGGTAATGAAAACTGCGGCGTCCCTGCCGATGAATGTGCCTGATACTGCGACGAAGGCTCCGAATGATGCCCTGGCGGAGGAGCACCACCGTTTAATGGAGGTAGCGTAGCTGGTAAGGGCGAAGGCGCATGTGAGTAATGGGGACTCCGAGATAGTGACGGCTGTGGAGCGAAAGCCGGCGGTGTCTGCGGAGGGTGCTGCTGGTACTGATCATTGTTGGGATAGTATGAACGATTCTTATTCGGAGGAGAATAGACGGGAAAACGAGGTTGCTGCGTCGGAGACTGAGGATTGTAAGGCGGAGCCCCCGTCATGATGGCCGCGTGTGCCGGAGAACGCGGCGCCGATTATGGGCAGCGATAAGGCAGTTGAAGTTCGAAAAGGCGTCGTGGTCAAGTGAACATTGAACGGGAGCGAGAGAGGGTAGAGAGGAAAGGTATCTCTCCAGAAGGGACGGGCAATCACGCGTTTCGCACCTGTCGCGGCGGTTACAACTGCTTGAATGAAGGATTAGCTCCGAGACAGGGTATGGTATAAGAAAAGATGAATTCAAAGGTTGAATTAAGGAAATGGATCGGCGGTTCATACAAGACAGGTTGTGAAGCGGGAAGATGAGTTGGAAGGGAGAGAAGGGGAGAGACAAATGGGAGTAGAAGAGGTTGCCTCACCGTTTTGACAGAAACCTCTCGGGATAATTGGATGAAGGCGAGCTCTTTGTGGATGTTGGACCAAACCAACAAACTCCCGTCAGCGCCAGAGTGGCTCAGGCTCGGATGCGATGGGAAACGAGCACCCGTCTATGGTTCTCCCAGACGGGGAATTGACACTGTGGTGCGGCTGACGGAGCTTGTGGACAAGAGAAAAGGGAAACAAGTGAGACGGAGAAGTTGGAGATGTAGTTGATGGGATGAAGATAGAATAGACGATGGAGATAGATATGGAGATGGAGGATGTAGAAAAGAAAGGGCCGATGGTGGAAGGAAGGAAGGAATAGTTAGTGAATGATGATGATGATGATAATGATGCTGCTGTCTGGATCTTTGAACTGGTCGTTCCAGCCTTTTCCCCCCTTTGCCCAAGTTTTCTCTCTGCCCTCGCTGACCTTTACTTGTTCCTCTTCCTCTTTCGTCGCTTTTTTGGGCCTTTCCGCGATCCGTACACGTACAGCCTGGCGTTACGTGTATTGGGATTACGTACGCCACTGATCCCTACGTACCTAGGTATGCTGATCGATTCGATTTTCACTCGCTTTGCAAGCATCAACATATAGGTTGCACTTTGATGGAGCACTCAAGAAATTGACAGTGTTGGAAAAGGGAATATTCTGAAAATGCTTTAATGGCAGTGACTGTAAGAGTCTGCTTCCATTTTTGTCACTGTCAACCTGCCCTTGCGCGATATTCACTACTCCAGATTAAGGTATACAAATGCCAAGCCTATGGGTCCGATACCGGTAATTACAATTTCGAAACATCAAGGCCATGGTCATAACTTACATAGCCATTGAATTTCATTGCTCCTCTTTTACTAATGGCACTAATAGCACTATTCTCTGATAGAAGTCAGAATACTCCGTATGATCTGTAAAATCTATTTGTAGATGCGAGGTGTCTCCGTTGGAAGGATCGTCTGATACCACCGGGCAGTGGTCACCATATGGACGAGCACCAAAATTGCCTGGAAGTCACAGCTGATGATGGTGAATGATGTTCATTGTCGCCTGAAACCGCAGAGGCCTTGCTGATACGATTTCCCAGGGACTGCTGGAGAAGGTTTAGAGACACCCAGCAATGGCTTGATACCACGCACTATGCTGCTTTGCAGGTCGATTCTCAATGGCATTTCGTCTTTCTCTCTTTCCGTGGAATTCCTGCGTCCGTTGCAATTCGGTGAGGACCAATGACCATATTTAAGTAGACGCGGTTGTTGCGCAGCCACCCGTCTATGCGTCGGAGCTGGGGGGAACACAGGGACTAAGACACCTAGGAGGTGCATGGCCCTGGCGCTTCCTGTATGCGCGAATTAGAAGGTACAGACTGTTGAAGCCTGCCTTGTTCGCTCTTTACATACTTTTGTTGTATATCGGCTTGGTGATCCTCATGGACTTATTTCTCTTCGTCGACCTCAGTATCCTTGTACCAAAGCCACGGACCAGATTGATTCTATTGCCTCGTAATACAATGCGTTCGGAAGCTACTGAGCTCTTGTTGTCTCGTCATCTCACAGGACTAATCATCCCATAGGCATGGCGTGCCTGAGGCAACTACATTCAATCTTGCATCGATACTGCGGACATTGCATCGCCAAATATCTCCCTTTGCTGGTCATATATTGTAACAATTGAATCTATCATCTCGCCATGAGTTAATATATCGTGGGATTAATTCGCCTCCCTCTCCCCTCCTCCCTCAGTCATGCTATGATCTTATGATCTACCCGACACTACCAGTTCCGAGACTCTTCCATGTCTGTAGAGTCATCTTTAATTCAGATTCGACTGTCATTGATTCCCCCAAGGTACATGGTACCTGGGCTCTTGCATTGACCCTGACCGCTGGAAGGTCCCACTTGCAGCAATCTGGAGAAACGACGAACTCTTTAATGTGATGAGGTTGTGCAGTCATCCACCGGCCCCGAGGATAGATGGATATGGCCTGATCCAGGCAGACTGCAAGCTGGAAATTGTTGGATTGGTCTTCAGAACCAGGTGTGTGTCTCCAGGTGAAGAAGACTCTGGCGTCTCTGCTGCTCCATTACGTTCCGAACAGTCGGACAGCATGGGGAATAAGCAGCTCACCCTGCATCTCAGTGGGCCCATTCGCCCGTCGCCTCATCTTCCCTGCTCATCCTGCTTCTGTATAGTCCCTACTGTCATTCATAAAACAACTGGCTTTCCATATAGGAATCTAACGACGTCACTGTCGGACTCGGATCTTACAATGGACCACCTGATTCCTTACTTTCCCCTACCTCGAGCCACTGTGAGAATCTCTCCATGAAGTTATAAGAACCACCGGAGATCTAGCTGTTTACTTGACAAATTTGACTTCTACGGCTATCCCAAAATCTTTGTTACCTCATTCACCTGGCAATCGTTTTTTCTCTGACGGTTGCAGCTTGAGACACCAATCAACATGACACTCCCAGACAAGCAATGGGCCCAGGTCGTCGAAAAGAAGGGCAGTCCACCGGTCTACAAGGAGATACCCGTGTCCAAACCCGGCCCCGATGAGATTCTTGTCAAGATCCATTACTCGGGCGTCTGTCACACAGATCTGCATGCCATGAAGGGCGACTGGCCCCTTCCGCTGAAATTGCCTCTTGTCGGAGGCCACCAAGGTGCCGGGGTGGTTGTGGCTAAAGGCCACCTGGTGACTGGCTTCGAGATTGGCGATCACGCAGGTATCAAGTAGTTGAACGGATCCTGCATGGAATGCGAATTCTGCAAGCAGTCTGAAGAGCCTCTCTGTCCCCACGCGACCATGTCCGGCTACACCGTCAACGGCACATTCCAGCAGTACTGTGTCGCCAAAGCCACTCATGCCTCCAACATCCCCAAGGATGTCCCCCTCGATGCGGCCGCTCCCATTCTCTGCGCCGGTCTCACGGTCTACCAGGGCCTGAAGGAATCCGGCGCTCGCCCCGGACAGACAGTCGCGATCGTGGGCGCCGGAGGGGGCCTAGGCTCTCTCGCGCAGCAATATGCCAGAGCGATGGGATTGCGAGTCGTAGCGATCGACGGCGGCGATGAGAAGCGAGAAATGTGCGAGAGACTGGGTGCAGAGGTAAGACGGGCTGCATTTCTGCACATACCCAACTAACGTCTCCTCGACAGGCCTACATCGACTTTACCGTATCCAAGAACGTCGTCGAGGACGTCAAAGCTGCCACCCCGGGGGGACTCGGCGCCCACGCCGTCCTCCTACTCGCCGTCTCGGAGAAGCCCTTCCAGCAAGCTACGGATTACGTCCGCTCGCGCGGCACCATCGTCGCGATCGGCATGCCCGCAGACGCATACCTGAAAGCCCCCGTGTTCAACACCGTGGTCAAGATGATCAACATCAAAGGCAGCTACGTGGGGAACCGCCAGGATGGTGTCGAGGCAATCGACTTCTTCGCCAGGGGGCTCATCAATGCGCCGTTCAAGAAAGCGCCGTTGAAGGATCTTCCGCGTATATTTGAGCTGATGGGTTAGTTCTTCTCTTATTTTATTTAAGGTCCGTAACTGACAATCCTGTAATAGAACAAGGCAAGATTGCCGGTTGATACGTTCTTGAAATACCTGAGTAAAGCCGAAGATCTGCAGCGCAGCAGAGATAGACGGATTGACGTGCCGAATGTCTGGACAATGCGTATAGAAACACTATGCTCATCCTATCTACTGTGGAGGGAAGTGATGGCCATTGATCGACTTAACGAAGTGACGTGTATCTAACTCTTAGTAAATTGACACTCACCTCTGCCTTCCCAGCCTGCAAATCTGCAGTACATGTAATACAGCCAACTTGTTATTAACAAGAAACAACTACAATCTACAAGTAGACACAGGTCCCCTTCAATTGACACCCTTCTCCCCATCCAACCCCTCCAGATTTGTCTCCGAAGGAGTAGACGACGACTGTGCAACAGTCGCCTGCGGACCCTTGTAGAACTTGCGAGCATACAAAAGATAATACAACAGCGCACCGCCCCAAAGCGCACCGTTGATGACGACGGTATAGTTCATATCCTCAGCTTTCACATCCGTCAGCACAATGCGTTTATCTACCTGAAGAGAGGAAAGGACTTACGAGTTGGGCCAGGTCCCAGGGTGGGAAACATGCACAAGACGATCGCGAAGAAGAGATACACGATGGCCGTGACGGCGATAGGCTTGCTCAGGCGGCCCGTATAGAATTCCCCCGGCTGGAAGCGCTCGCCGCCCCAGACGAGCCGCGCAAAAATGGGGGTCAGCCAGGCGAGATCGTTCCCCGCGACGGCGAGGGAGAAAAGAGCGTTTGAGGCGGCGCTGTTGATGAGGCAGAGCAGACCGATGATGATGGCGGCTGCGACGACGCCCCAGATCATGCGGACGGGCTGGTAGCGGATGCGTTTGCTGACGTGCCGGAAGAAGGAGGAGAAGGGGAGGGCGCCGTCGCGGGAGAAGGCCCAGCTCTGTCTGGAGGCGGCGAGGACGAGACTCAGGCCCATGAAGAACTGGACGATGGCGACGACGGCCATGAAGCCCAGTGCACCGGGTTTGCCGAGTGCGTCGTAGTAGATCTGGCGGTCATTCAGCTCGGACCTATGCGGGTGTGCTTTACGGGCTGACAAGCTTACCTGTGCCATCGGTTGACCAAAGGCAGTCCCCAGGACGTTGTCCAGCTTGGTATCCATCACGGCTGCTATGACTGCAAGAGACAGAAACCCCAGGATACCACACAGCCCGATCGACCAGAGGATACCGAGTGGTACGGCACGTGTGGCATGAGTAGCCTCCTCGCTCATATGGACGCAGGAATCAAAGGCGCCAATGGTCCAGATAGGGGACAGCCAGGCAAGCATAAACGCCCAGCCCGCTGGCCATGTGGTCAGGTTATCAACATGTCCAAAGACATAGGAACCCGAGTTGACCGGTCCGCCGTTCATCGCCTTGCCAATCGGGAGCGCAATTACGGTTGCTACCACGAGTCCGATGTTGCTGACGATGCAGAGCGTCTGGATCTTCGGCATGATGCGCGCAAAGAACGTGGTGATCAACCCGTGTACAACGACACAAGCGACGTATGTGGCATACACAACCGGGCGGGACGCAGTCCACTCCCCATCGCGGGCAATGGAAATGAGCGAGAGCAACATGGTCGCAAACCCATCTACATCCTGCGCGTCAGCATATGCCCCAGACACAAAACAAAACCAGACCGGGGGAGGCTCCACGCACAATCGATCGAGCAGACGCCACCCACAAGGCCGATGGTATTGCTGTATCCGACGACAAAACTCAGCGGATTCTTCCACTTCTCGTCGCTGAAATAGTGCGTCCAGAAATAAAGACCGCCAGCGGTGGGCATCGCGGATGCCAGGTCGGCCTATGAAGAAACGGGCAATCAGTCCCGAGCCATCAAATTCTCTATACAGTCGAATCACGAACCATAGCCAAGCCAACTATGAAGATGAACACGCTGGCAACGAGCCATCCTATCGAGTAAGTCAATACCGCTGATCGAATGCATCCACAGACAGTGACCCAAAGCTCTTACCCTATCACTGGTCAGCAGGCACTTCAAACGCAACTCATGGAAATAGTTTACCCAGACCATGCCCACTGGGCCCGCAGGCAACGTGAACGACAAGGTAGACGCAATGGAGGGTAGCAATCCCATGATGCTGAACGCAACCGCGAAGATTTGGGTAGTGGAGTAGTGTCGTCGAAGCTCCTGCTTGTACCCCAGCGTCGCTGGAAGGATCAATATCCCATCAGCATAATTCTCATTGCAGACGATACACCGTGCCACACACCGAGTAACTCCATGTCGCCAGGCTCAACAGCGATATCAGGATCGACTGTCTGCGCAGTCTTGGACTTGACGTCCATGGCTCGAGTCTTTTCCGCCATGGCTTGGTGAGTGAAGGGATCTAGATAGGAGTCAACAGTACGAGAGGACCGTGAAGATGTGGTTTAGCAAGAAAGGTCATTGAAGTCAAATCCATCACAGAGGTGTATCTATATATTCAATATCCATCTGGATAGATGCACACGACCCACGGTAGAGATACGAGAGATTGAGTTCCGATAAGGAGGAGTCTACATCCTAAGGATCCCTTGCATGGGGTTGCATTCACCCAATGTCTGATAAAGAGTATTCATCATCTCAGCCATAATGTCGTCGTCATATCCTCCTCTTGTGCGGGGTTCAACAGCTGAGCTAAAGGCACGGGAAGTCAAGGGAGCCAATCTCGGCAGCTCGATGCTTGTGTCACTGTGGTAGTGGCCGATGGCTGAATTCCGATATCAATTAGTTACCAATCGCGAGCGAAACAATCTGACACGGAGAGCGCATCCAATCTCGGCACTTCATGGCGCTGATAAGAGCCTAGAGCGTACGTTAGCTCAGAAACTTGAAGATGGCTTGAGTTGACTCTTAGGCGATGATGAGGAGAAAAGCCAAAGTCAGCGCGAGTTTTGCCTATTCGGAACTGGTCGCCAGTCTTCCGAGGCTCAGCGCTGCCCTGCTTATCAGTACGTTCAATAATATCATGATAGGATTGATGATATCTTCTACTCCGCACCAGAAGTCTATCTCAAGGACTGAAGGGGACAAAGAGGGAAGTCGGGGCCCCTCTACTATCATATATCTATTGCATCTAAACCGCAGACCCTCCCTTCAGGGGTTCCAGACCCCAATCAAATGCAAAATAAGAAGCAACGGGCGTAAATGGGGTCCAGGTCCAATATACAAGACGAGTCTGCGCAACTGAGCCTGAGCTCCTACCATCTATGAGCAGGCCGAGACTGCAGAATCACAAACAAAGAAGAATCGGATGAAGAGAAACACCGGAAATTCAGATAACAAAACATTAAGTATACATAACATCGTGGCTCAAACAGCACCTGGGCCCTTGTGGTTTGACTGATCTAGGAGCAACCGCGGCTTGATAAAGTCCTCGTCCAGCTGTCGGAACCAGGCAGCATGATCGCCAGATGGTCCACCCGAGAAGAGATCACGAAGAGCTTCCCTGGCACTCAGTCCTGTCTCTCTCCTTGCGGGTGACGCTCCGCTCGAAGGAGTAGCTTGTGAAGGCATCAGATTCTGTGCCTGTGACGGTGACCGCCGCATTCTAGAAGCCGCAGTCGGCGCAGAGGGGGGTAGATCATCGTCAGATGCGCCATCGTCAATATCCAAATCAAATGAATCAACTTGGTCCGGCTCTGACGCCCCTCGGCCGCGCCCAACGGCTCTCAGGCCGAATTCATCCTCACTAGCAGCACTGCTATCGCTGTGCACTCCAGCTCCGTTCCCGAGAAGCGTGGCCGTCGATGATCTATCGCGCGCATCCTTGGAACTGTAGGCGTTGGAGTACATTCGTCCATGGCCCCGAGTCGACGGGGGTGGGCTAGGACGGCGGTTGTTGCCACTGGAATAGCTGCCGGTCCTGTCACCGAGACCTGCTCGCTGTATCCCGTCCAGAGGAATGGTAGAATCCGTGCGTCGGGGCGTATATCCCAGGCCGGTGTCGGACCGCTTGTAATAGGTGCCCCCATGGGTGACCTCAATGTCGAATTCATCGTCGGACTCAATCTCCTCGACCACGCCGGTTCGAATCCCAAGGATCTCCAGCATGCGAGCAGTCGTACCTCCGAATATGATCACCGTCAGCACGACGACAACCAGGACAGTGGCACGCAATGCCGGTGCATTCACCCCTGTAAGCCCGCGGCCAGCGCAACCCCACAGCCCCGCGCAGGCCTGCCCAGAATAGCATGGCTTGATGGGTAAAGGGCAGCTCGTCCGCGACTTCCAACCCGTGACGACGTGCCCTGTACCGGATGAACCAATTGATCGCCTTCGACAACGGGAACACTGCCAGATATCGGGCAAGGCAGATGCCAAAGACGGCGACCAGAATGAACAGAGGCTTAAACTGTAAATTCGTTTCGACGAACAAATCAAGACCCAGATAGATGAAGATGAAATTCTCCGACAATTGTGCCATGACCTGGAAGAGATATTTGGTGGTCAACTGCGTCCGTCGCGACATGTTGTAGTAGGCGTAGTGTTTCATCGTGATACCACAAAACAGAAGAGAGACGATGCCTAAGCCTGTCAGTTATCGGGACGCTGGAGGGAGTCGCAAAGACACTCACCGGATAGATGGACACCGTTCGAAAAGAAGTAGCTGGCATATGCGATGAGGACAATCAGGCAGCTTTCGATCTTAGGCATGCGACGAACGTGCGTGTATTTCAGCCCCAGCGCCGTCATGATTCCGACAATCATGCCCACCAGCATACTACCAAAGAAGACAAGCAGGAAGAGTCCGATAGCTTCAAAGAGATTGAGGATCGTCAGCGAGCCAGCGTCACTTTCTGCATACTTCTGCGCTGTCTCAAACAAGACAATGGCAATGGCATCGTTCAAAATCGACTCGCCAAAAATGACCGTGTAAAGCTTGGGCTCGACTTTGTAGATGTTGAAAATGGCCAAGATCGTCACCGGATCCGTCGCAGAGAGCGTGGCCCCAACAGATATAGCCTCGACGAAAGAGATGTTCAGACCATCCAACGGGATCCGTGTCCAGATGAAGAGCACCAAGCCCAACACAATCGCGGAGATGAATGTCCCCGCAAAAGCAAAGGTGAGTATAGTGCCGATGTTGCGGAAGAAATTCGCCTGGTGTAACTCGTAGCCTGAGGCCAAAATGATAGGAGGAAGGAGGAGGTTGAAAAAAAACTGATAGTCGAAAGTGACGCTGTCTTGTATAGGCGACTCGGGACTCAACCGGATAATCAACCCGACAAACATACCTATGATAAAGCGCATGAGCGACCGCCGACCTTATGGGAGACACATAGCAGAGACAAAGTTGAACGTACCAGCAAAGATTGACAGAACCGTTTCATGAACGGCCTGGATCTTCTTTTGTTGCAGTATATAACTCGTAAACAAGGCAAACATCAACAGCATGATCAGGATGAAAAGAGCCCAGGAGCTGAAGAACTCCTTCTTTCCGGCTTCAGGAGCGTCTGGAATAGTTCATCAGCAACCGACCGCAGAGGTTTCTGAATATCAGAGATCAACGCGCTTACCATCATCGGGCTCGTCCGAGTCGGCGGCTCTCCCTGCAGAGCAAAGACAACAGGTTAGCCACGGCACTATCACTGTGACATGATCCATAACAGAGCTGTTTCGCGTCGAAGGACAGCAAATAATCATAGGGGCAGATAATCAAAGCAGCAATGAAGGACGTACGAATCAGCTGGTGAAGGACATCGCCCATCACTTGGCTCGCCATTATGAAGTGCACACAACCACCAAGCGGTTAACCCCAGCTGCGAGTCTCTGACGCCAGACCAAGGCGCACATAATAATAACTGACAGATGCAGTGCAAGAAGGACAAACCACAAACGAAACAGAGTATAAGTGGCAAGGTGGAATGTTGCGATGGGAAGATAGATGGAGCAGGTAAAGTACCTTGGTTTGGGGACAGATAACCGTCAATGTTGGAGACGTCCCGCCCGCAGCCAAGACCGATATCCAAAGGCTTGTCGGAGACCGCCCCCCCATCATTCACATCCCAAAATTTGTAGCTTTTGGTCTTGGATAAAGAGGATCTGTAACAAAAATGAGATTTATAGTGTAATGTACCTATATATGGAGACAAATACCCAACTACGAAATCATGGAACATTCAATTTACGCCGTGCGATCCCCAAGGCGACTGGCCAGCCAGGCCGCAACTAAAGCAGCACATCCTCCAAATCTAAGCACCCATCCAACACTGTCATCCCAGGGCTCTCCCCTAGGCTTCTGGAAGGCCTTGAAGATAGCGCTACTAATCAAGCTTGAAAAGATCTGGGGCGCAGACACTGCCACGTTATGGAGCCCAAGGATAATGCCCGCTTGGGCAAGATTTTCCTCCTCGTTCTTGACCTTGGCGCGTCGCGGTCGAGCACCGTTCTCTAGATCTTCGTCGTAATCAGCACCATCACCGTGGTCATCAGCGGCATAATGTTCAGGAGGTACTTCCATCTCTGCCTGATGCCGCCGTGTCCGACGCTCCGCATCGATGCGGGACACCTCTGCGGAGATCAGGGCGAAGGGAGCCCATAGAGTCAAGGCCCACGAAATGCCCACAAGACCAATAATCGCTGATCCAGCCTGATAAGAGGAGATGAAGAAGGTGCTGAACATGCAGACCGCGAACAGGACGTGAGAGATAAGCCATGCCCGGCGCAGCGTCAGCCCAGGTATCTGCAGTTTCGATAACCATGTCGATTCATCCCCACTTCCAGTTGGCTTACCGCTGGGGGTTTCTAAAGCGGGTTCTGAGGCGACACCGACGGGCAGACTTGAGATTGACATCCTTCTAGATAGACAGGGTTCGTTCTCCTCTGGAGTATCCGGGTAAGCCTGCTCCGGCCTCGTGATCGGCCTGTATGTCGGGACAACAAAGAGCGGCAAGACCATATTAGCAATAAACGAGATTATCGCGTAAATCAAAAGTGCAAACGTTCCAATTCGAGTTGCTTCTTCCCAAGCCTTATTGATGTCATCCTCGGATAAGTCCGGATGCTGATCGAAGATTGGATTGACATAGAGCTGCCCTATGTATGTCGTTGCGTAGAATAGAAACGGAAACCAGCCAACCCAGGCAGCAAGCTGAACCTCGCAAACCTTGGCGATCTGCGGAGGTAGAAACTTGATCGACTTGAACACTTGCCGGAAAAAGCCAAGAATTCCTTGACTATCTGAGGAGGGTGGTCCTTCGAGCCTTGGGTCTCGCTCATGGATATAAGAACAGCTGATGCTCAGCGTGATAGCGAGCGCCAGTGAGGACAATGCACAAAGCACCTTGAACTGAGTATTTCCAAAAAACGGGAAGATTTTGGGCAGATCGAGGTATCCAAAGATGTATCCAAGGATATTGCCCACGCCAGTAAGCCGACTAGCCCAAGCGTTCGCCGATTCCTGCTGATGAGGGGGAGCATTATCGACGATGAAAGCTCGAATGCCTGCCTGAACTGTACGGAAACATTACCATCCATGTGCCAACTGGCGGCGGTTTATCGACCATGCACTTACCGGTGTTGATGGCGAAATCCAGACAGTACATCAAAACTGTCGCTAGAATGATTATCGTCGTCCGAGTCCCATCAGAGGTCGGATCGACACCAAAAATCCCGAGAAAACCTCCCACAATCTCTTGCACCCATGCAAGCGCAAGGAGGGCCACAATGGTCGCCGCGGCACCAACGATCATGAAAGGCTTTCTTTTACCCCATGATATCCGACAGTTATCGCTCCGAATGCCGATGTATGGTTGCACAAGTGTACCGGTCAGGGGACCCGCGATCCAGACAAAGGCAAGCAGAGCCTTGCTCATTCCAAGGGACAGAAGGTAAGGCTGCATATTTATCGAACCATCAGACACTGTCTTCGTGTAACAAAGCATCGCCTAAAAGCGAACACTCGACCACCTACCGATCCATTCGATAGCTCCACCGACCATACAACCTGCAAACTAACCATCATGTCAATATCGTCGCGACGTCATAAAGAGGGAAAGAACCCCTGCAGCTATGGGGATGAACATACCCGACAATACACAGCGTCAACAAGAACAGATACCAGCTACTCTTCGTTTCCGCGAAATTCCCCGAGTGACCACCCCGGGAAACTCCATGATGCCTTTGGCTGACTGTTATTGAGTCCACAACATCATCATCGTCCGTACGGTTAGGTCCCACTAGGGGAGACGTCTCGTCCGCAACGCGGTCATCCGTCCCCGACATCGATATGATTTCACTGTTGCGAAATGTATGCGACAAAGCTAGGATGCCGACTTTCCCTGGGAACACAACGCTATCCTGTGCCCAAGGAGTGGAACCTCCAAAGACAGCGACGGCAGGAAAAGAAAGATAATGCTAGGCTGGCCGAAGCGAATCGTGAACGGTAGTATGGGTAAGTCTGGGGTAATCCGGAGACAATAGCTTGTTATCTGGATATAAGAGACGAGAACTATTGCGGGTTCGCTAGCATGGGAGCATGCCGGCGAAATGTCCAGGAATTACAAAATTGAACTATTCGCATCAAGATAGCCAGCAAAAAAAAGAAAAAGAAAGAAAAAAACTAGTAATACCATCAATCAAAGCAGACAGGAGGTCGCTCCTGCTGGCTGGTGATCTCGTGTCTTGTAGAATCGGACCGACGTCAGCAGACGATGCACGTGACTCAGCCCGATGATCTAGATTTGGCAACCAATTGAACCAACTCGGCTGGTGAGCTGGTCGAATGATCCGCCATAGTGACCGGGAAGACTCTGCAGGATTGGCTTAGGGAGAGCCCAATCTGCAGGTGTCCAACACAAGGACATGATAAATGATATGCCATTGATATTCTGCGATCTATGTACTCATCTGATCCACTAAAATTTAAACGTGAACTCCATCTCCCAGACGGAGGTCTATGAATTGAGTTGCGGTCACATCCCAGACTGCCAAGCAGAATAGATGGTCCGAACATGATACCCCACAAAATTTCCTCAAAAGCTGTACGCCGGTTCTGACCCAGCCGCATCACGCATTACCTTCCGTTTCGACCTTCCAGATACCATACCAAAGGGGGAGTGAGTAATACAGACAAAACCCAACTCTCGAACATAGCACACAATGACAAAAGAGAGATAGACAAAAAAAGAAATGTCATACATGAGAAACTGGCTGAAGTCGCATGGCCATATTGTCAGTTCGCAAGAATCAGGCTGTACGGACAAAAGGGAAGCCAGGCCAGCGGCAACCGTGATACAGAGCCCGAATACAAACACTAGCTGATACGCAGTTATCGCGTGGACGAAAACCGCACACATCAGCGCACAAATCCACATATAACTCAAACAGAGGGCCTCCAAAAAAGTTTTCGATGTGCATCATGAAAGTGATCGAAAAACTTCGAATTCAACATTCAACTCACGCTCAAGTAGCCCGCCAGCCTGCTGCAGGTTGGGGACCACTGAGTGACGTGAGGCAGGGAATGGTGTGTCTGGCCAAGGGCCAAGCGTAGCAAGGGATGAGACACTTGGGTAAATTAGAGGATCATAGCCATATACACGCAAGTGGTCGATTTCCGTTTCAATCCCCAAGGTGGTCGCTCAGATTTGCTGCTGTAGGAGCTGAGGAGCGATCATGTGGGAAGCCATCATGCTTGGCATCGAAGAGGACAACGACATTGTCGAAGGCATCGATGTCATGCCCACGACATTGACCATAGAACTGGGCATAGCTTCGCCAGGCGATGATTCCCTGTCGGATCCAAGTTCATTCTCCTCATTTTCAAGGTCTTCGTCGTGTGCAGGTGGTTGCTGGCCATCCTGTTGAGCCTCGTGGATACGCCGATGTCTGCAAGGGGAAAATGAGACAATGTCTATAACGTAAGGCGGTGCCAATACTTACTGCGCAAGATTGTCGGAGCGGGAGAAGGCTTTATTGCAGTAAGGACAGGGGTAAGGCCGCTCTTGTGTGTGGGTGCGCACATGCCTGGGCGCTTAAGTGTTAGTCGGCGGCTACAGCAATGAGGGCAGAGGAACACCCTGCAGACAGTCCCAGAGGAGCTGTCGAATGAACAGAGATTTGGAGATTAAAATACGCAACTCACCGTTTGAGATGTTCCAACCGCTTGAAAAGCCGCCCGCACGATGGAATCGGACACGAATGAGACTTCTGAGGATATGGTCCTAGCTCCATCATTGTAGCGCTTCGGGCGCGGCGAACGGGGCCAGGAGCGAATCGCTCCACTTTATTTGAAACACTGTTCTGCACAGCTGCCTCATACGCTTCCCCATTGGGAAGCGTGACCAGGTCATCCTGATGGCCCGTCATCTGAGGATTCGACTCAGAATTTTCCTCGACATTTGAGAGCGGGGTCCCGTTGCGGGACATCTCGTGCAACAAATTTCTTTGTGGAAGAACTGCAGGAGCATATCCGTTTGCGACATGATTGGAAGCTTCGTGTGTTTCCTCCCCTTCTGCAGCCGGCGCTACAGAATTTGAGACGGAACGTCGGAGATCACTCGGCCTATGGGCGGCATATGCGATCTGCTGAGATGGTGCGGATGTCGTTTGGGCGTGCCCATTAGCCGCGACACTCGGTGGGATTGAAGAGCGACGCCGACGTTGCTTGTACGTTGGAGACCCCTCAATCACCGAATATACGTTCGAATGGTATGTCCTGGCAGGCATCGCGTAAGGAGCGCTTGCTAGATTCGAAGGTGGTAGCTGCATCATAGGATTGAAGGCGGCTGCAGAAGTAATGTCAGGAATCGCAGTGTAGAGACCAGTGTCCTCGTTTGCGATATAAGCCGGTTCGGGCCCAAGTGGAACGCTGTGCTGTGGTGGGGTGACGGGTTCGAACGATAAGCCGCGGTTGCTGTAGTCTTCGTACTGTGAGGAAACAAAGGACGGTGCGGGCGAATACTCGACAACAAAACTAGGCATGGAAGCATGCCGCTGGTGTATGCGAAACGGGATGCCATTGCGATCATATTGGATCTGCCCGTAGTCGGACTCGCGCTTAATTATGGCCTGGGTCAGGGGATGAGCCATGGGCATCGTACTGTACATCGCCTGATTGCCAGCATCGTCTTGGAGAACTGGCATCGCGGGAGGAGCCATCTGGGGAGCCATCTGGGGAGGAGGCATTGCGTCAACAGTCCGAACAATTGGGGAGTTGGACTGGCCAAAAGTCGTACCCGCGTGAAAGGATGATGAATTTGCTTGTTGTGCCTTTGTCAGTTGCTCATACAACGACTGCGACGAGTCAAATTCAAACGACAAGGCCGGCTCGCTGACCGCAAGAGTGGTCGCCTCCTGCCCCATCTTCTCCCTCTTCAGGTCACGTTCCAGCGCATCGAGGAAAAGCCTATCGTGTGGCACGCTGTACCAGTAGAAGACCTTCTGCTTCTTCTGTGTCCTGATGCAGTTGTTCTTATAGAGAAAATCGAGAAAGGGACTTTTGGGTTCTTCGAGTGTCGCATCGGTGCCGGCTTTCAGATTTCGAAGGTCGGAGAAAATACCCTCCTCAAACTTCTTCGAGTTTTTGACCGGACGGCCAAAGGCTTGAAAACGAAAGGCGAGGCATCGGACGATATCAGTGCCGGAGATGTGGAACAGATTGTTCCTGCCACTAATCAGCCTACCAAATCCACCTTTCTAGCTTTGGGAAACTCGGCAATCTAGACTAACCAGAGAACGCAGGAAATATAATCGCCGGTGGGCAGTAGAAATCGGCGAATCAGTTGGTCCCTTGGCCAGTCTACGGGCGCCGAAAGAAGGAAGTACTTCACTATTATGTTGTCAGCGAGCGTTCAATAGTCTCACAAGGAAGAAGCAAAGTCTTCGCAAATGAAAGTAGCAGATCGTCGACTTACGATTGTCCACCTGTTGAAGCGCGACTTGCGCATCGTGAGGGAGACTTTGCTGCGCTTCGTTCGACAACATAAACGTCTCCGGTTTTTGCGGGGGTGCCATTTGGGCACCATGTTGAGTATACATTTTCGCTTTTGTGGAAGCAGTAATCTGTAGATCATCGTCAGCCGAGCGCCGGAGATTATAGGTCTGACGGCATTATGCCCAAGGAGCCATTCATATTTGGATGAAAGGATTGGTATCATGGCTTTTGGTGAAACAGACATCAAAGGAAGCAGGTATACGCACACTCAAACAACTTGCCTTAAAATGGCTCTCGACTGGAAGAGATCGATAGGAAACAAAGAATACAGTTGAATAAGATCAATCGAAAAAAGAAACGAGTGTGTATGAAACAATAGCCGCGGTCGAATGCGAAACGCAGCAATTATCCAGACACAGTAAAGAGAGTACCAGCCTCCCAGGACAAGGAAGAGTTGTAGGCGCTGACGATGCTATACTCGCCAACAAAGAAGGGGGAACACCGAGGCGGGAGTGTGATATCAGATAAAAATGAGGGCTTATGGAGAGTTGAGGTGGGCCAGCCCAATTTCAATTCTCTTTGAATGATAACTTCTCGCACGGCGAAAATGAAAGGAAAAGAAACGAAGGAGGTTTGATGCGAGTTGGATGGGGAGAGGAGGGGAAAGGGGGGAAAAAAGGGAGAGAGTAAGATGGCTGAAGAATGAGGTAGGTCTTCCAGGGCCTTTTTGACAGTGTTGTTGGATATGAGAGGAGGTGATTTCAAGCAAGACTGGCCGGCTAGCGCAGTGATGGCGAATGATAGATGGTTGGAGTAATATAATAAGAATAATAACAAAGCCCGCTATTTCTAAAATAAATCAAAATAAAAAATAAAATAGACAATTAAAAAAAAGAGAGGAAAAGAAAAGAAAAGAGACTAACAAGTAACAACAACTAAAATTTTAATATTTATCAGAATAATAATTATACTATGCAAATAATGAGAGTAATACTCATCGGTTTTTGGGACTTTGACAAAAAGGAGCGCCGACCGAGACCGCGGATCGAGTCGCCCAGTTGAACACTTGGTTAGGCACTTGGGGCCCTTCTGGTGGACACGCCATCAAAAAACAGCAGGGCTTCCAGGCGCAATTCTCACGGATAGCTCCATCAAGGTACGGTAGGTAGGGGAAAATGGAGACAGGCGCCAGGGACTGTCCAATTGCCTACAAACTGAACAATAGATGGAACCTTGCCAGCCTCAATACGTGGTACGTTACGGCCTAATTACTACTTACCATACTACATCTTACCTAATTGGGATTCTTGATCCACTACACACATGGAAAGATCCACTGATCCCGGCTGAATATAGAAACAAGTTGAAAGATTCTTGGTATTCGAACAGTTACTTACCGTCCGGCTGTACCTCTTGTGACAAGCGGGGCTAATCCGTAGGTCAAGGACAATTTCAATTGATCCCACATCCTATCTACCCTGCACTTAGGTGCCATTGTCCCCTCTTCTTAATTATTTGAGTTCCGGGGGCCTTTTGGGTCGTTCTTCTGGATCAAATATTGATTCTATTATTCAGATTCTTCCACAGTGAAAACCAATAGTTGGTGCGGGTCTGGAGCTATGTTAGTTTAGCTTGCAAATGGGCTTGTCAAGCTCATTTTTGATAGAGAGTCATGCTGTTATAGGGCCAACGGCCAGGCCCGAAAAAACTCCATGGTAGGCTGTTCGTTCCAATAGTATGAGGGGCAGATGAGACTGATAATACAGAAGTACCCCATGTCCCATACCACAGATGCACTGCGATCGTAGCCTGACGACTCCGTAGATTATCTATCTATATTCAACGGACTATCTGCAGCTTGAAAACCCAGTCTGCCGAAAAGATAGTGAAGTGGAGATCGGGAGAGGCAAAGTCGACTACCGGAGAATTGCATTCTGGAATCAATGACCTACGAGGCTAAGTTGGACCCAGCTCCCTTTCGGAGCCCGTATTTCGGATATGTCACCAAAAGAGGAAATAAGGGGCTTGCCATGGAAGGTAAAGAAGGATAGCATTGACAATTATGTAAAGCAGTGATGCTTTGGTAGTGCAACAAGAGCATTGATATCAATATGTATTATTTACTTCGTAGACAGGGTCAGAAGAGAGCTACAGCCATTGATCATCGCTCTGATCAAGAGATCACTATCTTCAGGCATTCAATCAGCCTATAGCATCTTGATATGGGGGTCATCTGCAGTGATGCAGTTGCAGTCTGCAAGCTGACTGTCCGGAGTTAGGACTACCCTACTGTACCTTACAGAAAAGCCTGATCATCTCAGCGGCTACGTTGATTAAGTGCCCTCCCTTTTCTCTGCTGTATGATCTGGTCCCTTTCAACTATGTGCATCCAGTCCACGTACAAGGTGCGGTCGCTGAGCGCAATCAGAAGTCTCAAAATTGGGACAATCACATGTCCATAACCTCAAGTTAAAAGCACGTAACACACCAAGCTTCTACCGTGGACACCTATCATAGCTATGTAGAGCTAGATACCTCTACTTGGTGGTATGAATTTAGATTTGCTTTAGTCATGATCAGTGCAATCGAGCGATCTATCAACTTGTCAGTTGTCAGTCAAGAAATCGACAGGTACTCGGGAAGGAGCCGTTGGTTGGTCAACTTTGGGCCCCATAATCAAGAATGCCAAGCCCCCATTCAGTTCAAACTGGCGCGGGAAAACAAATGTGAAGCATCCGCCCTGTGTTTCATAATTCAGATGAGCGCTTACCCTCAGCCAATGAGCTACCACTAAATCCCGGTCCGACCTGAGCCGGTTGGTGGCAGACTGGAGTGGCAATGGTGTACCATGTAAGTACCTAAGGTACTCTGCAGAGTGTACACAACAACCTGCCAGCTAGGTATGAAAGGGTCAGTAGAAATAATATCACAGTAAGAGATCGTCTTCATGTAGATTAACAAAGGAAATGACTCGTCAATCTACGAACCTGAAAGAACATCGGACTCCAGCAGAGGAACGTTGAAGTAAATATCATCCACGCTCAAGCCATAAGTTCTAGATTCATTGATCCAGGCTATCGCCGGTACGGAACATTGGGTCATTATATTAAGTGATTAGTTAATGGGTCTTTGACTTTGGGTCGATTCCATGTTGATCCTGGTGACTTGAAGGTGTCGTCGTAGCAAAGATCCTCACTCCTCGCCACAGAACACCATCTATGGAGGGTACTCCGTACTCCATACTATCAAAGCATACTTGGATACTTTGACGTGAGGAAGGGCAACAAATTGCCACATACCAATGCCATATTCTATACATGTCCGCCATTCAGTCAGATACCATGTATTCTTACTGCCTTGGGCGAAAGTGATCACTCGTCCATACTCGACCGTTGGAACTTGGACCATAACGATGATCGACAAAGCTAACCTGCCTTGGTAAACTAGGGTTGATGGAAAACGGCAACGTTATGGTATCTTTAGAGTGCTCGCTTGAATCATCATTCTCTGTTTCTGGTCGTCCATACTTTTGTCTTCTCTCATTCTGCAAAAGGTGTGGTTTAGAGCTTCGGCTCTTGACTGGTCACACTGAAATGAAATCCATTTCATATGTGAAAACACACGGGCCTACGGCAGTCTAACTCTACCCCCTGGTCTATATAAGTCCGGTGACGCAGTAATGGCAATCGTCATTGGTCCAATCGCTGCTGTTGTGATCTCAACTGATTGCTTCGAAATTCAGGTACCCGGAGGCGGCAGACTGCATCGACTCCACAGTTTTGACCGATCGTCTTGAAGGATTTGTGAGCTGAATTCCTCCTACTACCCAAGAGTGCAGAGAGTGAGACAGGAGAATACCTACAGAATAGATCACGACCCAAGCGCAGACGCTTCTCTGTTGGGTGTGGAGGTGAGATTCTAAGGAGGTTGCGATTGGTATGCTACAGGGGAGATCTGCATAGTAGGGTTGGCCTAACGAAGCGGCCATGAGGCCATGACTCGAGACAGTCAGTAAACCTTTTTCAGCCGGGTTTCGACAACATAGGCAGGAACTGGCCCAAACGCCGATTCGAATAGCACGGAGAGAGTACTTCAAGGGAAGACGCAAGACTGTTCTCCGTTTTTGATGTCTGCCGTATTTGGACAGAACTTGAGAGGTTTCTCCTCGGCTCAAAGGTCAAAGTCGCCTAAATTTCTCAGCTGGCTAGAGAAAGCCTGAAACTACTCCGTACATACATACGTATGTAGTCCAATGTGTTGTAGTCTTGAAGTTTTGGGGAACTTGGAAGTTGATGCCAGAGGCTTTCCTACCGGCTGAGATCCACCAGGGGTAAAGCGGAAACAAGCGTGGTAAGCCCTAACTCTTTCCGTATCAGGTAATTCAGCCTAGATCGAAAATAGTCCCATTTCACAATTCCCGGCGTCCAGAAGACTGAGGTATCTTAGCACTTCTTTCGTAGGTAGTGTCCACGTACTACGGAGTAGTTACTACTTACTACTAGTATCTGCATACTTAGCAGCTCTCCCTCGCGTGGTCTTAACCCGGAGAATTGGAGACACTTGTACTTACTAGTGAGTAATCATGGTCATGAGCTTCAAGTAAGGTGATCATCATCGATCGCATAGGCTGCTCCATACATTCATAGTGGCTGCCCAGAATCTTCCACAGCAATAGGCAACTCCTGATACGGCATTTGGGGCTGTTGTATCTGTGAACAAACTTTCGACTATAGGTCTCATTTTCGTAATGTCCCGAAGTAACTTGACTCAGCACGCGCAGTTTGATCCCCCGCTCTGAAACAACTAGAAAAAGTTCCAGAACCTTAAAAAAGAACAGTGATGATATGATGTTGTAACTAGTATGTCGATACTAGTAGGGTAACCAGGTAGCCTAGGCTGTCTAGCCAGGGCGCACTGTGGACTCGACCACCCTACCCGTGTCAATGCTGACGGCAAAATTCCCCGAGAGCGAAAAAATCGGACGGCTGGGAAGAGAACAAGAGATACTTCGAGGCTCTAAATATCGAGACAATCGCTGATCACTAATCTCTCACACCGGCCGCTTGTATTACTGCGTAGGGGACTCCGTATCTACCTGCGAAGCGCAGTGAGAGTGCAAGTGCTCGTTCACTGTTTATCTCATTGCCCCCGCAAATTCAAGTCTGGAAGCGAATTCTCTCTTTTACTTGAATCCTTCACCCTCAGATTAAGCGACTATCAATTTGTATGCTGGATGGTTGCGTCCTCGGGCCTCAGCCTAGAGGGCTCATACCGGGTCAGACTCAGCGTGCCCTACTTTAGTGACTTTTAGTCTTCCTTGTTGCATCGTAGAACTGGTAAGAACTTGCGGGGAACCATATCGATCTCTCGGCTAGACGGAACCTGCATATCATGATATCGATTATCGCCAATAATTTCCCGCCTCTTGAAGTCTTCTCAGGCCGTCCTTCCCGATTATTCATGGAAGAATGAATGCGCACCAAAATCGAAAGTGATCGCCGTGAGAACACTACTGTCCAAGTTTCCCCTCACACGGTCAGCGCTTGGGGACTCAGGAGATCCTCCTCGGTTGATCGACTATCCCGGATCCTGATAAACATCCGAGAAACTCTCTTCTTAGTACGTAGTGTCGCTCCGTCGACCACATGTCTTCCAAGTAAGTTGCGACTGCCGTGGAAGCTAGAAAAGAAAAGTTTGGAAGCCAAGGAGTGCCATACCAAGTCAGCAGACTTTGCATTGATCGCTTCCTGTGCTCATGGACCCACTCCAACAATGAGGTATGAGGCTGTTAGGGAGACGGATTGTTTCGACAGACCGAAAGGCCCCTCCACAAGCTCAAACAACAAAATTTCGGATGTCAAAACGGAAGAGATTAAGTTTGCGCTGTCTCTTAGATCAACCACAATGTCTTACATCGCGACATCGTGATGCTTGGGGTATCCATAACCCATCCACGGAATGCCAAGCAAGGTAGCGAGCACTACTTGCCGTGATTACGTATCCTGGGTGGTTGACTCTACCACCTTACACCGAGATGGCTATCATCTTCAGTATTATCGACAGGGTTCTCATCTTGTTTCCTGATCAGTACTCTCAGGATTAACCATATATGCTGCTTTGTTTTCCCCCTCGCGTGTTGGGAATCCTGCTCCTTCGAAGAAGCATGTTAGTAACCAAGAAGTCGTAAAAACTACTGCTCCGTACCGATTTCTACCGTAGTTTCTACATCTACTGGGACCACTTCCAGGTAGAAACTAAGACCGTATCCAAAACAAAGACATAGACTAATTCTCCACCTTCTGCGAGTCAACATGACCAGCAATGGCCTCGATGGACCGTGGGCGATCGACCATTTCCCTATCTAGCAAACGGATGTCCTTAAACTCCGTACAGTTCAAAATGGAGTCCTCGACACTAAAGATAGATCTTGAGTCTTGATCTTGACTCGTGTTCATGCCACTGGATGGCTGATTCAAGGGTCTGCAGGTGACCACTGACTGCGCTGTTGGCAGCGCCTTCAAGGGTGCGACGAGCCGAGAGGGGTCTATTGCAGATTCTGAAACAGGCACCGGAACGGTCCCGTTGGAGCAGTCACAGCGCCGGGTTTAAAACATACATTATTAAATCCGTAGACACTAGACAGTCATACTTGGTAGAGACTGCGTGGGTTCTTCCTGCATGTACCCCGGTAAAAGGATTGCATATGCATACTATGGCATTATGGTACTCACACTACGGTCGACATGGTTACATGGTGGCAATCGGGATGGGGCTCGCAATAACTACATCTGGACATCTTGTCTGCGTCGTCGGCAAGAAGGCCGCAAGGCATGTTCCTCTACACCTCCGACTTGCATTAGATCGTTAGCTAGCTACATGAAACTAGGCACTTCATCTTCTGTGCGGAGAGCTCAAACCATCGTTTAGTCAGACTAGAGGACGAGAGCCGGAGTGCTTGAGCTTATGGTCCTCTGTTGGCATCTGCATTCAGGGCGCTATGAGCATGCGTCGCACGAGTCGTAGAGTCAGAAACACAGATCTTCTGGCGATGGAATACCTCTACATACCAAGTCGTCACTCAAACAAGTAGTCTAGATCTAGTATTTGCTGGCGATTGGCGAAGGAGGGCACAGACATGGCCAGAACTGGGGAAGATCCGGTCCTTTCTCAGTTTTGGAGCATTGCGGTGGCAATACCTGTCCAGATAGCTCGCAAAGTCGCAAGAGACCGTGTAACTTTCATGCGTACACTATCTAGGTCATACCTAGACTCGAACTTCGAGTCAAGATACTTCGTGGCGGTGGAACTTGGAGCGAAAATATGGAGTATTAATGTCACGTTTGTCATCATAATGCAGTAACTAGTCACTAGTCAAGACTAAAAATGCAGTCTCAGCAGCTGGGCCTGGAGTTTCCTCGGACGATCTGAAACCACGTCTAGATGGATAGGTCTCTTGATTGCCTTGCCAGAGTCTTACGAAGTACTTCTGCCCCGTAAAAGTTCGCACTCTGTAGCAACTAGCAAGCCAAAAAGTGACGGCCCCACAAACTAATCCCAAACAAGTGAACGACAGGGTTCTCGAATTTCAGGGGGCGTTTCAGTCCTATCGCGACCCGGAAGGCGGAGGTTTCACCATATCAGGAACAGTGCACAAGTTCGGACCACATTTTTTCCCCGAAGAGTCTCAAAACTTCCACTGAGATGTTAGAACGTGCTTCGACAAATATTTCCCAGAATAAGACTGGAGAATAAGGTTTATTAGTCCCAAACTAGAGGCATTTGAATGGACCGGCGATGTGGTGAGCGATATCAATTTCAGGCGTCGCTCTCTGTTACCTAGCGAAACGACTGCTGCAAAGCGGTGGAATGGCTTCGCAAGCTAATGCGCCTCAAAGATGCTGTCTCGAGTATGGCTATGCTAGTGTTCAATAGCTCCATCAGTGGCGACGATAGTGGCAAGGAATGGACCGACAATTTCGCAAACAGCTCGAGAGTCATCCAGCGCCTTCCCGGGGTAGCAGTGGCAGTCCATGGCTGAACCTTCTCTTTCGCGACCTGGAACGATGCCATGGCAATCGCCAGATTGCAAGAGACCCTTGTGAATTAACGAACTTAGGCGGCACAGGTGCCAACATCTTGGGAAGTCTCAGCTTAACGCCGTCCCCTTGTCTTCGTTTTTCCTCTGCCTCCTCTACTTGAGCGGCGCGAGCTTTGAACCACGGCAATGTCTCGCTTGCTCAAATTCAAGGTTCCACCTGAGAGCTTTCCGATGCCCGGACCTGCGATGCCACGTTCTCGCCGTCCCTTGCTAACTTTCGACTTGTGCATCGGCTTCTCGAGAATGATACCATTCTCCTGAGCTTCTCGTCGTCGCTTCTCCTCCTTCGTCAGTGCCTTCGCTTTAATCCCCCTTCGGAGCGACGAAGGCATATTCTGGTGATAGAGCGATGTTTTGGCCCCGAGAGACTGCATCCTCAGGTCCAGAGCTTTCAGACGATTTTTGCCGGTTGGCGCAAGTTCCGATGCGGAGTCCAAAAGGTGAGACTCCTTGAGTAATCTTTGCAAAGCAAGATCATTCTTTAGGTGTTCCGCATCCATAGCATCATCATCGTCATCCTCCTTTTCGTTCTTGGCCTTTTTGGAAGCAGGTTTTGTGGTTGTCGACTCCGTAGACAATGTAGGTGGCTTTGCGGTCTAGCAGGTTCGTAGAGCTTAGTATAACAATGCCTTATTCTAACTCCCATCTAGAAAACATACCATAAAAGCTTTCCGGGCCTTTTTGTCCAGTATTTCCTTCTTCTTCGTGGTTCTGTCCTGGTACTCGACAACCTCAACCTGGTTGCCTTCACCCTCCTCGGACACACCATCCCATTCCGACACAGACTCCGATCCATCACTGTGATCCTGCTCGTCTTCTTGCGACTCTTGCTCACGATTGATCTGTCCACCAGGCAACTCCAAGGGCTCAAATTGAGCCTCGAAGAATTTCCGGAACAGGTCATGAGCAGAAGAGGCGTCTGGGACAGTAGAGGTCTGTTCTTCGTCTTCTGTCTTGGAAGATCTTGACACAACAGCTGTATCTCTCTTTCGTTTTCCGATCATTTTGAATTGATCTGTTTAGTGCAAGCGTAGTGTAAGTGGAATCTGGGTCATCACCCCGAAGCTCCTTTACCGCTTCATTTTTTTGCGGACATCTTCTGGTCACGTGTGATAAGATAAGCGCAGCCCCTCGTCCTATCAAGACTCTATTGCCAGAAACCATTCTGTGGGAACAGACTGAATTTGACGAGATGACCAAGTTTCGACCTTGTATTGACCTTCATTCGGGTCAAGTGAAGCAGATTGTTGGGGGCACCCTGAGTGATAGAGACTCGGACCTAAAAACAAATTACGTATCAAAGCTCCCCGCCAGTCACTATGCAGAATTATATCGGAAGCATGAACTGCGCGGTGGTCACGTTGTGATGCTCGGACCTGGCAACGACGAAGCTGCAAAAGAAGCGCTCCGTATGTGGCCGGGAGGGCTACAGGTTGCAGGGGGAATAAATGACCAGAATGCTCAGTATTGGATTGACCAGGGTGCGGACAAGGTAGGTCTTCTTCTCACTCTCGTTGTATTTGGTCGAACCATCTGTGCTCTCGCTTGGTACAATGAATCTGTAACTCATCTATATGTAGGTTATAATTACCTCCTTCCTTTTCCCGGAAGGAAAGTTCTCTCTTGAACGATTGCAGTCCGTTCTCACGGCTCTGGGAGGTGACAGATCCAAGCTGGTCTTGGATCTCAGCTGCCGCAGGAAAGACAACACATGGTTCGTGGCCATGAACCGCTGGCAGACTATCACAGAAATGGAGATTAACCAGGGTATACTTCAATTCATTTCTATACTTCTCACTACGCCGAAGCTAACCCTACCTCAGAATCAATCTCAATGCTTGAGCCGTATTGTTCCGAGTTCCTCATTCATGCTGCGGATGTGGAAGGGCTACAGCAAGGCATTGATGAAGAGCTTGTGGCGAAGCTGGCCGGGTGGTGCTCAATACCTATCACATACGCTGGTGGGGCCCGAAGTCTGCAGGATCTTGAAAAGGTCCATGTCAGCAGTCACGGAAAGGTCGATTTGACTATTGGTAGTGCTTTGGATATCTTTGGTGGCTCGGGTGTAACTTTCGATGAGTGTGTGCGGTGGAATCAACAGCATTGATTATGTATCGTAAAGGGGCTCTTGCTGGCATATATACAGGAGAGCAAACCTCAATCGGCAAGCCCCATGAGGGAGATCGCTCATACAATAATGTGTTCATGAGCTAACTCTATTCAATATGAAGCAAAAGACGCCTCTGATTAACTATAAGTGCGTCGAATCGTCAGCCTGAGGTTGAAGTCTCATGTTCATGGCCGGCACGTACGATCAGGTGTTGAAGTACAGAATGAGAAATGGATGAAATCCAGCTTGTTGTTTCTAGATTTCTGATGTCCTTTCGCATCAGGATGGTGAGCCGTTTTTCTTTCTTCTCCTTTTCCTTCTAAGGACGCTCAGCCGGCGGGTAGGCGTTCAATGCCAGCCTCTTGCTACTCGGTAGAAGCTTGGTGCGCCTCGTGAATAAGAGCCCAAAGCTCAATCAAACCCTCAACCCTTTATTAAGTTCTACAGACGACCTTTTTTCCTCAATCCCTCGTGCATCTGGCTGATGTTCGTGTACACGAGCGGTTCAAACTCTCCCTCTGTCGGAGTACATGGAGTTCTGAGTCTGCCTAATCGAGCCGTGAGAATGTTAGCTCCAACATGTACATTGCCGTCTGATCAATTGAAGAACCCAGGATTCTGTTTATTTCTAGTGGAGTTATTCTTGAAGATGGAAATGATGTTGCTGCTTTCGCCGTGGATGACGGAAAATGACGAGTAGACAACGCTCATTGGACCTCACATGCCAAATGCGGCTAAGGCGGATCAATACTACCTTACAAGCTCTGTGCTTCCCCTCTGGAGTGCAAGCGGCAGACCATACGGAGTACAAACATCAAAAGCTCCTGCATCTCCATTATTCGAGCTCTCATGAGCGAAGCTGCTAATTCGCAGTCGACTTCATATTTAATATATCACCTCCATTGTCTCTTACAGACCGACTACCGATCGTCGCGAGGATAAGTCGACCTCTCAGCCAAACCGCATTGCTTGACGTCTATCAATCACTTATCGCACCTCTGGACACGACAACGTCAAAATGAAGCCCGTTGTATCGGTTCTAAATGCCTGGTCCTGGTAAGGTCATTGTCTCCGTCTAGACAGAGTCAAAAGACTAACAATACGTCTGATACAGCGTGGTCATCTCCGCCTTCGCAATTGTCATTCTGTCCATCCTCGGATCGTTATACAAGGTTCGTCTGCTGCCTTACGTATCCGCTCAACAAGCAGATATGCTGCCTCGATCCCCCTTTTGCTCCGATCACAGAGAACAGTGGATTATTGTGATGGCCTGCTAACGACGTATTCAGAGCGAACACCATGGATTCGTCGGATCGGAAAACGACCCCGAAGATGGCGGTGCAGTTGCTGCTTCGATTTTCACCGCGGTGGTCATATACGCTGTAAGTCTATCGCACCACCATCCTGCGCGTCAAGTGCTATGGAGTGGATGTGCTGACACATTGTCGTGGGCAGTGTTTCTTCGTTTTCTGTGCCTTCCAGGCTTACCTGCACACGAGAAGTCGCCGGGGAGGTGCTATATCGCTAAGCTAGACAATTTATTATATATTCCTCGCAAGAAAACATGGAACTCGCCATTTGATTTATGTCCGCTTTATGAAACAAAGGGATATGTCAAGTGCCTCTGTGGACGCTCATGAATGTGTGTATCTCTTCCGATTCGGCTCACGACGGCTGTCGATCAGATGACGGATACAAATCGCACATTATCTCCTGAGCTTTCGTTCCGGGGATTGTGACGTCCGTGATTGCTTTAATCCGGTGGTGTTCCTGCTTCAACGGTATCTGTCTTCGACGTTTTTAGAGCACACTTTCTTTACCGTGGTTTGTCCGGAGTACATATTGTGTCGTTGTGTTTGACATAGAGCTGCTTCGAATCTATTTTTTACTGTCACAGAGACAATTTTGGAATAGCAGACTGGGCCTTGCACAAAAAGCATCCAATTCTATCATTTCGAGGTCTTGGGAACTGGGAAGAACAAAAGGACTATCAACATATTTACACCCATTGGTGAAAAGCAGGGGTTAAGACATGTACCGGGATCGATATTGTAATGCATCGAACAACTAACGCCACGATGCAAGAACGCCTGAAAACACCCAATAATGCCATGTACTCTCGACAGAACCCGACTTTTCGAGAGCTCAACTTTTAGAAACCATTATTATCATATCAGTTTTCGACATCAAACAAAGACAAAACGTTCTCATGCTTATCCGAGTTAGAATTCTTCGTCTTCAATTGGGTCAAGCATCTTGGACATGTAAGGACCGTCCAGTGTGTACCCGAGACGAGCATAGTAGCTGCGGACACCAACTCCCGAGATGACACTGATCTTCCGGCTTCCATGTTCTTCTCGCGCGATCCGCTCGGCCTCCTCCATTAGCAGGGTCCCAAATCCTCGGTGCTGGAACTTCCGCGGATCGCGGCCGTGGAGCGGTACCGCAGAGCCATATACGTGGAGCTCTCGCACAATACTCGTCTGCTGGCCGGTAAATTCCGGACGGAAAGTGTGAGTCGGACTGCACTTTCGCAGACGCAGTAAGCCGATGAGAATGTCCTGCTTGGGATCTTCATAGGCGAGGAACGTTTCCCAGCCACCATTGGCAGTATAGTCCCGACGGATGAGCTCCACTTGCGAGGGACGGATTTTGTTCTTTACTTCGTTGATACCGACTTCGCGGGTGCGCACATCACGACATGTTGTACCAAAGTCTTTCATGCGTGCCAAAGCCAGTTCTCGAAGGTTGCCATTCTCCACGCCGGAAGTGACCAGCGGCATGGGAATATCTCGCTGCACACGGTAGATACGCGTCCACGGAGGTACTAGCGCAAGGATTCGAGCGACAAGATCTACCAGCGCGTTGGGAGTGTAGTTCTTGTAGCGACCCGTCCTCCAAAGCTCATACAGGCCTGTACCCCGAATGACGAGTGTCGGATAAATTTTAAGACCGTCCGTACGGAAGGCTGGGTTTTCAAAATATTCCTGAAACTGGAAAAGATCCCTCTCCATGCCAACGTTCGGCAGATCAGGCATCATGTGGCTAACCACCTTGAACCCAGCATCCTTGGCGAGTTTGAATGTCTCCGCCACCGCAGCGACAGTATGGCCTCGATTCGTGTCCCGCGCAACATCCTCATATAAACTTTGCACACCGATTTCCAGCCGGGTACACCCATACCGAAGCATATCACTCAGATGAGTATCCAGACAGTAATCAGGCCGCGTCTCGATCGTAATACCCACGCATTTTATGTTGCTCATTTCGCCCGCCTGAACAGCCTCGTCAACATTGTCCGTCTGGTACCCACTCAGCGCATTGTGAAGTTGAGCGATGAAGGATTCTCTGTAATCCGGCGGAAGAGACATGAATGTGCCACCCATGACAATATATTCCACCTTGTCCACACTATGGCCGAGAGACTTGATCTGATCAACCCGACCTCTCGCTTGTTCAAACGGATCGTACCGTGCTCGGATCGCGCGCATCGATGTCGGCTCGTAGCCAGTATATGACTGTGTCGAATACTCAAAATCCGAATCAGGTCCACCAGGGCAGTAGACACAAATGTTACCGGTGTAGGCAATATGCGGACAACGGTGAGGTTTGCTCATCACTGCGACAACGGCAATTCCTGACGACGTCCGAATAGGCTTCGCAATGAGTTTGGGTAAGATGTATTTCTTGTATTGTTCCGGCACGGCAGCGATAATAGCTGTCAAGGGAGGTTGGGTAGCCAGGCGGTGCTTCTTCGCGATTTGGCCGCGCAGCTTGTTGAGGTTGATATCTTTCCTCGGTTTGGATGAGTCCCTCTGCGCTTCATATTCCTGAATGAGCATGTTTGCAATATCAGAGCAAGCTCGCATATAACGTTCATTTTCTGGTGGGAGTTTCTCGTTGCCGTTCTTGGGTTTGGATGGTGGCGGCATTGTCATAGTGAGGGTCGCCATTGTGAAATGGATTACTGCGACGATCGCAGATCAAAGTAGACCCTTAAAAATTGAAATGCAAGGGTTGAACGGTACGATAAAGTCCAATACTAATCTTGCCAGCTAGATAAGCTAGGATGAAGGAATAGTCACGATACCGTTTGGCGGGCAGATTTGTTATCGGCAATATTTGTATGTGATCAGGTATTAAATTGATAGGAGGGAGATGGAAAAAGAGGATCGCCGAGGGAGGCCAACCCGACCGCCGCGACAAATCGGATCCGCTTAAAGCTTTGTCCCGAAAAGTCCAAACCCCAAACCCATCCCGGCGCGTTTTCCTGCTGAAGTGTCCCATGTCATTTTGATATATTCTGCAAAGATTCCCCAGATCTTCAGTTCTTTTCCAGCACACTTACCGGTGCACTCTCCCCTCTATAATTCTACCCTTTGCATCTCATAGTCAACTATGCAGGCTTTCCGCCGTAGCACCCTCTCTGCCCTTCAGAATGCCGCTGCTGTGCAGCGACGAGCTTACAGCCAGGGCAGCTCGATCTATTCTGAGACTGTGAACAACCTGCGCATTAATGGAGACACCAAGGTTCTCTTCCAAGGTTTCACTGGAAAGCAGGGAACGTATGTTGCTGCGATATCTTGCCGTCCCATTTCAGCTGCATGAAGATGCTGACGTTGCTTTTTTTCGCTACAAACAGTTTCCACGCCGAACAAGCCATTGCCTACGGTACATTACGATTAATCCCTTGATCTTGGTTGTCGGTCTACGACAGGAGTTCAGAAGCTTACAATTCCCAGGAACCAAAGTTGTCGGTGGTACCAACCCCAAGAAGGCCGGTACGATGCACCTTGATCGACCTGTTTTCGCAAATGTCAGCGAGGCTGTGAAGGAAACCGGTGCCACTGCCTCTGCTATCTTCGTCCCGTATGGAATCATAATCTCTCGTTTCCGTCGTTGTCGGAATGACTGATACTGATATATTCCAGTCCCCCTCTCGCCGCTGCGGGTATTGAGGAGGCTATCGCGGCCGAGGTTCCCTTGGTTGTTTGGTGAGTTGTGCTCCCTTTTCAAGAAAATGCCGTAAATTAGCATCGCTGACGCCCATGTTCCGCATTTCGCAGCATTACCGAGGGTATTCCCCAGCACGGTAAGTCTCTTTGCCCCGCGCAATATGGCTTCTTTTTGCGCAAAAATTGACTCGGAATCAACAGACATGGTTCGCATCACGGATATCTTGAAGACTCAGAACAAGACCCGTCTGGTTGGACCCAATTGCCCTGGTATCATCGCTCCTGTAAGTTCATTCGCATCCGGATTTGTGGTATGACAAGGCCGTGCGGTGTGTTGATATGCTCTTTTTCTACGTTGTAGGGCCAATGTAAGATCGGTATCATGCCTGGATTCATCCACAAGCGTGGTCGTGTCGGTATTGTGTCTCGGTCCGGAACCCTGACCTATGAGGCTGTCAACCAGACCACTCAGGCCGGTCTCGGCCAGTCGCTCGTTGTCGGTATCGGTGGTGACCCCTTCTCCGGTACTAACTTCATTGACTGTCTCAAGATCTTCCTCGAGGATGAGGAGACAGACGGTATCATCATGATTGGTGAGATCGGTGGTAGCGCCGAGGAGGACGCTGCCGAGTTCTTCAAGGCCAACAACAAGCACAACAAGCCTGCTGTTGGTTTCATCGCTGGTATTAGCGCTCCCCCCGGTCGTCGTATGGGTCACGCCGGTGCTATCGTCAGCGGTGGTAAGGGTGGTGCTGACTCCAAGATTGCGGCCCTCGAGAGCGCCGGTGTCACTGTGGAGAGAAGCCCTGCCCATCTTGGTAAGACTCTGCTCGCCGAGTTCGTCAAGCGGGATCTGGTCTAGATGGACTCCCGGTGAGAGAGTTTTCCATTTGTCCCTCAGGCAGTGTGGCTTGGCTTGGGCCTATTAACGTTGGATTGCAAGGTGGTGCGTGACTGTGCATTAGGGTACCTTATATTCCTCATACCTATTATTACCCCCAGGACGGCCTCTTCTTTTGTCCGTGTGTTCCTTGGCCAAATGTACCTTTTCTTTTTCCCTTTCTCGGTTGTTTAGAGATGATAGGAAGTAATTAGCTTCGATATGTAAATTTCATCGTTGTTTATCCCTTTTGCAAAGACCCAGATTGTACTATATCTCTGGCTTCGTCAATCTCGTCGCTGCTACTGCCTTTGTGGCGGACCATCTCCTCCGCTAGGAATCAGCCCCATTCGAAAGCCTTGCGGCATGCAGATATATTTATCGACTGGGGCGTGGGATGTCTCGCTCGAGGACTGAGAGGGGTGAAATTGAATGTGTCTGTTTGGTTGTAATTGCACATTGCCTTGTCCCTGGGTCGTCTTGGCTGAAATATGTTCATTTGAATGACATTGAGAGTTGAAGTCAACCACAATGCATCAGCGACTCGACTGAATAAATACGTTCGATCCAACTTGGCTTCACTTGTACCTACGTAGTTAAATTAAAAAGAACCAGACGCATGTTCGCTAAAAGGTGGTTGCATGCTACTCCTAGTACAGCTTGAGGACCTGTATATACTATTAAAGAATCTTTGTCTCCCAAAACAATGAGACGTTCGATCTGGATTCATCGGAACCGTAAACTATTGGTTCTATATAATGTTATTCCAAGTACGTTGCAACATTGATTATGTTCGATCATTCCTTGTCATTGAGCAATAATGTCAAGAGTATATTGTGTCCTATCCTACGACCACTTTGCTGTACAAGGCACAGTTACTCATTAAGTGCCAGCAACTTCCCCAGTAATTTTAATCTGTCTTGCTGCTAGCAAGACAAATCATTCACCACTCATCTACTATTTCCTGTCTATGACCGATGAGCTCATAAATAACGGTGATCATCACTTGAGATTCCATTCCAATGTTTTTTTGTTTTGGAGATCTGCCTGAGGAATGAGCCTTAGCTAATCCACACGTGACCGTTGCTTGAGGAACCGCCGCCTCTGTTTATTCCAGCTTTGCACACTCAAAACTTATGACCAGACTGCAACCACGGCCACTATGAGCCTTCGATAACGTGTTTGCGACTGCTATAACGACCTGATTTTATGCCTTGACGAACTCATTTCCGGAATCACGAAGTTACCCCTCCAGCCTCTTTCCTGCACCGGTCTTCTGTGGTGCGAGTTTGAGTGATTGAGTTGAGGTGGCTGTAGACCCGATCATCAAAACAGACACCATTGCCCGTGGTTACCAACCTACTCGCACCCAGCAACTAACGAAACACAACCACCTAGTCGGGTAGTGTGTAGCAGACCCTCCACTATGGCTCATGAGATGGGTAAGATGTTCCTGCGTCTCTTTCGATGCTCTGAGGCTTCTACTTTGCATCTGATCTCTCGTCGTTACTGCCCTGTCGCTAGCCTATCTCTTTTAGCCTCCGCCTTCCGTCCGTTGTTGCTAATCCGTCGTCAAAACAAACAGGGCGAGCTGCATCGCAATGCTCGAGTGTCGCATCACAAACAACACAGTTAGCAGGACCGCATAGTCGTCCTGGAACGGCAGATCCTATGCGAGCCCGGTCAGAAGCTGTAGTTTCACGAAACAGCCGTCGACCAAGGTCTAGAGGATCAACTGCCAGTATCCATTCCAGTACCACGCAACAAACACAGGACCAGCAGATCGCCGATGGGTTTTCCCAGTTTATGCCCTCCCAATCCGCCGCTGGTCACAATGTCTTCGCGAGTAATCCCGAAGACATCATTATTCGGTTTGGCCAGCAGATCTCGCATCCTGTGAATGGCACCTCGCTCGATCCGACACTCCAAGATCCTCATCATTCAGTGCTTCCTAGGGCAGAGGAATTTCCGAGCCATGCAATGCACGGGCATAGCCTCTCTCACCATTCCATCCCTTCAGGCCTGTCGCATCACGGTCTGCCTGCCATGCCGATCCCTCAGTATCAAGCGATTTACGATAATAATATTGAAAATCACTTGCCGGAGCACGTGCTAGAAGACAATGAGAACTCGGAGACTGGTGCGAAGAAGAAGAAAGGTTCCAATTCATCACTAGCGAATGACAATGAACTGCGAAAGTTGCTCCGTCAGTACGAGGGCTATTCGCTCAAGCAAATGGCGGCAGAGGTTCTGAAACATGAAGGGGCTGGGGGCAAGGCCGAGAAAGTTAAGCAGGTCTTTGCCATGATCTGGTAAGCGGACGCGCGTTTCCTATTGTTATCGACAGGAAATCAGTACTCGTACTCATGGATGCTTAGGTTGAGAGAGAATTGCCGGAAGAGCAGCGGTTCTGTCCGACGAGACCGTGTTTACTGTTGCTATGCAGAGAAATGTGGCACCGAGCGTGTGTCAGTCTTGAATCCGGCTTCTTTTGGTAAACTCGTGCGCATCATATTTCCGAATGTGCAAACCAGACGCCTTGGTGTTCGTGGAGAATCCAAGTACCACTATGTGGATTTAACGGTCATCGAGGAAAAACAGCAGAAGCCGCCGCCGTTGAACCCGCAGGTCTCGTCGATCACCAATGGCCAAATTGGTGGTAGCATAGAAAACAAACTTGACGGAGCCATGCAGAAGAGGTTTGTCAATTACATACTTGATAGTCCGGGAAGATGAAAGCTTACATGCTGTTCCAGTATTCTACCACCGCCGCCAACAGATACCGCAGTGTTTCCTTCACCAACTGCGTCATTTACACCTAGGTTCTCAACGAGTTCCTCGAACGCAGGATGTAGCTGCCAAGACACCGCTAGTCCCAACGGTGACCACAGCATTACCCTCGAGAATGTCGGAAACCATTCTGGGAAACTGATTCATCAGATGCTCCACCTACCGTCCGCCGAGGGCACGTCTATGGACAACGACTCCTTCCAACTGCCTGATATACGGGGCTATCTTCCCGGTAATACTGATACTAAGGTGGCGGCGGCTCTTGCAGCCCTTTACCGCTCCCATTGTATCTCCGTAATTGATAGCTTCCGCTACTGCAAGGAGCGGAACCTCCTCCGCTATTTCTCCGCTTTTCATGGGACCTTGACGGTTCCAGTACAGAAGCTGCTGACACACCCAAACCTCGCTCCCTGGATCAAGGAGTGTGATTGGCTCATGTACCAGAAGATGATTGCGTTCGTGGCACCTCTCACCACGCAGGTTGTTCCCAAACTTGTCCTGGACGCTTTTAGCTCGATATCACAACGGCTGACTGCTCATATTGGTGAGACGTTCAAAGCGCAACCTGCACATGTCAGCCTGGCAAGGTTAATACCGGCCCATATTTTCTGCAATCTGCTCAGGCACATGCTTGATGTAAACCAATCAGCCAATGCGGCCGCAGCATGGCTGTGCCATCCTGATAATAGGAACCAGATGTGGTTCGATTTTAAAACGCTTGTTGATGCAAAGGAGATGATCTCACGAGCGAACATTCCCACATGCGCGGAGCGGGCGGCAGAGCAGATACTGAAACATGACGTTCGAGCTCTGCTAACTCCTGTGGACGACCTGAACCCCTCTGCCTCTCACCCGTTCTTCACGAAGCCAGACACGGAAGAGGATCGCGCGGCTCATAAATATCCCGTCGAGGCGTCCGCTGGCGAGGAGTACAACTTTCCGGATAAGTGGATATCTTTTATACTTAGCCTATCCTCCGCATTTCCCCACCATCGCACGCAATGCGTCATTGAAAAGGTCGACGCCTTATGGGATTGCATTCTCCGTCGATTGACCCTTGGCGGTGCGCAAAGCTTCAGCGCCTGGTGGATGACGAAAGTTTTCTTTCACGAGATGATGTTATGGCAGGCCGAAAAGAATGGTTTTATGCGTTTCACACCGAGCACCTTGCAAAATATGAGTTATGGCTCTGACCAACCCGGTCCGCCCAATTTTCTGCTGAAACAATCCAGCGGTCCATCTCCTGAGAAGAATGGCCCTTTTAGCGCCTCTGATGCGCAGCAGGCTAGTGATCGGTCAAGGTCCAGTACAAGTCCTTCATCGGCGGATGTGAATCCCCAAACCAGGACATCACTCAATCGACCGCCGTCAGACGCAGGCCCAAATCAAGCCTCGGTGGAAACTGAAAAGCCACCTAGCATCGCTGACAACATTGCCAGTTTTCACGCTCCCAATAATGACGATAGTGCTATTGACCTTGACGATGATTCAATGCTCATGTCCGTGGGCAAATATGGTGATATGATGGCCTCTGACCCAGCAGACGCTGAAGGAGATGTTGTCGTCATCTAGATGCTCATGCATATTTGCCGCATTTTACGCTTATACTTTTGGACACACGGCTCATTTTTTACGGAGTTGGATACGGATTTGAGGTGCATCTTTTGGTTGACTATTTACGTTCACGTATTAAGGTTCGGCGTTGGATGATCTTTGCACGAGGGATGAAACGAGCATCGATTCGGCAGACATATGTCTGGAACACTGCGGTTGTTCAGTTGACACTCATACTCATTAATAGCGTGTTGGATTCCGCTCCTTCTTTCAGAATTTCTCTTTTGCCTTCCGATTGGAAGCACGAGACCGACGTTGATGTACATAGGATTACGGTCAATTTTGTCTGCCGAGATGGTTTGCAGCTTTTTGACGGTCTTGGCCTTGGTTTACAGCATCCACTTCTTCCTATACCGCTCTTTCTAATATTCTGCTTCGGGCGATACCCCGGGTTCGCGCTACCTCTTTTGCATCGAAATACCAGTTGTCGACGGGTTTTGCATTGTTCCGGCAACTGAGGTCGGTCCAGCAGTCTCCGCTAATTCGATCCCAAGAATTACACGCGATGTCAGCTATTTGGCATAGATTTAGGAATGCTCCCCGTCACTGTTGAGTCATGTCACCTGTCGTCCTGGCAAATCGATCTTAGCATTTCCCTCAGGGAACAATCATACCCCCTGCAAGGCTTTCTGTCAACGCGGGTTCCGCATGGCGTTTAGTCTCTCTGACGCGCACGAGAGACGCTCGACTTGGCGTAAGGCCAGAATGATGACCCGAACTGTATGGTGGACTTGCAGCGCTTGCGCTTTGTTCACTTCGTTTTAGTCGTTTTATGGAATCACCGTGGAGTATCATGTAATCAATCGTTACATATCCTTTGTATTCTGACTTTCCTCTTTTCAACGTGGTCATCGTCCGTACACTCATACAATTTGCGAAATTTGGAATACATAGAGAGGTACGAAAACAACCTAGACCGTAACGTAAACGCCATTTGGACCCACGAATTTCGGACCTCTATCGCTTATGGTAAAATGGAATGACATAATGTGATTACACGAACAATTAAGCCAAGCCGGAATCCGCGATGACTCTTTGGCTCACTGAAAGAAAACGAGGCTGTAGGAGGACAGAGTGGGTGGAGAGGATAGTTCGAAGGATGCATGGAATGTTGCTTGTTGAGCCGGGCTACCGCATTGGCCTGATGCGACGTCTACCTAAATTCCCCAGCGGGGAAGAATCGAGGACCAGCAAAGCCGTACGTAATGATACTCCGAATATCGATATTGCCATCGTTGCGGGGGTTCCAGAGCTTGATCAAGATGTATCTGCCTGAGCTATTGAGAATGGTCAGCGAACTTTCAGTGATGGAATTCAACAGGATCTTGGAATACGTACGCAGGTGGATCAAACTTGATGCTGACCATGCTCTTTGCTCGCTCGATGAAGAAGCGAGCATGTGGCTTTAACACAGGGGGAGATGATGAGCCTGCAGGTCGAGACTCCGGGGCCGCAGACGATGCAGCAGGTTCGACACGATTGGGGATCCGACGCCGTCTTTCGAGCCCGCGCTGTTCCATCTCGTACGACCATTCCACAGCCTCTATACGCTGTAACATTTCATCACGTCTCCGGTAAAAGGTAGCCTCGTCAGAAACAACCCCTCTTTCAGTCTCACTTTCATCGCTTTCGGAGCCGTCAGCATCATCCGCATCATCCTCATCGTCCATATCACAGCCATCATCATTATCAGAGGCACCATCATACTCAGTCGTTACCTGAAACTCAGCCATGGGATCGGGGGCATCGGGTCCTGCGATGGTGCTGATGTCGCTATCAGAATCCGAAGGAGAATCTGTGTTTCCGAATACGGCTCTTTCCAAAGTCTGAAGGGGCGTCCGAAATGCGTTCAAATATTCCTCAGAAGGCTGCAGACCAGTACGCCTGCTCCGATTAGAACGACGAGGGGCCGGCCGAAGAATCTTGAACGCGGCGGTACGAGCCAAGACATCATCATACGCCATAGACACGAACACCATTCCTTCCTGGACTCTAAGAGAACGGTCAGTAAATACGAGACAAGTGCACGAGTGACTGCTCGAGATAGGACATACGGAGCATTGTATCCAGATTTTGGAGCCTTGATGTCAATCTTGCTCAAGCAGAAGGGGGCGTCTCCCCGATGTTTTAGAATAAGATTGCATCGATCTGACTTTGTGCAGTAGACAGCTGAATCATTGCGCAAGATGTTCTCTGGCCACGAATTCTCGCCGTCAGAATCATCATATGTCCCGCCGTCGCACATTTTGATTTCCATCTTGAGAGCGCCAGGTACTACTTGGCCATAATGGCCATAGCGGAAAGCTTGGGGCCCTTCTCTTTTATCATCTGACTCGAGCTTTCTGCGTTTGGCCCTCCGACTGTCCCCCTGCAGGTCGGTGCCTGGTTCTAGCGGCATCGCAGAAATTGTTTCATCGAGAGGTACGAGCTCGTCGAGAAGGGATTGTGCCTCAGGGGCTCTGTTTCGTCCTTCTTGGTGTCGATGTCGCATGGGCCGACGTCTCGAAGGTCTGCTGTCACTAGTTGATCGTATCGAATTCGAAGGAGCTGTGCTAGGATTCAATCCCGCGACATCGGTAGTTGAGGACCTCTGCGTTACTAGTCGGGGGTGGCCTATGTGATCAGCACCGCGCGTCTGTTCCTCCCTGTGAGGTGTGGCTGCCTGCAAAAGTTGGATCTGACGATCTACAGCTTCTCTAGCTTGCTCAAAGCTGGTCCAGTTGCGGGCTCGACTGGAACGATATTCCTCTATCTCCTGGTTGAGTATTTCTAAAGCGCGGGTAGTCGCTGAACTATCCCGATGGCGCTCAGAGCTCAATAAATCCCTCAGATGTTGTAAGCGATTTTCAGTAGGTGGTTGAGATCTGTCGGAAGTACGACTTGCGCGAGGGGCACGGCGAGAGGCAGGAGGGTAATCGTAGTTCCCCGACTACAGTTCGAATATATAACAGTCAACTTAAGATGAGAGAAATGGGGCTCCACGAAATAACTTCTGAGGCTCGATGGAATCGACCAACGAAGTGAATGTAGGATGCAGAAATGCTCTGAGTTACCCACGCACCATTCTATGAGATTAATATGCCGTCAGCTGGCGTGACAGGTCGAACTGCTCAAGAGGCGGGGATGCACTATACCAGTATGATTGAAGAATGTAAGAGACAGAGAGATATGGAGATGATTATTGAGAAAGACGGGACCCGGTCAAAAGAGCAAATGACCTGACCAGAAGCTTGAAATCTGAGAAATAAAGAGGACGGATAAAATGATTGAGAAATGGAACAAAGAATGTTGTCAGGGCTTTGAGTTACAAGCAGACATTAGCCAGAACTCAGACGATGTGGAGGAGAAGGAGAAGCTTATTATTATTGATAACAGCGGGAAATGACGCTTCAGTGAAAGGCGATAACTTATCGGCCATGATGTGCGACACGTGATCCATGGATAAGGACCAGGTATTCTTCATTCAACACTCCCTCTGAATGCCTTCATTGTCTTCTCTAGATTCACTAGCTTCTGAATAGTTCTGCCGGCTATCTGCATGTGAATGGCATTTGAGGCACTGGACGGTTCCCCATTGCTCTTCTACCCTCTCCCTGGTCCTCTCTCTTCCTGGTGACTGAGCAGCTAGCACTACTCCTCATCTACACCTCCGGACTTCATTTATCAAGGACAGAAGATCGGCGTCACTTTGGCTGAAACCAGTCATATTGCAGGCAACACATTGACTGTCTCTTGCGCAATCTATTACCTCAAGAACTGCTCTCTTCAGGACCGACTTATTGAGCGCTGAGCGCGATTCTCTTACTGTCACAACCATTCTCAACAAAGACACCGGATCAATTGGATTAGGAAAGCAGCTCAAGGAAACCATTCGCGTGCTGTAATCCTTCAAACACCCACCAGCCAGCATGGCATCGTCGCTAGAAAACGCAGCCCAATCGATCAGTGCTGGTAGGTGCACATTTCCAAACGACGGAGAGCCCGGGCCTATATGTGTCTGACATGCTATGATCACCAGATGAGATTGCTCTCTATGATCGTCAAATCCGTCTTTGGGGGGTCAAGGCCCAAGAGAAGTGAGTACTCTGAATTCCCAGCCGTGCGCGTTTGGGAACTGATTCTGAATGCCCTTTGTTTTAGGATTCGGTCCGCAAATATCCTTCTGATTACGTTCAAAGCATTGGCAAATGAAATCGCGAAGAATCTCGTTTTGGCAGGCATCGGTACTCTTACTATAGTCGATCATGAGACTGTTAAGGAAGAAGACCTTGGAGCTCAATTCTTCATATCCGAGGAGCATGTTGGTCAGAATGTATGTCGTCAATCGCGGGGAATTCCAAGTGAGGCAACATAAGAGCTAATCCTGAGGACAGCGCGCCCAAGCTGCGGCCCCGGCGATACATGCGATGAATCCTAGAGTTCAGCTTCGAATCGACACAGAAGATATCCAGACGAAGCAACCGGACTTTTTCGCGCAATTCGATGTTACCATCGCCACGGAGCTTGACTTTCCAACTTACTCCACAATCAACGCCGCATGCCGCATCTCCAACCGTCCATTCTATGCTGCCGGTTTGCATGGATTCTACGGCTTCGCATTCGCCGATCTAATTTCTCATGACTTCGTCATTGAACGTTCCAAATCGAATGTTTCGCCGTCAACCCAAGAGACGCCCACCAGAAGCATCATCAATATCACCACAAAGAAGGAAAATGACAAAATCATCGAGATGGTGACCAAGCGGGAAATCTACTCACCCCTCATCCTAGCAAACACATCACCTCTCCCTGAGGACTTGACCCGACTGCCGAGACGACGGAGACAGGTCACGCCACTTCTGACATGCCTTCGGGCATTGTGGGAGTTCCAGAAGCTTTCCGGAGGCAGATTGCCTACATTCTCCCGGCAAGATCTTGAACTGTTCACCAAGCTTGCTCGTGACCGTCACCAAGAACTGAAGCTTGACATCAGCACTTTGGACTCGGAATTTTTACGAAACTTTTTACAGAATCTCGGCAGCGAACTGAGCCCTGTGGCGGCGTTTGTGGGCGGTAGCCTCGCGCAGGACGTGATCAATGTGCTGAGCGCAAGAGAGCAGCCACTACAGAACCTCTTACTGTTCGACGGCGACAAGTCCGTCGCACCCATCTACCCTTTGCATCCTTTCTTCCCACCAGAGGTGGACAATGCTCTTTCTGCCATGCCTCCTGTTGCGAATGCAATTCCCATCAACGGCGAACCGATCGCCGCTCCTCTACCTACTAATCTACCTACAAGCCTACCTACAAATATCTAAAACCTCCCAATTGTCCCAGTTGCAAGTTGACCGGCGTGTCGGGAGATCGCACGCACTCTCGAGGCTGCACCTCTGGTCTTCCTCTTATGCCCACATGCCTCAATACTTTTATGACATGTACGATAGGTTCGAAAATGAATCTGGCCAAACCATCTTAATATAGACCGCGTCGTCTTTTTGATACAGGCTGACATAAATATTAGAAAAACATTGGTCTCCTCAATTATCCAATTAATGATTCTTGTAAAGTCATTCCATCCATCTGGTATATATACAAGCCAAAACAAATGGCCGATGAAGTCAGGAAGTATCGAAAAGGAGGGCACACAATCCAGCAACGCCATTCCCAACAAGCACCAAGAATCTCACAATCACGTCATAGTCATCAGAGTGAGATAGGTCGTTCTCTAGTTTGAAAAATATGAAGTAAGGGTCTTTTGGTAGTTTTAGAACGCAGATTGTCTCTTGCGAGCCCACACATAGATAAGTCATGAAAGAACAAGATTCCGCGAATCAGGTCGACGACGTCTCCTTTCCAACCAAAGGGGCGCTCTCTTCGTCTTCCGCTTTTCGGGGACCCATGACGTGGTTTCGGTTACCGGGCACGTCCTCATCTTCTTCGTCGGAGATAAGGCCCTGCAACTCGAACGCCTCGGCGTCATGGACCTGCTGAGTCTCGGACGCCGAGCGGGCGTGGCCGTTAATAAAGGTAGAGTCCTGAACCGGATCTGTGGTGCTTGAAGACCGAGAATGGGCAGAGAGCTTTGCGGAGTCGGGCCATGCATGGACAGCGTAAATATGTAGAAGGATATTGACGACTGCGTCGAGGTTAGAATCAGAACCAGCAGCCTAAGAGAGGACAAAGGAGAAAGACAGTCCACTTACAGAGGAAGAGAATGAAGGCAATGCTGTACAGGATCAGAATATAAGACACGTGGGTGATTCCAGCATCGTGGAGCAGCTGCATTTGCTCCTCCGTTGCGCCCATGAACAGAAAGCCAGATGCGTACAGGAGCTGTGAAAATCACTTATTAGCCCAAGTTACGTCCGAACACGTGGTTCAAGAAGACAGATGCAAGATGAACTTACGAAAGGAGGCAGATATTGGAAGCTGTTAGGGTCCGAGCCGTCGAGGCTCACGGTGTTTTTGTCCTTCAGCACAAAGGCAATTTCAATGATTCTGGTAAAACCAGCAGCCATCAATGTGTAGCCGAAAATGGAGTGAATCATGGTGCTGATCATCAAGGTCTGGGGATGAGCCGACATCGCATAACCGGTCAGCAGAATAACGATTGCGGGGATGAGATTCCGCTTGGGGCGGCCATTTCTCTTCCTGCTCATCCAAATACCTAAAAGACCGGCACACCACCAGACGATGCCCATAGTGGTATGCTGCAGATCATTGTGTACCCATGGTCCTCCCCAACGATGCTCTGTAAAGGTGTTGACGCATCCCCAGGCCGCGATGACCAAGGAGTCGAAGAACTCTTGACTGCGGCCGGTGCGGCGCAGCCAGTACTGACCAACAAGCAGCAGGATAGTAAGCATGATACCATAGGCAATGAACGCACTGCCCATGATGAAATGTGCCAGACATTGTCCAAGATGATCACCCTGGCAGAAGCCATTCGCCGCGATACCGCCGAAGAGCATCTGCGTCCAGCTCACAATCGGCATCGCCTTGCCGAGAACGCCGTGCAGCACCACGAAGAACCGACGGATCCGACCATGGATTCCTTTGGAGAGATGTAGCTTGAGATAAAGACCGATAACGACTTGCACCACAAGCATAAGCATCAACAGGTTCGCGAACGAGGCATGCACGTTCTTTCCGAACTGACGGCCCTTGTGAGCGTGGCCTAGGAAGTATGCAACGACTGCGATAACCGTGCCGATGATCTGAAGAGGGACATGCCACCGCGAGCGAACAATCTAAGGCAAAACAAGTCGTCAGTCCAAACGTCGGTGCAATCTTCTGCGACCGGCCATTATCGACGGCCAAGGCAATGAACTTACCCCAAGTACCATTCCCAGAGGGAAGATGATGCCAAAGGTAAATCCCATCAAGATCATATGAATCCATAATGTCGAGTCCTACACCGGACGGCAATGTTAGTCCGTTTGCTCTGACGCCTCGGGGCAGACTAGTAGCAAAGTGCGAATGACACGACACTTACAATAGGATCTTTGGAGACGGCGGAACCCTCAGGGACACTCTCGTGGCCGCCATGAGCCACGATGGAGGATGCCAGGAGAAGGGCAACAAGCACCCCTCGTAGGTCCAATATACCCATCATCTTCTTCACCAAACTCGAGAAGAGGTTGAGAGGGAGTTGAGGGAAGAAGGAAAAAAGAGAGCAGACAGTCGATGGACAAAGATGATGTACTCCGTCCTGGTGGAGCCCTCAAAGGTGCGGATACGACGGGGACATTACGAATGCCCGATTCGGGCTAGGGATTCGGAGTACTCGGATTGGTCGGAGATGGTTTATTACTTTAGTTCTATATGTTCAACAGCATTCGTGATAACCAGATGAATGAATTGTTGCTGCAAAAGTAGACTACCAGAATTTTAACAGTATATAATGGTGCTGTTATACTGTTTCAACTAGTGAGGATCTTGTTGTTCATTCTGTATAGCAAGGCCTCTACCGAACAAACAATGGCATCTCATCTCTGAAAACATCGACATCCGTCCAATAACTCTCCACCAGAATCACATTGCATCAACAGATATTCTTGTTTTGACTAACCACTCCCTGAAAAGCAACACTATCGTGAATTTCCTGCCTTGCTCTTCCTATGGCCTCTCCAGGGAAGAACAGCCCCCTGCAGCAAACCACCGAAAACAGCGATATATTAGACCTCACACATCCAACCTCTGAACAGCAGATCCAACGCGACAAGAAGATTGTATGCACTTTTAATAGCCGTTTTAGGAGCAGAACGAGTCCCAGCAGAAGCTGATAACAAACAGAAAGCACTACAGGCCTCCATCGCGGACCTCCACTCGCAAACCGCTCAGCTTGAAGCTCAAATCGCAGAGACCAAAGCGAAGTTGAAGTACATTCTCTTACTCGTGTTGATTATCTCTAAAACTGCGGCCTAATGCTGACATTTTCAAAGACATGATCCCTCAACTACGGTGAAACGCCATATTCGTCTGCTCCACGAGTACAATGAGATCAAGGACATCGGACAGGGTCTGATGGGTCTCATAGCTGACGCGCGTGGGATGCGACAGGTCGATGTGCAGAGGGAGTTTGGGGTGGGGGATCGAGATTGACAATGTCTCCTGATACTATAGATGGACATGATGTCTGGGATTCTGCTGGCAGATTTCCGACAGGCTGTTTTGTGATGCATCTTGTTCTTCGTTCCCCTTATGTGGATATGCCTCAAATTAAAGAACATGATAAGTTCGAAGTCGTGTTCAATTAGGAGAAGAGTGCGACGCAAGATTCTGTCCTATCGCCCACCCAAGTAGAAGTGATACCCAGTCAACTCCAATGATAGCTCTATAATAAGCGCTTTAAGTAACGAAGATGAGGATTAGGTACAATGACGAGGACAATCAAGCTGGAAGATTTTACAGGAGAATCATAGACACATAAGCGGGGTGGTATATCCACAGTATTTTCAGCACCAAGAACGACATGATTGAGCAGGGAGGAGGAAGATATTAAAAAAGATTTGTACGACATGAGAAGAAGGGGAAAGGGATGATTAATGAGTCTTTCCGAGACTCTGCAGATTGACCAGCTCGTAATACCGACCCTTGTTTCGAATCAACTCGTGGTGCGTTCCACTTTCGACGATCTTGCCTTGGTCGAACACGTAAATTATATCGGCCTTTTGAATGGTGCTCAGCCGATGGGCAACAGCAATCGTTGTCCGCCCGCGGGCAGCAGCATCCAGCGCAGCTTGTACGACTTTCTCTGATTCGGAGTCGAGAGCAGATGTGGCTTCGTCCAGAAGAAGGACCTTGGGGTCACGCAGGAGGGCACGAGCAATGGCGACACGCTGTTTTTGTCCACCAGACAACATGCCTCCCTTGCTGCCAACGACGGTGTCAAATCCCTCACTGTTGTACCATGTTAGCAGAACCGCCAGGCATGAAAGGAGTCGGCGAGACGGGAAACTTACGGAAGTGACATAACGAAATCATAGATGTTGGCATCTTTGCAGACCTTAATCAAAGTCTCCTCCGAAACGTCGTCCTTATCGACTCCGAGCAGGATATTTTCCTTGATGGTACCCTGATACAGAGTAGGTTCTTGGCTGACCAGGGCGAGGAAACTGCGGTATGAGTTGACATTGAGTTTGGTAATGTCCTTTCCGTCGACGAAGACCCCTCCAGCAAGTGTGTCATAAAATCGCTCGAGCAGAGCAATCGTAGTACTCTTACCGCACCCACTGGGTCCAACAAGGGCAATGTATTGTCCAGGCTTCACGCTCAGGTTCAGTCCTCGAAGAACAGGCTGCTCCGGCCGCGTTGGGTACCTAAAGTGGACGTCCCGGAATTCGATTTCGCCTTCCATGGACTCCAACTTCTCACCCTCATCCGACCAGATATCAATGGTCGGCTTGCTGTCGAAGAGTTTCTTGAATTGAGCGGCGGCATTCTTTGCCTTACCCATGTCTGGGGCAAAAGAGAAGACAGTTCCGGCTGATTGCGCACCAAAAAGAATCTCGGAAAAGCAGACGAAGAAGCGGAAGATGCTGTACTCATGATGGCCTAGAAGTGTACCACCATACCAGAAGCCCAAAGCAACGCAGAAGAACACCAATGCCTGCGACGAGGCATACAGCAGGGAGGATTTCAGCACTGAGATCAAACTCTTCCGTCCCTGATTTTGAAGCTGATCGTGATAAACGCCCCAGACATCTTGTTCGCGAGTCAGTGATGCTACAGTGCGGATCGCTGACGTGGCTTCGCAAGCATAGCTCGCAGACCCTTCGTAGGCAGACTTCGATCGTTGCTGGAATCGAGCAAGCATGTAGAATCTGAGGAAACCGCATGCCAGCAGGATTGGAACGACAGAAATGCAAACCAGAGCCAGCTTCCATCCGATGGCCAACGCAATGATCATCGCCGCTCCAAGCGTAGTGCTAGTCATGATGATTGTGCCGAGAGTCACTCCGCTAACGCCCGACAGATGCTTCGTCTCCGTTGATAGGAAGGACGTCAAGGCACCGGTGCTGTTCTCTTCCCTGTCGAAAAATGAGATGTCTTGACGAAGGATCGATCTAAACGCTTGACTTCTAGCTCGGCGGATGAGTCTCTCCGAACAAATAGCAAATGCTGAACCGTTGATAGCCAGGCTGATAAATTGAGCAATTCCAACCACAAAGAACATCAAGGACCAGAAGTTGGCATCATGCCTGAGTTTGTGAAACATTGATTCGGGTAACGAAAGCGTGCTGATTGCCTTGGCGTACAGAAAAGCCTGGGTAGGTTGACCACCACCGGCAAGGAACGCGAAAGCCAAGCCAATGAGCATGTAACCAAGCTCGGGGCGGTTAAATGCACCAATGAACTTGATGAGGGTCCAGAGTGAGTACTTCTTGAACTGCTCGGGGACTCTCTTGGATAGAACGGCACTCGAAACCGATTTTTGCGTTCCGGTTCGCTTCATCTCCAAACGCGCCTTCTCATCTTCAGCATCGAGAGAATTCGAGCTGCTAACCGCAGACTTGATGCGAGCAACCTCTTCTTGAGCAAAGTCATCAGCGTCAATGTCCGCGTCGGCTTCCAGAGCTTCTGCTTCCTTCTCCTCGTTGATACGCTGCGCCTCCACAAGTTTATAGTAGGTGCCTTTGCGATCGACCAGTTCGTCATGTGTTCCCTGTTCGGCAATCTTTCCGCCGACCATGGCAACAATGTTGTGGGCTGTTTTGATTGTTGACAAACGGTGAGCAATGACAATGGTGGTTCTACCTTCGGCAGCTTTATCAAGAGCGGCTTGGACGACGCCCTCAGACTTGGTATCCAAAGCCGACGTGGCTTCATCAAGCAACAGAATTTTGGGGTCACTGACAATGGCACGAGCAATGGCAATACGTTGCTTCTGACCTCCCGAGAGTAAGAAACCACGCTGACCAACATTTGTCTCATAACCTTCGGGCAGAGCCATGATAAAATCATGAGCGTTGGCCATTCTGGCCGCATTCTCGATGAGCTCTCTAATCTTTTCCTTCGACTCATGCTCAAATTTGGTGCCAATCAGGCCATGTTCGATGTTTCTAAAGATCGTGGTGCCGAAAAGGACAGGTTCCTGGCTGACAAGAGAGATCTGCTGTCGCAGCCAACGGAGGTTGAGGGTTTGGATGTCATGACCGTCCAGCAATACCTGGCCTCCTACAGGAAGGTAAAAGCGCTCCACCAAGCCGACAACAGTACTCTTTCCAGAGCCGGATGGACCCACCAATGCGGTAGTCTTTCCAGCGGGCATCAATAAAGAGACATCTTCCATGACAGTAACTTCGGGTCTTGAAGGGTAGATGTGTTTGACATTGCGGAATTCGATATTTCCTTCGAAATGGTCGAGTTTCTTTCCTTCGTCAGAATAGGGGTCCAGGGGCGATCTGCGGTCGATCGTGCTGTAAATCTTCGCGGCCGCAGCAACACCGTTCGTAAAGGCCTGACCATTGGGGGCAACGTTGCCCAAACTGAACGAACCGATCAGGATAGCCATCAAAACTGTCAGAACTTGGCCCACGTTGACTTCTTTGTCGACAAGGAAGCGAGACCCCATCCAGAAACCGAGACCATAGTTCGAAAACATGATACCGAACATAGCACCGACCATCATACCAAGGATGACTTGTTGTTTGATGCCCCATTTTTCAGCCTCAGCCAGGTGAACTTCATATTGCTTGGCGAGCTTATCTTGGGTGCCAAAAGCGGTAGCATTCCGAATGGAGCTGATGACTTCTTCCGCGACAGTTCCGCCAGCACCGTAACTTTCGAGAGATTTCTTGCTGTATTTCACAATGAACCGCGACCCACCTCCCATTACCATAACCAGGGCGACGATCGTTGAGGTACATATCAGAGCCAACTTCCAATACTTGACGTAGGCGACGATAAATGCGGTGACAAATGTGGCGAATGCGGTCAAGGTGAGACCAACTTTCTCGGAGATGGCGTCTTGGATCAGGTTGGTATCAGCAGTGATACGCGTGGTCACTTCACCGGCGCCCAACTTGTCGAAGTAAGCCATGTTCTGCCTCAAGATAGCCTCGAGATAGTTTTCACGAATCTTCTGCGTGAGATGTTCGCCAGTATAGATGAAGCCCACGGTGCTGACGTAGACCGTGACAAACTCCGCGATACCGAGATACACAAAGTAAAGAACATTCTTAGTCAGTTCGTGATAAAAATCATGATAGGGCATGGTACCCAGAGAGATGCCTTGGAACGCTGAGGCCAGTGAACCGAAAAGAATCTAGTAGATCAAACGTCAGCCACAAAAGCTCTTTGACCTAATGACTGACAGACAAGCACATTGCCAGGCAGGTCATACATACCGTGAACAAGGGAAGAGCGGCACCAGCAGCAATAGCACAGATTGCGCTCACGACCATGATCAGGATGTCCGTTCTCGAGGCATAGCGATACAAAATGAAGAAAGAGACTTTCACAGACGGTGACTCAAGCTGTCGCTTGAGTATCTCTTTCTCATGCTCCGGGAGATGGGCAAACAGAAAATCATCACTCAAGTCGACAGCTTTCTCGTGATGATCCTTTTTCTTGCCATCTGGAGGCGCCATGGTTGTGTCTGATAGCGAATGATGGTCGTGTGGCTTTTCATTTTCTGCACTGGAAGATGAAGTGGAACGTCCTTTCTCTAATGTCGCTACTTGCAAATCCTCGAGGGACTTGTCCCGAGAGGAGGCGCCGGTTTCAGGCGCAGACATGTTGCGGTTGAGGGTAGCCGAAACTGATTCTCTCAGATAAAGATGTCACAGATTGGGGAATCCTCGCGCAATCCAGAATCGCACTACTCCATAAGTTGGTTAACTGGCAGATAATCTGTCTTCCGGAACTCGACACTAAAATATTCAAGAGGTCGTCGAGTGAATCAAGAAGGAGGATTATAGGAGAGAAGAGTCTGAGATGCCGTCGTAAGGGCCGCGTCGTGCTCCCCCTCGTAGAAAGAACACTTCTATGTCGTATGGTCTAAATTCCACCCTGGCCAGTGAATGAAGTAATCTTGAAGACGAGAGAAAAATTGAAGGGTTTAGAAAGACACCATGAAACCTCCTTTTGAGAGCTTCACTCAAAAGAACATGATTTAGACAACATTTAAGCGTCAGCTCGTAGTATTAATAGTCCCCTTTCAACGGTCACCTAATAGTAAGGATAATATTAATTGTAGTAATATTACAATAAATAATAATAATACATTTTTGCTCCCAGACTCGCACTCTTAAGTACATCTTAGCCATGGATGGATGTTACGTAGAGACTAGAGAGACCCTTTACGTATCTTAGCGTCAACCACCGTATCTTCGTATCTTCGGAGGCCCGACATCCCGATACTTTTATGCACAAAAGTTTAAGTTAATAGAGACCACCATCTTTGTTCCTCGCATACGCCGCACTGTGTTGCCTAGAGAACGATACGTTAAGTTCATGAGTCATGATGCGTGACCGAAAAGCAATTCGAGAAGCATCTGTTTCTATCTACTCCGTACCGTTGATTATTATGCTGAATCAAGGCGAAAAATTGTAGGTCATCTTGATTATGAAGACTATCTACACTACATTACCTGTTTCGTACCCCGACTTCATCTATTTATACACATAGAAGCAATAGCTTAGCATGCCTAATAGTGCACTGCCTAACCAAGTTTGGGAAATTCAATGGATCTGCCGCTCGCTTCTCAAACGACGCCTTCGACTTCGAGGCTTCAACAGTTCAACCAGATGGACCCGCTTCTCCTTTTTGCAGTCAAGTAGGCGGGTACTGTTCCTGCTCCTGTCCCGCTTGTCACCTTAACAAGACTTGTCGCATGGAAGGCATCGAAATAATTTGAAAACCTCAGCTAGGGCCACAGGTTGTGACTCTTAACCAACCGGATGATAGTCGATCATCTGACTGTGACTTCATGTCCAACAACTCACCTGTGTAGAACTTTCTAGTACGGATAAAGAAACATAAACAACCTTTAATCTAGGAAATTTTTCGTCGGCGGAGATTTATTGCCTCCCCCACGTTGCGATGCTTGTTGTTCCAAGACTCCAAATTTCAATATCAAAAGCCCCTTCAGCAGGCAGGCCAATCAGAACACAGGTTTAGATGAGCCCCTGGACCTGGTATTAAGGTAATATGATAAGGTAGGTCTACTGGGTATGTTAGAGTGCGAAAATATCGTTCGCGTATTCCCGTATCCGTGCCTTAGGCCGGAGTGGGTGCAGCGCCGGGGTGGGTGCGAGCCTGAGGCACGGTTGGTCCACTATGAGTACGACGAGTTGCCTATATAGGTATAGGAGTGCTGAAGGCAGAAATCTTTATGGCTCCAATCTTAGTAAACGGAGGGCCTGAGTCTCCAGTAGCCTGTAGGTGGAACTGCCGAACAGTCTTCTCAGACGTCTGGGCATCATGGTAGGAGTACGTAGGTAGGTACTCCGTACGGAGTAGTACATACTCCAGTAGTATCAATTCCAAGATTGCGGGCTTGCAGCGGTCGGCAAGTATAATTCCCGAACCCCCGAGAACGTTGCCTGGGTTAAGCGATGTACTCGACCCCTCTACGGAGGCGGCATCGCATAGAGTAGCACTTGATTGGCGCATCTCGAAAAATGTGTCCTTAAGAGAAGTAAGCTACCTTAAGGTACTCCGTACATACGGAGTACGGAGTAAATAGGAGTATGTCGATTTCAACTTATGTTCGTCCTCTTTTTTTCAGGCCTTCTACAGTCTGTTGACGCAGACTTCGGGGTTCGATATATCCGTAGCATCTTGACGTTGCTCAGATCGGTGGGTCGTGATCGCCAATCACACTGTTTGAGTACTCCAAAGACAGAAGAGCATCAATTTGCAAGGCGTATAGAATACAGGGGACCTAAGATCAAATCTCGGCTTTTCCGTACTCCGTAGGTAGACCGCACAACATCCTCGTAATCCTGGAGCTCGAGTGTGCCCGACATCTACGATCTAGACTAAATGGTCATTTGTAGCCTCATATGGTCCATCGTCCGTTGGAAGTTCTGAGTGGCCTCAATAATACCAAGTGAGACCGAGCCATACGTGCTTGTTTGTCCGTGTCATCTGGTCGATTTGAAAGAGTCACGACTCATTGTAATTACTGCTCTGCTCTTCCTTTGCTTATGCCGGAGCGCCACGTATGAAGGGTAAGGCTTGTAGTCGTAAGCTCGTCCCGATCCCTGGAACTTCCTGGTCGGATGAGTCAAGTCAACTCATTAACTTATGCTGCCTAGATTGAGACTCGAGTGTGTCATGACTACATGCAAGCTTATGCAGAGGAATGTCGCTGCCTCGAGCCCTCACGCAGCCAGAACCTTGTACTGCGTGATCTTGACCTTCCGGGTGGAGTTTGTTCACAATCCAGAAATAGTTTAGGTTTCTACATTTCGAGTTAATCTTGGCTTTTTGATCGAGGAGAGCGGTTGTTGTAGAAGTCATGTTTAGATCTGCCGGATTTGAATATCGGAGCTCGACGACCCGAACAGAGACCCTCAGGGTATATGCACAATTCAAGGTCATGGATGGCCGTATTCGAAACTCCGTATCCAATAAAAACCAAAGAGTTGTCGTCGCATATCACCGCTATCAGATGTGGTCCCTGGTCGTGAAGTGAATTGATACGGAGCCGTATATATGCCTCAGGCATAAATCACATGACCCACCCGAAGCGAACCGCTAAACCCTGCCCACACAAAAAATAACCACTACGATCGGCCCTTTGAAGACGGTCGACAACCTCATTATCGCCAGTCCATACCCTCAGCTCGCCGTCGCGACAAGCCTTCAAGATGCCGGTTAGCAGTCCTCCCTACAATTCCGAGTCATTTCAAGATGCCAGGACTCTATTTGTCCTGCTCTCGCATCAATGAACCGAGATATTCGTCTTGTGATGTTGTGGTGACAGGGTGACAGTTGGCTAACCTTGATTTTTGTTGAATAGAGCCACAAGAGTTTCCGCACCAAGCAGAAGCTTGCCAAAGCTCAGAGACAGAACCGTCCTATTCCCCAGTGGATTCGTCTCAGGACCGGTAACACCATCAGGTAAATACTCTCTTTTTCCTCTACAATCCGGAGCCGTCGATCGTGTGCAATGGTGGTGGGAAACTCGCTTGAATCGGACCTCGATCACAACGACAACCTTGTCATTCTCTATCAACAATCGCCCCTGGGGAATCACACGAATGGATTTGGAACTTTGCGCGGGTTACATGGACACAAAAGGAAGAAATGAGCCAGCTGACGGGTACTTCTACTCCAGATACAACGCCAAGCGGAGACACTGGCGCAAGACCCGTCTCGGTATCTAAACTCGAGACGAATCCTTTTTCTTTTCCGACCGAGATGCCCGTCCCCAGTTGTTTCGTCCGATTGTGATACCGCAGATTTTGCTCGCGATGATTACTGTGCGTTCGGACCTCGCGCCGCTCTTACAATGTTTTTACCTCTCGGTTTCTGTTCGGAACAAAAGCAATCTGAATGAGTGACAAGTCGGTTCATCTTGGAACACACGTGCTTTTCCTTTTAGTCTAGCCCGGCCAGTCCGATGCGAATGGTGCAACTCTGCCCTCTGGATTTTAAGGCGAAATGCGAACTGTTGCAAGGTGCAGGTCGAACAGACTCCATAAATGCGAGCGATGTCGGGCTCTGGACATCTGCAAATATGTACACGAGCTAAACAAGAATAAAAGAAAAGTCATGATGGGTAATGATCGTTGAACGAGGCATGTGCATGGGCGATATCACTCAATTAAGGAATGACCACTTGTTACTACGTAGACGCGAGGAAACGAAAAGAAATGGATGAGACGTGCTCCTGTAACCGCATCCACATTAATACTTTGTTGATGACTACTTCCGGAGTTTTGTCAACGCTTATGTATACAACGCACCCTTGGCAATTTGCCGGAGGGATGTCGGGCCTGTAGATCTACTCTTTACCGCAAGTGGCAATCCTACTTGACCTCTGCATCCATCAACAGAATATGCAGGGACCGAAGAAAGACTCACATCCCAGGTCATGGTTGACCATCAAATTTTTGAGCAACTTGAAATATGAATAGCTAGCGAGCCAACAGAATCGTTGACTGGTATAAGAGCAGAAGCCTCGCCCATTTATTCGAAAGAAGCGGAAACGAACCCGGGCTGACAAGCCCCGAAGATAACAGCCAGTGAAGAAGCAAACAACCGCTAGAAAGTTATGAAGCCGAACGCCGTAGACTGAATTTATCTTTAGACCGATAAAACTCATTGCGTGACGAGGTGGCTGCCCCTCGACAGCCAGAGAGAGAGTCCGAGATTTTGTGACGTTAAAACAGGTTCGCATTTAGCGACTAAGATCAGCCTTGTTAGCAATGGGTCCATTCAATGCAAGTAGAGATGTGAAGCTTACTCCTCGGCCCACTCGTTCTCACGGCGGATTTGATCCTCCTCCTCGGGAGTGAAATCGTTCTGAATGTTGAAGGTCTTACGAATCTCTTCGGGGACTTGCCCTTGATCATGTTCGCAACAGTCTTGCAGCCGACATCCAAGAGAGCTTTGATATCGAGGTAGTTGGCAGCCTATAAGGTTCGCATCTTAGTCAATTTTCCCGGGAAGGGTAGAGTAATCTGGTACATACCAAGATGATTTCAAACAACATCTCCTGGTCGACCTGCATGAACTTCTGGTCCCACTCATCAATATCGGTAGTCTTGCGGCGAGAGTCATCGTCATCACCGGTGCTGGGAGGGTCGTTCTTGTGATGAGTGCACCATTCAATAACCTTCTTCAGCACCACCTCGTTGACCTGCGAAAAAGGATAGAGTTAGAATGGAAAGAGCCAATCACTAAGGGGAAAGGCGTGCAAATCAAACTCACATTTGGAATAGGAATGGCCTCGTCCGATTCGCCCAAATCCTCCAGCATGTTCTTGATAAGAATCGACCGTTCGGCAACATCGCGGTCTACAGAGAGGCAGACATGATCAGTATGGTATCGGAAGTGAGATAAAAGTAAAGACAGAGTGCATTCATCTTCCGAGAACCGGATATGAAGGGCATAGAAGGATGAGACAACTTACCGACCGTGATGTCAACGCCATCGGAGCTTGTGAGAGTAACGGTGGTCATTTTGACAATCTTTGTAGTATCAAGATTGTGATCTGATTCTGCAACAGGCGTTAATAACAGTTTCGAATGAAAGTCTGGAAGTTCTCGCTCAGCAGACGTTGAGAGGGGCGCAAAGGCGGGGGATCCTGACAATGATTCTGGGTTGGAGTCAGTGGAAAGCTGGAGGTATTTTGAGCAGCTGTAGGATTTCAGGTAACAAGACGAACCTGGTGTTGTTGAATGTTGATAGGACTTCCCGTATGTAGCACTATGTAGCAGGGAAGAAAGGAGATTAAATACAGAAGCTGGAGTCAACAAGTGAGAAGAGGTTGGTTCTTGCGGCGGCTCTTCGTATTAGTGAATCTTTCGCTGGGGGAAGGGCCGCGAGCAGTGACTAAACCTACTTCGCCCCCACTAGATAACTACTAGGTACCCTTGATTGAAGCATGGGTTGGCAGCCTAATGTCTTTGTGTCGGTATTATTCTACAAAAGTCTGCCTAGTCGATACCCTAGTACTTGTCAAGATGATGTCTGTGATATCCATGCCCAGAGACAGAATGACCGTGGTCCTCTTGTAGTCATTCAAAGTTTCAACAACAAATGCTCATAGATCATGATACTCGAAACAGCAAGTACAAATAGCAAGAACAAGAAGAGACTGGTCACGTTTAAAGACGACAGTCCTCGGCTAGGACTCTCCATGGGCTCAGTTATCATTCATCTCCAATGAAAAGAAGTGAAGTCTTTGTGGGTTAGGATTCAAAGAGACTTGAGTTCTTGAACTTGACCACGATACTCAGAACGTGAAAGAACACATAACCCCACGTTTTGATGGGCTTCGCCTACAAGAAAGAAAGCAGCGGGAAATTCCTTCATGGGTTCCAGTTGCAAAGTGCTATCTCCACTGCCAGGCCTTACTGACTTCTTGATCAATCGTCAAGTAGCGATTGCAGCCAAGTATTATGGCGAGTGAGCTCAGATATTTCGCATCCAGAAAAACGCTTGAGGTCTGAGGGTGTATTATGCTTCCAGCTACACCTGATCCGTTAGCTGCAGATTTGCTGTCTCAAGAAAGAAAACAGAAAAATGCAGCAACTACGTCGAATCTACTGCAACTAAGACAAAGGATAAATCTTTGAACAGCATGGCGTTGTCAGGTCAAATGACAAAGCCAAAAATCTGGACTCGCGGGGAATCGAACCCCGGACCACCTGCTTGCAAGGCAGGTATTATACCACTAAACCACAAGCCCAATTTGATGTCATGTGACTTGTGTTTGACTACCAGGGATAAACAATTTAGATGGTACAAAGCATGAAAAATATAAAATAAAGTAAGACGAAGACAAAAAGTGGGCAAAAAATGGACTCACGGGGGATTGAACCCCGGACCTCTCGCATATCTAGTCCGAAGACCTGCACCTTTATCAATGCAAAGCGAGCGCTACTACCACTGAGCTACAAGCCCATTTGTGTTTAAATTATTTTATTTTTATCTTAAATGAATCAAAACTGCAAGTCTAACAATTTTCATAACTTCGTGGTGTTACCCCAAATTATGGAATATCACTCTAGTTCTCCTGATCTCGGTCCAAGTTGACCGATATTAGAAGATATTCGGAAGACCAAATGGCATAAGCAAATAGAATTAATGAGCCCTTTGTCTAGTACTCTACTCCGTGTCAGTATCCTGGCAATATGTACGGAGTACCTGTAGGGGGATAGTCACAAGCTTTCTTTCCAGGACCAATGATATCATCACCCGACCAGACGCGTCTCCGTGCTCTTATTGACTGGGAAAAAGAAAAACATCAGAGAGTGGTGGTACCACGTAGACTAAGCTCTATTATTGGTTTACCTGTCCTCTGATCTGACAGATTTTATTGCGACTGTCTGATCAGCAACCCAACCTATCCCCTTTATCAGTATTCTCAGTATTTGTCCTCTTTCCGTCTTCAGATACGAGGCCTTATCGGATGCTCCGGATCGCTTTTTTTCTGTCCTCAACCTCCTGATGCAGCAGCATGTAACTGTTATTTCGGTCGGATCATCCTTATATTTTCTTCATCCCGGCGTACCGTGCGTTTTTGACATCTGAGTCATGTGGAGACGCACATACTTGCTGCTATTATTCGTTCGAGTCTACTTTGCGCTCTCGCCAAGTTATCTCCATCCAGATGAGAACTTCCAAGGCCCCGAGGTCTTCGCGGGTATGTCGTTCTCCCAAATTCCTCAAGTTGTATAAATACGGCGCTGCGGTCACTACAACAGCGCGATCGCGATGCTGGTCTGCTCTGTCCGCCGTTGCGAGCTTTAACGGTCTCGCCATCGCGCAACCCGTTCCCTCTTGAGAGTCGGCGCTTCGCAATCAGCAAACTGACGGGATGCTTAGGTCGCACACTCTCGTACCCGGCCAAATTACCGTGGGAGTTCACCTCCGAGAATCCTATTCGCAGCGTCTTTCCGCTATGGCCGGTTTACAGCTTGCCGATGGGCCTTCTGAAATGGTTTTACGGGGAGTTGGAGATGGGGAATCCCTCTCCGGAGGTGGCTTACTATTTTTTGAGAGCGGTCATGTTCCTCTTAAGTTTCGTTTTGGAGGACTGGGCCATCTACGAGCTGGTCCCTCTTCCGCGACATCGCCGGGCCGCTGTGGTGCTGGTTGCATCCTCGTATGTCACCTGGACATATCAGACGCACACCTTCTCCAACTCGCTTGAGACTTTATTGGTCACCTGGGGTCTGGTGCTGATTCGTCGCATCATTGGACAAAAGGTTTGAAACATGGAAGAAGATTATCATGAACCTCCTGAGCTAATGGCTGCATATAGCGACGCTCATCCGTCTTTTCTTGTGTCGTGCTCGCATTGATCGCTGTCGCTGGTGTTTTCAATCGGATCACCTTTCCAGCCTTTCTTTTGATTCCAGGGCTTCAATTACTGCCACATTTCTGGCGCAGGTAAGTCTCATCATCCGAGATGGCAGGCTATCCGATCAACTAATGCCGAGGAGCAGGCCGACCTCATTGTTTGTCTTCGTCCTCTGTGGCCTATTCTTCTCTTGCATTGCTATAATCGTCGATACTAGGTTTTATCGCCCGTCTGCATCAGTACTCGACGCCCTCCGCTCGCCTATAATCACACCTCTCAATAATTTACTCTACAATACGAAAACTTCGAATCTGGCTCTTCATGGACTCCATCCAAAATACCAACATTTTCTAGTCAACTTGCCGCAGCTTCTCGGACCCGCATTTTTGGCAATGGTCCTGTCCTTATGGAACCGTCCAGCAATTCCTTCTTGGCTGAAGACAACGCAGGCTGTTTCCGCTCTGTCAGGTACCGCAATACTCTCGATCTTCCCGCATCAAGAACCCCGTTTCCTCATTCCCTGTGTGCCACTCCTCCTTAGCTGCTTTCGCCTGCGCAAATCACGTCTCTTCCTTGTAGCCTGGGTCATTTTCAATGCTGCTTTGGGCTTCTTGATGGGCGTCTACCACCAGGGTGGCGTGGTACCCGTGCAGCTGGCCATCCCCACCATAATTTCGGCAAACACTGTGAAGTCGAATGGCTCGTTGGAAAATCAGCCCAGGGTATCCGCGACAGTATTATGGTGGAAAACATACTCTCCCCCATCGTGGCTATTGGGAAACAATACCAGCTTCCCGTTAGATATAGATACCCGCGATATGATGGGCATTCCTGGAGCAGAGATGGCCCAGGAGCTCGAAAAGTGGGTGCCTCCATGTGGCTCCCATAGTGGGACTCACGCGGACGATGCGAGGGCCGGATCTGGGAAAGCTGATCAAACGAATTTCGTGTTCGTCGTCGCTCCAAGATCTGCTACATACCTCGACCGATACACAACAGCGCCAGTAGGCTCATCCGGTCTGGAATTACAGGAGCTCTATTCCTACCCAAAACACATTAACCTGGATGATCTCGATGTCGGTACCGACGGGCTGCTCGCGACGTTAAAACGTGTCTTTGGCAGACGTGGACTGAACGTCTGGTTAGCACGAAGGTCGGGCTGCGATTGACCCCTCACCCGCTACCTTATTTCCCTTTTTGATTCCCATTCCTCTTCGTCCTTGGCTCAGTTGAACAGCTGAACGTCCATAAAACACGCATGATATGTGCTCTTGCGGCCTGTTCCATTCCCCTTCTACAGCGAGTCAGTCGACACGCATTCTACTCGTCATCCCTTCCTTCAGGGATGAGACTTTTCGGATACCCCTTTCCCAGCGTCAAATATACCCGTACAAAATATGTCCCTCGTATTTCGTTTATACCCCTCATCGCAATATAGTATAATCATAATTCATGACTAGTCAAATGAACGGGACGACAGATCAAAACGGTCAAAGCAAAAAGAGCCACTACTTGTTTCTTGGCATGTCACAATTGATAACCCCAGCTTGCGTCAGATCTTCAACAGCTCGTCGCAAGATCTACAGTCAAATGTACTTGGTGACCACTCTATCTGCAAAGGACGTCTTTTGCTTACGTCTTCATCCCTATGTTTATGTGGAATCGGGCGATTTGATCCGGTTGCTAAACCTCGTCATGCCGGCGGAATAAAGGCGAGAGAAGAAATAGAATACATGTCAAGATGACCCAGTGCGTCTCATTGATAGGTACATGACCCACGCGTCACGTAAGAAGAAGGTAGATATCATACGTTGAAGCATCGAGTTCCCAATTTCATTCACTAGGGCAGCTGTTTCGACATAGAAAGGACACACGCAAGTGAAATGACAGGGAAATGATAAAAGAAAGCTTGCACGAATCCCGGTTTAAACAAAATCGGTTTCGTACAAGAGTCAGAAGACGTTCATGCTAAAATTCGTTAGGAGAGGAGAATCAACTCGAGTAGATTGACAGGCAACCGGTAGACGAGGAGCCTCAAACAAAAGCACAGGAAAGCAGTTCATCACATGTCGTCAGGATCATCAGGGTTCTCAAAGAGGTAATTGGCTGCGAGCTCTTCGTTCTTATCACAGGCAAAGTAGGCCTGGATGACCAGGTCGCGAGAGAAACCAAGTCGGCAGAGCTGGCAACCAGTTAGCTAGAACTATAATAGTAGCAGTATCAGTATGAAGAGGTACGTACGCGTTCAATGGCGTCTCTCTCCTCCTCTGTAACGCTGATTGCGTGGGTACCTGGAGGCAGCGCGCCATCATCCTCTTCACTCAAGAGTTGGAGAAACTGCTCCTCATTCTGACCGATGAGCTGTGCAATCTGAGGGTTACCAGCGGCGACTTGCTGAAGGATGGGTTCCAGCATTTGTGGCTGTTGCTGGACCAACTGGCGGAGCTGCTGAAAGTGAGGGTTATTCCGCAGGAAGTCGAGGTTGGGCAGTCCTTCCCCAGCTCCGGCAGCACCAGCACGAGCTCCACGACCAGTGCCCTCTCCAGTGCCGGCCTGAGCAGCGGCTTCAAACAAATTCACTGGCTCATCACCACCGGTCGACGAGGGAGCACTCTCTCCGGAAGGAGCGGACGGGGCAGGGGGTGCGGCGGCTGCGGCAGCCTGTTGCTGCTGCTCCTGTTGGATGTTGTCGGGGATCCCCTATATAGGGAATTAGCATTAGTCATGCGAAGCGCATGTGGAGTACAGCAGGTGACAGCTCACATTCAATAGATACTCAATAGCACGATCGGGGTTGAAGAAAGCCGCTCTCATGGCACGGTTGATATCGCTTCTGGGGAAGCCCATGCTCTCCATTTGACTGATGACAGCCTCACTCTGGGAGCCACTCAGCAATGCGGACGGGTCATTGAACGCAGCAGAGGCATCAGCGGGTGCCTGAGCCGGAGCGGCGGGTGAGGGGGTCGTAGGTACAGCCGGAGCAGATGGGGCAGCAGACGGGGCAGGAGCAGATGGGGCAGCAGGCGTGGAGGCAGCAGCTCTCGAAGGTGTCGAAGGGGCCTGTGAAGGTGTAGCGGCAGACGAGGGAGCCTTGGGCTACAGAAGATGGTACGGTCAGGTACACTGCTCAGACGTCGTTTCAATAGCAAGACCAGTGTCATTACCTTCGATACCATGCATACTATGAAGCCCTTCTCCTCAATGTTGTATGTCTCGATGGTCTTGTCATCTTGGAGGATTTTCCCTGGGAGTTATCCAGCGAAATCAGCTAAGAAAAAGCAGGAGGAAAGGAGACAAAAAAAAAATAAAAATAAATTGAACTGTGCCATTCCAGCAGACACTTGAGAAATGATAAAATCCCAGGGTGATCATTGTCAGACTAACCGGAGTAGATGAGCTTGAGCTGAGGTACCTCCCATCCTTTTTCCTTGGAGATTTTTTCCTTCACTTGTGCAACCTAGGAAAGATTCCGGTCAGCCCCGCACTGGCAGAACACTCTGCGCAGGGACAAAAGCTCACCGTCTCCGAGGGCTCTGCATCAATTACGAATTTCTGCTGTTTGAGATCCTATTGGTAAGAGACCGCGGTTAGTATTTGATGGCCCAGATATATCAAGAGGCAGGAGTTGGTTGATGGCGAAGGTACCTTGAATGTGAGCTTCATCTTGCGCCACCGAAGGAGAGGAGATGGCTACGAGAGGTGGGGAGGAGTTTAAAGTAGCTGGAAACAGAGGGGTACGGGGTCGTAGAATATCAGGTATCCGTAGCAGGAGCTGTAAGGTAGTTGAGTGGAATGTTGAGATAGCTAACCCAACAAGATCAGAGGGCGTAAAAGAGAAAAGAAGCAGGGTTCGTGAAGTGGGAGAGATTGATGACCATAATCATGACGCCCAAGAAGAATGGAAAGGGAAGTGGTGGGAGAGCTGGGGCGGTCACGGCTTCATGCGCCACCTTCAGTTGCTGTTCAGCCACCGTCTGTGTCAGTGCTTCAGCCACAATAATTAGTCATTGCCGTGTCCTGTCTTGGCGGCCCAGATCCATGAACACATGCTCCCAAGGCCATACAGTAGTATACTATTTTCTACCTTCTACCTGGTGGATGTCTTTTCCTCGGTAAAAGTCAGTTAGATCCCTGGCAATCAGACAGCGAGGTTACAGAGAGATATCCGCTGATTTCTGAATCTGCGGGTTGTTCTATCAGGATATGGTTTACTCCAATGCAATAATGCTCTCTACATCGATATATATACATCGGAAGTGAGTGGTTGTGGCATAGGTAGTCATGTTGTATATGTTCTCATGGGTTCAACTACTACATACTTAAACCTACAATCAAAGCTCGTGCGACGTATACATGCTCAATTGACTACTTCTGTCATGTAGTAACTGGCAGAGATATCGGATGTCTTGGGATCAGATCGGAGCAGGAGCAAGCAGATGCAGTACATGTGTAACGAAAGCAAAAGATATAGTTGCAGCACGGCTTGCTGAGCCCAAGAGGATCTAGACTAACGGACGAGAGCTGCAAAGAGAGCTGCAAGCAGAAGGAATTTAATAATAGAAAAGACTAGCAGACCGCCCTGAAGGATATCTTGCGAACATACGGAGTACTCCGTAACCAATGCGGCAATGCCTATCCAGCTCTTAGGTACGTTACACTGCCATTGCAAATAAGGCCATTCTTCCACCGAAACTAACGAACTACTCTGTAGATGTATAAAGCTTCTTAGAATCCCCAATAGATCTAACCTGTGGGCAGCAGGTTATGCGAAGAAGCAAAGCGCTGGTTGGATGTATCTCATAGATCTATCACATAGTTCAGCGCTGCAAACAGGAGCCCACAAGCCAGAGACCGAGGAGGCTGTGATCCTATCTTCTGGGACTAGCTAAAAAATAGTACGAAGCCACTCTTATATTTACGCCGATCAGGAGCGTGATCCGACATTCTATCTAACAAATCTCTACTCTATGTATCTTGTTCTCCGCAAACGACCCATAGACTGGGGCTAGTTAACACTGTAGAATAGTAGTTGTTGATTCCGATAGGTACCAAGTATTTGACAACTGAACACTCCACAAGATATCAGGCGAAGACTGCGAGACATCACATTCTGACCGGGTGTATTGTTCCCAGTGGCATCTGCGTACTCCATCTTGATGCCAAATGACCAACTCGGCGATTCCACATTGTAGATAGGGCCGTCCCAGGATCCTGGAGATCATCACCAGCCGCTCCGTCTAGCGTGTTGACGAACCTTGACAAATAATTTTCTGGATCAGTTCCATGCGCGAAACAGACTTCGCTTTCCAGACGTCCCAGAGCTAATCCTAATTGGCCGAGGACTGCCTTTAGAGCCAGCTCAGGAGATCTGAATTCGTGGACATTTGATAGTCGATTTCTCAGGACCGGTGGTCCCTGCCTGTCTAAACATCTCATGAACACACGCAGAGGACAAGTCATGCTCACTATACGTATAACCGCTAGCGTTCTCAAAAGAAAAAAAATTGAAAGGATTCGGTCGAAGCTATGCAAAGGGAAAACCTGTTGTGTGAGCTGGATTGATCTGCTGGAGAAACAACTCAACCGCGCATAGACGGGTGGGACTCTGAATAACTTTTCTTTTTTCCCACCCACAATGGACATTCCATTTCTGATCCAGTAACACTATCCATCTTGCATCGTCCATCGCTATCCAGTGACAAATCAGGAGAGCTATTGGACAGCTTCAAGCCCACAGATGCCCGGATGAGACTGGCTAAAGATCCTGTCACCCCTGCCCATAATTTCGGGACAAGCCATCGAAGCCCTGATGCCATCCATCCCAAATCCCAAGGTTCGGGGACTCCTCCCCGGTTGGTGAGCCATTCCTCTCCCGGTAGATAGATAATTTAGGATCTATGGTGTCTCGCCCACCGGGATGATGCACCCGTCCCTTCCCTCATGTCAACATGGTTCTGAGCTCACCCCTATGCTTGTTACACCACACGGCCCCTCATATTGTTTCTCCTCATCCCATTGTTGTTGTTATTGTAATCTGCTTTACTGTTGACTTTTTATTCCTAGCATGCAGCATTCATAATTCCCATAATCTCTCTGCTTCTTCTTACGCTGTTGACACGATTGATGATATGACCCATTTTGTCACTATTTGTTCATAATATCGCGAGAGAACTTGGTTACCCTGGTCCCTCTTTTCTCTTCTACGATTCTGCTGCCTATCAGGATTCCTCCTACACTATTCGGATCCCCTAAGTCGACTGCGTCAAATCAACTGTGCATTCAACTCCACACCGGCACCCCTCGCATCTCGAACGTGCATCTGGATCTCTTGTCAGTTGTTGCTGCTGGTTGATTGCGTAAGAGCATCTGCAGGGCCCAATATGCATGCAGCCGAGCTGGCCTATCTTCTGGGAGGTATTTCCATTGCGTTGAACCTGGTCGCTAGCGTCCTCCACGGCGTTTGTTTTGCTTTATCAGGAGCCTCGTCAATCGAATCAATTAGTGTCACACTCAGCGCCGCTAGCTGTCTGGTGTTGCTTACCTTGATACTTCTATGGAGGAAGAACATTTGGCTTCCTTCCAGAGACCGTTGGGCAAAGTGGCGGACCATAGCGTATGGATTCATCTTGGCATATCTTGCAATATCCAGCGGCGTCACAGCTGGCGCCGTCGTGTGGAGCACCTCAAAACTCGAGTTAAGGGGGAAAGGAACGGGGACACCTCCAAGCCAGCTGGGACTATACCTATCCAGGTCTGTGCTATGGACATTGGCTGTGTTAAGCCAGGGGCTGTTTGCAGGTTTCCTTTTGATTGACGACTCCCACAACCAATGTCCGAGCTCGCTCTCGCAGGAGCTTGTGCTGCAGCCAGACCAGTCGAGCTTAAAGCATAAAAGCGCTGCCAAGGAACCAGCATTGACCATTGAATTGAGACGACAATCTATTGATCGAAAAACGAGCTGCGATAGCAGTCTTTTCGCGAACCAGCCCGCTACCTCAATCGCGTCCTCTCACCGCTACTCTGGAAGGACTCTATATCAACCAGATTCTAAGCACAATTCACTCGATCTTCAACCACCAGGGCTGGGTATGCCGTCCCCTGATTCCAACACTTCCCGCAGCCGATTAGAAGCGAGGCAGGGTGAACGGGACAGCTGCAGCATAACCACCGAGGAGCGGCAAGGGATGCGCATAATCCACGGGACCCAATCCGAGATCAAGAGGTCTTTGGACGGTTTGATGCTTCAGCCATCATCAGGCACGTCACCCCCGGCCGCATCGACGGCTAAGCTAGAGGCTTCCCGAGCGCCTGCGCCTCCAAAGCTGCACTTCCCTGACGAGAGCAATATCCACCCATTGTTCCGTTCCGATAGCCCATCGCCCCCGCCGACGCCTTTGCCCGGAACAAATCTCCATGGACTAGCCGTGGCAGGACAGACGATCTCGGTCAAGACGTTGAATCGGATGAGATCGGCCAATTCTCTTCGAGCTCACGGAGCACGAAGCAGGTCCCCACGGTTCGAGCGGATAAATCAGCAAGGCGAGACGACGGAGGACGGAAAGTTGAATCCAAGCCGTGAGAGCCGAGGCAGATTAGCTGAAAAGACGGCGATACCTGGATTCCTCATGGCTGCGGATGTGCGAAAGAGCATCGCCCGGTATGAGAAGAGGTATGAATTGAATGAATCTCCAGACGAGAGCTAGTATGACGATATTAACTGGAAATGCTCTCTAATGACCTTTTTCCTTTGTCTTTTTGTCTGAGTTCGTTGGCCATATATCTCGGGAAAAGGGTGTTCTGCTATACAGGTGCAGCAGAACTTACGCTATGTGTTTTCGAGTCTTCAACTATGTACATAGAACCTGTATAAACTTAAGAGTAATAAAACATAAGAGTAGAGTTCGGTCTTGGAAAGAGTCTTGGGGGTATTGATGGAAATTTCTTCTGCTCCCTTGCGGAGATATACTCAATCGAAACATGACAAGCCTACTATTGTCATATCATAGAACTCTGAGTCGGTTCAACTTAATTGTAGAATGTGTTCGTGCTCATTCCAATGTATGCATTTAGCTTCATTCGCTCGTCCTGACTGCTCGCCCTTGCAGTGTTTATTGCATCGACTTGTCTTGCTTTGCTTTTTTTTTCTTTCTCTCTTTCTGCTTCCATTCAATTATTATTATCATTATCAATCATCCTTTTGTCCTTATCCTTCTCTCCATCGATTTCTGACCAAGTGTTTCGGCAAATTTGCCATGGTAGCTATGTTTGGTGCCATACTCCGTACATACTTCCACTCTCCAACCGTTGCGCCACTCCACTCTCGCTCTGACCCAGTCAAATTCCTCCATCCAAATAACTACAATTAGTCTAATATTCACCAGGTCTCTCTATCTTCCTACAACACTGGAACATACTCATCCTCATACGGTTTGATTCAACGACCCGAAAGGTTTTAGATCTTTCTTCTCTAAATTGCATCTGAATCAATCGGTTTGTTTCTTCCAGGCAGCAAATACTGCTACCTATTCCGGTGTGTGCAAAGACCGATAACAAAAATCTGCCTTTAATACAACTACATCGTGCTAAGGGCCTGACTGGAATTTGACGGGCCGCACATGGTGATCAACAACGTCTTGCTTTGCCTTTAGGCAGTACCTTACTGTCTAAGTTACTATCTTCTTGTCTGATTAAGCCATTGAAAATCCAAAATTGCCTCTGCGGATTTTCTGCTTGAGTTGAGCTTTCATACCAGCCCCATCTCACTTTATCTTACCTCCCTCTAGCTCTCTTTTTCTTAACTCCTTTGTTCATTAATTGCCTTCATTCTCATCATCTCTGTTCATCCCCTTCCTTTTATTTCATTCCCATCTTCCCCTGGAGAAAGTCGAGAGGTCGTTGTGTCCAGTCCGGACTTCGGGAGTACTACAACTCCATACAAAAGACGTACCCTGCTAGTTCCGGCGAAGACACACAGCAAGCTTAACCAACCACAAACCAACGCCATCTTTACTTTTTCCCACTTCCTCTGTTGATCCACTTGGCCGCACCTCGCTTTTACTTTGTTCTTCCCCATCCTACTACTACTATCTATACTATCATCGATCTACTATTACCACCTGCATTTGCTTCTGCTATTACCTCCTCCTCCTCCTCCTCCTATTCTACCTTGCCTTACTACATACTGGCACTTACCCACAGTGTACCCATCACCTTACCTGTTATTACCACAACTACCATCACCGCCCCTACTACTGAGTACAATTTGGCCATCTACTTACTACCTATCGCCTTCTGCACTTACTATCACGACTCGATATCTGATCAGTAGTCGACTTCAACGCCGGCCCAACTCGCTTCTACTGTCTTTTACGCCAGGTAAGTTCGCGAAGTCCTTCTTGTAATCTTTGCTCTGTGTCTTTTCTTGCTCTTTCTCATTAGTCCCCCTTTGTTATTCGCCCATCCTTGAATCCCTGCATCTCTCCAGTGCTTGTTTTTGCACGTTCAATGCACTTTGGCCATCATTTCCTCTATCAGAATTCTGGTATAGATTGGATCTCCCGATAATTTTCTGTCTCTTTCGCATTGGTCTCCACATGTACTTATTTATTCATTGTTCTTCCGAATGGCTGCTCTGGAAAACCTCTTGCTTCGTTGGCAGCTTAGTGTCTTGATACCCTTTTTTTATCGGACTCACTTCAGAACCATGCTTTTGAGCTTTCCCCCTTGTTTCCTAGACCCAGCAGCCGGCTTATACCTGCATTTTCTCTCTGTTTGCTCCGATTCACATTGATTTGAATAGTGTCAGTTACTGATCAAGATCTAGCAGACAGAGATGGCGGGTGCCAAACGTAAGGTCGAAGCGTCTCAGGGAGCGACGCCTGCTGGCGCTGGCGCTACATCCACAGGGAACATGACCCCCTCAGCTGGTAAGGGCTTGGCTGTTTAATCCTCACGGTGCCGATTTCTGAATTTTTCTATAGATACTCTCATGGAGGATAACTCCAACATTCGCATCACCAGGAGCGCTCGGGCTAGCCGAGACGCTCGTGCTCATAATATGAACATTCCGAGCACCCCATCATCTACTAACAATGCCACTCCCAACAATCTCAATAATGGTCGCCCGTCACGCATTATTACGCTGAGCACCCGCACTGCTAGAGCCAATAGTGCCCGTCAGGCTCAGGCCAACAGTCTCCGCGAAGCTCAAGCAAACAATGCTCCCGTGGCCGATACTGCTACCAGCACGGTCAACCCTGTCCGTGAGACTCGCACCTCTCGAGCTCGCGCTGCTGCTGCGGCCGCAGCTGGTCCCGCTGTGCCCTCTGCGCCCGCGGCTCCCCTTGCTCCAGCTCCGGCTGCGGCCGACAGCGTAGCATCGGCGAATGTTCCAGAGACCCCCGGCACAAGCGCATCAAACGAGCTCCTACTGTTGAAGAGACGCCGAGGACGACCAGGCAGTCTGCAAGACTTAGGGGCAATATCCAACCCCTTAGTTCCACCGAGAAGACTTTCTCGAACTCTCAGGCTGAGTTCAAACAGCCTGATGGCAGCCCATCCGCCGGCATGGCTCCTGGTGGCCGGACACGGACACGGAGCAGACAGATGGTCAGCAGCCTGAACCAGAAAACCGGCGAGTCAACAAGAGCCACTTCCTCTCCCTCGAAAAAGAATGCGGGAAGATACGAAGAGAACATCAGCCCTCTGGATACAGTTGTTTCGCAGCTATCCACAAAAGATCAGATGTCTGAACTAGTTGATGAGAGTTTATCGAAGGACAACGGTCCCGATGACATCGAGAATAAAGTGAACGAACCCTCAGACATGGAAAGCGAGGAAAAGCATGAATCCGAGACTGTCCCACCAAAGTCACTAAAACGGAAGTCTCCAGAGCCTGATGACGGCCTCGCTGGGGAGCTCATGCCCTCTTCTGATTCCCCACGCAAGAAGCCGAAAGTGGAGAACCCAGAGCTGGACCGCGCGTTGGACCAACAGTTACAGGAAGGCACCGAGAATAACGTTGATGACAAAGCAGCACCGCAGTTCCAGTCTCCTGGTGACGTAGATGCTATTTCTGCCGAGGGCGAGGTCGAAGCCTCCGAGAACGATGCTCTCAAAGCCGGAGCTACGATATCTGTTGCTGCCGACGACGATGTTCCCGATGTTCAAGATGCTGAAATTTCCGCGTTCTCCGCTGCCAATGCTAGCGATGGGAGTCTTGATGTTGCTGATGCTGCGGACAATGATACCACTGCTGCTAGAGAATCGGCGGCAGGTGATGAGTCTCGTCAAATCACGGAAGAAGTTGAAGAACAAGCTTCTGAAAATGGTGTCGAATTTACGGTCAGCAGTGGACGTGGACGAGGTCGTGGCCGTGGCCGTGGAGGCGGCGGCATGGGAGCCTCCACGCGCGGCGGGGGCGTGCAGAAAGGGAAAGGAAAACCCAAAGGACCAGGCAAAGGAAAGGGAAAGGCAAAAAGCAGAAAACGGGGCGCAAAGCGGATGGCGATAATGACCAGGATTCCGGGCCAGAACCCGAGCCTCTGCGTTCCCCTTCTCCAACTCCAGCCACACAGAAGATGCGGGACCGCCAAAGGGAACTTGACAAGGCGTTCAAGAAGGTAGCGGCCGCCCAGCGACTGGCTTTGTCTGTGCTAGCCGAGCATTCTCAGCGCAAGCTTGCGCGGGATAAGAACGCCCATAAGAAAGTGCCGGAGTTCGACGAGGTCAACCGGCAACTACAGGAGAGATTAGAGAGACACAGGGAGATATTGCGCCGAGAATACGAATATAAGGTAGCAAATGCGAACCGGGTCCTTGCTCTTGAGAAGGAGAATCTTGAGATACAATTTCGAGTAAGTCCTTTTTGTTCACAGTCTTCAGGGGATCCAGATGCTAAGCGCCATATCATACAGAGGAAAGCTCGTGAAATCCAACACGAACATCTTCTTGCAAGTCAGGGGGCGTACATGGCATTTGTCGAGGGCCGCCGTGCTGCAGAGGATGATGAACACACTGAGGTTAGTCGTTCCGAACCATATCTGACTTGTGAAGGAGACTGGATTAACTCGTTGTCTTGCAGACGGATGAATCCGAAACCGAGGTTGACCGTGGACGTGTTCGCCCGCCAGCCAGAGAGATGAAGAGGGGATACTATTCATCCTTTGTGCGCAACCCTGCTGGTGCTGCTCTATACGAACGTGCCCTGAATGGCTGGGAGGATTTTGTTCAGCGAGCCAAGCTGGGAGGCGACATTGAGCCGCAGATGAACGACATGGAAGAAGCGGTGCCGTTCAAAGGTCTCTCAGCACATGATATTCTCAACATGATCATTGAAGCAACGGGGTTGGTTCAAACGCGAGACGACGCTACGGCGGAGAGTAACATGGTATTCGCTCCGGTACCCGAGTCGCGGGCTGAGGCTTTATACGCCCTGGCCGACGCCGCAACCGCTTCCCCTTGCCCTTACCCAGAGCGGCCATGACGCCACGAACCCCAGCACACCGAGCTATCCTCCCACAACCTCCACAACATCCACAACATCCTCAGCTTCCTGCAATCCAGGCTCCAACTGATCCGCGAGCCTTTGTGCTACCGCCTCCAAATCCGCAACGGCAGCAGCCGCGTCGGTTGCTGCCCGCTGGGCAACTACCGGACCCTTTTGCTGCTCGAAACGGCCCTCCCCAACTGCCCCCCCTCCTGGTTCCAACTTTCAACGTCCTCCCCTGCCTGGCTTCCTATCCGGACCTCCTCCTCCGCCCCTGTACTACACACACCCGCCTCCTCCGGGACCCCGGCCACCCTTCTAAACGGCAGTGTCGGAGAAAAGGAGGGAAAGGAGTAACAGTGGGTTTTGTTTCCCACGGGATTAGGTGGCGGTCTCGGCCACTTGTCCCCTGTTTTCTTGCATCCTTCCCTTCTCCATGGTTGCGTTTCACTTCTACTCGTTTATGGATTCTTGGGGTAAATTTCCTACTCTGGGCCGTTGCGCTTGGTTTACAACTTTTTGGCCAGACGTTGGCATGGATCGGGTTGTCCTCATTGAAAGTCAATTGTTGCATATATCCATCGACTCATGTGAGAGATAGACCATTGCGACTAGCATATTTTGTGTTTGATACGTTATTTAATCTTCAACCAGAGAGTGTCATCCATGGCGGGCCCATTGGAATGAGAAAGTGTGTGTGCTACGATCCATCTGAGACACTGGTTGATTTTGTTCTCTGTACTCATATGGGGGTTCTCTGGATTGAAAGATGTACCATACTCAATAGATCCCTGGAACTATTCTCGTACTGTTCTCGTACTGTTCTCGTACTATTCGGCAGGCAACTGGACTGGTATACAGGAATAAGGGAGGGGACTCGGCAAAGAGCTCGTGGGTCGTAGTGCGCTGCCAGTTCTGGACCGGATGTGCGCCAGCGACACCCTCAAAGATTCACCGTAATGATGAGCCACTTGGAGCGCACAATGACTGACCGTGTTGAGGGCTGACTTTAGCTACGGAGGATCTATCTATGGGGCTGAAGAAGAATGACTCTTGATGACTCGATTTTCGGTGACTCCTCCTCCGCCCCGATTGGGTCTAGTCTACACAGAGCGGGGCGATTCGACGGGCCTTTTTGATAATCTTTTCTTGGGCTTCAAATACTTCCCTCGTGAGCGGCAATATTGGCTTCTTCGTTGTGAAACATCCCAGAATCTATATTTCAAACTTCAGTTACTATCGATCAGCGAAGAAAACCGGGGGTTTATCTTTATCCTTTTCGTCCTTCTTCCCACGCCCGTTCCTCATCCGAACTTTTCCCCTCAACTATCGACGTCACCTGGCTTCGCAAAGCTTTCGCTTGCAGTCTCACACGAACGCTCTTATATTTCCATCGTTCGCCTGGGTGTCCAGATTGCCTACTCTCAATCGCTATTGAAACCGGGTTTCTAGAAAGCTACGGAATTTTCGCACGATGGCAGTCCGTGCCCAGTTTGAAAACTCCAACGAGTAAGTAGGCGCGGCCATTTCTCGCCAAGGTTGATTTTGTTTCTTTTTCTGGGATTATGGGAGAGGACTAACTTGCATTTTCCATTCTTGCAGAGTCGGCGTCTTTGCCCGCCTGACAAACTCATATGCGATTGTCGCCATCGGCGCTTCAGAGAACTTCTACAGGTGCGCTACTCATGCTCCCGATATTCGCCTTGTAAGCACGACCTTCTGACAGATAGTTTCAACATCACCAGTGTATTCGAGGCGGAACTCCAGGATGTCATTCCCATCTGTCATGCTACTATTGCCGGCACCCGGATCGTCGGTCGTCTAACAGCGGGGTATGTCTTTCTCTTCGTTTAGCGACTCCAACGCAACGACACCCAGCAGCGAGCAGCGAGCAGAGAGAGCCTTGGAAGCTGACAGTCTGGATGATTCAAACAGTAACCGTAAAGGCCTTCTCGTCCCCACAACGACAACAGACCAGGAACTGCAACATCTGCGGAATACGCTGCCAGACGATGTGAAGATCCAACGGATAGAGGAGCGGCTCTCGGCGCTGGGCAATGTCATCTGCTGCAATGACCATGTGGCACTGGTACATCCGGATCTTGAGCGGGAAACAGAGGAAATGTACGTTTTGAGGAACCCCCCCCCCCCCCCCTCCTTCCGTTCTTACCCGTGGGGGAACGGAGAGTGAGAAATCGGCGGCCATAACTGGAGCTAACACTGACTTAAAACAGAATCGCAGACGTCCTCGGCGTCGAAGTCTTCCGGCAAACCATCGCCGACAACGTGCTGACGGGCTCGTACATGGCCCTCTCCAATCAGGGCGGTATCGTCCACCCCAAAACCTCCATCCGTGACCAGGATGAGCTCTCCTCTCTACTCCAGGTGCCCCTCGTCGCGGGCAGTGTCAACCGCGGCAGCCCCGTCGTCGGCGCCGGCATGGTCGTCAACGACTGGCTGGCCGTCACCGGTCTCGACACCACCGCGACCGAGCTGAGCGTGGTCGAGTCTGTCTTCCGGCTAGGCGAGATGGGCCCTCGTGGTCTGGGCGTTGGCAATGCCAACAAGGAGAGTATCGTGGAAAGTTTCTACTAAATGCAGCCAATCGGATTCCTACTTATTCTTTTGTCTCCTCTTTACCTTTTCTTTCCGTGTCCCTCATGTACCTCCCTCACGTGACTATGGTTATGGTGTAAATCCCCTGAAATGGGTCATTTAGATCGGTTGAAGTTCAAAATCTGATATCTACAGAATATAAATTAGCCTCCAGGGCAATGGAGGATGATTTATCAATTTTGCATCGATATCCTTCATTACGTTTCATAACCATTTGAGGTTGATTCCAGCCTCTAGTAGACGGTGTCAAGACAAAGAAACAAAAATAGTAAAAGTAATATTACTGGTGGCTTGCATAGAAGCAAGAATGAAATAGTAAAGAAGAAATCAAGCTAGTTGTACAATTCCAGATCACTCCCTTGTTTTCTGTTTCCTGCCCCATCGCGCAATATGCAAATGAACATGAATCTCTGAAAGATATGGACAAAGGGGGTATTGTTTAAAAAGATAGAATTCCAGCTGCGAAAATGAGAAACGTGACGGACCTTTCAAATGGTACGCATGATATTGAAGAGCAAAAAGAAAAGAAGACTGAACGCCGTTTAACACCAATCCGGGCAAATCCTGGGATCCTGGGCTGAGACAAGAAAGGAGGCCCTGAATGCAAGCCGACGGCATCCAGTTATACTCGGCCCTCGATACCGATTCGATTTGACGGAAGCTTTCCCGAGTCGGCGTCGTACTCCTCTCCCAAAGGGGCAGGGAGAGGTTTCTGTTCCAACAGATGATTGCTCATATCGGGAGATCGGCCCGATTCATCGTTATCACTGTGCTCCGTTGACAAGGGTGGCGGGGGAGGAGGTGTTGGCGCAGACTCCGGGCTGTCCAGCATTGAATCGCCATTCTCCGCCTGGAAGTAATCTTCGCCAGTGTCATTTGGCGTGGGTTGCTCTTCACCACCTAGAGGAGGCGGTGGCGGTGGGGGAGGAGGTATGGGTGTTGATGACTTCTGCCTCTTCATCGCTTCTTCAGCAGCTCCTTCACCAATATCCAATTCGTCTTCCCTCTTGCGCTTGAGAAGGCCCTGCGGATCGCTGTCCATGAAGGCATTATTCTCTTCAACCTTTTCTGCTTCGCCATCAGACAGTTTCACGTCGACATCTTCAACGGTGTTGTGTCCATTGGTCATTTCGTCTGCTTTCGAGTCACCTCCCTTTGACTGCTTCTCGGCCTTTCTCTGCTCGTAAGCACGGTGCTTCGCAACAGCCTTGTCAAAGAATTCCTTGCAGAAGGCTTTTACTTTCTTTTGTTGCTTTTCGCTAATCTTCGTTGGATCTTCCACGCGATTGTTTTTGAAGTCGGAGTTGACGAGCTTCTTGGCGACCTAATGAAAGGCAAGAAGCGCGGATTAGCACATGTACTAGGTCTGGCGTATTGAACGGCTCCATGAGCTGACTCACATCCTTAGCATAGCGCTTCAGTTCCTCTTTCGGAAGCTTGTGTTTAAATTTGTCCACCACATATTTGATATGCGGGAAAAGCTGCATAAGTCAGGCTACCTGTACTCAAGGACAACGACAGCTGCTCTTTGGGGTGAGCTTACCGTGTTCTCATACAGCTTCTTCTGTTTCTCTTCACTGTAACTTCTCCACTTCTCCTGCCCTTCACTGAGACTCGCCGTTTCTCTAGAAGCTTGCGGCGTGCCAGGTGTGACGGTCTTCTCCTTCGGCGTGTTCTCCTTAGCATTCAAGATGTTATCGATGATACCTTGTAGGGCTTTATTCTTCGCCCGGTGGCCTGGGACTTCGGCCTCAGGTGCGGCATGGATCGGCCGAGTCCAGGTGACATCCCCACGGGCGCAGTAATAATATGTCCTGCCGCGTGATTCGGCTGCGAACCATCCCGGAGGCAGAGGATTGAATTGGCGGCGGAACTGACGGGCACCGTGATGCTGGGAATTTCTGGGGCCATTGCTCTTCCGACCTGGATTCGCTGGCCCTCGAGGAGCATCCAACGACCAGGATCTTGATCGCGAACGAGATTGAGAGCGTTTCTGCTCATCATTAGTGTGTTCTCTCCGCCCGAACTGGCTGACTGAAGCGACTGCATTCGGATCTCGCTTCATGCGAGGGATACGGTATCCAACCTCCAGAGTCGCCCAGTGCTGCAAAAGTGCGGCTGCCTTCTTCTCCACTCGCTCATCTCCACAAGTTGTCAGCGGCTGGACGGTGGATTCGATCTTTGAATCAATAATCTTGTTCCTTGTAAGACGTGGAAACTGGTCCAGAATATTGAGGATCTGCAACACAACATTGAAGTCATCCTTCCATAAGGTGAGCTGGGAATTTAAGATCTGGTAGCCATGCATCTTCACCACACGATGGCGGACTCGGTCATCGTCGCAGCGCTCGATCCGCCTCAGCAACTTGACAGCAATCCATTTTTCTTTGCATTGCATAAGGGCCGCCATGACCTTGGTGACGCCGTTCTCATCGAGAGACTTCGGCTGCACGCTGTCAACATACTCCTCATCATCTTCGCCCATCTTCTTCTTTCGCGGCCGCTTTGCAACAGCAGTGTCCCAGCTATCAGCATCTTCGATACCCAAAGCTTCAATGGTGGCATTGGAAAGTTTGGTAGCACGATCGGTCTGAGTCTTTCCTCCAATAAAGCCAGTGCAATTCGGTTCGCCACAGTAGCATGGTTGAGGATCCGCGCCATAGCGATCGACGTTATAATTGAAAACGAGTTCTTCGCCGGCTTGAATAGCCCTTTCGGCAAAGATTCCCATACGTAATTTCTCACCCACAACCCATTTATCGACGTAGCAGTTGGGATTACAGGAGTGGTTGCAGAAACGACCCAGGTTGCCCTTCTTCGTCGCATCGACAAATTCTCCTCTACTGAGGGACATGAAATAAAAGTGTTTGATCCCTTCTTCATCGTACTGTCTCATGCGTCGCCGGAATTGAGCCTCGTTGATGACTTCGCCGACATACTCGAAGATGAATTGATGCGGTCGCAAATCAGTCTCGGCACGGAGACCGAACCCTTTCTTTTCAGTCTTGATAACCGCGACATTTGCATACTCTTTGCGCTGGAATCGTTGATTCTGGCATTCAGCACCGCAGCTGCAGTCACCCACGCACTCAATTTTGGTAGCGCGATTGATACAATCAGAGTCTTCTCCACATGCCAGATTCCTGGACAACGACGGCTCTGCTCAAACGAGTTAGAGGGGTCCTGGCGAACACGTGTATGTACGGAATAGAAGGGGTTAAGGAAATTATGCAGTGAAGACGGCTTTTTCATTATGTTGGCCCGGCTTTTGGTCCCTTTCTCATTTTCATGTTTTTTAGTTTTCTTACCCCCTATTCCTTTGGCAAGGGACCCAGGAACGCGTCTCGGAGAAAAGGAGGGGGGCACCCGACAAGTGAAAAATCGTAGTGAAAGCAATAAAAGTATAGAGAGAAAGAGAAAAAAAGCAAAACTTACCCCATTCCTCAGCACAGTCGCATTCCATGGCATGCTCAGTATAACCCATGTATTTATTGGCATAGGTGCAAGTTTCCATCACTTCAAAAGTCGATTGTGCCTCCGCCGTGCTGTCCGGCAAATGCAGAAACAGCTGAGGGGGTTGCGCAAGAACCTTTTGCGAAGAGCTGCGCGATAACTTGGGAGGCTGACCGGGTTCCATCTTGACAGTGATATCGCCCCCGACTTTCTCTTCCTTGGCTGTGGAATCTCCATTTTCGGATTTGATTGGAGTTAGAGATGAAGTCCGCGATTTGATGGCGGATGATGCCAGATCATCCATCTCAGGGTAATCTTTGGTGGTGACAGCGTGCTCTGATAACCCGTTGGGATCATGTTTCAAAATGGCGTCTCCGCCGTTGGAGAGGAGCATGTCTGCGGCGCCGTCATGCTGCTCAATCTTCATCGCGGTCACCGCATTTGCTACAGAAGATGAGGGTGAGTCCGCGTTGTCATGAGAGGACATGACGACACGGACCGAAGAGCACGATCTTTAGGAGCCAGCGAGCGGAACACGGATGTTTCCGATAAATATTGTTAGACGAAGTGTGCGTTGAGGTGTTGTTGGGTCGAGAACCGGAAAATGGGGGAGGGAAGGAGAAAACGAAGGCAAAAAGCGAAGAAAGTCTTCAGGAAAATAATCTCACGTCGAGCCAAATCGAGCAATCAATCAAAAGCTATCCATGTTTTCCGCGGTTGCCAAGAACAGGAGGAAATGGCGAAAATCAGAAAGGGAAAAAAATAAAACGTGACGGGAAAAAAAAGGAGAATCAAGGGATTACTCTATTGTCATGTGTGGTCTGGTCTTTTATTCAAGGTCGACTGAGACAGCTACTGGGGTTGAAGATGAGAGAGAAGTTCCATTCTTCACCTTGATATGTTTCTATTGTCTTGACAAGTTTGAATAATAACTGCTGTCTCGAAGCCGCAAAAGCGAAGGCAGGATAAAAAAGCATGCAGCAAAGAGGTTGGAACCAGTTGATGTTCTCACCGCCCGGTCCAACGCGAAGTGGAAGCGAAGGGATAGATCGATATCGCTTCATCAGTGAATCAGCCCTTCACTGCCAGATGGGAACAGATGGCTAATCAGAGTAGAATTCCTTTCCATTCAGGTACAAATGGTGGGATGGGTCGTTGTTTGTGCTGATGGATGCTTCGAAATCAGTGCGGGTATTCCCATTATAGGCACCAGCTATCAATCCCCAATCACGCTCAAAGTATTCTCTTCCTGTCGTTTTCTTGATCATTCCAATCCTCATCATTTTAAGGCTTATTCCTTTGGTCTCTCAGCGCCCCGCGCCTCTCAAATGTCTCGCAAAGTAATTTCTCAATGGATGGACAAGTCCGACGCCAACCGGTCGATCTGCACACAATAACCTGTGTAAGTAACAACTGCGACGTTTGCCAGCTCTCTCTGATATAGACACAATTTCTTTCTCGTGCTCGCTTCTGTCACTGGGGTTACCATGGTGAGATCAACGTGAGGTATGTCCCCGGGGCAAAGG